CTATAAAATCACCAGCTTATTTTTATAATAACTGTTTCTGTTTTCGCAACTGAAGAAGTTTTACTAGAATAACTTTCTTCTCTTCTTTGATAGAATTTTGAGCCTTGATCAAATACTTCTACTCAGTGTTAGAGAAGGAAGGATCAGGTATTTCGCAGTAAACACTGTTCTTTCTAATATACTTACTATAGTAATCAGAGTTTTCAGATTTAATACACACTTTGTAAAGACGGATGCAGCGCTTGCAAGGGAAAATTGCCAGGAAACCCTCATCCTTGATTTGCTGACAGAGGCTCTTCTTACAAACAGAAGAACTGGATAACATAATTAATGACCTGACTGAATTTGGAAAGATAATACCAGACACTCACCTCGAGAGGGAAGCACTGCAGCTTTATGTTCCTTGGGGACAAGAAACCTTGAAGAAAGGGAAATGGTGTTACGGACCCCTGCTAGCTAAACGAACTAGTAAGGTGGACATGTCAGGCAGAAGGCCACGCCCGGAAGAAGCAAGGGCTCTTATCGAGCAAAGCCCTGATACGAGCAACCGATGAACGGGAACGGTCACACGGCACGTGACTACGATGGGATGTTACCGACACGTTATAGGATGTCAGCGCTATGATGGGGATGTCACCGACACGCTATAGGATGTCAGCAATATGACATGGCATGGCAGCACCATACTGAAGGATAGGATATAAGGATACTCTTTCATGTACTTAGCTAGTTCTGTTCTTCGTGCTTAATAATACTGTCTTTAAGTAACCATACGTTTTAGTAAAGCTTAGTAACAATACTCGTCTGCACTTACTTACGGATAGCTGCGCGGCACTATCTGGCCTTACTTCTCTTCCCTTGTTCAGGACCAGTCACCTCTTAGATAGTCATCAGTCTGACTTACCTTGATTCAGTTCACAGGTACGTATTGGAACGGGAGCTAAGCTAACAGGGACAGGGAGAAGCGATCCTAGGGTTTGACAGTCTGCTTTCTACAGCTTTACAGTATTAAAATATCTTTTAGCAGTATAAAAATATGATTAATAATTATTATTATTGATAGTAATCTAATTCCATACCTACATATCTTTTTAAATCACTATCTAAACAGATCTCTCTAGATAATCTTACTAACAATCCTGCCTTTCAATATATAATATAATTAGATTCTAAATTATTATATTAAATATCTCTGATTTTCAAAAAATTGCTTGTTATCATGAAATTTGATGAATGCTGATGGGATTGGTGGTTAGAATACTGGCCAAGATGTCTGCTGAGAGATGTTCTGGTAGGGGGTAGTGTTCCACTAGGCCGTGGACCTCTCTATATCTCTTCAATTTGATGGTGCCAAGCAGAAAATAGCACCAGAAAGAGAATCGTTGGTCAATCATTGTGGAGCTCCTTGGTAACCAGCTCTCTATACCTCAGACTCTGTTTTGAGCTCTGCTCAGTTGGAGGTGATATAGAGCGGATGCCTCTCAAGGCTGAGGAGTCCACCAGAGCTCCGGGTGAAAGCAGCTTACTCCGTAAGCTCTTAGCACTTACCAGGCAGGCTTTCTGGCATAAAGGTGCGAATTAGAGTGGTGAATTTAAATGGGGCTACTGCAAGCCCTCCAGCTGCAGGCTGGGCCTTGTTCATCCATCGGCGAACGAGGCGACCCCATTGGTAGCTATAGGGCGAACTCGATACGGGAAGCTTTATGAGTGGCTGAAAGGGGGCGAGTGGCACACCAGAAAGTGATTTCGGATTGGATCGCATGGGAGTTCAGCTGTCTTTGACCTCAGAACAGAACGCGACCATCCAGGGTGATGATTGTTGGCCTTCACTACTCGTAGATCGCGGTACCTGACCCGACCCTTTGGTATGGGTCCGCCACGGCTTTCGATAATGAATCGATAGTGAGGCGCTTTCTAGAGGGGCCAACTATTATCACAACCCTGGTTGTGGAGTTGAGGTGAGTATGATATATGTATTATGCAAGATATAACTGGAACGAATATCTGAGATATTGTGTTCACAACGATGATATGACGTCTGATATCGAAGGTGTTGAGGCATTGACATCAGTCTCAAAGCCAATCCAAGCGGTAAGTCATTGTAACTCGAACTGGATGATCGTCCTAATAGTCTAGACCACTATACTACGTACTCTTCGAAGATATCTTGGATTATAGGAATTTGCTAAGTCATTATGTTGAGAGAATTTGAAAGAGCCAAAGGCATGGGCGGGCGCAGCCAGGAAGTAGATGTCTAGTTCCTGAATTCTGGGGGAGTACTACTGGGTCTAGTATCGCGATACTGTACTGTATTTGCGGGGTTTAGCAGGCCGCGTGTGGATGGAACGCTCGCGGTATCACTTGGAGACTGGGTAATACCCAAAAGTGACTGCATTGTCTAGATAACTCTGGGAAATCGAGGCGGCCTATCAAGTGAGCATCGCAAGACCAATTCCACATGGTTTACAGGGCTGGATTCATCGACGAGAGCCTCGAAGATACGGGTTGTCTCACGTGACCTACAAGCCACGGGAGTTAGGGCTGTGGCCCTCGACGGGGCTCTTCCCGCACAAAGAGGACGTAGCGCCGCTCGCTTAGCGACGACCAGCGAACTCCATCCGACATCGTTGTGTGCGTTGAACCTGCCCACAACGACAACAACCGCCGACAACTAACATCCCAAGGGAGTATCCTAGAGCAGCGCTCTTCCTTTCGCTGGATATTTTCCATTTGAACCGGTGACAGAGCAGGATGTCCTCCATCGATCCAGTCGTGCGTACGCCCCTTCACATGCACATCCCGAACATCATGATTGCGTTGAATCCACACCCTTGAATATGTCGAAGAGGGCGGGGCCTTCGGGAAATACAGTACAGTTGTCGCTGACTTGAGTTGGGATTTCGCAGGTCGTCATTGACGGCAAGGGACACCTCCTGGGTCGCCTGGCCAGCACTGTTGCTAAGCAGCTGCTCAACGGTCAGAAGATCGTCGTTGTGAGATGCGAAGCCCTCAACATCTCCGGCGAGTTCTTCCGCGCGAAGCGTATGTTCAATCCGACCCGGTTTTTGATTTATATGTCGAATGGATTTAGAAGAGGGAATGTGGAATCGTGCGGCGATATCGGAATTGGCGGAGGTGCTCGGAGTTGGGAATTTTTGTGGAGGAACAAGGACAACAATGCGCTGGTATCAGACGGCTGACCTGGATTCTTTCGCGATATAGTCAAGTACCACGCCTACCTTCGCAAGATGACTCGTTTCAACCCCACCCGCGGAGGTGAGACCACCCGAGAACTTCCCCCCTGGGAAGACGACGATTGATTATTGCGGGACTCGTGCTGAACCGATACAGGTCCCTTCCACTTCCGTGCCCCCTCCCGCATCCTCTACAAGGCTGTTCGTGGTATGATTCCCCACAAGACCGCCCGTGGTGCTGCCGCTATGGAGAGACTCAAGGTCTTCGAGGGTGTTCCTCCTCCCTACGACAAGAAGAAGCGCGTCGTCGTTCCCCAGGCTCTGCGTGTTCTCCGTCTTCGCCCCGGCCGCAAGTACTGCACCGTCGGTCGTCTCAGCCACGAGGTTGGCTGGAAGTACCAGGATGTTGTTGCCAGGTGCGTATATGTTCAGATGGAGGAGATGAGATGGGAGAGATCGGGATGTGGATGAAGGCTAACGGGGTTCTACGTACAGACTTGAGGAGCGCAGAAAGGTTAAGAGCAGTGCATACTACGAGCGCAAGAAGGCCGCTCGCCGCCAACTCGTCCACGCCCAGAAGTCGGCGGGTGTTTCCGAGCAGACCAAGAGCCAGCTCGCTCAGTACGGATACTAGATACCTAGTTGCGCGGCTGGTTGCTTGTGTCTGTGATGGGATGGGATGGAATCGCGAACGGTTTTCTCTCAGCGAAGATGGACGGCAAACCGATCGACCTTTTTCTCACTGTCCCTACCTTGTCATGAAGTACCATAATTCTCACGTTGTGACGTACATGAAGGCTGGAGAGATCGATTCTTTCTAAAAAAAAATACAGGAGTCACTTGGGATGAAAGGTTGTTCAAAATAGCTGACCGTTATTTCGCGCCGTGGCGGTTTAATCCAAGAAATTTCTTTTCAAGAGTTCAAATGACTTGTGACGACTTATTTACCAATATTGGCCCTGCAATATGCCTACCGAACCTAATGTATCCTAATCGGACGGAGACCCCGATTCGAGATTCGACCACCGAGGGAGCCGAGCTGGACATTGCGTCCAGTTGATATTTATGCCATGTCCATGCGATCCATGTCTTTGCCCCTTGTAACTTGTTGTCCCGAGCGCCACCGAATATCAGTCTCGATCATGTATGTAGAGAGCCACCGCTGGCCTGGGGTGATGTGTAGTAACTAGCAATGGCCCGGACCAGATGCCCGCAACGTCATTCAAGCCGCCTGGCACCTGTCCAAGGTGTGATTATGTGATAGGCCATGGCACTACATAGTGGCGGGTCGAAGTAGGATGGTACCATAATGACAGGATCCACCTTCCTGGTGGTCCGTAATATCGCAAGGCCCCTGCTATCTCCGTATCGCGTATCTACCCTCTGACACCGATTTCATCTAGACTATCACCGGAGGCTGTTAGCGCTGGCCATGATAACAAGATGTGGGCTAGTCCGTTGTTTCATAGGTACATTTTCCCTTCTACTTCTGCTCGTCTTCCACCTTTTGGCCAAGAAAAGGGGTAGCTATTAGTGCTAGGCGAACAGTCCCGAGCAAATTCAAAGCATGGGCCAACGACGAAGCCCCGGGGTGATATGGCTCTCAAAAAAGGGCAGATAGACGTGTGGTATTGCTAGTAAGTGGGTACAGGCGTGGGTAGGAGCGGAAACGGAACCGGTGAGTTAACCCCCCGGAGGCCTGGAGGGTATCTATTAGTATTGGTATGGGCCGATGACTGTTAGTAACTTAGTACGGCTGCAACCATCCACTCCTCTGCAGTACCTCGGCTAGGAAGCAACAGTACATTTTTTCTTCCCCCCTTCTCCGGTTCATGTTTGCATCGAATCTCGACGACGTCCAGCACAGCAACTAGCAGCCAGGAAGGAGGCCAAGCAGACACATGGATCATTTCCAATTCCCGAACGCAAGTCTCGTGCTGCTGCTTGGGCCTGAATGGCCGAACGGGTTTCCTGCCCACTAGCCCAAGAATTGGTCCGCTTTCTCCGCTTACCGACGGTGATCATCCTCCCCGCATATTGTCTCTCTTCCCGATCTCCCAGTCCCAAGACTCCTCCGTCCCCTCGGCCGTAGTGCAATCACAACTCACAATGCCCCCTCTCTTTCTTTTTCTCCCTCCCACATCCCTCCCCCTGTCTCTCCCATACACATAGTTTTCCCTCCCATTGGTTGCTCGTTCTGCAACCCTGACTCGATGTCCTCCGCAAAAGATAGATTGTCAGGCCTACTTGGCCATCTCCTCCCCGGCCAGGGAGCTGTGGCTGCTGCTCCGCAATCGCAGAGCCAAGTCAACTTCCATACGCTTTCGCCGGCATATTTTCTCCAGAGAGCGGCAGCGATTGAGCCAGACGTGAGTGTCATGTTTGTTCATTGGGGCTGTAAAGTGGCTAATGGTTTTTGCGTGCAGGCTGAGGCCATCTACCATATTACCGCGAATAAACAGGAACTGCGGAGAACTTATATTGAATTTTCAGACAGGGCCAGAGGGCTGGCGTACTATTTGAAAAAACGTGGGTTCAAGAAAGTGGGCATCTTGTGTCCAAATACACCGGCTTTCTTGGAGTCGATCTTTGGAATTGGAGCTGCTGGGGGTGTACATGTTGGTAGGTTCCCGTTATTGCTATGTGTGAGATTAGAGGGGAGAAGTTGACTGTCTCTCCTAGCTGTGAACTACCGCCTCAAGGAAGACGATATCGCATATATATTTACGCATTCGGATGCAGAGGCGATTATTGTTGATAAGGAATTCCTGCCTCTGCTTCGCGTTTATAGGGAGGCCAAGCCAGAGACACCCATCATTGTGGATACGGACACAGATGTCACGGAAGGCCAGCTGTCAGGTCCTTTCGATGAGGCGGTTCTGGAAGGCCTGAAACATGATGCTGCTACAGGTGCGAAGGGCTGGGATGGCCTTGAGAGCCAGGCGTCTTCCGAGGATGATGTCGTCGCTCTGGCATATACGAGCGGTACCACCTCGCGGCCAAAGGGCGTGGAGTATACGAACCGTGGCTGTTATCTGGCTGCTTTGGGCAATGTGGTCGAGTCTGGCCTGAACGTCTTCAATAGTCGTTGTCGTTATCTATGGATTTTGCCCATGTTCCATGCTGTTGGTTGGACATTCCCATGGGCTGTTACCGCCGTTCGGGGAACTCACTACTGCCTGCGGAAGATAGACTATGGGCAAATCTGGAGGCTGCTGAAGCAAGAGGGTATCACTCACTACAATGCAGCACCCACTGTGAATACTCTGCTCTGCGATCACCCAGATGCTGGGCGACTTCCCGCGCCGGTTAACGTCCAGGTGGCAGGGAGTCCACCTACGCCGCTTTTGTTCGAGCAGATGAGCAGCCTAAATCTGCTCCCTGTGCATGTATACGGAATGACGGAGACATATGGGCCTACTACCAGGAGTTACTATCTGCCCTCATGGGACCGCCTTCCCTCCGACGAAAAGTTTAGGAGAATGGCAAGACAAGGCCATGGGTTCCTGACTAGCCTGCCAACCCGGGTAATCAAGAAGGACGTTCCCGAGGGCACCGTTATAGATGCTAGCCGAGATGGCAAGGAGATTGGCGAGATTGCGTTTGTCGGGAACATCTGTGCTCGGGGCTACTACAAAGATGCCGAGGCGACACGGAAGCTCTTCGCTGGCGGCGTTCTTCATTCCGGAGACTTGGCCGTCTGGCATCCCGATGGAGCGATCCAGATCCTGGACCGATCCAAAGACATCATCATTAGTGGTATGGAAGACACGCACCGGTTGTGGCCTAAACTTGCATGCTAATGTCGTACAGGAGGCGAGAACATTTCGTCTGTTGCACTAGAATCCATGCTGGTGACCCACCCCGACATTTTGGAGGTTGGCGTGGTGGCGGTGCCCGACACACATTGGGGCGAACGACCCAAAGCGTTTGTGACCACGAAACAGGGCCGGAACTTGGATGGGAAAGAGGTAATTGACTGGGCCCGGAATCACAGCCAGATTAGCAAGTTTATGCTTCCGCGGGAGGTGGAGGTGGTGGCGGAACTCCCCAAAACCAGCACGGGAAAAATCCGGAAGAATGTTCTTCGAGAATGGGCGAAAGGGGCCCCGCGTACATGAGTACTAGCTTTGTGCACCAACCCAAGGGGGGCTGTGGTTTGGTATAGAATCTGGGCGATAATGATGATGATGATGATGATGATGATGATGATGATAGGGTTGATTGTATTGGTTGTATTGGGTGTAGGTGGTGGAGGGATGATAGACCGGGAGGTTCTTATTTGGTTGTCTATACCGCATTCCTCGTGTCGATATAGACTTTGTGGGAATCTAGACCATTCTTTGAGGGGTTGTCACTCTCCGGGCTTGCCAATCAATATTATTGTATAGGCTCTGGGGAAGGCAAGACAGGGCGGAGCGCACAGACACCCAGCCAGCCGATGGGGAGCGAGCGATCATTCATTATTATTGGGTGGCAGGGGAACAATGGAACAACCCGAAACAAAGGGCCGAGATGAATGCGTAAGTCGTTCATTCGTATTCTCGAGGATCCATCCCACTTCTCCATAGATACCTAGATAGTTCAGGCGTCAAAAGAGATTGATTGCTTCAACCCCGTTCTACCCCTTGGCTTCCCTATTGCCTGCGTATTTGCCTGCCTGCCTGATCCATGCCTGCTTCATGCCTGCTTCATGCCTGCTTCATGCCAGCTTCATGCCTGCTTCATGCCAGATAGCCTGGTCATTTCATATCCAAGCCACCTGACAACATTCTAGCAGTGTTGGCCCGGCTTACTCACCAGGGCAGAGAGAGAGAGAGCGCCCGCCCGCGAGTTCCCCCTCTCGCTCGCTCTCCCGTCGACTAGTAGAGTTGGGACTCTCCCGCCTTTAGTCGTTTAGTTGCAGCCGCCCGCCCTGCCTTCTTCTCGTCATCGGCCATACCCTCTCCAAGCGCTGCATCTCTTCCTCTCCTCTCCGACTGCCCAAGTTTTCTCTCTCTGCCTGCCCAAGTCTGCTTTTTTTCTCTCAGCCCGCCCAAGCTTGCTCCTCTCCCCACTGCCTCCCAATTTCTCTGGGGTCCTTTGATCCTCACATGCACTCCGACATTGTGTCTCCGCCACACCCCTCTCTGTCTCTCTCTCCCTTGCCTTCCGCTCTTCCACCTGCAACTGCTGCAGGCACGCCCGACACGCGCGTTCTCCCTCATAAGCGCCCTTGACCCGGAGTCCGCTCAGGTGAAACTCAACACCTTCTTGTGATTCTGGAGTTATTGGACAAGCCCCCTTCCTGTCCCTTGGACATCCAGGCCGAGTTTTTGATCCCAGGTGGTGCTGTTCGATCCACTCGCCTCGGGCTACGCGCAGGTCTCGGTGACGCAAGTCGATGAGACACATTCCATGCCGCCCAGTCTTCCCCAGTGAGCGAACCCAGGGCACACACGAGCACGACCACGACCAGGGCTCCTTTCCCGCCCACTTGATCCACCTCCCGACGGCGGTCCTGATGCCCCGCCAAAGGCAACCCGCTCGATTCTCGAGCGAAGCACCCTCCGATACCTCGACCTCGACGTCTCCAGACCGCACCGCAGACGATGACACCGACTTCTTCACAGCGCAAGCGAACGACTCGCAGTCCTCGGTCGGTGTCGCGACTCGAGACACGCACATCCAGAATCCCACGCCCATGTACCTCCCTCCGATCGGACGCCTCCCACCGGAGATCCTCATCGCCATATTCGCAAAGCTGAGCTCGCCATCCGACATGTTGAGTTGCATGCAGGTATGCAGGGGATGGGCTGCGAACTGCGTGGGCATACTCTGGCACCGGCCGTCATGCAACAATTGGGACAACATGAAGAGCATCACGGCGTCGGTGGGCCAGCCGAACAGCTTCTTCCCATACTCGCAGCTTATCAGGAGATTGAACCTCTCCGCTTTGACGGATGGCGTTAGTGATGGTACCGTCGTTCCCTTTGCTCAGTGCAACCGGATCGAGCGTCTCACCCTGACCAACTGCTCTAAGCTCACGGATAAAGGCGTGTCGGACTTGGTGGAAGGAAATAGGCATCTGCAAGCTCTGGATGTCTCGGAATTGCGGCATCTTACGGATCACACACTGCAGACGGTAGCTAGGAATTGTTCGCGCCTTCAGGGTCTCAACATCACTGGATGTGTTAATGTAACAGACGACTCCCTAATCACCGTGTCTCGAAATTGTCGACAGATCAAGAGGGTAAGTGGCGGTGGTATTGGACGTATGCTGTCTTGATGAGACCAGACTGACACATCGCAGCTGAAATTGAACGGGGTCACGCAAGTGACTGACAAGGCCATCTTGTCGTTTGCCCAGAATTGCCCAGCCATCTTGGAGATTGACCTTCACGACTGCAAACTTGTCACCAACCCTTCGGTGACCTCCCTCATGACTACGCTTCAGAACCTGCGCGAGTTGCGACTCGCGCATTGCTCTGAAATCGACGACTCTGCCTTCTTGGAGCTCCCCCGACACCTGTCGATGGACAGCCTCCGCATCCTGGACCTGACGTCATGTGAGAGCGTCCGGGATGATGCAGTCGAGCGTATCGTCGCCTCAGCTCCTCGCCTCCGGAACTTAGTGCTCGCCAAGTGTCGGTTTATCACCGATCGCGCGGTCTGGGCAATTTGTAAGCTCGGAAAGAACCTCCACTACGTCCATCTAGGCCACTGCTCCAACATCACCGATACTGCTGTGATCCAAATGGTCAAGTCTTGCAATCGAATCAGATATATTGACCTGGCCTGCTGCACCCGGTTGACGGACGCAAGTGTTCAACAGCTAGCTACGCTGCCCAAGCTACGGAGGATCGGCTTGGTCAAGTGCCAATCCATTACTGATAATAGCATACTCGCCTTGGCAGGATCCAAGGCTGCGCACCATTCAGGAGGCGTCAGTAGCTTGGAGCGGGTGCATCTGAGTTACTGCGTTCGTCTAACAATTGAAGTATGTATTATGGGGTTTCTGTCGCAACGGGGATGCTGACTCGTATGCAGGGGATCCACTCTCTACTCAATAGTTGCCCGCGACTGACGCATCTGAGTCTTACCGGCGTCCAGGCATTCCTGCGGGAGGAGCTGACCGTCTTCTGTCGCGAGGCACCTCCCGAGTTCACGCACCAACAACGGGACGTATTCTGCGTGTTCAGCGGGGAGGGGGTCAATCGGCTGCGCGACTTCTTGAACCGCATCATTCCACCTCCGCCGCCGACGCGGGACATGACCGAGGCTACGATGTATGACGATGACGAAGAGCTTGACGAAGAGGAAAACCAGGTGACGGGCTTGATGCATGCGACGGCGGCGACGGCTATTCACGATGACGACTATATTGACATTGGACATACCCATGGTTGATACCCCGCTTTCTTTGCGCGCGTCCCTTCATCGGCGACCATGTTTTTTTTTTTTCCTTGCCGCTCTTTTCATATCATGTGAAGTGTGTCTTTCTCGTTCGGGAGAGGGATTTGGCCCCGTAAGGATTCCATTGGTATTGAAGGCGTGCGGGACCGCCCAGCCCGCAGGAGCAGCGGCCCTGCTCTAGCGAGGCTAGATAGATTTTATTTATATCAGCTATGGGATGGCGTAGCGACCATCAGCATGGACGGCGTTAGCAGCATCTGAATGCATCATTTTGTTGTGTTTCTCTCGTTGGTGCCTTGGTTGTGTAGCGTTGCACCGGGTCAACGATATGGTTTCAAGTGCATTAGCGCTGCGCAACACTAGCTGATCAGTAGTCGGTGTTTTCGCTCTATAATTGGTGTATAAATATAACCCAATCTATTACCTGGTAGGCATTCTCAGCGCGCTTAGCATCATACATACTCCGTAGTATGTACTTTTCCGGCCGAGCGACGGGGAAAAAAGGTTCATTATTAGATTGAATCAAGGAGATATTGGATTCTTGATGGCTGCGATAGAGATATACCAGTTCTATAGTCTGATTGCTTAATGAGATGCTTACTGGGGTGTTGGATAACTTCCCGCAGGCCAAACATCGCTAGTACATACATAGTACATACATAGTAGGTAAGGTAGTAGTAATACAACGTCACCGTCCCCACTACTGCGAAATCCCCCCCCCCACCGCCTTCAGCACTGGCGCCATTCCCCTCCGCATCGCCCGCTGCTATCTACCTCTAAGAAGCTCGGCTCAGCTCAGCTCAGCTCAGCGCAACGCAGTGTTCTCCAACTGCCGATTGCTTGCTTCCCTGCAGAGCCCCGACATCCGATGGCTCCTCTCAGGCTATCGCGAGCCAATCCCTTGGCCTTCACCCGGTGGCCCGTCACCCTCATCACCACCGTTGTCTATCTCGCCTTTGTCATACCTCTTCTTATCGTCCACCATGTCGTCCCGTCTCCTCCGAACTCTAACCCCAATGGCCTGGACATCGCCCAAGCCTGGGCCGACCTGCAAGTCCTAACCGACGGCTTCCATCCCTATAACTCCCATCGGAACGATGACGTTCACGACTGGCTGTTGCGCCGCATCCATGAGATCCTCGACGCCGCCCCCTCGGCCGACGAGTACCGATCCGTCGATGAGGAGAAGCCCGATGCCTTCGTGTTCGATGATACGCGCTCGAACCTCACCTTCGTGGGCAACTCCCTCTCAAGCTCCAACACCGCGGTGTACTTCGAGGGCACAAATATTCTTGTCTATGTCCGTGGCTGGGAGGATGACGAGGAGCGCTGGTGGGAGGAACCCAACGGAGCACCCACGGGCAAGGGAGGAGTGCTGGTCAATGCACACTACGATAGTGTATCGACGGGATACGGTGCCACCGATGATGGTGTCGGCGTCGTGACTTGTCTGCAGCTGATCAAGTATTTTATGACTCCCGGTCATGCGCCGCGGAAGGGATTGGTCGTGCTCTTCAATAATGGCGAGGAGGACTATCTGAACGGTGCGCGCGCGTACGGCCAGCATCCTATCGCCAAGTTCCCGCATACTTTTGTGAATCTGGAGGGTGCTGGCGCGGGGGGTCGTGCAATTCTATTTCGCAGCTCCGATACCGAGGTTACTCGGCCGTATATGAGGTCGAAGTATCCGCTTGGGTCTGTGTTGGCCGCTGATGGGTTTGCTACGGGGGTTATTGGCAGTCAGACGGACTACGTGGTGTTTGAGGGAGATTTGGGTCTGCGTGGGCTGGATGTCGCCTTTATGGAGCCGAGGGCCAGGTATCACACCGACCAGGATGACTCGAGACATACCAGCAAGAACTCCCTATGGCACATGCTGTCCGCTGCGGTTGCGACCACGGAGGGTCTTGTTTCGGACTCGAGTGATCAGTTTGATGGAGCGCCGAAGGATGATGCGAAGGTGCCCAGCGGATCTGGCTCCCGGGCTGTGTGGTTCGATCTGTTCGGAACTACATTCGTCGTCTTCCAACTGCATACGCTGTTTGCACTATCGGTGACGCTACTCGTCGTAGCACCGCTTACTCTGCTCGGGACTGGTATTGCGCTCACCCGTGCCGACAAGATGTATCTATTTAGGACATCAGCCAAGGTAGAGGATAGCATTGAGACGGTTCCGCTGCAAGGCCTTCGGGGCTTCTTCCGGTTCCCGTTCCTCTTTGCGATTCCCACGGCTGTCACCGTTGGTCTGGCATATTTGGTGACCAAGGTCAACCCGCTTATCATCCACAGCAGCGAATACGCCGTCTGGAGCATGATGCTGTCGGCATGGACCTTCCTGGCCTGGTTCGTCTCGCGCGTGGCCGACTTTGCTCGTCCCTCGGCACTGCACCGAGTCTACACGCTGACCTGGATGTTCGTGCTGGCCTGGGTCCTCCTCGTCATCTCCACCGTCTACGAGAACAAATGGGGCCTCGCCGGCGGTTACTCCGTCTTCTTTTTCTTCTCCGGCACCTTCGTCGCCACTTGGATTTCCTATCTGGAGCTCTTCGCCCTCCCTCGCAAGTCGGAGTACGCGAGCCAGTTCCAACCCACGTCGCGCCGAGCCAGCAGCTACGGGGGCAGTCGCCTCGGCACTGCCTCGGGCGAAGACCATGACGAAGAGGACCATGACGCCGAGGAGGAAGAGGAAGAGCCCACCGAATCGACCTCTCTCCTCGGGGGTGGCCAGCGCACGACCTTCGCCAACTACGTCCGCGTCTCCGGCGACAACCGCGACTCGGACACCGACGAGCATCACCATCCGGATGTCTACCGGCACGAGCAACGCTGGAGCGCCTCACTCCCGAAATGGACTTGGACGCTGCAGTTCCTCCTCATTGCCCCCCTGGTGCTCATCATGGTCGGTCCTCTAGCCCTCCTCCTGACCAGTGCGCTTCACCAAACCGGCCAAGACGGCGGCTCCTCCCTGTTCATCTACGTCGCCATCGCTGCCCTCACCACGCTGCTCTTGACCCCCCTCCTCCCTTTTGTCCACCGGCACACCTACCACATCCCCGTTTTCCTTCTTCTCATCTTCCTCGGCACCTTGATCTACAATCTCGTCGCCTTCCCTGTCTCCCCCACCCACCGCCTGAAACTCTACTTCATCCAGGAACTCAACCTCGAGACCGGCGTCACCACCGTCTCCCTCTCCGGCGCCGCACCCTACGTCCGTGATGCCGCATCCACCCTCCCCAGCGCCGCCAACCAGAACATCACCTGCATCGACCACGTCGTGCGCGGTACCAGATGCTCCTGGCCGGCGCTCGCCCCGCGCGTTGTCCCCGACACCCCCATCTCCGACTGGCTGGACTTCACCATCTCCAACCCTTCTAAAAACGCAGACGACACCGAAAAACCCAACCACGCCCGCATCACCCTCTCCGGCCGTAACACCCGCGCCTGCAAGATCCTCTTCGACTCGCCCGTCTCCACCTTCAGCGTCCTCGGCTCCGCCACCGACCCCCGATTCCCAATCTCCTCTCCCCTCGGCACCAAAGAAATCCGCCTCTGGAGTCGCACCTGGGAGAACGAGTGGGTAGTCGATGTTTCCTGGACTGGAAATTCCACCTCCACATCCACACCTATAACCAACGAAGAAGAAAAAGCCCTCACCGGCCGCGTCGTCTGTCTCTGGAGCGACGCCAACACAGCAGGTCTCATCCCGGCCCTAGACGAAGTGAAACAGTACGCCCCGGCCTGGGTAGCTGTAACTAAGGGTGCGGATGGATTGGTCGAAGGATCAAAGGGGTTCAGCATTAAGTATTAAGCATTGAGCATTAAACCTTGAGAGCTGTTTGTCTGTTTATTTGTTTTGTATGATTTTTATGTGTCCGCCACTCTCTAACATCAGTCCTTCATTTATTGCTGTTTTTTTTGTTAGCTGCTGGCTGGCTCCTAGTTCGAGTCGTTGATTGATGCGTTTATGTGTTGTGATGAGATGCGATGAGACGAGATTTTAAACTATCCTATCCTATCCTATCCTATCCCGGTTTATCCTATCCTGGGATATGTTATATCGTGCTATGCTTTGCTATTCTATCCTATACAATGCCGGATTCTCTATCCGCATTATCTTACCTACCTATCTACCTGCCTTCTACCTTTCTACTAAGATACTACTGTCTGTCCCTACCTATCACTACTCACTCCACTACTACACAACTCCACCACAACCCAGATATACAATCACCATCCCTATGCAAGACACAAGACCAAGATCTCAAGTAGGATACAGGTATAATACATTTCCTGGAAAGCTGCGAGTAGCATACATGGTGTGAGAAAAAAAAAATAAGGGGAAACAGGCACATGCAGGGAGGGGTACATATAAAGGAAAAAACTAAAGGGGGTTTCTCTGAGATCAACAAACAAACAACAAAAAGGTCTATCTTTCAGTCCGTCCGTCCAGTGTCTCGTTGCTCCGAGTCATTCGTTCAATCAATGAGGTCTTGTAAAGTAAAGTAGATGGCGAAACAAAAACATAACAAGAAGAAAAGCAGAAAGGAAACAACCACCCGCCCACACCCCGTCAACACCGTGAAAAAGTTGAGAGGTCCTAAACGCCTTGCTGGATTTTTTTACTACACAATGTGGTAGGTATGAATGAAATGGTGCCGTATAAGTACCGTTCTGAATTCGAGAACGGAATCAGAGGAGAGGTAGTGATATTCATGACTTCATGGTCTCCAAGAACGAGTCCAGGTTGTACTCTTCCTGGTACTGTCGGTCGTCCCAGAGCTCGCCGAGATCGTCAAGCCAGCCCTTCTTGCCCTTTTCTTTGACCTCGCCGTCGATATCGACCAGGTCCACTTCGTTGCCGGTTGATTCGCTGGGCTTCTCAGCACTCTCGGCTGTTTCACCAAGGTTGAACAGGTCCAGGAGCTGGTCGGTATCCATCGTATTCAGTCCGGCGTTCTGTTGGTTGACCACCGTGGAGGCCACGTCGATCTTGAATCGTTGGAGACTGGCATTTGTTAGAATGGGTGGAATGTCAAGAGGGGGGGGGGGGCTTTTAAACTTACTTCAGAATCTTCTCCTCCAAAGTACCGCGGGTGATCAACCGGTAGACGTTGACGACCTTCTTCTGGCCGATACGGTGAGCACGGTCCATTGCCTGGATATCCTTCTGTGGGTTCCAATCGTGTTCCACGAAGATGACCGTGTCGGCTCCCGTGAGGTTCAGACCCAATCCACCGACGCTCGTTGTCAGAAGCAGGACGTCGTAGCTGGGGTCCGAGTTGAAACGGTTAACAATGTCCTGGCGCTTAGTTGCTTCCACGCCACCGTCCAGACGGAGATACTGAACCGATGGGAGAAGCTTGCGCAGCACCTCGCTTTGCACGATGTCGAGCATCTCCTTCATCTGGCAGAACACCAGCGCTCGGTGCGGGCTCACGTAGCTTGCTCCAGTGCTGAGATCGCCTTCAGTCGGTGGCTCAACGCCAATGCCACAATCGAGCAGCAAGTCGCGTAGAGCGCTGAGCTTTGGCGCGTGGGACACGTCTCGGATGTGGGACTGCTTCGTGCTGAGGTACTGCTGGACCTCGTTGTACTGCTTATGCCCCTCTTTAACGACCAGAGCTGGAGAATTGCAGAGACGGCGCATGTATTGCAATGCTTGGAAGATGTGTTCTTTGTCGGATTTTTCGGAGCTTCCCAGTTTGTCCGCCAGTTCCTTTTGCTCCTTCTTGGAAAAGTCCTCGAAAAGCCTCTTTTGGAGGTCACTGGGGTCGCAGTAGTAGTTCTGGATGATCTTCGGTGGCAGATCGTTCAGGACCTCCTCCTTCAGACGACGGAGTAAGAACGGAAGCACTTGCTTGTGCAAGGCCTCAATGGCAAGAGCTCCGGCTTCTTGTTCCTTGGAGGATGATTTACTGAAGCGACTGGCAGCGATTGGCTTGGCGAACCGGTCCAAAAAGACCTTCTCCGTACCGAGAAATCCGGGCATCAGGAAGTCGAAAAGAGACCACAACTCCAGCACGTTGTTCTGAATAGGGGTACCAGACAGGATCAATCGGTGGTTGCTGGCAATCCGCTTGACCGCGAGAGTGACCTTTGCCTTGGGGTTCTTGATGAGGTGGCCCTCGTCCAGCACACAGTAATTCCAGCTGATCGGTCGGAGAGTATCATTGTCGTTACGGCAGATATCATAAGACGTCACAACAATATCGGCGTCTGCGAGATTGCCCTGCAGCCTTGCGCGCTCTACCGGGGGTCCAACATACGCCACACAGTTCAGGAACGGCGCGTACTGTTTTATCTCCTGCTGCCAGTGACCCGAAAGGGATGGTGGGCAGACGATCAAGGACGGAAGCTTTCGAACTTCAGGTGCTTGGGTCCGTGCAAACTCATCGGCACGCAAATGATGGTCACTCGCGACGATGCAAATTGTTTGGAGCGTCTTTCCAAGACCCATGTCATCACAGAGAATACCGTGCAAGTTGTATCGGTTGAGGAAGGCCAGCCAATTAACACCCTCTTGCTGATAGGGTCGGAGCTCTGCTTTGATCGCCACGGGCAGCTGGAACTCTTCCACCTTGCGCACATCCAGCATTTGGGACATGAACTTTCTCTCCCGGTCTCGTCCCTTGAGCAATTCTTCGGAAAGGCCCGGGGGGTCGGGAATGCCGGCTTCCAGAGGAACGAGCTTGACCAGCGTCGCAAAAGATGTCGTAGCCAGCAGGCGCACGTCGTTGTCCGAGTCGCTCATCCGTCCCAAGACAGGGACAACGAGGAAAATGACATAAGGCAAGATACCATCCTCCATGACATGGATCAGGTGGTAGATGCATTCCACGGCTCCCTGGCGGTGATGAACGTCCAAGGCGCCATTGATCGTTGGCAGTACTTTCTCAACCAACATGGTCATACCCTCAACGGTGATGACGCTGCAGACAGTCGCAAAACACTTGGCAGCGGCGTATCGGATGACGGAAAGCCTACATTGAAGCGCCTTAGCAATAAGGGGCATGAGCCCAACAACCCAGGGATAGAGACCAGTGTCGAACTTTGGTAGCAGCGCGCGCAACGTCGATAGACCATCCACAACCTCCTGACCCAGCTCGTTGTCAGGGTCGAGGATGTCGGCAGGAAGATCGTCGGCCAGAGCGACCTTGAGAGGCCGCTCGACCAAAGATGCCAGGTTGGGAACCTTGTCCAAAAGCTCGGGTCCAAACTTGACAGCCAACTGCTCGAGGGCATCCTTGGCACCCCGACGCATGATCTTGGCCTCCTTGGTTTCTCTCTCGAATTTTGCCGCGTCCGGATGATCGCGCCGGTCCTCCTCCTTGCGGAGTGATAGGATGGACTTCTCCAGAGTCGCGTTATGGTGGAACTCGGGCGTTTCAGACGTGTCTACACAGCAATACTTGACCAAATTGCCAATGATCTTGTCGACGGGGCCTCGTTTCGTCGCGGTGGTGTAGTACTCTACCAATAGCGCGATCGCCGTGGCAGAGCGCTGCTGAAGTTCGGCATTCTCTTCCTTCTTAATGCTATCCATCATGCCCTTGATGATATGGCTGGGTTTCTTGGGAATGTCGTGTAACGCCACCAATGCACCGGCGGCAGCGGCCCGCACACGCAGGTCCCTTTGCTCCCGGACAGTTCTTGCTTCTTCAATGGCATTTTCGGCTGTTGCGCGGGTGTCGTTCAGAACCTGAAGAGCGGTGATCCGCTGGGCTGGCGCCAGGCCCTTCTTCAACCGCTCAAAATCGGGTCCAGCAACCTTCTCGGCGTCCGTAAGAGAGAAGGCACTTGGTCCAGCCTCGGGATCTCCTTGAACAATGACCGCAAGGGTGGGTAGCCTAGATCCAGGGACGTGGGCGTGGTCTCGGAAGGCATTAAGGAGAGAGTGACACTGCGCACGGGCGACATGGAGATAGCATGCAATATCACTGTACCACATGGGGCGCTCCCCTTCGATGATCGGGCGCAACTGCTCACAGAGAGTGGCAGTATACTTGCTGCCGGGTCCTGCGAGCCTAGCGTATTCCTCAACAACCATGGCAGTCGACAGTTGCGACGTGGATGCCGAGTATTTCAGACCTTCCAAGATAGACTGCCAGAGACTGGAGAGCTCATTCTTATCCCAGTGGAAGAGAAACTTCCCCAGGGCTTTGGCCGCGTAGATCTTAGACCTCAGCATTGTATCTGCCCCGACCAAATCAATATCTCCCTGGAGCATATGTCCGTCAACGTTGTGGGCCGACGGCGGGGGCACTTCCTTCTTTTCTGCTTTCCGGCCGCGCTTCTTCGTTCCATCCGCGGCGGCGTTGTTAGCAGTGGGCGAGGATTTTGCGGGCGCCGCAGCGCTCATTGGGAAAGCGACACCAGACGGCTTGATGAACAGTGACGCATTCATAGGGATGGGATATCTTGGAACGCCAAACGGAGACATCGTCAGAGTGATGAGCGGCTGGACAGTACTTAAGAGGTCGGTCTCAGGCGTGAACGACCCACGGCTTTCTAGGGAGTTAAGCAATTCCGACCATACTTGAAGAGACAGCTTGAGGACACCTTCATTTCGCTCCACCAGTAGGTTTTGAAAGATCAGGCGCAGTGCCTTCCCATTCACCCACTCGTTGGTACCCTCGCCCTCCAGTTGTAAAAAGGTCATGAGGGCACGTAGGACAGCGGAGCGAACGCTGGTGATCGTGTGACGCAAGAATGGATAGAGGCGAGGAACAAGATTCCCAAACGACGACTCCGGGTCAGCGGCTGCATTGACTTTCATGGCATCGAGAACCTCCCGGAATGTGCATAGCTTGGCCAAAAGATCCATGACTGACCCGGTACTGGCGCTCAGGTCATCCTGCAAGTTCGAGAGACAGTCCCAAACGATGTTCATCAGGCTTCCCAATGTGGTCTGTCGGGATGCAACAAACTCTTCTGCCATGGGAACCAGTGTCGCCGCACTCACAGCACGAACGTCGTCGTCGTAATCACCTAGCCCTTTCATCACGGCCTCCAAAACACCATCCATAAGGTCGCGATCTTTGATCAGTATGTCTTTACGAACGGCCACCAGATACCTCAGACCGATCATACCGCCGTGACAAACCTCCCATATCGGGCGTTCCAAGCCCAAGTCATTTTGCATGACAATCCGGTAGAGGCATCTATAGACGGCAACCACGGACCGAGAAGGGAGCTGTGACAAGAGTGCACCCAAGGTCTGACCCACTGTTTCTCGAATGGGAGCAACGACGTTGTCGGAAATGTAGTCGCCGAAACGGTCCAGCATCAGGACACAGAGGAGCCGGCAAGCCAAATCGTCTAGCCATTTGCGATTAAGCGCATCGTTTTCCGGTCTACTCTTGCCCCGCAAGCGTCCAGCGCCAGCACCCTGGACACGGATGACCTCTCGGAGGGCCATTGCAGCTCCATGGCGGACCTCCCAGTTGAAATCGAAGATATCCACCATGAGAAACTCGCACATGGGTTCATATGGCCATGCAATGCTAGGCCCTTCATCGGTGACTTCTGGTTGTATAAAGGGCTTTTCGGGGACGGTCGAGCCTTTGAATTCAGAGACGATCTTTTGGTCGTCGTCGCCCGCGGATCTTTCGAGGGAGAAATAGTCTTGCTTCGAATCGCCATTCCGTTCGTCTCCATTTTCCGTTTTGATCGGATGCGGAGTCGCAATCGAAGGGGTGGTGACATTCTCCGATGGTCTCCGAGCGGACAAGTCCACGACACGTACCTTATTCGCCCCCATCCTTGCACTCTGCTTGTTCTTCCGCTTGAGCTGATTCAATTGACGTTTGCTCAGGCCAGACTCTTCTCCATTAGTAGGCTCCATCGGGGAGGCCAGCGGTGGTGCCGCGGCATGGTGGTTGGTTTCCTTGTGGTGACCTTCATCCTTGGCAGCAGGTGTCTTCAAAACGAGGTCACTGTCATCGATCAAGTCCTCCTCAATATACTCCCCGGCAAGGCCTAGGCGCGAGTTTAAGGTTTTCTTCTGATGCTGCAACCGGGAGGCGGGGTCCATGGAGGCTAAAGAGTACTCATACTCCTTGCCGGCACTGCCCAGCAGCCTCTTTCCGTACTTGAGGATGGAAGCCAGGTCCAGGCGCTCGAGCTGAAGCAGTGAGTCATCGGGGGAAGAAGGCTGCTCATCCTCCGACTTGATCTCTGCGGCGAGATCGTCGTCCTCCTCGGCCTTCTTGATCGAATCGCCATCTTCCTCATTGGGGTCGAAGGTTTCAGCGTTGGTGACGATCAAACCGATAGCCTTGGCGGCTGCGGTTCTGGTGTCCCACGATTTCGACCTGAGATAGGGTAGTATGCGCCCGAGCAAGTTGAAGAGCTCATCCGGATGTTGCTTCTGGACATCGGCGAGCTGCTGAGCTGCCGTGTTCCGGATGAGCGGCGTACTGCCGGTCTCGAGTAACCTGCGAGGTGATTGGTCAGTGAACCCAGGCGGCGCGCAGGCAGGGCGGTACTCACGTGACGAGCCGGTCAAGTCTAGCGCGGCGCAGTTAGCGTCATGTACCAAACGGATGCGGAATGGACCGGACGGCAGATGGAAACTTACCTGGAGGACATGGCTGGCTGGCTGTCACTCCTCGGAGGATTGTGGAACAAATAAATTCAAGAGACCCCAGGAGAAATCCCAGTGTCCGCGGAAAGGGGGTATCAGCAAAAGAAAACGTGGTCGCAATGATCCACCGATTAGGAAGAGAATAAATAATATCCTTTGCACCACACCCCACGACACCTCCCGAATTATTAGGTAAGGTAAGAGAGAGGGGAGAGAGGAAGGTATGTAAAGTATACGGGACCGTTACACCCACGTCACAGCCATCGAGACAGTCGAGCGGTTGACTAATTAAGCAAACTGGACAGTTCAGAAGGGCGATCGGTAAAAGAAGTGGAGATCACGGCTTAGTAGGGACACGGGTATTGAATCGGGGGACGTGACGCGGACCAGGGAAGGATTACTTAAGGTATGGGTAAGTAATGAAATCATAAAAAAAAAAACCGCACCCGAGGAGAAAAGCGGAAAGGAAAAGGAAAATGCAAATGAAAGAGTTGCAAATGCAGATGACCGGCTGTGAGAATATTTGACAGCTGGGGGGTAGGGGTGACTGGAATGGGGGGGGCGGTAATGGTGGTGGTGGTGGTGCTGAGCCTTTGACCTGCGTGCCGATAGGGAAGCAGGGCCAGGTATGAAATGCGCAGGAGTATCAACAAGTCGTCCTCCGGTCCTGCTTTGCCTCCCCTCGAGGTCACGCAGCCTGTTTATATCATTGGGGGCATCTTTGGCTGGGCGCGCCTACCCATACTTGGGCCCTGCGCGCTAGCCCCCAGGAGGCCTAGCTCCCCCCACTCCCGTAAAGGTTTTCTATTGGTCACGTGATTCCTCCCTGCGCCAACCGCCGCTGGATCGACAGGCGCGAAATTGCTGTGCTTTCCTTCCTTCCTTCTGCCAGGCTCCATGAGGCTGACCGGCTCGATCCAGGGAATCTTGCGCCGCCTGATCGCTCGCGGCTGATGGCGTGGTTCTTTGTGCGCGCGGCTTTCAGCTCCGGACGAACCTGGGAACGCGTTCGTCAGTGCGCAAACGAAAATCCTACTCGTAGTAAGTAGTATCCAGCTCTCCCGAGCCAACCAGCCTACGTACCACCGACGTACTAGCAGAAATATAAAATTACGTTCCCATCAAGACCACCATGTGAGCTTGTTTCGATCGCCCACCAACATGCCAAGAAATGCCAGATGGCCTCCTCTCCAGCATCGGAATCCGGTCGTTGCCCAGGCCGGCCTGACCGTCCTTTTCTGCAGGCCCAGATGGTATCTAGTGCTAGTCCGTTTGCTCCCGTGGCTGTTTGACAGCTGCCTGAAGAGTTACTAGTGATTCCGTGCTATCTATTATCCCCAAGCTTCCACTTCCCGGTAGATGACGTTGGACGTCTCCTCCAATCAGATACCGCGTAATTCTGATGAAATCTATTGAAAATATAGATCACATAGTCCCTACCACTACTTGGCGTCTCGACGCGCACTATTTGCTCAACGTTTCACTCACGTCTTATTCATCTCCTCAAATGAATGATTGGGGTTCCGGTCAATAGTCTGTTGTGGTCCAAATTTAGATGTCATGGTAATAACACTACTATTCGGTTCCGGTGCCGAAATATATTTGGAGTAGTGCATCTATCTATATATCTCTCCGCATCTTGCCAACACTTCCAGCTTCCAACCTCATTCCACCGAAGATAAATCCCCATTCTTTTTGCTTTTTCCACTCTCCACGTCAACCAACAAGATTGCAAGCCCATAAGCTACCACTAATAGATTATTATTCATCTACAGCTGGCAAAACACCAGAAAGCCTAGTGGAACTCTGCAGCCCCCCAGCTCCACGAATACCTGTCACGTCCTACAAAACCCAACTCGACCGGTCAGAAATCAACGCTTCGTCGGATGGCTGCCATGAATAACACGTGATCAACGAAACTGTCCATTTCTATACATTGAAGGACCCCACAGCGGTAAACAGAAAAACAGCACAGCCTTAGTAGTAATGAAACAAACAACACGCAATCGCACCATATATGCGCATATCCTCCCCTAAGACTTGCTCAAAAACGCCGCAGCCTCCTCCTCTTTCCCTAACAGTCCCAGACTGCGGATCTGTTCGGCCTTGGGTGCGTTTTCACGGGGAGTGGCGGCCTCAGCCTTGCGGTAGGCGGCCTGCATCTTCATCGTCCGGATAGCCTATACGTTGAGGGCATGGTCAGAAAGGAAACCCAAATGCCAATCACTAATGGAATCGCACGAAAATCCACCGCTGGAAGATAGGCGTACCTCTTTCTTGTGGTGCAGGCATTCGTAGTAGTCCTCCAGAGCGGGCATGCACTTCTTCTTGCCGGTTTCACCCTCTCCAGCATTGACGACGTAGCAACCGAGAACCTCCTGCCAGAAGTTGTAGCAGCGGGAAGGACCTGCACAGAGCATTAGGATCAGCCGGCAACGTCCGCGGGAGAGGGACATGGGCGGGCGCCCCATCTAGGCAACCCCGGGGTATTGAGGGTCCTTGAGCCCTGACACCCATAGAGAAAAATACATACCGCCGTTGAGACCGAAACCGGAAGCCATTGTGCGTGAGGTGGGGGGCAGGATGGGGCGAGAGGAGGGGATGGGATTGCGAGGGAGCGGAGGTGAGGATGCGATGAGGTTCTTCTTCCCTCGCCGATGATTCGCCTGGGCCGCTTTCCGCCCCGGCGCTGGCCCGTGCACCTGACGTCTTTGTTGCTCCCGAACACATCACCCTCTTCATGCTCCCTCCTCTGCTCCCCTGTAAGACGTCATGGCCGTTCTTCAAGGGCTTTCGGGTGCTCATGCGATTCTCCTAGCCACCCATCTCTGTGCCACCGGCGATGTGGTCGCTCTTCCGCTGTTGCAGGCCCAATTCCCTGCCCATCTCCCGCTCGAGCGTCTCTTGCGCATCATCTTGACTTTCCTGCCCGAGAGTGCGGACCCCAGTACCTACACCCCAGTGCTGCAAGCGCTGGTCGATGGGCGACAGTTGGAGACGGATGGTGATGGTATCAATAATGCGTTCGTTAAAGACCTACCAGAGCCGATCGTGAGGAAACGTGTACGGGAGATCCGTTTACTACCACTACAGCATCCAGATGACCAGGACACCCAAGATCCGGCTGATCTTCTGACCCAATTCCTGATCCACCGGGCCCATCGCATCGACTCGGAAACCGCTCTTCAGCCCCTCGTCCTCGACCTTCTCCTGCCCTTCTACCATCGCTCGGAAGCGTTACGCACATGGTTGATTTCCAGTCTCCTACCGCTACTCCGATTGAACTACGAATATTACCCCAGCCAGGACGAAACCTTTTCGCTGGACATTCTGGAGTCTATGGACAACAGTATTGCCGTCAATGTCCTTCTTTCGATGACCGGTGCGACGAAGAGCAATATGGACCTGGTACGGAACCTACGTGGCTTGGTGGGTGCTTGGATGCATGGCAGCAATCGTTCCAAGAGACGGAGACTTAACGAAGCGGCACAAGAAAACTCGATTACTCTACCTCAAGATGAAGCGCAATCGAAAACAACTGCAGGTATTGGATGGCAGCAGGTGAACGAGTGGTTGCTGGCACGAAGTCTGGTTGATCACGAGAGTGCGGTGAACGCTTTCGTCAACTGGGATGGTCCTGAGGATGTCGACCTAGGCGGTTACGCTGAAGAGAATAAGGGCCTATCACACGATGAGCTCCAGGATCTGCGCACTCGGTATGGGCAGACTGGACTTGCTGTTGTGTATGCGAATGCCGATCCCAGCTCCCCTGCGCTGGAGGGCTCCATCCGCGTTCTGGCGCGCATCGCAGAGTTATTAAAGCTGGAGGAAAACCTGTTCCTCTCACCAGATATCTCGGAACTTCCGAAAGTAAAATTCGATCCAGAACCTATGTCGTCGACCTCAAGAGTGTCTTTCTTGCAAAATGCTTTGCTGGTGGCTTCAAACCCGCTAACGCGTCCCTCTGCCTCATCAATATCTTTCCTCAGCGCTATCTGCCTTTCTCTTCGGATATTGAACGAGCTGGGTCATCCTACTCCGTGCAAGACGGCCGCAAATATCTGCCTTCTCAATAACGAAGAGACACAACTGCATGAGTTGCGCAGTGTAATAACCTCTGTCGTGAGACAAGCCAAGGCTGGTCGTGACTGGAGCAAGACCCGCCAACAACTACTTTGGCTGCGAGACTGGCAGGGAGATCACACCGAGGATTCAGCGGATGATCACGTTCGACATGGTCTCTTCTGGAGAGTTCCCAGGAATATCGTTGAGGCCGAAATCTTGAAGGCGTTGCTCGAAGTCAGAGGTGAGCATACAGCATGTCTGCATTTGTTGTCAAATACTCACATGTATAGAATACAACCTCGCCGTAAACATTTACATGGGTTCTGGTTCAACTTTAAGCTCTACGCTGGTTGAGGAGGCCGTCAAGGAGGCCATATTCACAGCCTACGACAATGCAAGCAACGGAAACAGGAGCCGGGGCGGGATGAAGAGGGCATACGACATGTAAGTCTAGGCCCAACGCCCATCATCTCCAATTGAAGCTGACGCTCTATAGCCTCCAAGCCTTCCAACCCCATTTCCCGGATTCCGCCTCATTCAAGCAGATCCGAGCTCTCATATCGGCCACGCACGCCCTGTCCTTCTACTCCCTTACCTTGCAGCACGGCGTCCCCTTCCAGCCAGTCAGCATCCGTGTCCACCCTGATCCTCTCTCCCTGATCGAGAAAGTTCTCGACCAGAACCCCAAGAGCTACACAAAACTGGACGACCTGCTAGCCATTGGCCGGAACCTTGTTTCAGCAGGCGTTTCCTCTCGGCTAACTGACGAGCACGACTCCCCCTTCTTGCCCCCTCCCTCACAGGAAGATGCCACCATCACCGCCGAGCGCCGGATCATGTCTCTGGCCATCTCTTCCGCCCTTTCCTGCCACGACTTTGGCACTGCCTACTCCTACATTCTCACCCGTCTCACTCCCCCATCCCTTCTCCCCACATCCTCCCCCCTCACCAATCCCACCCCTCCCAAAGACGACATCACCTGGCGAGCCGTCTACAACGCCGGTCGTTACCGCGCCCCAGCCACCACCGCCACTCCAAGCAACCAAACTCAAATCTCCCACCTTTCCCAGCGCATGGAACTCCTCTCCCTCGCCCTCGTTCTTGCCCCCTCCCCCGAACCGCTCCCTGAAATCCTAGGCGCTTGGCGCCGCTGCGATGAGGAGCTCGCGGCCCTCCGCGCGCGCGAATCCGAGGAAGAGGATCTTTGGGACGCCAAAGCGGACAACCTCACGTCCACCACTCTACCCGGCGGCTTCGGTCCCACAGACAGCGAACGGGATGCGTTCGAAACACAACAACACCAGGCACGACGAGCACGGGCACACGCCTCCCAGAACCGTCTGAATCACGAAGAAGCCCCGATGGGTCTTTTCGAAGTTGCGCGTGGTGCCGCTCTCGCTCTACAAAAGAACGCCTTCCCGCTCCGCTCCGCTCCAACAACAACAAAGACCATCCCCGACGACCACTCTGTTCCCTCATCTCACATGCGCAGCGACTCCGCCCTTTCTGATGACCAAAACGGCGAAGGACGTGTCCGCAAGCGAGATGTGGTCAGCAACATGGTAACCGACGGATTAGTCAGTGGGCTTGGCTGGGTCCTAGGCGCTCAGCCGGTTAATCGGTGATGTCGAAGCCATTCAGCACGAAGTTCGTTTCAGGAAACAACTTTTCCCATCTAGCCGGGTTAGCGGGTTACGAAGTATGACATGAGTTACTTACTTCCGGATTGCAACATTGCGCGGTCGTTTTCCCTTTTCTCCAGTTTCTTTTCCCTACCATTATACATATTTCATAGCTTGCATGAAAGTGACAGGTTGCATTGCATAGTAATGAATGAATATATATATTAACCTAATCAATAAAATCAATAATTATAACAGTATACTTACCTAAACATAATTATACATACTATCTCCCGAGACACTAAACCCCAACCATCATAAGCCAGAAAATAGATTCATTCTCATCATATAATCTATTCTAATGAGTTTGGAAACCCAACCCCATCCGTTCCACACCAATTTGATAGACTCATTCCGCCCTAGGATCCTCGCTCCTCCTCAGGGTTCCCTCCAGCCTCCATCTTCAACCTCCATGACCCCCGCCCACACACACACACACACCTCCGCCGATATATCTTGAGCTTACCACCTCCTCCACCTTCCCTACTCTACACTACCCTGTCCCATAGTACACTATCCTATACTGTACTGCATCCCTACATAGAAAGATCATTGACACTTCTGAATCACTCCCGAGCCTAAGGCTATCCGTCTGTCTATCCCTAGACATCACGCTCACGGTATGATCCGCCTTATGGACTACAAGAACCAAAGCAAACTAGCAAACCAGTCTTGATACCTGTATCGCTATTCCGGTGCCAATCAATGTACACAATATGGATTCAGCCTTGCCATAACGCATGCTCAGAAGCACAGAAAAACAGGCTAACCATAGACGGGAATATGTATCTCTTCCTTGAGGCTGTATGTATGTATCTGCATGCGTACAATAGGAGAATGTAAAGCCAGATCAATGGAGGGTGGGAAATGATAATGATATGTATGGAACAGACACGGCCAAAAGAATAAAGAAAACCCAATGAGACCATTCTTCCCCCGTCTCGACCGGAAAAGAACAAGGCGTCAGCACCGCTGGCGATGGTTTGAACAAAAATAACGTCAAGTTGCTGGATGAATGACGATGATTTCGGCCAAAAAAGAAAACCGAGATGACAATCGGATGCAATGCGCAGGACAGAATAAATGCTGGACCAGCGAGAAGGGATTAAGGAAGGCGTGATCATGTCGGGTGACGATAATGAGATGAAACATTCCCAACTCCATGATTCCATTAAGGATAGACAGTGCAGTGAAGAAAATGAGCGTCGTCATGATCACAATTCATATGCTTTTGACATCCGGGTCAATCATGGGCCAGCCACTTGTGAGCATCAAAGGAGAGACCGTTATATGCGATCGTATTAGAAAAAAAGGTGTAGCATTCCGTCCAACGGGTGCATGAATGGTTGCCGAGATTCAGTCGCTGCATGCGGGGAATCTACTCATTCCAATCCCATACTTGCTTCACGAAGTTGGCCATGTTGACCTTTTTATTTCTCATGTCAAGCATCCAGGGATGTTCCAGCATCCGCCAGGGAGTCGCTCTTCGTGGAGGTTCCTTTTCCAGACTAGACAGCATGTTAGTATATCCCAAAATAACGGTAGAGGGTTGATACGCACCAGCACTCAATGAAATACTTGAAGTTGTCCGACCACCGAATCTTGTTGCCCGGTTCGTCTTTCAATTTGGGGATCGGTTGGCGGACAATGTAGGTCAACAAATCAATTAATCCGGCGCGTGGCTGCATTTCGGTCCCATCGGCCGGGAAAGGGAAACGATGCTGAGCGACTTCTAGTAGGGTCACACCCAGGGACCAGACATCAGAGTTGATTGTATATGATTGGCCGGTGATGCGTTCCGGGGCCATGTAATACGACGTGCCAATAAACGTATTTGCATCTCCTTTGGTGCCAAACTCGCCACTAACACCAAAGTCACAGAGTTTAACCTGGCCATTGCGACAGAGGAGGATATTCGAAGGCTTGATATCTGTAGAACGATGTCAGCTGCCGCGAACAGCCATGAATCTGCGGTTTGACTCACCTCGGTGAATGATCTTTCGGCTGTGAAGGTAGGTCAAGCCGTTTAAGACACCCTCTGCAACCTTGCCCAAGACTTTCTCTCCCGTTCGGCCTCCAAGCTTCTTGACTTCCTTGTAAATGCTGTCCAAACTGCCACCTTCGCAAAATTCCATAGCGATAGATATAGTACCTGTTGATTTGTCCATAAAAGCACCGTAGTAGCGACAGATGTGCTCCGAGGCACAGTCTTTGTTGAAGTTGAGTTCTCGAACGATCTGCTTTTTCACATCGGGGTTCGGGTCCGTTGTGATGATCTAGACTTTCTTAGCATTTGGGGGGAGAATTGCCGAGAAAGACCTACCTTCAATGCGAACACAGTCTTTCCCTCCTTAAGCTTGCATCGAGTGACGGCACCACCAGCTCCCTCACCCAAGCTACCCAGCTCGACGATTTTCTTCTGCTCACTAGCAGCAAGCCAGCCTTCATCATCCAGATCGTCCACATCCAGGGGCCTGCCTTTTTCTAGACTCAGCTTGTCTAAATCCGGAACCAGGCTGTTGACACTGTTGTCCCGCTCCATCTGCACACCATTCTCCCGGTCGGAATAGACGGAACTGATTGCTGACGATGGATCCGGGGTGCTGCCATGGGGTTGTCGAAGGCCCATAGCGAACGATAAAGCCGAATAGTTGGAGGAAGATGCGGAGGCGGGTCCGCTGGCCTTTCCTTCCAGATAGGTGAAGCTACCGGATCTCGAATGTGCGTTCGGCTCGTTCAACCCGGTGGTCGCCAGCGGAGGTGGAGCGGGTCGAGTCTTCACCTGTGGCACATTCTGGTTGCTGCCCATGGGGGTTTTCAGGCGCAGTTGGGGAGGGGCCGGGCGGGTTGCTGGACGTTGGAGCTGAGGGACCTCTGGAGGAGCGACGGCGGCAGGGACGCCGGTGCCCGTGACGGGACGAACATTCGGTGACGGGGGGATTCCCAAGGTGAGTTTGGGAGGCCGTGGACCATTGCTATTACCGCGGTTGCCAGGCACGGGCGGCTTAAGGAGGGGGACCGGCGAGGATGACATTGCGAGATTGTTTTGCCTCTCACCAGGCAAAAACAACTCGTTGGGGTCAGCCAGGGTAGCCAGATCGGCGGTCTTTGAGTTGGACACTTTGAAAGAGGGACGAGGGGGTGATGGGGGGAGAAAGAGAACAAAGGAGGAGAAAGAGAGGAGTTAAGGGAAGAGGAGTCGAGGAGGTGGTCGGAACAAGGAGAGGGCCGTGGGGTTAATTGGTTGGACAGACAGGCGGCGGGCGGTTGGCTGACAAGTGACAAGAGAGAGAGAGAGAGAGCAAGAGAGGGGTTGGCTGATCGGAGGGGGGACTATGAAAGAGAAGGAATAGTAAGGCAAGAACGAAGCGAATGATTGATCCCCCAGCGATGATCGATAGATAGAAGAGGAGGAAGAACGAAGAAGGAAGAAGGAGGACTTGAAGAGGAGGAGAGAAGCAGGAGAAGAAGAACCGAAGGGAGAAAGAAGAGGGACGAAGGAAGGATGGAAGGAAGGATGACGGTCGGCGAGGCCAGCGAGCGATTAGTTTACAACAACTGGGACCGGGGCCGTTTTTTTGTCAAGTTTGTCAGTTGGCGGCTGGACTCCTCCACTCGTAGGGTGACCACTCAGAGACCTCAGAGACTTCAGATGGCTTTACTATAGCGATAGTAGGTAATACTCCAATGGACTTGATTGTTGAATGATGAATCGGGGTCAGTCAGTTCACAGTTAGTTACTAGTAACGCACCGCAGCCTTGGTTGGTTAAATAGCAATCCTGTCACGTCCATCACCGCCAGGACATGCTCCGCACCGTCATCGAGCCGGGTTCCCGACCGGCGAGGGATCGAATGGAGGCGCTGGAGGCAGTGGAGGGTCGCCGGCCTGGTGGAACCGGCCTGTTTCAAATGGCGCCTAAAACGAAAAGTGCGAGCTTGCGGGAGATATTTTAGGATGTCTGCTACTATTCTTGAATCGTGACACTTTGACAGCTCCTCTATTCTATTTCGATATCTGTGATAGTAGTTCATTGCGATTGATTACTACATAGTGAAATACTAGTATTAGGTTAATATCGGTGGTTGCTGGAGGCGGCGATGTAGTATGCCTGAATCCGCTGGCCTCGCTAGGCATCCATTAAAGAAGAAGAAAAAAACTCTGAAAGTGTTTGAACCTTGATCGATGTAAGAACCATGTCTCCCATCCCCCAATGCCACCTCGCAGCCACTCGATTGACAGACTTTTCCGATGATGAAGTGACTGGACAGATGGCCCGAGAGCCAGTTACGAGTTACTACTTTTACATCATCCGCTGGTACGGAGTATCGAGATAGATTGTCTTTAATCCTCCGTGCCATAGATAGATTGATTGCTGCTCCATCCAGTTCTGCGCCGGCATCGTGATCCGGGGCTCCACCCTCGTATGCGCCGACGGTGCTTGTCAAGCAACCCAATCTCGTTGGGATTGGCCGTTGCTATGAATATGGATCATTAATGTTGGATTATACATAGTACTTGATAATAGAACCTCATTGGCATTAAGGTTAGCACTCTAGATAGTAATCCACCACCACCATCCATTGCACTTAGTACTACTCTGTGCAATAGTAATGGACAGTAATTAGCAATGCATAGTTACATGGTAGTAGTGCATTATTGTACATTGTAGTTACCGAGCATCAACGCGTCAGCAAATACCGATGACACGTGCCATTCTCAGCCTTGTTGACTCTCGACACACTTTCAACCACCATTGACTACCTATCTATCATTGAGGGGTGGCCACGCCCTGACATCATCCAGTCCTTCCGTGACGAATTCCTACCGTCTTCGACCTGGACAACACCCGCAGCCACAGTCAATCCCGACCCACTGCGGTTTTAAAATAGCATCTCGGACAGCCTTCGGTTTGCACCGCCATAGGAACGGGGCTAAATGACAACACTGCGCCCGGTCGAGCAGGCCCAATAACAACTATGACCCCGGTTTGAATGGACCCCTCTCAAGTCTAAAGAAAGTATTATACAGCCGGAGTAGGTAGTACCTGTCCTCTTGAGTCTTAAGCCCCAGGGTTCATCATGGCGTCTAAGCATCTAAGCGAAACGCTCGGGTCAATCTATGATCTCACGCCAACCCGCGGGCCATGACGACAGGATTGACACCATCGCCTACCCTTGAGGTAGGAGTAGGGTCCTGGTCTTTGTGCGTAGACGCGCGGCATGGACGATCCTCGCTTGATACTTAAGCCCTCCCCACCTGATCATCCGGCGTTTTGCGATAACATGTTGGGGGTCGGTTGGAAGTGGATAAATGACCCCCGTGGGTGGTTCTGTTGAGCGGAGTAGATGACATCCAACAGTTAAGGTGATGCTTAGACTCCACGATTCTATGCAGGGCTTCGTCACTGTCAATGTTCTCCAAGCATGCCCTCCGCAATCAATTCAAAGATCTGATGGGTACTCAATGGATGGTACGGAGTAGTCAGTTGTTGTTCATTCACTGCATTGACCCGATGATCCGAACGTATGCACATCTCCATTCCAATGCTCTCTGGTTCATACATAACCTACCCGACTCCAGGGAAGAGCAATTGAGTCAAGATAATTGGGAGCAACTCTGGGGGCCCTCTTGTCTTTTGGACAGGCACCCGCAAGTCCCAACCCCCCATTAAGCATTGCCTCAAACCGGGGTAGATATATGTAGAGTCTTGCCGACTGCCAGCCGCTTCCCCTGTTGATCGGTGGAGGTTAAACTCAATTCTTGCACACATCATCGGAACTTGCAATGATCGCAATTGCATGTATTATTTTGACTGCCACCAGTCTTAGTCACAGTTTGATTTTCAGGAACACCCGACCTACCTACCAAGTACAGTACCTACCAAGTACCACACTACCAACATACGCCCGGCCCCTCGATCCTGTCGGATCCGCTCCACTATCATTCACCACCACCACGGAAGATAGTATATCCCCTGGCAGTGGTTTCATAGTGCGACCTTGAGATAAACTACCGCTAGACACTGCAACTATTGATTCGAAACCAAAAAAAGACCAGCGTCCTAAAAACTGGTGCAGACCCTGACGGATCCCCCCCCCCCTTTTCGCAGTCCGTCACGAGAGCGCGCCCTAAAAAAAGAAACCACCAGACAAATCTCCGTAGCCGGACGGACTACCGTGGGAATCCGGAGAACGATCAACCAATATTGCACTGGCAGTTCCGTCTGAGCTTTTAATAGAAAGAAGAGGGTTTCAATAGTTTGCCGGTGATAACCATCATGGTAAGGGTCTCCTGTGCGCACGGGGTTGGTTTGTCGTCGCATGACTCCGTACTACACCTCAAACGATCTTAGCCACATGTTGTGCAGCTTAGGGTGGTGGACAATCATCATGGTCTTGGCTGGTTCTATTGGCATCGATTACATAGTACTGGGAAATGGGTTCTGGCTTGAAGATCCATACTGAAGTTGACGTTCCCCATTACATGATTGTCGAGCGCACACACGCTCGGCGGCTATCTCGCTGCAGGGTTGCGCATACACATTCTCGTCTCTTCCAATGAGATCATCACTCCCACTTGCGCCATTGATTTGATATGTATTACCCGATCTGACTAGCGAGAGTAACGTCAAAGGTTGACGCACATCACCTCTCAGAGAACTCGGGTTCACCCCGAAACGGTTCCCGAAATCATGGTCAGGTCAACAACAATCTATTTAGGGCCATATTAAAATCCCTTCCAGCTAGTCGGAGAGCAGTTAGTCATCGCGCACTAATCTTTGATTAAGCAATCAATGAAAGCGACCGTGGCGCCGAGCGAGACCTGTCTCAGCAAACGAAGCCCCCAACAAAATGGAGCCGGAGCTGTATGGATTATGGACTATGAAAGAGCTATCCATTTCCAGTCGGACTCGGACGAGCTTCTAGACCGATGCGGACAGGGGTGTCTGATTCAGGAGTGTTCAGCGTTGGGCTATCTGCCTTATTGGGCATGGGATGCATGTTTGAACTTTGAACTCGTATGGCGAGGTACCGCAGATGTACCAACCCTCTTGAAGATGCTAAAGACATACTCCGTACGTGGGGGATAAAGAAGATCGGCTGCATTCCACGCAATGCTGACGGGATAAAGCATTTCCGCTGACGAATATGCTGACAATGACGGCTGAGAGGAGGGGAAACTATGGCATAGTACAGTTATTTTTTTCCTTTTCCATCTCATTATTATTGTTACCTTGTGGTACTTCCAACTGTCACTTCAAAGGAAAGGAAAAAACAACAACCATCCATAGCAACAGCAATACACCGTAAAACATGGTGATAAAAAATGGGGGCAGAGACAGGGGCCCCGGTGGGTCCGCCAGAAATCCAGCCATTGGGCCAAAAGCGGGGGAGAGAGCCACCGCGGGATGGTGGCCAAGGCGATGAGTGGCCGGCGGTGTCAGGAACAGCGTGCAGGATCCACTGGGGCGGGAAATGATTGGCCAGGAAGCGAAACATGAAACAAAGTCTAAGTTGGCATTCAACGTCTTGTGGCTCAGTAATGAGATGCCGCCGAGTTTCTGCCCCTGAACTTATTTCGTTTGGCGGTTCTCCGTAGGGACTTGGGTTCGATCGGGCTGGTGCCGTTGGGGTTGTTTCTTCCAGTTCCAGTTGCAGCAGGTTCCCATCCACCTGGACCGCCCTCGGGGACCCATCGAGATGAATTCGACTTGTCTGTAGGCTAGTCTGTACGGAGTACTTATGGACGGGTACCAGGTTCCTGACGGATGCAGGTACGGCGTCCCGAGGTGGTACCTAGATAGATTGTACTACCATGGTAATAAACCTAATCCGTCGAGGAACCATGATGACCCAACTATCTACCGACGAGCGCCCCTCCTTTCCTCCCCATCCATCCCTGACCCGAATAGTTAGTCGAGTGTTCTTCCGGTCCAAAAAAGCAATCGAGCGACGGATCAACCGCCCTTGTCTCGCAACGCATGGACAGCATCAGCTCCAGGGCCAGGGTCGACCAGTACCTAGCGGCGCTAGTCGTCGAGCCCACTGGGACTAGTCGGGCTCGCGACAGGCTGGCCGACCAACCACGGCGGGCACCGGCGCAACCCACGAGGGCCGAAGCAGATGAGGGCGGGCCCATCGCGGGTGCCCCAGCTGCCTATGAGGTTTCGAGTCGGTCACTGGTGTTGCTTGGAAGTTGCTGGCTCATACACAGTAGTACACCGCATCGACCGCTGATTGACTCGGGGCTCTCCACCTGCGCGCAGGCGCGCTCCCCTTTTCGTCCCTGAGACGATCTCCAGGTTAATCTCCCGGCTCATACAAAGGCCACCCACTCCCCCTCTCTTCCCGACTCGCTTTTGCTTCTCTCTGTTCTCTTTCATTCAAGACCAGACTTCTTTGCCTGCTTGAAGCATCCCATTGACTTCGGTCAGCCACTCTTTTATCACAAAGCAACACCCCCAACTAGCCACACTCTCTTTCATCAACTACTACCGCAACACACTTGTTTGTGTTTCAGATATAAAACCAACTATCAACCCACAGAAAATTTCAACCTTGACGGTTCTTTTCACACAAATCCAACATTCAAGATGCGTTTCTCCGTTGCTACCGTTGCTCTCTTCGCCAGCCTCGTTGCTGCCATCCCCCAGGATGTCGAGACCGTCTACTCCACCGAGGATGTGACCATTGTCTCCTGCGCTCCCACCGTTACCAACTGCCCCGGTACTCTGCACGCCACCTCCACCCCCGAGGCCGTTGCTGCCTCGACCACCGGTGGCCCTGAGGGTGTCTCCCCCGTTGCTACCACCAGCTCCGCCTCCGAGGTTACCTCTGTTGCCACCACCCCCGCTGCCGGCAGCTCCCCTGCTGGTGGTTCCCCCGCTGGTGCCGCTCCCTCCGCTCCCTCCAGCGGTACTGGCGCTGCTCCCTCTGGCGCCGCTCCCTCCGGTGCTGCTCCTGGTGGCGCTGCTCCCTCTGGCCCTGCCAGCGGTGCCGGCTCTGTTCCCTCCGGCGCTGCTGCCGTCGGTACTGGCGCTGAGACCACTGCTGCTCCCTCCGTCACCGTCATCCCCGTGACCACCTGCATTCCCACCGTGATCATGTCCACCAGCACCATCGGCGCTGGTTCCGGCTCCGGCTCCGGCTCCGGTGTTGGTGCCTACGGCTCTGGCTACCCCGGCGGCAAGCCCGCCAAGTCTTCCTCCCCCGTCATCCCCAGCGGTGCCGCCGCCTGGGGCTCCGGCTACCCCAGCGGCAGTGCTACGTGAGTATTCCCGAAACCCCTCATTAGCAATCAAATGGATGAGCATGCTGACCATTGCAACAGCCCCTCGGCCTCTGCTGCCCTCTACACCGGTGCTGCCAGCTCCGTCAACGGCAACGGCTTCGCTTTCGCTGGTGCCGCCGCTGCCGCCGCTTTCTTCCTGGCTTAGATTCCCCCTTCTTGTTTATAGTAGCCCCGGGTCACTCCTGAGTCCGGTTGCCGCTATGGGCGGGGAACTTGGGCGTGTGAATGGTGAAGAGTGGCGGGGGTTGGTCCATACTTTTTAGATGCGGTTTTTTGCTTTTTGGGAGAGAAATCCGATTTGTTGCTTTTTATATCCTTTCTTATACCTCTTATTGAATTTCTTTCTAGATCCTCCGCCTTTGGATTGCTTCGGAGTTTTTGTGGTGAAGCAGTTGGTGGCTGGATACGATTAATGTAACCCATGACGCTTTCACATACCCAATTCGAAGCAGTTATTAAATTTTTAATAATGGAAGGCTTTGGTAGTTTTTTTTTGAGGGCCATCACCGGGCTGTACCCTGCTGCATGACTAGACTAGACTAGACTACTAGTAATGCACGAGCGGACATGGCCGGAGATGATGTCCGCCACGATCTCAATGCCTCCTCGATCGATCACCCACCTGATTACTTCGTACACTGGTCGTGTGAGAGTTGATAATTGAGGCCAAAAAAAAAATAGGGTAAGGAGGAGGCTGAGGGTTCGGGCTGAATCCGGGGAGGCCGCCCTATTGGGGGCAGCAAGCCTGCAACAGCGTAAATGTTTCAAGAGTCGGAAAATTCATCTATCGGGGACCGGGAGCGATCCGATTCTGTGGTTCGTTTCGCTACCTTGCCAAGCCCTCAAGTTGTATCAGAGGCTCCGATCCTGTGACTGCTTGGGGGCCTTGTCGAGGCGCGGGATTTGGTGGCGGTTTCACCTGTTTCTTAGCTGCTTCGCACCGGCGGGTGTGACCGTCATCAGCCCTATTGTGATTTGTGTCATGCTTGGTATGTTTCCGAATTTTATGACCGATGCGACGGGCGATTCTGGAAGATCTCCAGCATCCATAATAATTTGTAGCAACTAGTAACTATATACGGAGTAGGTACGGAGTATGTAGCAACTGTCGGTGAATATATCTCACGATGTGGGGGGCTGTGTTGGAGGACAAAATGCGTGATCTGGCTGACAGCATCCCGTAACCCTGCTTAGCCTCTCCGTCACAAACAACAACAACAAACAACAACAACAAACAACAACACGTGGTTTCGGGGTGAATGTTCAACCATCCTCATTATCCCATGCGACACAATAGGAGGGAATCCATCCTACCAGGCGATTGACATTAAGGGGAAGGAGCTCTCCCTATCTACCTATCTATCTATCTCTCTAACTGTTGGAGGATGTTTACTGCCCCTCGGAATAAGACCTATCCAAAGCTCGGACAACAAAGGATGTGGCAGTGTTGCTATCCAACCTCACTCGGGATCCTTCAACCAACGAACCAAAGTCTTCCCTTATCGCGCAGCCTCCACTTGGGAGTATGCTATATCGTTCCGACCCATGGAACTGCTTCAAATGGCGTCGCAACTGCAGGTAGGCTGCGTTCAACATGGTCTCCACGACGACCTCACTAGAGTCGCGATGACAGCCCAGCGCAGCAGCCCCGACCCCAAATCCTTCTTCTGCCCCAGTTCCGGGCCCATACCGAAGGAAAAAAAGGAACCATCGAACGCTGGAAGATCCTTCCACAGCGGGGTCAGGCGTGAGCCGACGGATTGGCTTCCTTGCTCCTCTCCAACCAAGGCGAACATCAGCCGGGCAAGCCGAAAGCTTTGCCAACGGGGCTCCATTGTGGTAGGATGGAGCTGCCCAAGGAATCCACTGCGAGGCGCAAGGCAACTTCCCTGACCGTCATTTTGGGTTGAGTTGTTGGTTTCCTCGTATTGCAGGGTCTCCATTGCTGCTGGCTCGTCAAAGAAGCACGCCACGACCGTGCACAGCAGACAACACCACCCTTTTTCCCATCGAAGCCATTGTTCGAGCACTGCCTCGACACGCTGTCTATTAAATGTTCCATGGTCATCCCACCTGAGCATCCAAAGTTCCTCATCACTTTCGATCCCCCAGACTTGGCAATCATCCTGTTCATATCCACCTGCTTCCCATCACCCGGTCCCCAACCGTGTGCCATGATCCTCCCGTGACAGCTGCTCTCCATTGCTTGGCCGACATCATCTCTTTATTCTCTAATTCTACCTTTGATCCCCGTCACAATGGATCTTTCATCCCTGGAAGGGCCTCCCATCCCGGACCCGCGGTTCACCGTCCCGTCGCGGCGATCCAATGTCCCCAGCATCCAGCTCGACATGTCCACGCCCCTCAGCCCTGTCAGCCCATTAACACCACCACCTTATGATCTCCCGCCTCGACCAAGTTCGACGGACACCTTTTTCAGGCCCAGGCCTCAGTACACATACAGATCTCTAGAGCCACAACCAGAGCCTACCCGATCCCAGCGCTGCCACAGCCTATTGCCACCAACCCCAACCGGCGAGCATGTTAACCAACAACAACCAACGCCAAATCCAACACTCAACCTGCCCCCGCCACCCCCATCCTCCTCCTTTTCGCTCCACCCTTGGAGCCCTCGAAGTCGAAGCGTGTCCGACACCACCCCTCATCAATCACCCTCCCCTATGTTGAGCACCACTACCACTACCACTGTCACCACCACTCAAGCCGTGACAACCACGACAACGACCCAAGGCAACCGTCTCATCTGGCTTGAGTCCGAGAAGCTCTGGTTCTTGAAGCCTCTACCATCTGAGTCATCACCGTTCCTTACAGAAGATCACGGTGCGGGCACCAGACCCACACCAAACACTCGGTATACACCCTATAGCCCGTCCGCCGTCCGAACCGATTACCGGTTTGCTTCCACGACGGACACGTATGACATTCCCCCGCCCTATGAGCGGCATATTTATGATCGGCCATTGCCTCCGTTGCCCACAGAGGATAGACAGACTGGGGAATTATACGGATCTCGGTGGACGGCAGTAGCAAGACGGAGGGCCAACCGGTCTGCGCTAGGGTGATGCCCCTTTAATTTAGGAGGAAATAGGAAGAAAAGCGGGAAGATTTCGAGCTGGATGTCTAATTATCTGGTAAACAGCACAATGGTATACCGTCCAGCTCAGAACATCACACACAACAGAATGAACCCAATTAGCTGCTGGTCAGCTACTTGGACTAGCATCATGGAACTTAATACAACCATCATGGATATAGAAAGCGGTAGAGAGAATTGTGACTGTATTATTATAAGTTTATCTGGCTTTAAGGTTTCTTTCTGTATACTATCTCTCTGTTCTTGTAAGCCCTTGCCAAGTAGTTGTCGTCGGAGGCTTCCAAACACGCCAAGGAAAAGAGGGAAGGAGGTTCTGGTAGTTAGATAGCCACAGGCCCGTTTCACCCCCCTGCAAGACCACAATTCCTCCCAGCGTGCATCTCGTTCCTGATGTTGGCCTGCCTACCTATGTAAGAATCACCGTCCTCAGTCATCTGTACTCTGAGAATACCCTCTGCTATAAGATGTCGTTCTTCATGGTGATAGTTGTACATATCATGACTGCTGTATTCGTTCCCAAGCCATACATATAATACTATACCTACAGTCCTGACCCCTCCACCTCGGCACCGAGATAAGAAAACCCCCCCTTCATTCAGCGAACACCATCACCCTCTCAACACAACCCCCCCACCCCCGTCACCATGGCAAAGCCCAAGAAAAGAAGAAAACTAAAGAGAAACCAGAGAACATAGTGAATGAACAGACCATGATAACACACGAGCCCCGTCACCCCAGACAGCCTTCCCTTTGTTGTTGTTACTCTCACTCTCGTCTCACAACACACTGATTACTCTACTCATCTGTGCTCCTCATCCCGAACACCGTCATCTTTTCTTTATCTATCATAGGCCCCTAATCACAAACTCAATTCCACCCAGCCACCTCAATTCCCTTCGAAAGAATTAGAGTAATCGCAAGCCTCCCAAGATGGAGGAAAACCTGATCCTCAGACCAAGGTCTCACTCCCGAGATCCGGACTTGGATGTCTCACATCTTGCTGAGCTGCATTATGTGGCTGAGCAGACTGCTCGCCATGTGCGGTCCTGGGAAGGACAGGAAGATGGTGACTGCTCTACTCTCTTATTTCTGGAAACTAAAACTAATGATAGGAACAGCACCTCCATGTCCTGACTTCAAGGGTTCCTGGTCGAGCGTCACCCCTAAGTTGAGGGATGTGTACATCGAGCGTGTGAAGTACCTTTCCAGGGTGCATGGCCAGGCGCAGAAGGACTATGAGGGCTTCGTGAAGAGTTTGTATGAGCGCTGTTATGGGGGGATGGATCAGTTGGCTGCTGAGACGATTTCTTGCGTTGGTTGTGAGTATGCCCCTTGCCATGCCTTGAAAATCTTGTCTGACTGGTTTCAGTTGCCGAGTTTAAAGTTCTCATTGATGGGTTTGGTTCAGGGTTTGCTGTCTTTTCTGACCAGAATGTTTTGTCTGACATGCAGGGGGGTGGCGATGATGTCGTCACAGAGTCTATGGTTGTTGATCAGGGAGAATCAGAACCGGTGGCTGACCCTTCTAATGAGGATGTTCCTATGACGGACCCAGTCGAGGAGCCTCCAGCGGAGTATGATATCGCGGACACCGAAAACCCAGGTATTACTGCTCTGGAGAACGCCGTGACAAAGGGCACCATTGTGCTGAAGAAGCTGTACGCGGTCTTGGATGAATCGGTTGCCTGGGGCGCTGAGAGGGATTGGAAGGCTGAAATTGTGCGGACTCTGGAATATGCCGGTACGGAGAAGGTGATCATTGGGGTCGTCGGATGTACTGGGGCCGGAAAATCATCACTCATTAATGCGATTCTTGATGAGAAGAATGTTTTGTCGACGGACTGTATGCGTGCTTCTACCGCTGTGGCCACGGAAATTTCCTACAATGATGGAAAGAGCAAATACAGAGCGGAGGTGGAGTTCATCAAGCAGAAGGAGTGGGAGCGCGAGCTGGAGATTTTGTTTGCAGAGATCCGTGACCATCAGGAGGAAGTCGCTCGAGGGGCGATTCCCAAGGACTCCGATGCAGCAGTGGCTCTTGACAAGATCAAATCTGTTTACCCTACGATGACACCCCAGGACATTTTGAACGCTTCTGTCGCCGATCTGTTGGGAAACGAAAGGGTTTCAGAGCTCCTTGGAACGACACTTGGCTTCGAAGGAAATGACTCCAAGGCCTTTTCAGCCAAGTTGAAATTCTATATCGACAGCAAGGGCAAAAGGGGTCGGCCAAAGAAGTCTGCTAAAAAGGAGGAGGACGCTGCTGGGCAGGCGGACTCTACCAGCAAGTCAGATACATCCGACCATGGGATCGGGCTTTGGCCACTTGTGCGTGTGGTGCGAATTTACACTAGGGCCTCGGCTTTGGCGACAGGTGCTGTGTTGGTTGACCTTCCTGGAATTTTTGACTCGAATGCAGCGCGAGTGGCTGTCGCCGAGGAATACATGAGACGCTGCTCTGCCCATTGGATCGTGGCTCCCATCAATCGTGCCGTAGACGACAAAGTCGCCCGTGACTTGCTCGGGAAGAACTACAAGCTGCAGATGCAAATGGAATGTGCCTTCAACGACATCACATTCATCTGTACGAAAACTGACGACATTGCCCCGGTGGAAGTCATCCAGTCTCTGGGACTCGACTTACCATCAATGAATGAGCTCCAAGAACTACCGGCCAGAGCTAAGCCATTGGAGGACGGAATTGAAGAACTCAAGGAAGCAAAGAAAAAAGTTTCGAGACAGCTGGAATGGCTCGAGGAGGAGAGCGAGGAGCTTGAAGAACGACTGACTGGCAATGAGTTCGGCTGTGATTTGTCGGAGATAACCCCAAAGAGAAAAAAGCCCCATAACAGTGCACAGCTACCTGCAGGAGAGACCGAGAACGACACCCTCGCCACGCCCACCGTCCAAGATACAGATGGCACAGAGCTTCCAGAGGTCGAGAGGCTTAAGGATAAGTTCTATGAGCTCAGGTCTCGACGCAAAGAACTTCAATCTCAGCGAAAGCATATCAATCAGCAGGTTGAGAACAAAGCAAAGGAGCTGCGGCAGCTAGAGGAAGAAAAGAAAGAGATGGAACATGGCATTCTGAGGTCTTGCATAGAGGCGAGGAACAAATTTTCTAAAACTCAGATCAAACGTGACTTTGCATTAGAGGTTCAGAGTATGGACCAAGAAGCAGAAGACGACGACACCGAAGCCCAAGCCCGAGCTCCATCTCAAGATTATGAAGAACTGGAGAAGAATTTACCTGTCTTTTGCGTGTCGACTCGAGCATATCAGGGTCTTCGCGGTCGGCCTGACATGGTGAAGGTTGTCGGTGGCTTTTCCCAATTGGAGGAGACGGAAATTCCGCTTCTTCAACGCCACTGTTTAAAACTCACCGAGAAGGCAAGAGAGGGTTCGTCCCGGAGGTTCCTGACCCAACTGAACCAGCTCCTACAGTCAATGCTATTGTGGTCTTCGGTGAGCTCGGCCTCGGGCAAGGCATCCGAACAGAAGGTCAAGGAGCTTGAAGCCGACTTTGAAAATGTTGTGGAAGTGTTAGCAGAAGTATGTCTATCTCTAAATTTTCCTGGTTTGATGCTGACTTCCCAGGCTATGAAAACGATTGAAAACCAGTCCAAGAGCGCCATCAGAGAGATATTCCAGGACAATATCTTGAATAAGCTCGGTATGTCCTGTGTTGGTACCCGTGAATCAAACTAATATAAGGGTATAGGCCGAGCGTCGCGTAGTGCAATTAGCGGGTTTCCTGAAGCTGTGTCTCATTGGAATGCTCCGGGTGGCGCTGGCGGATTCCGATATAATACCTACAAGGCCATCTGTCGCCGTCGGGGTGTATTTCACGGCCTGGTAAGTTCTTTTGTGATGATGTGGTGAGTGAAGCTGACCAAAGATGCAGGATTGGAATCGAGACTTGTAAGAAATGCCCTCTGCACAGGTTCACACGGACTAATTGTTTATAGGGCGCGACCGATGCTTGAAAAGATTGGTCCTGGCTGGAAAAAGTGTGTTTGCTATCTGCATGCGTCATGAATATAACTAACCTGCAATAGAACCTTCGCTGAGCTACTTCCTCAGGTCAACATTAGCTTGATCAAAGAACTCGAGGCAGCCTTGGTGCGATTTCACCTACAAGCTATCGATTCTACTAAACAAAGTGTCGCCCGTGAGACTCGACAGCGATTACAGAGCACTTTTGAAGCCAGTCATCAGGTAATGCGTGAGCAAATTTCACTGGTCGAGAAATTCATCGCTCAGGAACGAAAGCGCATCCTTGGGGTGTTTGCAGAGGCTATTTCCCAAGAACTGGAGCAAACCTATCAGGCGTGTGCCTCGGAGACTGGTGAGTATATGTCACAGCTAGCCGGTGGCTTTCTAATTTGCTCGTCGTCCTAGGAATAGGAAGCTTAACGCGAATTCGGACGCTGATGCAGCAGGTGGCCGACAGCCGAGCTACCGCCGTGTTTCGAGGCAGCACGGAGCACGTAAGGCGTGAGCTGGAGGTGCTCCTCGACGAATATGAAGCCCAGGTTGATCGAATCATTCAGTCAAGACTACGACGAATTTCGCGTGATTACCACGGGGCCTTGATTGCACCGCAGATCCGCATGTGTACCAAAGAGCAAGTCCGAATCACGAGGGAGGTGGCAAGTATCATTGATAATACGGAGGCGGAATTACGGTTGCAAGAGTTACTGTAAGGCGGCCGTCTTCTAAGAATAGGAGCAGCGCCCGATGCTGGGGAGACAAAGGATGAAGGCAGGTGTCGATGGGAGGCGGGAGAGCGAGCCGGCAAGGATGAGGTTGAGGTAAAGGTGGACTTGGGACGCACACGCATGGCGGTGGCCCCGGCTTGGGCAGTCGGACTCGGTGATAAGAAGATGGAAAGGTGTCAAATAACCACATTGGATCGGCTAGTGGGAAGATTGTCAAACTGCGGCCGCCGTTGGCAGCTCGAGGCGTGGATTGGATGGGGAATAATTGGCAGCGCGACTGTTGCTGTTGGCAACTCGCATGACGAGGACTCCTCGCTGGGATTCGACGACCGCCGACGCTAGCAGGTGATGGTCGGGGCCCAGCCACTGGAATTTTCGAGCAACTGGAACCGTCTGGATGGAGACTATTAATTAGTCGTAGCTTGACAGATGAATGCCAGCGCCGTTGAACTTTTCACCTTCCTCCTACAGTGATCGATAGTTGGGTAGTCCGCCGTGTGGCCATCAGCATCAGCATCATCCTTCTTCCTCCCGTCATTATCATCCGGTCGACTTGACGCGTGGCATCTGATCCCTGAGTTGCAGCGTCACACCATGCGCGCCTGAGCGAGACTGACGAAACGCCGGACTGGAAGAAGACTCGACGAGCTGAAGACCGAGAGCAGCGCCGCCATCTCCGACGCGAGGGTCTCTTGCTGCTGCTACTGAGCTGCTATCAGGAATCCCGGACCGAAAGATTTCCACCGCCTTCGCTGCCCTTCGATCGGCGCGGACCAATCAGCGGCGATGGGGCTCCCGCATCTTTTCTCTCGTCACAAATCCAATTCCGCCAAATCCAAATCTGCCTCTTCTTCCTCCAAGACTAAATCTATTCCTCCTCCTTCTCCTTCTCCTCTTTCTTCTTCTTCTTCCTCTTCTCCTTCTTCTCACCCGACCCCCTCTTCTCCTCTCCCCCTCCTCCATACTCTGCGACTGCAACCCCGTCCCCCGCGTCCATCAAAGGCGACTCACTTCCGACTCGGCCCATTCCTCCCCCTCACCGGGCGAACACCGTTCACTCTGTTCCTTCTCGCCACCACTCTCACTCGCACTCACATTCACACTCACACTCTCCTCCTCCTCCTATCCCCCATACTCAGTCTTTTCCGACGCCGGTGCAGCGCCCGTCGATCCCTCGCAAACCATCTCGTCCGACTCACAGTCGGTCCACCTCCACCCCCTCCAAGTCGGCCTCTGTCCGGACGAAACCGTCGTCGGTGCCGCGGTCCGCCTCGTCGTTTTCCGCCGTTCACCATCGGTATACGCACGACCCTAACTTTCACCCCCTCAATCTCCATCCCGACGAGCTGCGTCGCTTATCCGCCATGGCTGCCGCTCGCGATGATCTCCGGAGCTCGATGGACGTCGACATGAACGACCCCCGCCTAGGCTCGCCCTCCGCCGCCACCAACGGCGCCAATGGCACACATACTGAGAAGAGTCCAACCCCGCCCCCTCACCGGGCCAATGGGAGCACCGCCGACGCCGACTCCTTCAAGCTGGCCGGCAACAAGTTCTTCAAGGATGGAAACTACACCCGCGCCATCGAGGAATTCAACAAGGGTAGGTTTTCCCGCTGAGTAGTCTCGTGGCAGCCATAGTAACACGAACCATACAGCCCTCGAGATCTGCCCGGATTCGTCCGTCTACCTGTCCAACCGGGCAGCTGCATACATGGCGGCCAACAAATACCTGGCCGCCCTGGAGGACTGCGAACGCGCCCGCGTGCTCGACCCCACCAACACTAAGATCATGTACCGCCAGGCCCGCATCCTGACCAGTCTGGGCCGTCCCACTGACGCCCTCGATGTGCTGACCCGTATCGAGCCCCCGGCCTCCGCCACGGACCGTGCGGCCGCCGAGAAGATGCTCCGTTTCGTCTCCCAGGCGGAGGAGGCCCTCTCCCAGGACCGCGGAGTCTCGATGGTGCTTTTCTGCCTGGACCAGGCCCGTCAGCTCCTCGGCCAAGGAGTCAAGGAGCCCCGCAAGTGGACGCTGATGGCCGCGGAGGCGCAGTTGAAGATGGGCAACGACAACTCGTTTGGCAAGGCCCAGGACATCGCCATCGGTATGCTCCGGGAGAACAGCCAGGACCCTGATGCGCTGATGATCCGTGCCCGGGCGTTTTACGGCATGGGCGACACGGACCAGGCGCTGAAGCTGCTGAAGATGTGCCTGGGGCTGGATCCCGACATGAAGGTGGCGATCAAGCTGCTGCGGACGGTGCAGAAGTTGGTGCGCACCAAGGAAGAGGGCAACACGGCGTTCAAGGCCAAGGACTACCGGCGGGCGATTGAGCTGTGGTCGGAGGCGCTGACGGTGGATCCGAAGAATAAGGACATGAACGCCAAGATCCTGCAAAACCGGGCGCAAGCCTACATTAACCTCAAGGAGTTCGACAGCGCGGTGGCGGACTGCACCGAGGCCCTGCGGCTGGACCCTGGGTACGTCAAGGCGCAGAAGATGCGGGCCAAGGCGTACGGCGGCGCGGGCAACTGGGAGGAAGCCGTGCGCGAGTACAAGGCGGTGGCTGAGACGAACCCGGCTGAGAAGGGCATCCAGGAAGAGATCCGGCGGGCAGAGTTTGAGCTGAAGAAGGCACAGCGCAAGGACTACTACAAGATTCTTGGGGTGTCGAAGGAGGCGTCGGAGCAGGAGATCAAGAAGGCGTACCGCAAGCTGGCCATTGTGTACCACCCGGACAAGAACCGGGACGGCGAGGCGGGCGACGAGAAGTTCAAGGAGATTGGCGAGGCATACGAGACGCTGATCGATCCTCAGTAAGTCCTATGGGCAATTCTTCTGTTATCTGACATGTGCTAACGGTAGTAGGAAACGCGCTGCCTACGACAACGGCGACGACCTGATGGACCCGGCCGACATGTTCTCGCGCGGAGGAGGCTTCGGCGGCATGGGTGGCATGGGTGGTATGGGAGGAATGGGCGGAATGGGTGGTATGGGCGGCATGGGGGGTATGGGAGGCACCCATATCAACATCGACCCCAGCGTGCTCTTCAACATGATGAACGGCGGCGGCGGCTTTGCGCATGCAGGAGGTCAGCGTGGCGGTGGATTCCCCGGTGGATTCCCCTTCTAGACGGCGTGCATAAAAGTTGGTCAGCTTTTGATTCCCCGCATGACAGAATGACGCGATAGACATGGTGCCGTTGCTTGTTTCTTTTCTCATCCGTCGTGGACGGAGGCGTGTGTTATTGATTGATACTATTAGGCGTTATATACCTGGGATGACTATGATTGATGGTTGGATGGCTCTGGGTGTAGTAGTTGAATATATGTGTGTATTTTACAGTCTCCATGCTCGAGCAGTAATCAAATCAATCCTGAACCGCGAATCAATCCCTCCGGAAGATGATTCCGAGTCCAAGTCTGGCTCGGTGGGGCGATGCGCGCAACCTCATCTGTCCTCGACTCCGAATCTACGGATTCCTCCGGACATGGTTTCACCTTGTCCTACATTAGGCAGTCCAGCCATTGAACGCCACCATCTGGTGGCTTCTGGCTAGGCCCCGAAGCCCAGGCACCATCGAGATCTCATTCCTTTGTGACAGGCTGACAGCATCCATGCTGGGATCCGATGCCTGCCGCCGGGAATGTGGCGGCCCCTCGCTCCTTCCCGGGCAGGACAAACTCCCTCGTCCAGGGCCACTCCTCACCCCTCCTTCCCTCTCTCTCTTCCTGTCTCTCCCCTCCATCCCTCCATCCCTCCATCACCAAGCCCAGCCCCAGCACAAACCAGGCTGAAATGCCACCCCCGCCCGATCCTCTATTAAGGTTGCATGGACCAAGTCGATCTCAAGATGATGACGTCGGCAACCAGACAACGCGACCACCCTCGACTCCATGATAAACCCCAGGTCGCCGATCGCGACTCTCGTCCTGATGATCAGACGAGGAGCCACCCATCGAGTCAGTCGGCAGGATGCCCGAGCAGGATTATGGATACCTCCGGACAATCAGCCTGGTCACCCAGATCCTGTGTCTGGCGATGGTGTCGGCCTTCGTCGCGTTGCGATTACTCGTGGCCGTGAGCTACAAGCATCATATCAATGTGGAAGATGGTGCGTTTATTCTGATTACAATGGCGCTCGCTGACCTTTGCAGCATTCTGCTTTTTATCTTGGGTATGTTCAGCGATTCTTCTCTTCTATAAATCGTTATTGTGCTAATATCTCCCAGATATTCTTTACAGCCTACTGCATTCTAGCTCTTCTCTGTACATTTCATCCCTCCCATTTATTGATTGATACAAGTGACTAACTCATGATTCTAGTTGCAACTCTCGGCGGCAGCAAACCCCTGCCAACCCTGACTCCCTCCCAAACAATTCTCATCTACAAGGCACCTCCCCTCACCTTCTCTTCAGACCATCTCTAACAATGAATTACCCAGATATTCTATGTCTTAACAGTCCTTTATGTTCCTATGGTTCTCTCCGCCAAAATCACCCTTTTAGCTATCCTCGCCCGCATATTCGTCCTCCGCCCTAGCCAAATCATCAGCGTTCGCGTCGTTCTCGCCACCACCGTCGTCTACTACATCATCATCTTTTTCGTCAAAGTCTTCATTTGCACTCCCGTCTCGGTGTTCTGGCTCTCCCCGACCCTCGAAACAAAATGTCTCAGTAAATCCGCCATCTTGCTCGCCGACGCTATTATGAGCGTCATCACTGACCTGGCCATTCTTCTACTCCCACTACTCCTCATGTGGCCATTACGACTCTCAATGCTGAAGAAATGTAAAGTCGCACTGATGTTAGGCGCAGGGGGATTGGCCGTGGGGTTCAGTCTATACCGACTGGTGTTGGTGATCAAAGAGGAGCAGGAATTAGATTCGACAATTATCTATATGAAGATTTTATTGTCGGGGTATGTTCTTCTTCCCCCATTCTTCCCTTCCCCCAAAGCTAACCCCCAACCAGCAACGCCGAAGGCGGCTTCGGCCTCATCTGCTCCTGCATCCCAGCCATCCACATCCTCCTCACCCGCCTCCGCGGAAAACCCACCTCCACATTAGAAAGCTCCTTTGCCTCCGGCTCCGGCGGATCCTCCTCCCGCCGAAAATCCTCCCAGGGAAGGAAGATATCCGGCAGTGGAAGTGGCGGCAGCGGGAGCGGCACAACAGCCACCAATCCTATTAACAACCCCGGAGCGTTTTTCGGTTCCATGTCGACTACTACATCGCCTATGTCTCCTGCTGGGAGAAGGAGGAGTGATCGGCTTGGTTCGGGGCCAAGAATGACGTTTGGAAATGGGGATGGGGATGTATTTACTAGCATCCACGACCACAATCACAACAATCACAACATTAACACTAATGATGGCGGGGAGGAAGGGGAAGGGGTTGTGGAAGAGGGAGAAGAGGATGATTACATCGATGACTATCATGATTACACTATGATGTTTGTGCCTCGGACGAGAAGCAGTCGGTTTAGTTTGGAGCTCAGGGGTGAGGGGGAGAATAGCAATGAGGGTGGAAATGAGAAGGGGGATGCGGATGAGGATGAGGAGGGGGGAGGCTGGACGAAGATGTTTAGGAAGGTTTCGTGGGGTGGGAAGTCGAGGAGAGACTCGGGGAATTGTGGGTGATTCATCTTTTTTCGTTTCTTTCCTCGTGGACTGGGTGTGGATGTGTACGGAGTTGGGTATCTTGCTGAGTGAAGGGGTCGTGTACATGGGATAGAATGCCTACCTGGTATGTGCTGACATACAAGGACTGACTAGCACCTAGCTATGGTTTTTAGTCGACTTGATAAGTCGTGAGATGCTTGGAGTATAGAGGTAGATGGGATGGGATCTAGAGTGTCATCTACACTACACTACACTACTGAGAAGATGTACAACAGCAACTTGAAGTCATTAGTATATACATCACGCATCATATCAACATAGGGATATCTGAACAACAATCTCATCATAAAACACAAACAGAGGAAATAAAGAAAAGAGAAGAAAAGCATCACTCATATCCCAACCCCGACAAAATCATCCTACTCTCATTAACCCCCAGCCCCGTGACCCCCAACGCCCTCGACAACGTCCCCCTCCTCAACCTCTGCAATCCAATCGCAACCTTCCACCCCTCCGTCTCCTGCAACACAAACACATACCGTTTCCCTTCTTGATCCCTCACTGAAGCCCTCAGCACATGAAGTATGCGCTGCTCCTCACCCCCTCCCATAGATAATCGGCACGTATTCTTACACATTTTCAACAAGTTACCCAAGAACGCTTCCGATTCTTCAGGGGTAGGTTCATTCGAGCGACGATTGAAAGGACCGGGCGGTGGCTTAGGAGGTTGGCGTTGGTTGTTGCCGTATTGGGGACACCAGACTTCGACGAGGTTCATGGTCCAGGCTTTAATGTCCCATTCACGTTGGCCAACACCGCGGACTTCGTCGTCGATGAAAAGACCTTCTGTTGTTATGCGCAGGACGAGCCCGTCACTGACCATGCCTTGGCCGGAGACGAGTTGGGCGACGGGGCTGCGCACGAAGGTGTTGTTGAATTCGAAGACGCCCTTGATTACGATCTTGTCGGGGTCTTTGGTTTCGTACGCGCCGCGGTTGGATGGGGGTGGGGTGGTGCGGGCGGTGGATTGGGATGGGGCGTAGGAGGAATCGGAGTAGACGGAGGAGGCACCGCCGTAGGGACGGCGGGGACGGTCTTGGGGTCGGAAGGAGGAGGTTGTGTATGCGCTGTCTGTGTCGGTGGTGGTGGTAGTGGTGCGGGTGTAGGCGGGTTTCTTGGGAGATGGACTGCGGGGGATGGATGTGTTGGGTGGTGCTTTCTTGTTGGCGGCAGCGGCGGCGGCTTCTTTGGCGGCTGCTTCTTGGGCGTCCTTGGCTTTCTTTTCGGCGTATTTCTTCGCGGCGGCCTCTTTGAGGGCGGCGAATTTGGCATCTGCCTCTTTCTTGGCCGCGGCTTTGCGCTCCGCCTCTTCCCTTTCTGCTCTGGCTTTGGCCTCCGCGGCCTCCTTTTCCGCTCTGGCCTTGGCTTCGGCTGCCTCTTTCTCCGCTTTGGCCTTGGCCTCCGCGGCCTCTCTTTCCGCGCGGGCCTTGGCTTCCGCGGCGCGGCGCGCCTCTCGTTGGCGGGCTTCCGCTGCCCGCCGGGCTTCTCGTTCGCGAACTGCTCGGGCCTCTTGCTCGGCTTTGGCGCGTGCCTCGGCGGCTTCTCTCTCCGCTCGGGCACGCGCTTCTGCTGCGTCTCGCTCGGCTTTGACGCGGGCCTGTTCGGCTCTGGCGCGTGCTTCGGCGGCTTCTCGCTCGGCTTTCGCACGAGCCTCCGCTGCTTCTCGTTCGACCTTGGCTCGTGTTTCTGCGGCCTCCTTCTCGGCCTTAGCCCGGGCCTCGGCTGCTTCGCGCTCCGCACGTTCGCGAGCCTCTCGGGCGGCCGCCTCTTTAGCGGCGGCCATTTCCTTTTCGAGCTGCTCTCGACGTTCGCGCAGCTCCTTTTCCATGGCCTCGCGCTCGCGCTGCTTCTGCTTTTCGCGCTGCTCGGCCTCCCGCTTCCGCCGGAACTCCTCCATCTTGCGGCGAAGCTCCTCCTTGCGCCGGGTCTCTTCACGGGCCTTCTCCCAATCAGCTCCACTCTGAGGTTTGCTTTCAGAGCCGGTGGCAGACGAACCTGTCTTGTTTGATCCGCCTGCCTGCGGCGGCGGTTGCGGGGGCGGTCCACTTCCGGGCCCACCGCCGGCACTGTACTGATTCCCGCTATAATTACCCGCACCGGGGGGTGGGTTGAAGTTGTTCCCGTACTGTTGTTGCCCTTGCGGTCCTTGCTGTCCACCGGGATGGCTCTGGCCCTGTCCCTGGGCCCCGTACTGGCCCCGACTGTACTCGCCCCCGCTATTGCCTGGGGGTCCACCCGCTGGACCCCCGCTGCTAAACCCGAAATTTGGCCGTCGGCCACCTCCAGAACCTGATTGTGAAACACCAAACGCCCAACCGGCGACACCGACTGCGATGGCCAGCACCGTGATGCCTATGCCGCTGCCGCTTGTGACCATGAGGACGTACCATGTTTTCAGAATCGGGGACAGGTTAACCCATAGCAGGATGACGAATAAGGTGGAGACGCAGCCGGCGATGAAACTGTTGCGTTGGGGTTGGAGTGAGGGAAGGTAGAGAAATCCGGAGCCGGCAGAGTGAGGGGGGATGATAAAAATATCGTAGTTCCCCGGCGGGAGGTCGGAGGTCTTGCGGTATTCGCCCTGGGTGGTGTGGGGGTTTTCGCCGTGAGGGGGAGGGGGAGGAGGGCCGTCCATTGTGTTTTGTTAGGAATAATTGTTCGATGGGTTATAAAATGTATATATAGGATTGGTGGTTTGGCTATTGTGAGAACAATGGCATTTGAGGCGACATGTTCAAGGTGATATCGAATAGGCGCTGGGATCCAGCGCGTCTGGATTAGTGATATGCGTTAGATCGATCAGGAACAGATCAGAGGGCACTCACCTGGATGAGACAATAATAAGAGGCGACACGATGAAATAGAGGGAGAGAGAAACAAAAGGCGACGTGGGATGAGAGGAGGATCGCCGGCGGCAAGGAAGGTGACAACGGCTAGTCAGTAGTCGGTTGTGCTATCGCCATCCAGCGCTAACGGGAATCACAGCAACCGCAGCAACTAATTCCGTGCTATAGTATGTATACTCGATCGTCCGATCAGTGGATGAAAAATGGCAGTCTGTGTAACCTGGCTGAGGTGGCCGTGAAAGGGGATGGAATGGTGGGAAATTGACGTTGGGGATATCAATGGCTGGGTTTCAGTGTGCGGTGACTGGCCGGACGGCTGACAGGCTATACTTATCCATGGAATTTACTTCAGCTGCGGACTACATTCTGAAGCAGGCTGCTGGATACCAAATTGTACGGCCGTTTGCGATTCCGGTCGACGATCTATGTGTTCAGTATGTACTAAACTACTAATGTAGCACGTCCACATTCCAGCGGAAGTCTATACAGCACAAGCATCCGCCGCGAATCCGGCTGGGATCGCACAACCTTATTTGGATCCCTGGTCGGCCGAAGGATCAGTGCGGTTAGCTAGAGTCAACCACGGCTGTCTTCGTTCTTGCAGCTTTGCGATAGAGGCCGTTTGCTTCGGCAGACTGAAGCCGCAGATCAATGTTTGTTTTGGTTTCTCTCTTTGGGGCATCGCGCGGGGGACAACGCCGTGGCTGATTGGTGGGTATCTCCGCAGTTGCGGATTGGTTCGATATGAAATTAGGTAAGACATACATAGTCACGTGATAACACACTGTGTATACCTGAGGCAGACACAAAGGAGCATCACAGGCTGGAGTGGGCTGGACATATCAGCCCGATGGACACTTCATCCGAGTCAGATAGCTAGGAAAGTCAGTTTAACACTGCAGTCATACCGCATGGCTAGACCGAATAGCCTGCAGCCGGGTGATCGCGATACCGCCCCGTGATCTCCAGGAACCAAGTGATCACGGTGGGGGATTGAGGTCATTCGAGGTGGAGAGAAGTAACCATTGGGGCTCTCTCTCTCCAGCAGTTCTCCTGTCAGCGGCCGAGTGGGTGGCAGCCGAGGGGCGGGTTTCAGCCTTCCAGCGGCCGTACTGCCAGGCGGTGACTCCACGCAACAGCCACCGACGGCGTCCATCCCTCCTGGCCATTCCTGTCGCCTGCTGCGCTGCTGCTGCTGGTCAGTTTGATCCATCCGGCTTTGCTGGCTGCTGCCTCAATCTCCTTCCACCTGGTTTCCAAAAATTATCTCTTTCACTTCCCCCCCCTCCTCTTCTACACCATCTACCCCATACCTACCCCTGGCCTCCTCAGGTACCGCCCCCCCTTCCCCGCCGCCAACTGTCCTCTCCTCGGTCGTCCTCCGTCCAACCCCGGCCAACCTCCCTTTTGATGCAGCCATAGTCCGTCTCGTTGACTATCACTCTCGTGCCCCTCGAGGGCCTGTCCCATTCCACCCACCATGTCCTACCAGTCCCAGGCGGGTCATCCGGTCCCCGTCTACAACCCCATGGCCGCCATCAACGCCCCCGCCGGCACCTTTCTACCCGGGACCAAGGTCCAGGTCGGCAGTCATCGGGTCGTGGTCGAGAAATACCTCTCCGAGGGCGGTTTCGCCCACGTCTACGTCGTGCGCCTGCCTCAGCCCGTCGACGGCTCTGATCGAGCGGTCCTGAAGCGCGTGGCCGTTCCGGACAAGGCGGCCCTGGCCAACATGCGCACCGAGGTGGAAACCATGAAGAAGCTCAAGGGACACCGCCACATAGTCACTTATTTTGACTCCCATGCGTCGCAGCTACACGGCGGCGGATACGAAGTCTTTCTTCTCATGGAGTTTTGCTCCGGCGGTGGGTTGATCGACTTTATGAACACGCGCTTGCAGAACCGCCTGACCGAGCCGGAGATCATCAAGATCTTCTCCGACGTGGCGGAGGGTGTCGCCTGCATGCACTACCTCAAGCCGCCATTGCTGCACCGGGATCTCAAGGTCGAGAACGTTCTCATCTCCCGACAGGGGAGCACCTCTCTCTACAAGCTGTGCGACTTTGGCTCCACAGCGCCGCCGCGCCCGGCCGCCACGTCCGCGGCGGAAGGCCGGCTGATTGAGGACGACGTCCAGCGCCATACCACGCTACAGTACCGCAGTCCGGAGATGATTGACGTATATCGAAAGCAGCCTATCGATGAGAAGAGTGACATTTGGGCTCTGGGAGTCCTTCTTTATAAGTTATGCTACTATACGACCCCGTTCGAGGAGGTGGGGCAGATGGCCATTCTGAATGCAAGCTACAAGTTTCCTAGCTACCCACCCTTCTCCGACCGTTTGAAGATGCTGATTGGTAAGAATCTCCATGCGAGGTGGGAGCCATGCTGACCCGTCCAGCGTGGATGTTGAAAGAGCACCCCCAGAAGCGTCCGAATATCTTCGAAGTGGTGCGCGAGATCTGCCACATGCAGGGCAAGGATGTCCCGATCCGTGATGTAAGTTATGGCCCGGCAGATGCAAGGTGGAGGCTCACTGTGATAGATCTACGCCAATCGCTCGACGTCGGAAGCCCGCCGGTACCAGGAACTGCCGCCCTCGCCGACCGAAACGCCGCAGGTGGGCGCCGTGTTTTCTCCCCCGGTGCAAGAGACGCAGATCATCCCGGAGATCGCCCCGATGCGACGGGGTCGTCCAACCAGACCGAGCCAGTCGCAGCACAGCTCCGCCAAGCCGAGTCCGTCCCCATTCCGCGGCTCGGCGGATCCCTTTGCTGTCCTCGATGCCGGGAACCGACAGCGCGAGACTGCGGATGAGTTCGCGAACCGGTTCCCTTCCCTGGATCAGTTCCAGATCCTGCACGAGAAAGGGGGCAAGTTCGACTTTGAGCCCACCGTCTCCGGTACGAAAGCTGAAGACGAGGATTTGGCTCAGCGACTTACCAACGCTCTGGCGGATGACGCATTCGCCAAGCGTCCCTCGCCGGAAAACGAGCCTATCTCCAAGCCAGCGTCCGAGCCAACGGTTCAACGTCGGCCCCAGCCGACTCCAATCAAGACCAAATCGTCCGAGATGGTTGAGACCTACCGCGAGGACTCCCGACCCCAGGTGCCCCTTTACCAGCCCGTTCCGCAGAAGCCGGCCATGGTCTCGACGGGTACGATGACTTCTCCTCCGGCGACGCCCGGACTGGAGTCCAAGCCGTCCAGCCGCCCCATCTACAAATTCCCTGCCAGCGACCATCAACGTCGGCCGTCCAGTCAGCCGTGGACGGCAGAGACGGACCGGAAATCAGCCCGACAGAGCAAGGTTCCGTCGCCCACCAGCTCCTCATTTCCCAACCCGAGAGTCTCGGCTGATCGCGTCTCCGACCTGTCCGCCTCGCCGCGGCCGTCGCTCGACGGGCTCCGGCCAACCAATCTCGACGTCGAAGAGCCAGTCCGGTCCAAGTCGGCCAACAGCCGATCTCGGCCGGTGTCAGTGCACGCCGGGGCGCGTTTCGAGATGCCTCGCGGTTCGGAAAGCGCGCGCTCATCGCTCGACCTGCCGCGCCCCTCGTATGACGGCGGGGCGCCCCTGCAACATGCGCGCACGGAGACGGACCAGCCGTATGACCGCAATATCTCGTCGGACGTGGATTATCTGCGGGCGCGGGAAGAGGAAAGCAGCCGGAAGCGCGAGAAGCGGTACAGCGGCACCGCTAAGCACACCAAACGGTCAAGTCTGTCGACACTGTCCCTATCGGGCACGAAGACGCTGTTCGCGGGACGGTTTGGTGATGCATTCCGGCGGTTTGAACAGAGCAACCCGGAGAGCAAGGTGCAGTCCCCCGTGGCGGAGGAGTTTCCCAAGCCGATGCTGCCCGCGGCAGAGGTCACTGCCGAGCCGACCAGCGACCTGATTGAGATGGACAACGAAGACATCTCGCCGGAGATGCGGCGGGAGCTGGAGCGGCGACGCCTCTCCCAGGAGGAGAAGCGAGTGGCCAGCGCAGCGGCGGAGTACCGTCGGCGGGTGGCCGAGGGTAGCACAGGCAGCTGGAAGGGCAGCGACGGGTCCCGGTCGCAGGCGATCCAGAACAAGGTGCAGTCGCTGCTCAGCGAGTCGAACCGGGCGCCGCCTCCCCCCAAGACGGCTACGGGCTACGGGCGGTACACGGACGACAGCCCCGCTTTGCAGGCAAAGCCCACGGAGGCGCGTCCGGACACACGAGTGAACACGCGGGTGACTGGCTCGGGGCATGCGCCAGCCGCGGCATCGCCGGTGCAGGATCGATTTGAACCCCGCGGACTGTCGCGGCAGGAGACGGCGTCGACGGGATATGCGGTGTCGCAGCGCACGGGTTCGTCGCGACCGGCACTACCACCCAAGCCCAAGGGGCTGCGAGTTGGGGCGGCGGAGAGCCAGGACGGTAGTTCGACGGTGACGTCGCCGACGGTCGGGGGCGAAGACTGGGAGGAGAACTTCAGCCGACGATTCCCGAGCCTGTCGGGGTTAGAGATGGAGACGGAGATCGAGATGGCGCGGGTGCCGCTGCGGACGCGGGAGGTGTAATGCGTATTAGTGATATAGATAGAGCGTAATCTGTTATACATAGGTAGACTTGTGTGATCAGCGAGCGAGCAATGCATTATACCTGTACTCTGCATTATGAATACATGCGCGGTACTTCGTACTGTGATGACTGATGAAGTTGTCCACTGTAGGTGCATTACCTAAAGCGGCTAGTGTACCCCGGATTGAACTCGCCGCGGGATTCATTCATCTTTCTCGGTCATCGTCATCTCTCGCCAGTCAACACACGCTCCCACCATGGCTCCCACCCCCCTCAGCGTGGTCGATGGTACGTCGTTTCTTTTCTCTTCTTTCATAAATTAGGTATTGAGCTCAATTCTTCCAGCCGACCTCAAAGACGTCATCCAGCACCTGTTCGAAATCCAATCCGCAGTGCACGGCTACCTAGGCCCGGAGACTCAACAAGAGCTTGTTCGCAAGATGTACATCTCCCTCTCTCTTTTCTATCCATTGATACAAAACTAATCTATCTGTCGATGGTAGCAAAAACCTCACCATCGCTCTATCGACCTTGAGCACCCACACCGCCGACACCCACCACGCCGATACCATCCCCTCCAACAGCAATGCGAACGATCCCCCGGTGCACAGCATCCAACTCCCCCCCGAAATCATCGATTATGTGGACGCATCGCGAAATCCGGACATCTACACGCGTGAATTCGTCGAGTTGATCCAGCGGGGCAATCAGGATCTGCGGGGGAAGAAAGAAGCTTTTGCCAGTTTCCGGGATGTGTTGGCCAGGGAGATGAAGGGAGCGATGCCGGAGGTGAGGGGGGAAGTGGACCGGGTGTTGGTTGCTACGGGGGCAGGTGAAGCGAATAGAGAGGGGGGGCGTAGCTGAGGGATTTAGAAAAGAGAAGAAAAGGGATGGATGATTGGTTTGGAGTTGAGGGGGTCAGGTTGGAGTTCAGGGTATTTTGGTGTGAATATTATTGATTGATTTTGCTGATGGTTTTGTTTCGGACGGCTGACGGGGGGAAAGTTAAGGGAAGGGAAGGGAAGTGATGGGGATGGCTGAGTCGGAATCCATTGCCGACCAACCTTACACTTCCCAGTAACCAGGCAGTAAGGTTCAGCCTTGTGGCCGCCCCCTGGCCTGCTGAAGTTATTAATATCTCCCAGGAGGACTCCACGTGTGGGATGCAAGGGTGGTTATTATGGTCGAGGAGATGTCTCTGATTTTGAGGCCGGTTGGGGGAAGAGACGTCCAGAAAATCCTCAAGTAGGGCTATCCCAACTTCACCCTCAAACTCAGGGTAACCCAACCACGGCCTCCTGCCGACCAACTCCAACAGCCACTCCAACTACTAACAGCAACCGTCTCTCCACCGGGAGCAGCCATAAAAGGCCACCAATGCAGCAACGCAGCGTGACGCCGGGCCCCGCCCGTCAGCCGGGCAGTGGCTGGCCCCAGACGGAAGGGATCTGAGGGCTGCCGACCTGTCAGCAACTCAGCGTCTCCATCGGAGGTGAAGTGGCCTTGCTTGAATGCTTGCTTGCTATCATTAGCCATCGTTAGTCCTCGGAAAAAACAAGCCCTGCCCCGGATCCTGCATCTCCTCTTTTGGCTCGCGCTCGCTTAGTCTCGCTTCTTCTTCTCCTCTCTTCCTTCGTCTTATTCCTCTTATTCTTACTCCTCTCTCTTCCTCCTCTCTCTTCTTCTTCTTCTCTTCATCTCTCAACACACAACATGGCATCATGATCACCGGCGCTACCGCCTCCCCCGGCAATGGAGTCGTTGGGCCCTACACCGGCCACAGCCTGGCCCTCCGCATCGTCATCGCCACTTTCGCCGCCCTCTCGTGGTACAATGCTATTGAGCTGATCATCCTCGTCTTTGTCACCTTTTCTCAATACCGCGGGCCCTACTTTTGGTCGCTGCTGATCTCCTCCCTGGGATTAATTCCCTACTCCGCGGGCTTTCTGCTGAAATACTTCGCTCTCACCTCGGCTACCGCTCTGTCCATCACCCTCATCACCATCGGCTGGTATGCCATGGTTACAGGGCAATCGGTGGTGCTCTACTCGCGCCTGCACCTTGTCCTCCCCAACCCGCGCGTCCTCCGCCGCGTCTTAACCATGATCATCGTCGACGCGGTGCTCCTGCACATTCCCACCTCGGTCCTAACCTATGGCTCCAACCTGGCTCCAAACAACTCCGTCTTCATCCACGGCTACAACATCATGGAAAAGATCCAAATGACCATCTTCTGCCTGCAGGAATTCATCCTCTCCGTCCTCTACATCTGGGAAACCATCCGCATGCTCCGTCTGGACCCCGACCGCGGCAAGCGCAAAATCATGTACCAACTGGTGGCCATCAACCTGATCATCATCTCTCTGGATCTGGCCCTCCTCGTTATCGAATACCGCGACCTGTACATCATGGAAACCATGATCAAGCCCGTCATCTACAGCATCAAACTCAAGCTCGAATTCGCCGTGCTGGGCAAACTGGTCCTCCTCGTCCGCAGCGGCAGCCACCTCCCCAACTGGAAACCCGACACCCCGATCTACTACCATCGTCCCTCCCGTCGCGAAGACTTCCCTGATTTCGTCGACGCCACGCGCGTCACCTCGGATTTGACCCACGCCGTGGCCCCGCCTGCCGCGCGACGGCGCGAACATCCCCGCATGGACTCGGAGGATGTCTCCATCGCCATGTTCGAGCACTCGGTGGAGAGTCCCCGGGTGAGCACGGGGCAAAGTCGAAGTGGTCGGGACCCGCCAACGGGCCACTCGGACATTTCGCAGTCGTGGAGTGGGGAGACGCAGACGAATAACTCGGCGGGGGACCGCGAATTGAGTCCGATGGATTTTACGGATTCGATTCAGAAACAGAAGAGTATGCCGAGTAGTTTATGATTGATGATGATTATGAGGTCATGTTTTTCTTGCTTGTATAGTATAGTCTTGGTGGTTCTGGTTGTTTGGTAGCGGAGATACCCACACGTGGTTCCATGGAACGGCGTATTGATTAGCTTGCATTGCATATTTTACAAATAATATGACAGTTAATCCTATCTATTATGTGCATCCTATGTCGAGTACAAAGTAGAATATGTAGAATAGAATCGAACCTAATAGATTAGATGATACACCATGAGTCACACCCTCTTTCCCCTCACCAAGCACCAACACAAAGAACCAATAACACAAACCCCTCACCAACCGCCCCAAAATCCCATTAAACCCCTCACTACATAACTCATAAGACATACACAAACTAGTCTACCGCCTATGTAACTGTAAGACATGGCCCCATCCATACCCATGACCTTACCCTCGGGTACATGAAGTGGATACTGATAGGGAGTGGAGGAGTGGATAAGTGCCCGATGATATCATCCCTCCATTTAGTTATTGATTATCGGATCGGATAATAATGAACAAAGAACCGGATCAAGGACAAAGAAAGGGGATGGGATGAGGATGTCCCTCGTTACACAGTACTTTTTATTACGAATGGTATTCCGGTATTATACTGCGTATAAATTGTTTTAGGTATGAAGTACTCTGCATATGGAGTAGTTAGTGCATAGTAAGTAGGTAAGTTGGATGTTTTCGGGGAGGATCGGATCGGATACGTTTGCCGTGGATGACATCACATTATAGGATTTAGTTATTTACTGGATAGAGTAGTTAAGGGATGGATAGATATATAGGAGGGATTATTATGTATGCATTTTGTTTTTCTGTATTAGGGTGGTTAATGTATGTAGCTATACTATGGTGGCAGTAGTAGTAGTAGTAGTTCAAAGTGGGTACACCAACTGGCATATCTCCTCCCTCCATCCCTTCCATCCTCACTTATGTACTCTACTCTCCTATCTAGCTTCCATCATATCAAATATTCACCTCCTTATAATCATCTCTACACAGCAAAATGGAAAAATCCACCGAAAGGCGGTGAGAATGATTTTCCCCCAGGGGGAATGCTCTACAAGGATCAAAGAATGCAATAATGCACCTGTCCGAAACTCCCTGAATACCTCCTCCACCGACCACCTACACCCTTTACAAAACAATCGCACCATCAAATAACTACAAACAACGCATCTCAGCCCCACAACGAAATGAAACCACCACCACCACCACATCTTCCCTTCACCCGTCCTCCCCCCCGCATTCAACCTTCAAGTATCCGTATATTCCCAGCTAAACCCCCTTTACCTTTCCAACCTCCCTCTTCCACACCACTATCCACCATGGTCTCATCATTATCCCCGGGATTAATCTGCCACGGCGAAAAAAGGCACCTAATACCGCCTCATCCGACCCCAAACACCCAAACAGCCCCCCAACGTATGGCTAGCACAGGACAATGCCAACCCCGAGATCAAATACATCCTCAAACGACCCTCCGAAGACAAACCCCACACCAAGGAATCACATATCACTGCCCTCACTGCATTCACCCACGAACTGGAAATGCAGAAACTCTTCGCCCAAGAACCCATGATTCGCTCCCTCGTGGATTACATCCCTGATTCAGAACCCACCGGACCAATGATGGTCCTGGAAGCGTTTGCGAATACGCTCTGAGAAGCCAGAAATACGAGGCCGTTTACGACGACGGAGATCAAGTGGATCATGAAGGGCGTTCTTTTGGGGATTTTTACGGTGCATATGAAAGGGTTGGTTTATACAGGTATAAGAGAACTGTGGAGTGTGATGTTTCGAAGCTAAGAGTAGCGTGCAGATTTAAAGCTGGAGAATGTTGCGCTTGGGGGGTTTGATCCCGCCAAACCGAATGATAATGTCCGTGATTTGATTGTCAGACTTGCGGATTGCGGGTCTAGTATGTGACTGGCTTATTTTCTGATTGATTAACAGTTCTGATTGTTTGTTGCCAATTAGCAGACCATCTACTGCTACTAGGCAAATCACCTCGCTTACGTATCGAAGCCCCGAGGTACATTTCGGGGAACCATGGAGTCAGAGTACGGATGTTTGGTCTTGGGGGGTGATTGTGAGTATCTAGCTAGCTTGCTTGCTTGCTTGCATTAGAGGTAGAGGATATCTCATCCCCGCTAATAATCTATATATACATAGTTAGCCCAATTACTCCAGGCCCAGGTTGATTTCCAATCCCCGGGAATGTACTATTCAATGAGCGTCGGAACCCTTGTGGAAAAGGAAAAGGCCATTCGCGATCAATTCGCCATTGACTTTGACTTATCCTCTGTGCCACTTTATGCTGAGGACGAGCAATGTGCCAAGTTGTTGCCTGCGGCGCAGCCAGAAGAAGCATATATGTGGGCAAACACCATGGTTGAGAAAGGTGTGGCAGGTGAAGATATTCAGTTCCTGGTGGAGGTTTTACATCCCGATCCGGAGGCTAGGCTTACGATACCTGAGATTTTGGAAAGTGGGTATTTGGATTAGAGGGGTAGTATGTATGGGTTGTATTGCGGGTGGGGATGTGTGGTGTTTTGGTTGTGCGATACCTAAATAGCTTGGGTAGGCTTACGGGTGTAATGTAATATAATATCAATCTCATCTCTTCTATTCTTCCTCTTCTTAGTACATAATAAAACACGACTTCAAAGGGGGGGAAACAGGGTATTCTAGCCAAGAAGGTCTACATGAATTGACTAATTAGCGAAACCATATCCCCCATGAAAAAAGACTAAAAGGCTAGAAGTAACAAAATAAGGACTGGGGAAAGGAGAAATGAGACCGATCTCTTAGGGGTAATGTTAGATAAGAAACAAAGTATTGCTCATACTCTCGTGTGGTATAGTATGTCAGTGAGGAAGGGAGAAGTGCTGTGCGATGAGAATGCTTGTTTTCAGGCTATCTTATGTAGACTGAAGACATGAGGGGGGTAAAACATAGAATAGAAAACGGCATTATGTCTCCCACCCCCATCCCGCTCCCTCTCCGGAGAAGTATGGGAGTTCAAGAAGGTGAGAGAGAATGATGAGATGATAGATCTTATCAGATCGGAGTGTTGATTATTTTTTCAGTAATTGGCAAGGTTTATACTAGTAGACGTAGACCAAAACGATATACGACTTATCTCTGCAGAACAGACGGAGAGAAAGTATTAATTGATCGAACGAGAAGAAAGGTAAGTGAAAGAAAAAAGAAAGAAATGTTGGAACTATTCACCTTGAAATTGTTCCACTAACCTGAGAGGTATCTCTTTTGGTCTAGTTGGGAAATTCTATCAAGATATTGGTATTTATTAAAGTGTTTGGGTCTTGTAATCATCAACCCATATTTGGATACTATGGATGTCACATAATAAAACTCATTAGACTGTTGGTGATAGACTAGATGACGAGGTGAAAAGTAACTGGTTTGTACTTGGTAATGTCAGACTACATGGTAGTATCTTCTCAAGACCATTGCGACCTGTCCATTCCTATAATAGCCAGTGTTCGATTTCCTCTGCTAGACTAGCACGAAGTTCCGAGATTCACGGGGAGCAGAGATCCATTTACGGAGATTAATCTCTCCAATGCCAATTCGTCTGCTAACGCCCTCTTTGGTCTCAACAACCATCACATTCACCTCAAATCTCACCATATATGACTCAGGATCATCCAGTCGCCAACGAAGGACATCCTCATTTGAATCATACCAAAAGTTTTGCTTGGTGTCCGGTTCTGAATAGTAACCCTTATAGAACGAGGAATAGCAAAGAGAGAGAGCGAGGAGATCAAAGCAGGCATCAGGATTCCTGCTGTGATTATCGGAAAGCCAGTCCCAAGCCGTGGCGGTGTCAGTTCTAATCTTCACTACCGATTCATTGCTCATGGTGCCAAATTTGACTTGGCGAGATTGACGGCTCGAGGGGAATCCTACCACTTGGACATGGACAGACTGAGTATTCGCCAATAAGGCTCCGGGGTGACGAGTATGTTCGACAGATGAGGAGGAAAATATACGATGCAGGTGAATTGTGTTCACACCGAGTGCTTCCTCGACAAAATGATCAAATGAGGCCCACTTGGACGTGATCATATCTGAATACTGCCGCCAAGTGGTGTTGAAATTCAGCATGGGTGGTAGATGTTCTGGAAAGCAGCCACCTTTCCATGCCAAGATCACTCCAAGCGCCTTGGTGATTGTTTTATTATTCCATCCCCGGATGAAATCCGCACCGACAGAATAAGGCCGAATGATGCGCACCGATGCCTCATGGTCAGTAGACGGAATCCCCCATGCCCCTAGTAAGAGCGAGCCCCTGACAGCATCAATTGTTCCAATTATGCCCTTTACGGAGGACCACGACCAGGATGGAAACATACTATCTGCTTCTTGAATCCTGGCTACGGGTTCCTCGTCAAAAGAAATGACCCTCCAAAGCATCCCCCAAGTAAACTCACGGAACGGTAAGCCAAAGTAATGCTCCGAGCCATATCGCCAGTGCAGAATCCCAGAAGCAGCCTTGAGAATGTCTGAATCAAAAGTCAGGGTCCTCCACGTGAGCTTCCTCACTAGTTCGGAGTATATATAGGACGACGCGCCACTGAAACACGGTCTTTCGCTTGATCCTGTCACAAACCGATCTTCGTGAAGAGCTTCGACATATCCAGAACACTCATAGAACACACCGGTGTTTGAGAATAGCAACAACTTTGGCGATAACATGGCCTCCTGATATGTCCAGCCGCGGGAGCCCCATGTCGACTGTTCCACAAGATTTTGATATGATGTATGCATGGCTCTCAAGCACATACCCTGGGTTTGATAGATCATCGGGGCTGTGTCTCTGACTTGCGTCATTCCAGGGAGACCGTGATTCATGTCCGAACCGTCGAGATCAACCAGGGTCACAGAAGAATGGCGGTAGATATCGCCCATCGCATTGATTTGGGCATCCTTGACGGCGCCGTCATCTTGCACGATGCAAAGTCTGTCAACCCAGAGGTACCGTACATGTAGGTGGCTACAGACACAGATAGCGTCGTTGATGGTTGCCGGTAAAGATTTCTTGAATAGGTAGCCTTCTGTTTCCAGTGCCTTAATGGTGCTTTTCGTTGCCTGAACATATGAATTGGCCGTGGCTCCCCACACATAGCTCAGTGCAGCATACGTGCAAGGAGGAGAAGCTCCCACTAAGCATCCCTTTTGCGTATCGATCAGTCGAAACCCAGGTGGCACTGACTCAAGAGGCCCTGGGTTACACTTGACCCCATGCTCTTTGTCACACCCTTTCAACCAGGTGCGGACCCGGGGCCAATCGATCCTCAACGGCGGGAGCGCCTTGTCTGGGTGTAACCTTTCAGCCATCTTAGGGTTGTTGTAGACTCCGGCAAATGGAGGAGGTTTCAATGGGTACCCGTGCACTCGTATGTCTTGGGTTTATGTCAGTTTGTGCTTGACTCGATGAATAGTATCTTGAGACAAACTATTTGACAGAGGTGTGATTATGAAGTCGAAATTGGAATCCCGCGTAAGACTAATCTTCATGTTGCCTCGATAATATTGCTTCAAGTGCGCCCCTTGGGAAAACATACCGCATAGTTCACAGCGCTCAGCTCGTTGCAGTATGTCTTGGGCCTTTCTAAAGTCGAGGTAAATCCACAACGGGTAAGAGTCAGAGAGAGATACATTGAATCGACGCTTTAGCCAATCCCCATACATGCCACAATGTACCACATGGGGCAGTCTTAGATATTCACAGAGCTCACAGAGTGATGCTTTCGGGGAATCAGCGCAATCAGTACACTGCTGGTGGAAGAGGAAATCTCGAATCTCCTCGTCCACCGACTTGGTCCACTGGCACCTCCAATATTCCCCAATTCTATAATCCACAATAGACGAACAGAAAGCGCAGGATCTAACAACTTCATTCCCGCCAGACACTGTCATGCCCACACTCTCCTCCATCGCGTCTATTCAGCAGGGGGAGTAGCACCGACAAATGAGTTGACGTTGCACTAGCACCGTTCAGCGGCCGGTCCGAGGGGGGTGGGGGGTGGTCTTATATCTTTCCTTCCGATGGCGCAGCTGAGTGACAGGGATCTACCTACTACTTCATGATGAGAAGAGCAGTAAGCCGCCACTTGTTGGGCACCTGCCCTTTGCAGTCCGCCGAGATATTTGCTTTCCTTGGCGCTGGGGCTGTCGAACCCGAGCAGATTACCAAGTCTGGGTTTATTGTCCGATCTTCAGGTAAGCAGGGTGGGAAACTGCATCTCTTGGCCTTCATACACCCCTCATATAGTACTCCGTAGAGGTCGATCCTAATTATCAGCAACCCTACTTGCGTATAAGTCGCTGTTGAGCCGCAGAATTCAGAGTCAACTCGGCACGAAGTGAAGACATCTCATTAAACGGCAACTCGATATTACATATAATACAGTCTCATTCAGTATCTGCATCATCAAATCAATCTCAAACGCCACCTGCATGCCGGATGCATTCCAAGCGCCTACAATTTCACATGAATCAAAGTCCCGCAGACACCAATCCGAAGCACTAAATACACGGCAACCTTGCCAAAGAAACCATCAACAAGAAACCTCGCAGTCAAAATTCACGCGTCCAACGCTCATAAATGCAACTCGCTTTACCCACTCAGCGCCGGCTCTTCGGCTGCGCCAGCATGTTCAACCGGCTGACGCTCAGTACACCCCGGCTGTGAGGGCGTGCACTCGCCGGTGTGCTCTTGCGGCTGGCCGTGGCCGATCGAAGGGGAGTATGTGAGCGAACCTTGCTGGGAGTGGCGATGGCCTTGGTAGGACTGAGCGTGCCTTTGGCCGGGCTGATTATGGCTTTGGCCGGGCTGGGGGCCGCCTTGCGGGCACTCAGGGCAGGTGCCTTGATCGGGGAAGGCAAGGTCATCTTCATGCGTTTGGCACTGCGTGCTTCGGCAGTCGAGTCGGCAGGCGGCACATTCTCGGCGTCAGTCTCATCCTCAAGGGCGGAGCGGTTTCTCTTCTTCTGGCCGATACCGTGCGGCACACCCGCAATCTCAGGCAAGTCGTCAGTCTTGGTCTCATCGCTTGCCTCCCGGGTTCTCTTCTTGTGGCCAATCCCATGCGGCACGCCCGCAATCTCAGGTAGAGGGTTGACATGGACGTCCGACTGACGAACATGGCGAATAGTTGGGGTCGTCGCCTGGGCAGGAGACTTGTGGTTCTGCTCAGGGGTCAACACAGGCAAAGTAGGATAGACAACATCGGAGATGATCCGCGATGGGCTGACGGTCTTCGACGGGGATGGCGAGAACAAGGCCTCCTCCTGGCGGGCTTCGACCATGGGGGTGAACTCCACGCGCTTCTTAGGCGATGGCGTCTGGGCAGGTTCCTCGGTTTCCCGCTTTCCGAAAAGGAGGTTGGAACTGAAATCAGGAGCAGCCACATGGGTGCCCGCGGCAATCTTCGCAGGATCCTTAGAGAATAAAGGCTGGTGGCGGCGGAGGATCGACTTCAGGTTCCCCAGAGTGGGCAGGTTGCTCTTCAGGCGCGGGTTGAACTCCGTCTGAGGCGTGCGCGGCACATCGGCTGGCTTCGCAGCAGGGGATCGCATGAGCGAGGGGATCAGCGAGGTACGGGGCGGCTTAATACTAGATGATGCACGCGCCGCGGAGGACCGTGTTGGGGTAAACAACGAGCTCCGGATCGATCTGGGCCGGGTGTGGACGGGTTTGGGAGGGCTGGCTTCAGTGGGACGACGCGTAGACGCATCATCGGTCATGTCACGCTTGACGCGTTTGTTGCTGGCCGGGCGGGGCGGGGGCGGGGCCGGCGATGGGCGTGCAATCTTAGAGGGTGATGTCGAGGTGCGGTCCGATTCATCCAAACGCGCCTTGGAGTTGGTTCTCTTGAGCGTCTTCACCACCGGCTGGAAGCGTCCTGGGGTGGCACGGAAGGCCGACGCGTGACCGGCAATGGAGTCCATCTTTTTGAACTCGGCCATGTGCGCATCACTGAAGCGATCGGCCTTGCCCCTGGGCTGCACGATCTTCCGGTCCGCCGCCTGCTCGGTGCGAGTCTGCGCAAGCTGGTCGGCTATCTTGGGTTTGATCTTAGCAGCGTCCTGACGCACAGTCTCCATGAGCTTCTTGGCCTCATCACTGAGCTGCATGTCGCAGGCGAACTTGAACTCGAACGCAGGTGTGCCGTAGTAGTTGGAGGCGGGCGAGGCCTTGGCCTTGGTGGGGGTGTTTTCGATCAGGGTGTCCTTGACAATCTTGCCCTCGGCATCCTTCTTGATGGGGTTGAAGCCCAAGACCAGGCCAGAGTCAGGCTGCTTAGTGGTGCTTTGGTGGACCTTGCTGGGATGCATTTCCTGGTGGGGGGGACGCGCCAAGGTGCTGGAGGGGGTTCTGGAAGGCGTCTTGGTGGGGGTATTTTTGTGGGGAGTGTTTTTGAGAGGGGTGTGGGTAGTTTTCTTTGGAGTCGATAGCTTCACGGGTTCAGCCATAGCTTTGGAGGTCGGTAATTTAGTAGCAATCGGCTTGGCAGTCGGCTTAGCAGGTTCAGGCATAATCTTTGTAGTCGACAGGTTTTGGGTATCCGAAACAGCTGGCTGAGAAATAGGCGCCTTGGTCTCCGGGACCGCACTCAGCTCAGCAACGGGCTCCGAAACAACAACCTTGGACTTTCTCTTGGAGACGGTCTCAGCTTTGGACTTTCTCTTGCGCGCCCGCTCAGGTTTATCAGTAGAGGTAGCAGCATCCTCCACATTCTCCACCACGGGGGGCAATCTTTCCGCCTGTTTGCCGAGACGAGCCATTTTGACGTCCTCGTTTTCGGTCTCGGGGTTGGTGTGAGTCTTCGTGTCGCGGGACGCATTGTTGTCAGTAACAACGGGGTCAGCCTGAGACTCCTAGAAGATGTCAGTGAATGGCCTGCAAGGGCCTGAGGCGAGGTGGGATGATTTTGCGGATGCTCACCTCGGAGGGCTGGCGGCTGCGTAGGCGGGCAGACCGTCGAACCGCCATGATGGAGATACTTATATTTAAAGTGTAGATGGTATTGATCAGTCGTGGGTCGAATTGGCGACAATTGGGTTGGCGATGATGGATGAAGACAGGGTGAGGCGACGCAGAGGAGAATAAACAAACACCCGAGGCGGTGAGCTGACGTCAGGGCTTATGTAAGGTACTTGTGCAGATGTTATGCAGATGCTCCGTATACTTCTGGTCAGCTTGCCAATTTTACTTTTGATCCCATTTATTGGCTCTGATCTGCTTTAAAATCCTGGAATACTCGGTCATTGATGCTTTCATTCCTTGTTTACTTCACTTCCACTCTAGGTATTTTATGCCTCTATACAACCCCATAATCTGACTCCATTGCAGACTCATCTGGCATGTAATCTACAAGCCAAATGGATATGTCTCTTCTGTTCCCATCGCTGTCCTTGGCTGTTCGGTTTCCAATGGCCTCACAGCCTCCGTCCGATCAAACCAGACGTACGCATCAAACTGATTCAACAAGTCAGCCTCGGAATAATGCGACATGCGCTCTGTATCCGGGCGATAAATGACTCCAATGAACCTCTCCAGCCGTTTCTCCTTCTCCATCAACTCCTTCAGTCCTGGCTTCATCTTCATCTCCTTCAAATCCCACAGAAAACTCTCAATTCCCGTCCGATGCGCCAACCACTCCCAGCTATCCTCCCGTGATGGCTTGACCTTCATGACCTCCATATCCTCATCCCACTCATGCGAGGCCGCCACCGTGCCCGTGTGTGTACCACAGCCCACCAACGTCACCTCAGATCCAAACTGCTCTCGACACAACTGTCCAATATTCACCTCTCTTCCCCCCTTTCCCATCCCCGTATGTCTCGCATCCCCACAATGCGAGTTATGCGCCCACACCACAGCCTTACTTCCCGGGGACTTATGACGAAGGATACGTCGCAGGGTATCCACCATATGTGTATCCCGCAGCGTCCACGAGTCTGCAGAGCTATAGTACATAGCCTTATAATACCTCTCCGCATCGCGCACCAGATATGCATTTTGCTGACTGCTATGATACTCTTCTCCGTCGTGTGGATCTAGCTCCGCGTACTCTAGACGCCGCTGCAACAGGTCGCGCAACATGTCCACCACCCCTTTCTCACAATCCGCCATGCCACGCAGCGAGGCGAGACCATACGCCGTGGGATCGTCAACCCACGGCTGCAGACATCCATATCTTCGTCTCGCCTCTTTTCCGGCAGCTGGATCAATCCGATCTAGATACTCTGTGACGGCGCGAATTGAAGCCCCCAGACTATACAAATCGAGGCCGTAGAACCCGACTTTCCGGGCATCTGGGAGGGTCGCATTATGCGTCCGGAGCCATTCGATCAGATCGAAGGTCTCATGGTTCCGCCACATCCATGTTGGGAAGCGCTGGAAGGGGGGCTGCGATGAGGATGAGGTCTTTGGGGCTGGACGTTGCCGCACGTAGCGGTCGACAGCTTCGGCATCGGGCCAGTCGGCTTCGATGGCGATGGTGGTGACACCGTGGTGAGTGACTAGGCGTTTGGTTATCTCAGACCGGGCGGAGTAGAACTGAGAGGTGCCGTGGCTGCCGTCGCCGAGGAGGGTGACTCTGGAAGAAAGGATGTCGTCGAAATGGGAGGCGAAGGAGGGATGATGAATAGGAGGGAGGGGGTGAGCAGCGGTGGTGAGGAGGGTTTGAAGGTGAGACATCCTGGATTTGAGCTGGTGAATTGGCATGAATGTTATTTTATTGTGGAGTCCATGGTGGATGAGATGGCTACGATGGATGCATACTTCCATGCGGTTATATGAATTAGGGCTGGGGCGGGAATGAGATCACCGCCCGCTCATGATGACTTCACAAAGCTATGCGATACAGATAAGATGCTAGCTTCAACACCCATTGAATATCACCATCTCAAATCACCTCTCATTCAATATTTCTTTCTCAACCCCGGATCTCCCCAGATCTACCCCACCCACCCCACCCCTCCCCTCCACTCAACACTCACACCTTGACCTATACAACTCATACTCACGACCATGCCCTCAACCCCCCACCACCTCCCCTCTTCCTCCACGCCCAAGAAACCCTCTACGGCCCGATAACCACCATCCCCTCCCCATGCACATGGACCCCACCCCCCCAATCCGGCGGCCACCAAGGCCGCTACCTCTGGACCGACGCCATCGGAGTCCTCAACTTCCTCACCCTACACCACATCCACCCCACCCCCCCAACCCCAACCCACTACCTAACCCTCGCAACACGCCTCATCCACACCGTGCACAATACCCTCGGCCGTACCCGCACCACACCCCCCACCCACCTCCCCAATGCCTCCCCCACACACCCACTAAACGGAGGCCTCCGCATCGGCAAACCCTCCCCCACCGGCCCCGACAGCGACGGCCAATACCACCACTACCTGACCCTATGGATGTTCGCACTAAACCGCACGAGCATAGCCAGCGGCGACGCGCAATACAACAACATGGCGATTGACCTCGGCCGGGCCATTCACCCTAAATTCTTCGTCGGTACAAAGAAAGACAGAATGGTCTGGAAACTGGACACTACCTTACAAAAAGTCCTTGTAGGCAGTGAAGGGAACCTAGATCCGTTAGACGGATGGGTTATTTTCCGACTGGTGAGGGCGTTTGCTGATTCTTGTTCGGGGAGGGATACGGGGGTTTTGGAAGATGAGATAGAGGATTATGCTCGGGTGTTGAGGAGGAAGGGGGGACAGAGAGTTGTGAATGATATGTTGGATTTGGGGATGACGCTGTGGACGGCGCATTGGGTTGTGGATAGGGAGGAGTGGGCGGGGAGGTGGTTGGGAGGGGGGTCGAGGGGGTTTGTATGTTCTCTTTTTCGTCATTCCACTCCGTTCTGTTCTGTTCTGTGTGGTAGATGGTGGTTGGATGCTGACTGACTACCTGTCTAGATGACCTCTTTGAAGGAGAGCGCTGTCTTGACCGCGATGTCCGGCTACGGTTAGCGTTTCGGGAATTCGGGGCTGCGATGGGTATTCGCTGTGTGGCGGAGCAGGAGGCTGAGAAGGATCGCGCGGTTGATTTGAAGGTATATGCGGATCGTATTGTGGATTGTTGGACGCCGTATATGATGGGAGAGGGAGAGGGAGAGGAGGATGAGCTCAGGCCTATTACGCAGGTGATGTATGCGTCGGCGTTGATTCCGGGAGGTGAGTTAATCACTACTACCACCATGGGAAGAAAACTAACGATGTAGCCTTTCAACGGGGCTTTTTTGGCCCAGAGCCTGTCATACCAGAGCGGACGTTCTACGACTAGACGGAAAGAAGAAAGAAAGAAGAAGCGTAGCATTCATCGTGTCCTCTACACCAACCCATATCCATATAAATCTATCATTAGCAGCCACCCATCCATGTATATCTATACTCCCGGCAATCCCACCACATTCCTCCACTCGATGACCCGTCGGGGCAGGATATAAATCACGTAGACCGTCCCCAGGGCAATCAACAATCCAGTGACCTGCACACATCATATTAGCCCCATCGCCACCAAACCAAACCAAACCAACCCGAAAAGAAAAGAAAAAGAAAAGAAAAACATACCTTCTCAAACCACGTATGAAACCAAATCGCCGTCATCAACAACATCCACCACCCCAACCCAGCAACCGTCCAGGCAAACCGCACCGACCAAACCCTCACACCATCCCCCACCAGCACCATCTCCCCATCCTCCCCCTCCCCTCCCCATCTCCATCCCCACCCTTCTCATCCTTCTTCACCACCCCATCCTCAACACCCCCCTGCAACCTCCCCCCCACAACCTCAAAAACCACCATTGAAACCATAACCACCAACAAAAACACATGCCCACTAACATCATGCCCACCTCTCCACGCCCCACCCACCGACTTACACGCCACAGCCGTAACCACCGTTTTCATATCCACTCCCTCAACACCCTCATTCTCCACAACCGGTACCACCCGTTCACACCCACCCCCGGTCAACACAAACCCACGATCCATAATCGGGGGCCCGAAGAACCACTGCGTAACTGCATACCACACGATTGTCGCACATCCCCATCTCAGACCGACCTGAACGGTTCTTCTAGCGCGATGAATCCGGGCGCGAACATGCGTGTACGCGGGTTGCGAAACCAGAATCAATACCACAGCCAAGGTTGTCCAGAACCAGCCGATTTTCACGAAATAGAGATTGAAGATGTTGTCTTTGCGGGCGAAGTAGTTGACTGGGTGGGGTGGGGGGAGGGGGAGGTTGAGGTCGGAGGCGATGGAGGGGCTAGGGGGTGGCGGGGGCGTTGGAGGTGGAGGCTGAGGTGTCGGGTTGGGCGGTTGGAGAGAGGATGGAGAAGAGGCAGCCGAGGAGGAGAGTTGCTGGGTAGATGAGGAGGGAGGTGGTGGGTGGGTGGAATCGGGTGGTTGGTGGTGGTGTTGGGTCGGGAGAAGGAGGCATTGTTGTTTTTGCGCGGATGTATTTGTTGAGGATAGTGGAGGGAAATCAGTTGGTAAAAATTAGGTATTAGGGTTCGTGATGGGCGATTCACCCGGTTATAAAGTGATGGCGCAATTGGAGAAGAAGGTTGGGATGAGGCGGTTGGTGGAGGAAGAGACTCGAGAAAGAAATCCAGGCGGCGGATGACGTCGCTTTGGCGCCGCGTTTCGTTTGGTTTCCGCCCCAACCACTCCGGCGCCACTGCAGACGGGGGCAGGAATCCGCGACTTGAAGGAGTGAGCAGATGGAATACCACTACTATTAATGAATCGATGACCTGAACTATATTATCTGGCCTTTTCTCAAAGACAGATTTCGGTGAGATGTTAGGAATATTCCCACCAAGGGAGGAATCTCAATTATCGGACTGCTCAATTCTCCGTCATCCGGAGAGTATAATCTGTCAGAAGCTCCCAAGATCAAAGGGATATCTCTCGGTTAGAGTATAAATCTCGTCGGTATCATCACTACATTCTACTAGGAAAGGTGGCATGAACAATCAAAAAATTCGTTCTACTACTAAGTAGTCATCATTGTACCGCCTATTGGACAGTAGGCAGTGACGCGCGGAGCGGCAGCTTCCGCGAAGAGCTACCGACATACACCGTCTTGGGATAAGACGTGATGGTCCAGTCCTGCGCCGCAACATCCCAGTTTGCCAGGTCGCGTCGTGTCAGAGTCGTGCTCCACTCAACCTCCTGCGATGGCTTGAGAGAGATGCGGTCGAACTTGCGCAACACAATTTTGGCGTCATCGGGACCTCCAAGCGAAACGTACTAAACTCGTTAGTATTCATAACAAGCACAATGCAGATGATGTCTTACCAGTTGAGGAACCTCGTCACCCGCAAGCTTGCCGGTGTTCTTGATGGTCGCCGAAACGCGAATCAGCTCGTCATACAGACCGGGGTTACCGCCAGGGCCACCACCAGCAGCCAGGATCGGCTGGGCAGAGCCATCGGTGCCTCCCTCGGGGATATACTCCGACGCGTTCAGACCGTAGCTGGCGTCGCCGGAAGCTTCCAGGAGGTCCGTGCTGTTAAGCCAGGGGTAGATGAAGTCGGTAATCTTCTTCAGTCCGCTAGGGTAGAGGTAGTCCGACGCGTTGCCGATCTCTCCAAAAGTCGGGGCAGCCTCAGTCTCGCCAGAAGAAGGAGTGTACGACGAGGCATTCAGGACCTGCACGTTCAAATTCGAGTAGTTGAAGGTGGTGTAGCTCAGGCCATAGCCGAACTCGTAGATTGGGGTCTCATTGCGCTTGTCGAACCCGCGGTAGTCGATGAAGATGCCCTCGGTGAAGTCTTCCTGTGGGGCTCCATCGCCATTGTTGGGCTCGGTGATCAGGTAGTCGCGGTAGGACTCCCTGGTCTTACCCCAGGTGAAGGGCGACTTGGCACCCGGGTTGACACGGCCGTAGAGCACATCGGCGAGCGAGTTGCCAGACTCCTGGCCGGGCAAGCCAGCCCACAGTATGCCGGTGACATTGGGGTGGTCGTACCACTCGGTGACGAGGACCGGGCCGACGGAGTGGATGATGACAATGGTGTTGTTGCAGTTGTTGGCAGCGGCCTTGACCACGTTGTCACCGTTCCTCCAGAGCGTAATGTTGTTGCGGTCACCCATGTTGCCATCGACATCGATGTAACCTTCACCAGAGTCGGCGTTGACAAAGACAAGAGAGACACTAATGGCATTGGTCAGCGTGCGTATTAAATAACGGTTCGTTTCCTTACCTGGATTGCTTGGCGAGTGCCTCAATCTGGTCAATGGCCCAGTTGTCGGTCACGGCAAATACATTGCCCTTGTTCTTGATCACCTCAGCCTGGATCGCCTGCTCGGGAGTGATCAAGTAAGGGTAGTTCGAGGTACCACTGCCCCAGCCCATAGCCAGAGTACCGTTGTCGCATCCACGGTCACTGCAGCCGTTGGCGCCGTAAGCGTTGGAGCCCGCGTCTTCTCCGATAAGACCGACCAGGCGCTCCTTGCCAGTCAGGGGCAGAACGTTCTCGTTCTTCAAAAGAACCGTGCTGTCAGCTCCAATACGGCGGATCAACCCGCTATGGTTGCGCTGCACGTTGACAAACTGGTTGACCTTCTCATACGGTCCCTCGGAGGAATAGTAGTACTTGTAGCCGTATTCATCGCGGGTCCATGAACTGAAGTTGGGAGGCGTCCACAGACGATCCCGACCGACCTTGTAGTAGGCGGCCATGATACGGACAGCCATATCATCAACACGCCACTGGGGAACCGTGCCGTTCAGGACACTGATGGTCAGGTTGGCACCCCAGTAAGACGTGCCACTGTCGTAGGTGACATCTCCGGGCATAGACATGTCCAGACCGGCCAAAGCAGCACCGACTCCACTGTGGTGGGCCTCCCAGTCGCTCATCACGAAGCCCTGGAATTCCAGTTCAGACTTAAGGAGCTTGTTCAGAGCATAGCTGTTCTGGCAACCGTAGCTGTTGTTGATCTGGTTGTAGGAGCACATGACCGCGCCAACACCTGCGCGGATAGCATCCGCAAAGGGCCAGAGGTACAGCTCGTGCATGGTCTTATCGTCGATGTTCGCGCTGCCACTCTCGGTGATGTTGTACCCATATCCTTGAGCCTCAGGTGCCTGGCGGAAATGCTCTTGCTCATAGCCGATGAAGTGCTTAGCCGTCGCAACCACGCCAGCATCCTGGATACCCTTGATGGTCTCTGCAAAGAGCACACCAGTCAGGGCCGGGTCTGGAGCAAACCCCTCCCAGTTACGACCGCCGTCGGGACTTCTACCGAGGGGACCAGCAACGGGGCCCAATTGAATATCAGCACCCTTGTCACTGAACTCCTGGCCCATGGCCTTGCCACGGAGGTACGCGAGGTCCTTGTCCCAGGAAGCGGCAATGTTGATGCCAGCAGGGAAAGCCGAGTTGTAGTCAGCTGCAACACTGTCAGCAATGGTCCACGCCTAACAGGAAAGATGATCACTTACAGTCACGAACACCCAGAGGACTATCCTGACCACACATGCCCGGTATTCCCAATCTATTACCATCTGTCAGCGCTGCTTGCCAGTTGCGAAGTAATGAAAACATACCGAGGAACACCGCCGGTCTGACCGACACACTTTTCCAATTCCCATCTAAAACTTGTCAGCCAAGAAACAACCGATGCTCCATGGAGCTTACCCAGTTCCCGTTGTCAGATTGACCTTTTCGGCCAGTGTCATCTGCGAAACAATGTCGACCGCACGCTTGTACGCGTCTGTCCAGTCACCCTTGCCATTGGCCCAGGGAGAAGGGTAGAAAGGGGGAGAGTACGCCAATTCATCCTATGGAAACAATTGGTCAGTAACGGCAGCTCAAACACAAGACCAAATACATCGCGCTTCACGCGACAGATGAAAGAAACATACAGCGCTGACCACCGAGGCGGCTGTCAGAGCCGCCACCTCGATCCAACTGAACCTCATGTTGCAAGGTCGCCCAAAAAGGAAGAAAAAGGAGGCTGAGCGAGTCGCACAACACTGTCCAATGGGAGGTTGGAGGTTGGGGAAGAGCAATCGAGCGAGAGGGAGAAAGGGGGGCTAGGACATATTAAATAGTTTGAGCGCCACGAACCGGCTGGACACCTTTCACTCGGAAGAGTGAGTAACAACCGACGATGATGTATGCCAGTGCAGCTGTCTCCGCAAAGCTACCCACTTGTGCAATTGGGTCCCGCATGCAGTGTTAGAGACAGAGACACGCTAAGCATGGCGATGGAGGTTTGGTCCGGTATGCTGATCGACGTGGGATGCCCCGATTGAGCAGGCAGGTGGAACAAGTGCCAAAGTCCGGCCCTGGAAGGCTGGAAGAGTCGGACATCAGGCAAGCAAGGCGCTGCCGGGGACCTGAGGAGCTCAAGCATGATGCATTCGGGCCGGCATCACCGCCAACAAACAAACAAGAAGTCAAGAGGTCAGGTGAACCCAGTGACTAGGGTCAGAATTATTCCCAGCCTATAGGTAGTCACTTTGATTCTTGGTCCTGGGGAGAAAGTGGTTGAGTCTGGAGCCCCGCTTTCCTGAGCGTTTGGCGGTCCTGGGAATTGAAAATACCGAAAGCTGGGGGAACCATCAAGGGACCGCCGGGATGTTGCCTGCCGGGCCAGGGTCGCCCCGGTATTTCCATTACCGCCGCTGTCCAGTCCCTGCAGCTGTGGGTAACCAAGTACATACGTCGATATGTCCATACTTTCATTACTCCCATCAGATTCTGATCTGAAATCCATATCAGATGGCTTATCCATTCTTCAGTGAGACATCCCCCATCAGTCTATCTTCATGCAAAGTCTGGCTCATTCCGACCACCTTCCGATCCAGGAGGTGGTGGAACCGTGTAACCTTCCAATACGGCCAGGGACCGACCGACAATACGAGGCAATAAGCTTTGAACAAGGTGGTGCCTACAGCAAGCAAATACCTCTGGCGCATGGCAATGGAATGCTCAAACCTTTCGTCATTGGAGGGATTAGTACTACAGTCCACAGATCCGTGCCGTCCATAGGTATTCATCGTGTAATTCTCTGCTCGGTCGTACTCCCCCAGCATTCCCCGCATTTCCCTTTAGCATCTCGTTGGAGGGTCCGAGAGCACAATGCCACTAACACCAAGCAGACCAACACAGACAAAGCCAGTGCCTGTCGCCATGTCAGACAGGCAGACACCGCCAAGGATTGGCTCTGAGCACAACAAATGTCATCGTACACCATGGCCTGATGCGCCTTACGTCGACCGTTCTCCGGCCGCAAGGGTCAGCCCATAAACGATGCAGTACTCACCTTGGATCTCTTGGTCCGGTCGGTGGACAGGAAAGCCGGTGGGTGAATAGAATGAGGTAATCATTCGCCTACAAGCTGAATCGAATTCCGTCGGGAGAAGGAAAACCGGCGAGCTCCAACTACCAGGGTGGAACCGACAGCGAGGTACTCGGGCGCCAGACCCCAGGCAATCTTTTACTCCGGTCATCCTTCACCACGTCTACTTGCTATTTATCCAGATTACCGGCTAGCCCGGAAAAATTTTCGCTCCCGGCTAAGGTGACTGCGATGGAGCCCAACGGCGAGAATGGAGTGGCCTTGTACCGAGTACTCGGAGAGGCCGCAGGATCCAATGTATCGCACTCGGTGAGCACGCTCTCTAATCCCCTGTCAAAGCACTGGCTGTTCACATCCAGTGAAGTGCTCGGACAAAGCCCGGAGCTGATCAGCTGACGTCCACGCATCGCCGGTAAGGTAAACATGACAGTCCACATGGCAGTCCACTGACAGGAACCATGACATTCCATCGGACGAAAGAAGGCCGTCTGTTTCGTAGGATTTTCTCGATTGGTGGCTACTCACAGTCGGTTGCCGCATGCACGCCTGCAGAGTGCGGCCGGTCGGGGTTGGTTGGGGATGTGGGGAATCTCCGTGGGGTACTCTCGACCCTATCCCGGCATCAAGGACACTGACTAGCTTATTATGTGTGGGGTTGAGTCATTTATTTCCCTTCTTTTGCCAAAAATCTACGGCGCTACGCAGCCTGCGATTCTTCACGGTACCCGAGATAGAGTGCTGTGTGGAGTACACGACATTGCCTGATACTGCGGGTCCTCTGCTATAGCCTCCAGAAATACTCCGATTACGGCCACCTTCGACTTCATACAAGCAACACTCGCTCCTCGGTCTTTCGCCCGGGATTTCCGAACTCCTCATCTGCTCAAGCGTCATCTGCCAAGTTCTTGGTCTGGAGTCTCCGACACCCCCACGCCATCCTCCCGTGTCTCTCACAGGTCACAGCAACTACACAACCGAGCAACGACCTCCTGTTTTCAGTTAGGCATCCCGATATACGAAGGCCATCCTGACTCCGAAATCTCTAGACGGGAGGAAGACTCTGTTACGTCGACCCGACTTCTCCGAGCCAAGCATCCGATGTCTACGGGAGGATCAAACAATGCACCTACGTCACTGCTATAGTTGGCTCAGATACAAAGAACCAGACGCTAAATGCTCACAAGCAGCACGGCGTACTCCGGACATGCATTGATCATTATTAAGCCAAGGTGGTACTACCACTGCACTGAGCCATGGTCCAATGGCTAGGATAGTAGTGAACGGGCACCTCCATACCCCGGCAAGACAGATCCGCTCTGCTATCAAATCATCCCGGTGTGGGGTTCGTCCCGAGTCTGGAGTCTCCGCTCCAGCCACAACCGCGACAGCCCGTAAACAACCAAGGCTCATCCACGAATGAACCCGACTGGTAACCCAGATGAGCCTGTGTTCCTGCCGACGATTACCCGTCCAACAGGCAGGTGGTTATGATGTCAATCCCATACCTACTTATCATAGAGCAGGATGAAAAAATGGCCAAACCCATACGGAGTACAAAGATACGTACCCCGGACATTTGTCGGGGTAGAGTATTTAGTAAAGGGTCTTAGCGGTCCACCCCATGCAGGATACTACAAGGCAAACTAACACTAGACTAGGATGTACTTCTTTGTGTAGACACGATCTAGTCTTGATTCGGCTGACCGGTCAGGGAAATAAACTCTCTTGCGTTTCTTTGTCCACTTTATTGAAGTGACGTTACCATGCATCTCCTCCATACTACGTCGGATATATTTGACTCTCTGAGTTAGTTCTTTATCTCTCTCTCAATCTATCTGAGGTGTCTGTGCTATAGACACTAACTAGTACTTCTCACTTTCTTATGAGGAAACTAGATATTCGTAATTCAAATCTTCAATCAGACTTTCCCCCATTGAAATCGTTTTCATGGAGAAAAGAAAATCAACAGATCAAAAAAATAGCACACGGGAAAGGAAGGTTCGAAAAAAAAAATAAATAAAGAGGTTACTACTTTCAACCACTATAACCCCACTCTATTTCCCCAACTACCCAATTCCGATCTTTTATGTGTTGATCCGATATCTCGTGGGGTAATTCACACCTGATGAACAGCTTCATAGTGAGTGAGATTTGATTGTGAACGCTACTAGTAGATACCGCTATAAGGGAATGCATACTTCCAGAACTTGGTGGATTATTTTATGGTAGCACATCTTTCATGATGCCTTAGGCTTCTGTTTATCACGTGATATGCAGCATGTCACTGCTCGATGATGATTGGTTGCAGACTGGGTGATCCGGGGTATAGCATCAAAAACCAAAGTTAGGTAGGGATTAGTTATGGCTGGTGTTTGTTCTCTCATGCTACGTTCGTGTATTTCATTACTTCTTACTGAGATTACAAGATGGCTCACGAGAAACATCAGCCAGAGGATGTAGAAGCGTGCAGTGAGAGTCAACATCATGACAATAGCCCGACATCTGCTTTCCAGCAGTTGGCTATATTGGATCGCTTTCTTGCGGTTTGGATTTTCCTTGCGATGGTGGTTGGTATTATTCTTGGGAACTTCATCCCAAATACTAGCAAAGCACTTGATAGAGGGAAGTTTGTGGGCGTTTCTGTGCCTATTGGTGAGTTGTCTACATGGCTAGGAAAGCATGTGCTGATAGCAGAAAGCAATCGGTCTGTTGGTCATGATGTATCCCATCTTGTGCAAGGTGAGGTTCGAGACGCTGCATCGATCATCTCGGGAAAAGGATCTTTGGATCCAGATTGGGTTCAGTATCGTCGTCAACTGGATTATAGCTCCTCTGTTTATGGTAGGTTTATTATTGGATCGTGGGTGACAGCGGCTAACATGGGTAGCTTGGCCTGGCTTGGGCGTTTCTTCCTGATGAAAGAGGTCTTCGAGAAGGTCTCATCCTCGTCGGTATTGCACGATGCATCGCCATGGTATGTTAGTCACCGCATGGCATGTACAACAAGCTGACGTATAGAGGTCCTCGTCTGGACGGGACTCGCTGGAGGAGATGGGGAATACTGCGCAATTCTAGTGGCCATCAACTCGATTTTGCAGATGGTATTGTTCGCACCGCTCGCGATCCTCTTCATCCGCATCATTGGCGGAGCGGACCATGGCCTGACAATCGACTATTCGCTGGCGGCAAAAAGCGTTGGTGTTTTTCTCGGTATCCCCTTAGGAGCTGCCATCGTCACTCGCTTCTGCCTTAGGTTCCTGATCAGCAGGGAATGGTACGATAAACAATTTCTGAAGTGGATCAGCCCACTATCCTTGATCGGTTTGCTGTTCACAATCTTGGTTTTGTTTGCGTCGCAGGGAAGACATGTGGTGCACCAGATTGTGTCTGTTATCCGAGTAGCTGCCCCCTTGGTCGTTTATTTTGGTGTCATTTTTGGTGTCACTCTCGCTGTGACACGGCGCTTCGGATTCGGATATAGATTGTCTTGCACTCAAAGCTTCACTGCTGCGAGCAATAACTTTGAACTTGCCATCGCGGTAGCAATAGCTACATTTGGTGTGGACAGTGACCAGGCTTTGGCTGCCACGGTTGGGCCACTCATCGAAGTTCCCGTGCTTCTGGGGTTAGTTTATGTGGTAAAGTGGTTTGCAAAAAGAAAAAAGTGGGCTCCATAGCTGTGATCTGCCACGGCTTCATACTAAATCCAGATCACCGTTCATCAGCTGTTGCTGATTTCATCCAGAACTTGAAACAGTATATGGTTCTGCACTCTGCACCCTTCCTCCGTAGTGAGCCCTTTAGAAAACCCGGCCCATAACTTTCTGCGAATCTCCTCCATATCCACCCCACGTGTGTTGTACTGGTCAATCAACTCATCCGCAATCGCGCAAAGCGTAGTGTTCAGGACGTCCTCGTTACTGGGCCATGATGCTATAGCTTCGTTGGGTGCACAACCACAGACGGTATCTCGAGCAGACCCTTGGGATTCTATACCTTGGAGCAAAGTCCTTGATTCAGGCTTTATAGCAGAATTTGAGTCAAGTGCATTCCCGGTGGCCCTCGTAGCAGCATCATTTGTTGTTGATGAACATGGTCGCACGCGATATGGTTGGCATTCTGCCTCAGGTCGGCGGAGATTCGGAATAGCGAGTTTCTCAGTCGAGGCCAAATCATCGGCGTGCAAATATTTTTCGATCGAGTCTGACGCCAGACCAGAACGGGTCAGGAGGTGTCTCAGCTTCCTATTCTCCGCCTCCAGCTTCTGCATGGCCAGTCTGTGTTCCACATCCCGGAGACGGGCTTGTTCTTGCAATGCAGCCAACTTCTGTTCCAACTCTCGAGTATGCTGTAGTTTCCGTGCGCGACTGTTTCGTTGGTTTTCTCGGATTCGAGCGAGTCTGTCTAGGTTCTAGGGCAAGTTAGCTACTGAGGTTCGCTAGTTTAGGCAGCTTGGTTGGTTCAACCTTTTGGTTCTTATTGGGTTCCATCTCACCGGATGAAGATTTGACAACCGCTCACCAAGCGTTCTTTCAGACCAACTGGCAGGCAAAGCCAGTGATTTACCTGTTGCCCCAGGATTGTTAATCTTTGTGGGGAGGCTAGAATTGTTGCGGGGGCTGCGTGGCTCTTCTGCATCAGATGATTCTATGGCAAGCCGTAGATGTCTCGGAGCGTCTTGCCCGATTGGGATACATTGAGCGATAGATGATAGGTATGGTATGACCAGTCAACAGATCCTCAACTATAATTACAAACTCACAGGTCTGTAAAGCTGGCTGAACAGGCCAGATGGCTATTTCGAGGCACCGTTTCAATTGGCAGATGGATGTCAGTACTGCCGAAGCTCGAGGCATCAGCTTCTTATCTTGTGCAAGTCGGATAAAGGAACAAGCAACACCCGCGATGACCCACCGGTTCGTGAAATGAGAAGGGAATTGTTACGTACACCCATATTTTGTTCCGGGTCACCGAGGGTCCACCGCCCAAGGAGGCTTAGCCTAATCAGATGACCAGCCTTTACCGCTACACCCAAAAGGGAAATTAGCACCTGTTTAGATCTTACACTGTTTTTGAACGATTCAGCCACCAGCAAGGCAGCCAGCCCGCCAGCCCGGCCAAACGCCTGACTGGCCAGCTTGCTTGCCTGGATTCAATATATGTAGATTGTATTGGCTCGTAGAGCCAACATGATGTCCATAATATCATCCATTTTGGCATTTAAAAAGCGCGATCTTAGGAGTGTAAAAGTAGGTGTTTTAATGCAGGCTTCTAAAGTGTTGCGGGGTCGCGAGGGACCGCGCATATTACATACCGTACAAAAAATGACTGCTACTTTGTCAGGTGCGGGGCTATACCATTTCTGAAGGCGCTATTCCCTTTGCAACGCTTATGTAAGAGACCCTCGGTGACCCGGAACAAAATATGGGTGTACGTAACATCTTCCAATAAGAAGAGGTCTCCGCAAGCTCGATGGCTGGATCTCACTGCGGAGCTTCCCGACGTCAGGGTCTAAATACACACGCTATGTCGCCGTAAGCTCTTGGAAACGCTTGGCTCGTTTGGCTTCAATCCAGAGTGTAGATGCAATATCAACTATGGAACAACTGTCTACCTGCGAAATAAATGAGTGCAGTAATCTTTCCAAGTTCATGACAGCAACTGATAGCCTGTCGGATAAACGTAAAAGGCGGACCAAGTGGTTAGCCGGCGGAGAGTATATCCCCGTTGCGGATGCCGCCACGAACCGCCCAGTGGAGAGATCTCAGATCCCCGGGTTAATCTTCAGCTCAGATTAGATATATCCGTCGATCTGTGATGGCTCAGTCCAGATCGGCCCACTGAAAGTGTGGGAGGAAGCGCGAACCCACCCGGCATGCCACTGAACAGGTGGCGCTTAAGCAGACCAGACCGACGTCACTAGCCGTCACTCAGGTGCCGACGCAGTCACATCGCATCCTGAGTGCCTCCCTTTTACATACTCTCAATTGTCCTTCCCAGCTTCATTGTTACCTGAAGGTCGAATTCTTCACTACACCAGTGGCCTTGTTATCTTAATACGATCCACTGCTTGAGTCATCCACACCATGGTCTCTACGCGACACCATCCCACCGACTTTCCGCCCCCTTCGACCGCGAGAGCGTCAACACCTTCTACGCCTTCCACGAGTGCCAATGACTCTACCAAGCGATGGGTGCATGTTCCATCGGGTGCCATCACCCTCTGGCTGATCGTCTCTGTCCCGCTAGTCTTGTGGGATGCTGGCTACGTGTTGCTGCGCCCTCACTCTATGCCGGGTAACAAACTGCATTCCCCAATCTGGACCCCGTACGCGCTTTATGGGACGATCGATTATATGTACGGCTGGCCGGCATTCAATGCACGAAATGGGTTCACTGCGGCACAAACTGTGCTGAACCTTGTCGAGACCGCCGGCTACATCTACTACCTGGTGATTGTGTATACACACGGGGTTTCGGCAGGGAACGCGGGTCGGAGCCAGCGCAAGGCTAAGAAGGGGCTATTGTGGATGCTGAAGGAGTCCAAGGTGGTTTCTGGACGTACTGGAGCGACTGCGCTTCTGGTGGCCTACAGTGCCTCTATAATGACCCTTGGGAAGACAATTCTATACTGTGAGCCATCATCCCAACGGAATCGTTGCACGGTCTAATTGTTGCTGCAGGGCTGAACGAGGCTTTCTCTGGTTTCGACAACATTGGCCACAACGACCCTTGGACCCTGTTTATTTTCTGGATCATACCCAAGTAAGCATCCATCTTCAGTTCTTGTTGCCTCAACTGACGGTCGCATTAGTGGTCTCTGGATCGTTTTCCCTAGCTACGGTGTCTATATTCTAGGCTCGGAGATCTTGGCTTCCCTAGAGAGTTCTGTCCCGCGTCAGCGAGTTGGACGACCCAAATTGACGTAGGATCGCCCGGGCAGCAGGAAGCTCGGGTTAATGATGGGTGCATCCGGCTAGGCACGCTTGGCCGGACACGAGAGGGGGAGTCGCGTGCACCACGCTAGCACAATGGCGATGCAAGCCATTCCTCTATTTGTGGTGGTTGGATGGTCGGGGTAATGACGGGTGGGCTGTACATGCTACCGGCCTGCCAGAAAGTACATACAGCCTTAGATAGATTTAATCTAGTAGTAAGCACAAGTCAGTAAGCGAAGCGCCTTAGTAAACATCAAGCAACGTATCTTTAGTAGCATGTAGTTCAAATCATTCTATAGTATCGCTAAAGAAGTCTAACACTTTTAAAGACTTCCATCAAGCACCTAAAGGGCTCAACCAAGCGCTTTTAGAAGCGTAGTATAATCAAAAGCCTTGAAGCCGGAGACTCTCTGCAGTAATAGGGCCTAACTTACGGTAGAATTGCTCAGCGCTAACGCGCTTCGCAAATTACGCAAATACAGAGGCAGTGAGACCCCCACTCGGAACACTATGCATCGACGGTCTTTGCCAACGTCGCTGCAAGCATCCGATACGTTCCTGAGATGCACGAGTCCATCACCGCTCTCTCCCCCTCGATTCCCTCTGCCTGATTGTCCTGTAATTTGGTCATGACCTGTGGGCTCCGCAAGGGTCTGGTTAAGTCTGGGGTGGTTGTCCAATGGCCGCGGTTCCATATATATTACCATCGATGACACTCCGGATTTGCACGTTCAGCTATTGAACCTTCTTCCCAACACACCCATGTTCTGGAAACTGGGCTTCTTGTCGGCCTGTTTTCTCCTCGATCCCTATCCTGATCCCCGCCGCCTTTTACGGCTCTCCAACCCGTTCAGCGAGCCCTGGGACGGAATCATTCAACAGCGACGCACCCCAGGATGACGACGGCGCGTGGTGCCAAGCCTCCCGACCGCGACCGTCCCAGCCGGCCTTCCCCATACCCACCAGTTTCGACCACCGCCTCATCCCGCGGTTTCGTCCCGTCCTTCTCCCCAGACCACCACCACCACCAGACCCTGTGGCCAACTTCCTCCGAATCTAACCACCTCCCGCCGAACGATGATCCGGGTCTTACTCTTGGGGTACCTGCACCCATCATGATCCCCCCGGAGTCCGACGAGTCCCCCTTGGCCTCCGGCCTGACCTTGGGGCACGACGATATTATCCTCCCCGAAGACCTCGACACCCAGAGCCGGGCCAGCTCGCGTGATCCAGGCAGCGTCCAAACCGCCGGCGATTCGGCTACCATTCACGATGCTGGAGTCGATCTCCAGCGGGAGGACCCAAACCGCGACCCCGCACAAAATGAGCAGCAGGGAGGCGAAAAACCGGCGTGGAGCGAAATGAAGACAAAGGCTGGCAAGGAGCGCAAGCGCCTACCTCTGGCCTGCATTGCTTGTCGGCGGAAGAAGATTCGATGCTCGGGTGAAAAGCCCGCGTGCAAGCATTGCTCGCGCTCCCGAATTCCATGCGTTTACAAGGTCACCACCAGAAAGGCAGCTCCGCGGACGGATTACATGGCGATGCTGGATAAGCGTCTGAAGAGAATGGAGGATCGTGTCATCAAGACAATTCCCAAGGAAGAGGCCAGGGATATGGCCGCCATCGGTCGGTCGGTTGTCCGACCGCCACAACCGGCGCAGACCACCAAGGCCCAGAAGAAGCGAACGGCGGATGAAGCGTTTGCAGCTGAAATGGATGAGTGGACTCACGAGAGCCGCAATGGTCCGCAGGATACTTTTCCTATGCGCCGTGAAAGTAAGCCCGGCGATGCGTCGGGTCTGATGACTCCCGGCGCTGAGTTCTTACCGTCACTGGAGATACAGGAACATCTGGCAGAGGTCTTCTTTGACTGTGTCTACGGACAGTCCTACCTCCTCCTCCACAAACCCAGTTTTATGCGAAGACTCAAGGCAAGGACCGTTCCGCCGGTCCTTATCCTGGCTGTTTGCGCCGTCTCCGCCCGATTCTCGACCCATCCGCAAATCAATTCCGAGCCTCCTTTCTTGCGTGGCGAAAACTGGGCCAACCCCGCCGCTGCTATTGCGCTGAGTCGCCACGACGAACCCAATATCACTATCTTGACCGTATTCCTGCTTCTGGGACTTCACGAGTTTGGCACGTGTCATGGCGGGCGCAGTTGGTCATTCGGCGGCCAGGCACTGCGCATGGCCTATGCCCTGCAGCTACACCGAGAGCTCGACCATGACCCGCTCATAATACAGAATAATGGCAATGGATCCCAGCTCAGTTTCACAGATCGGGAGATACGAAGGCGGACCATGTGGGCTTGCTTCTTGATGGATCGATACAATTCATCCGGGAGCCAGCGACCGCCGATTGGGAACGAGAAGTTCCTGCAAATCCAACTTCCCATCAAGGAATCTCACTTCCAAATGGAAATTCCCGGGCCGACGGAAGACTTGGATGGCAATATCCTCAACCCAGTCCCAGAGGATGTTGGGCAATTATCGAATGCGAAAGAGAACATGGGCGTGTCAGCCTACATCATCCGGGCCGTGGTCATCTGGGGTCGCATTGTCGATTATCTCAATCTCGGGGGGAAGAGAAGAGACACGCATCCGCTGTGGTCGCCGGAGTCGGGATACATGCGCCTCAAGCGACAGATCGAAGAGTTTTCCGCGTCGCTCCCTGGCTACCTCTTGTTCACATATGAGAACCTTCAGATCCACGCCGCCGATAGAATAGCCAACCAGTTCCTCTTCCTGCATATCATTATTCACCAGAATATGCTCTTTTTAAACCAATTCGCCATCCCGCTGTCCCCGGGAGGACGTCCGCCACGCGACATGCCCAAGGTGTTCCTGAGCAATGCCGGACGGGCCGCAGTGGAAGCGGCCCATCACATTTCGGTTCTGATTGACCGTGCGTCCGCCTATCCCCTCACTGTTCCTTTTGCCGGATATTGCGCCTATTCCGCCAGTACCGTCCATATATGGGGCATTTTCTCCAAGAACGCCCAGTTGGAAGCACGGTCCAAAGAGAACCTGCGCCATACGTACCGCTACCTCAACAAGATGAAGAAGTATTGGGGGATGTTCCATTACATGGTTGAAAGTGCCAAGGATCGATATCGGCAATTTGCAGATGCAGCCATCAAGGGCACGGTGGTCACGCAAAATGGCGGACACCTCGCACCCATGTTTCAATATGGTGACTGGTTCGACAAGTATCCCCATGGCATGTCGAGATCGCACTGGGAGGAACCCGATCCCCAGCAAAAGGCCAAGGGCGACGAGGGTGTGATGAGCCAACGGCCTGATCTCCAGAGCGTCGAGGAATTCTTCGCCAGCCTTTCCCCCACGCCGCAGCCGAGTGCACCGCGTAGGCATTCGAAGAAGAGCAGCAAGGCTGATAGCGTTACGGGATTCGATGGACCAACGCCTCCACATTCGATGAACGAGATTAATATGGACGGCGCGCCGGGCATGCTGGGGACAACAGGGACAGGATTTCCTCAGCCCGCCATGTTCAACCAAAGTCGTGCTGGACAGCAGCCATTCGCGCCGCCTGGGTTCGACTTTTCCATGCCCGCAGCCGACCAGCTACCACAGCTGGACCGACAGTTCGTCTACGGCTCTTTTGGCGAACTTGACCCATCTGCATCCCTGGTTCCCCCTGAGAATCCACCCGTGCCTGTAAATCGTCCCGATGTCCCTCCTAACCAAGACCCGTCCACCATCTTCACCGGTCAGTTAGACCCCAACGCCCCGTCTGGAGCGGGCGAGTACTATCAACCCAGCGCCTGGTTCCTTCCGTTCAATCTTGACCCATTTGGGGCGGGCGACCTTGACCCGAGCTCACAGCCTGGGACAAATCCGGAGCTCTCGGGCTTCGGAGGTATACCCATGGGGGCATTTGATCTAGGGTTGACGGGAGTGAATCGTGGTTCACATGCATAACCACTCCACCTCAATGTACTGAGGGTAGGACATGTTTCTTTGATTAGTTTCTAGCGGGGTACTCGGGCTGGCGGGACGGACCGGTTTGAAGTTCGGAGTTAAGAACGCGACTGGGTCATGATGGATTGATGTGTATTTATATCATGGCTAATATACCCTGTGTGGGAAAATAAATAACTTTAACATACGAGCACACCGAACCATGGTACATGAGATACCCTCTAACCTACAGTACAAACAACGTAGATCACCTCCCATCAAACACAACTACCTAGAGTAAGTCATCAAAAAAAACACTCGTAAATCCCAATCAAAGACGATGATCGAAGAAGACCAAAAAATGCACTGTCGGGGAGTCGAACCCCGGCCACTCGCTTGGAAGGCGAGTATCATAACCGTTAGACTAACAGTGCTAGCTTGTTATGATATCGTGATGCGTAATTCCATCCATCTACTTATCGGCAACATTGCGACCTTTTTCCCCATCGGAGATAGTATTTGCTGAGAAGGGATTTGTCTGCTATTATATTTTCTTCGGTATGTAGAGTTAGACACTGAGTAGGGAGTATTAGGCCCTGTACTATGGGTATAGCGGATGTTGATCAATTAGTTAGGAGGATGTAGATATAGAATGGGTTAGCTAGATATATTAAGTCGACTGGAATGAGAAAATAAGGAGATTGATACATTGAAGCCATATACTAAGCATCGCCTACAAAAACAAGCGATAAAATGCCACAGAGTACATACCCCATAACTAAAATCCCAATTATCACACGACACACCCCTCGAACCCAACACACCAAAGCCTCAGTTCAACGCCAACTAAACATCTAGATACCCAATACCCCGCCCACCCCACCCGCTATATAGCCCAAATACCCGCTCGGTTTTTCAACAAGAAGCATCATTGGTCTAGTGGTAGAATTCATCGTTGCCATCGATGAGGCCCGTGTTCGATTCACGGATGATGCACTCTTTCCTTTCCAGCACTGTTAGTCTAACGGTTATGATACTCGCCTTCCAAGCGAGTGGCCGGGGTTCGACTCCCCGACAGTGCATTTTTGCCCCTAGGGCACAATTTTCTGCCACCGCCAACTTGAACACTTTTCGCGGAAAATTTTTCGGGTGTGTTTTTTCTTAAACCCGCTTATTTCCGTGCTTTTTGGGACGAGGTTCGCTGGGTTCTGCCAGCCAGGCGGCGAGGGAGGCGGTCTCTGCTGGCAAGCAATTGAACACTTTTGGAGGAAAGTTTTTTGGGACTGTTTTTTCTTAAACCCGCTTATTTCCGTGCTTTTCGGGACGAGGTTCGATGGGTTCTGCCGTATTGGACGGTGGGGAGGGCGGTCTGGGCGGTATTTATTCGGTCGATTGGTGGGTAGACTGGAGCTTCCCTACTGCTCTTAAGGGGTATAGCGCTGGTGTACTCGCTAGACGTTGAATAGTACTACTACTGCAGGGATGAGGGTATGGGAGGCATGTTTCTTTGGCCTGTCTATTTTACTCATTTGTAGGGCGTGTTAAGTCTGGGCGGAGCTATCTCATGTTTAGGGCTAGTGGATGCTTACTCTACAGAACATGGAGCCAGGGGAGAGGTGGAAAGCGTATATCATGCATCTCATATCAACGACGTTCAAAAACCCAGGTTTGTAAGCCGTCCAGCAACATTGTACAATACAATACATATACCAACCACGGTTGCTCTCTGACAATCTGCTCAGTCCTCCCATTCATCGTCTAATTGGTCTATCAGTCGGTTTTCGGCGTCCACGTCGCGACGCCCGAAACTCCCCCGTTGGTTGATGCTGCCGCCGCGGGCGTGGCCCAGGGTTGGAGAGCGTTTGAGACGCAGCAGACGGCCTATGGAGGAGAGGAGGATGACGATCATGTCCTGGTTGGTGGGGAAAGTTAGCCTATGTTCGGAGATCATCTTCTTAATGAAATGGCAAAGGCACGTGTTCAGTATGTTCATAGGAGACAAGGAAATCTATCTAGATCGTCCAATATCCTGACGGGACTATTGATATGAGATCCAGCGCTCTATGCCTTGATGGACTCGCACAGCAAGACGGCCGTGGTCAACACGGATTGTCAAGAGTCTCAAAGAGTGACGAAAGAATGAAACAGGAAATAAGAAGCAGCCGATAAGCCAGACCAGATCAATCCACCCTCGAAATGGGCAACTTTGCATTGCCAAACTCCTTGTACGAGGCCTGCTCATGCCGCCGGGATCGGGATCGTCGGAACGGGATCAACGTCAGGATACTTACTTTGATGAAGTCGAGCATCCCCGCCCAAAGACTGAAGTTTGGGCATTGTCTCCAACCGCGCTGGTGCATGACGGTCCGTTGGTAGGCGCAACCACCGACCAGGTACACGGTGATGGCGATCAAGGCACTATGCTTGTTAGTGGTTATCTTATCGCGAGCTAGACTGCTTACATCACGCCAAAAACGCCGCCGGGTGACAGGCCCGGATTGTCGGGAGTGGGCGCAGTGGCTCCACACGCGGCGGAGCTTCGCACTTCAAAGAAATACGAGCACTGATCCATCGTGCCAACAAACGAGACGGTTGCCTGGGAGGCGGGGGTGTCGCGCTCACACAGGAACGACATGATAGTGGATTTGGTGCGGGCAGCATTGCCGATGTAGTCGCCGGCACACGGAGAGCCATTGGTATAGTTCATGACCAGCTTGCGGCCACGGAAGAAAGGGTCGGAAGATTGTTGCCTACATTGTCAGTGTTGGCCTCCCACGGAACAGCGGTGTCATACATACCCTATGGAGTAGACTTTACCCTCCCTCTCATAGTAGGCGCTAACATTCCTCCACCGCGAGTGGTCCAACCCCACCACATCTTTGACATTCTCGATCACGGGCGCACAAATGTTTATTGTGAAGTTGGCATTGTAATCGTGGCCTTTGGCGTGCCAGCTCTCTTCGCGGGCGTTCTTCCGAGGCTTCTCGCCCTCGGCTGGCGGCGGAGATAAGGAGATGGTGTTGAGATCGTAGAACAAGCCGGTCGTTGGCGAACGAACGACACATGGCGAGAGGGTATCTTTGGAGCCAAATGACTCGGCAGCATAGGCAGTCAAAGGAGCAGCAAGGAGGAGTAGATATTTCAGCAGCGTGGGTGGCTTCATAGTGGAGATGATCCCCGGCGGGCTCGGGACGGTCGGCGATAACGTGTGTACAGTGTAGGCCGCAGAGTTGACGAAAGACTGGCACTGAGTTGGCGTGACTGATAGAGATGAGCGTGCGAAGCAGCCGGATAGAAAGGAGAGACGGAGAAAGAATACAAAAAAGATAAAGAGAAGCAGATGAGGAGAAAGAAAGAGGGGAGAAGACAAGGCGTCGTAATGCGCGGAGATGAAACGTCGCATTCTTGCGGAGAAACTGTCGCTGGAGAAGCTCTCACCGCCCGGCCCACAAGCTCCAGATCCCAAGACAAAAGAAAGGGTCGCCGTCTTCATCAACCTCACCTTCTCCTGATCCACGCCACCATGGCTCCCAAGAAGGACTCCAGGACTAAGGTCCCAATTCAGCCCGTACCAGAGAAGCGTGGCTATGAATTCGCAGGCCCGTACGTGCAATTCTCCTGCGATGCCACTCAGTACTGACTAGCCCAGGCTCGGTGCTTTTGGAATTGTGTTTGGCCTCCCCGTGCTGGTCTACAGCTTCACCTTTCTGTGTAACGATGTCTCCGGTTGTCCGGCACCCTCCTTGCTCCACCCCTCGACGCTGTCGCTCGACCAATTGAAGGCGGAGGTGGGTTGGCCAGAGGCAGGTCTGGCCGAGTTTTACGATACGCGCGTGACGCTGTGGGTGCTGAGCTACTATCTGCTCAGCTTGGTGATGCAGGTGTTTCTCCCCGGCCAGGAGGCCGACGGGACCGAATTGGCCTGCGGTGGAAGACTGCGCTACAAGTTCAATGGTAGGTCCTCCACCCAACCGGCGTATTCCCTCTAACATGTGCAGCCTTTCTTTCGGCCGTTCTGATCCTCGCCGGATGTGCTGTCGGCACCTATGTCCACGGAGCGGATTTTGTCGTCTGGACATTCCTTTGGGACAACTATCTGCAGGTTATCACCGCCAACCTGCTGATCTGCACCGTGATCGCCATCTTCGTCTATGCAAAGAGTTTTACCGTTCCGGCCCCTGGCCAGCCCAACCCTGAGCTCCGACAGTTGGCTCCGGGTGGCCACACCGGCAATGTGCTGTACGATTTCTTCATCGGCCGGGAGCTGAATCCGCGGGTGCGCCTACCCATCCCGTTTGTCAGCGAGGCATCACGCACGATCGACATCAAGTCGTGGTGTGAGATGCGGCCCGGCCTGCTGGGGTGGATTATCCTGAACCTGTCGAACATTGCCCGTCAGTACAGGACCTACGGCTACGTCACGGACTCGATCGTCATCTCGACTGCGTTCCAGGCGTTCTACGTGCTGGACGGACTGTACATGGAGCCGGCGCTCCTGACGACAATGGACATTATCATGGACGGCTTCGGGTTCATGCTGTCCTTTGGCGACATGGTCTGGGTGCCGTTCATCTACAACTTCCAGACCCGGTATCTTGCGGTGTTCCCGTACGAGCTGGGGGCAAAGGGCATCCTGCTCGTGCTGGCCGTCACGGCCGTGGGCTACTCGATCTTCCGGGGCGCCAACAACCAGAAGAACCGGTTCCGCACCAACCCGAACGACCCGCGCGTCAAGCACCTGCAATACATACAGACGGCCAGTGGCTCGAAGTTGATCACATCCGGCTGGTGGGGATGTGCGCGACACATCAACTACCTGGGCGACTGGGTGATGTCGTGGTCGTACTGCCTGCCAACGGGAATTGCAGGCTATGCCATTGTCCAGAGTGTGAACTCGGCAGGGGAACTGCAGAGCCAGGCGGTGCAGACAGCGGAGAGCCGGGGATGGGGAATGGTGTTTACGTACTTTTTCCTGGTGTACTTTGGAACATTGCTGATCCACCGAGAGCAGCGCGACGAGGAGAAGTGCAAGCGGAAGTATGGAAAGGATTGGGACCGGTATACGTCCAAGGTGCGGAGCCGGATCATTCCTGGAATTTATTAGCCCGCCCTTTCCGGCCCCTTTCTCACTTACAAAAGTTTGATGTACCATACTCGACTACATGTCATACCCATCTAGCTGTAATACTTTAGTCTATATAATATCACCTCTTCCTCTTCTTACCCTTGTTATCAATCGTCAACACATCCAACCCCCACTCATCATCCCCTTCATTCGGCACCCACGGCACAAGCACTTTCTTTGCCTCTGAGATAGCCCGTTGCCGTGCCCTACCCGCGGGGGTTCCCAACATCGCTCTCTTAAACTCGGCATATGATGATGCCGCAGCTACTTTATTCACTTGGTTCACCCACTCCTCTACTTCCCCCGTCTCATCCCCATCCCCACTCCCCTCACACGACCCCAACAAAGAAACAGAAAGAGCAAGATCCCTCAACCCCCCCCACATCCTCGCCCTCGACAACGCCGAAGCCCCCTTCCCCACCGGCGCCGAAGCCTTAAACCCCTGCTTCATACCATTGATGATAGTTTCATACAATCCTGTCTGTGAGCCGTAGAGCTTAGGGAGCTGCTTTGCTCCGTTCTGAGCAGCATATACATCCCCAATCCCATCCCCACCACCACCAGAAGATGAGGAAGAGAGTAACGAAGGTGCAGCAGTCCAAACAGCAGAGATCGTACCCGGTTTACACCTATCCGTTCGAGAAGTCGGTTTCCCGTATTGCCAGAGCCCGTTTACTATCTTATCCTCGACGGGGAGGATACTAAATGGGTGGTAGTGATACCGGTCCCCACCTTCACCTTGATATTGAGATTGAGACCGAGAGTGGATAAGAGGCGCCATTCTCCCCGAAGAACCAAACGCCCTCTCACACCCTACCGCACTCACCTCACTAGCAGGCATAACCACCCCCGCCAGATACACATTGGGCGTGACATTCACCAATAAGCCCATCTCGGCACTAATGAGGGATGAGACCTGCCGCAAGGCAAGTTTATCCGAACACGACTTGCTGAGTGTGGAGGGGGCGTCGGCGCGGGCGGGCTTGCGGCGGACGATGCCGAGGCGGGAGAAGTGGCCTCTTCCTGTTAAGAGATCTAGTTCTTTGGTTTCGGTGGGGGTGGTTGAAGAAGAAGAGGGAAGGATCTCCCAAGGCGTGGGATCGTCTTGTGCCGCCATGGTGAGTTCCATGCTTGCGTCGCCGCAGGGGGCGGTGGTGCAGTAGAGGTAGATTTTTAGGGTGGGGTTGAGTTCGAATGGTATCATATTTCCATTTTCAGTGTTGGAGGTGGTAGTGCGACGCTGAATGAATTTTGATGGTGTTGATTTTGACTCTGAGCTTGGTCCAGAAGAGGATGATGATGAAGATGGGGAGGTGAGTATACTTCTCACCTCACTCAACAACCAATGATTGAACGCACGAAGGGCCAGGATCTCAGCGTGCCAATCATGGAGAACAAGACCGGTGCAGTTGGGGAGTTGAGAGCTGGGGAGACATTTTGCGCCGGATCTGTACTTTTCATTAGCTTCATTCCTCCTTTTTCTTTACACGATATAGTAGAGTTAAAGTAGAAGTAGATAGGTAGATAGATAGATACATACGTCACAGCCACACATGTCAATTCCTCTTCTTCTCCATCAGATAAACCACCCCCCTCTACAAATCGTAAGCCACCATACCCACATACCACCATAAAAGCCAGAAGAGAAAAGAAACAACCCACCCCTCACAACCACAACCCCACACATCGGCATCCACTCCCTCGTCCCATCATCCCGAAGAATCGGTTTACTGCGTGGTGGCAGACGATCGAAATGAGCGTGTACGAGTCGGGCGATTCTTTCCCCGAGAGAAGTCAAACTCTCTTCTTCTTGTTGGGGATTTGAGGGGGCCATTGCATACACGCATGTATATATATATACAGCACTGGCCGACTCACGGGCTGTAGATATAGGTAGGTAGGTGGTGACTCCCGCCTTTTATACCAAAAATATAACATCACGTGATGATAACCATCATTCCTATCCATCTCATCCATCTAGCGAACTTAATCCAACCTACCTACTACATCCACGCAACCACCACCAACCCACCCCCAACGAAACAGCGAAACAAACAACCAAAATGGCCGATAAACTCCGCACGATCCAAAACCTCGAGGCGATGCAAGCCCGCTACATCGGTACGGGACACGCCGACACCACCAAATACGAATGGGTGTCGAATATCGTTCGTGACAGCTACGCCTCGTACATTGGACATCCGCCTATGTTGTCGTATATGGCGATGGGAATGGGAGAGTCGAAGGAGAAGGTCCGCGCTCAGATGATTGAGAAGATGGTGAGGGGGGCGGGGAATCCGCCGGAGGTATGTCTTTCTTTCTTCTATTTGGGGGATGAAGGGTTGGGTTGGGCTGGGCTGGGCTGATTTGGGTAGACGCAGGAATGAGTGTATCTCGTTTGGGAGATGGGAAGGCAGAGGGAGAGGGAGAGGGGATGGAGGGGGGGTTGAGATGGGATAAGCTGGTGGATGAATGGATGGGAATACGGCCAGAAATACAGTCGATGAGGTGCATATGGGAGAGCAATGATCAAACGGTAAAGGAGTTAGGCGTCAGGCTTTGTACAATACTCGCCATGGGATACAGGAATGGGATACAAAATCCAATGTAGTTACTTCTCCGCCGCCAACCGCGTATTCTCACTTTGCAACGACCCGATCAAATCCAGCCACTGCTTTCGCTCTGCGCGCAATCGGTCCACCTCTTTCTTGAGCACGTCGACCTCCCGGCGCAGAGCGTCACTTTCCGCCCGCGAACGCCACTTCTCCTGCTTGTCCGCGTGCTTCTGCTGTCGTGCCTCGATCTTCGATGCCTCCTTGACCTGGTCTTTCTCGATCTTGCTCAGCTGTTTCAGCAGCTTGGACTCCTCGTGAAACAGCCCCGACGCCACCTTTTGCATCCGCGCCGTGTCCTGGTCGGCCGACTTGCCCGACTGCCCCTTGTGCACGCTGCTGGCTGGGCTGCTAGTCGGCTCGCTGCTCGGCTGGTCATTCGTCGCTGCCAGCGCCGCTGTAGACGCCTTGTCGCGTTTGGATCCCTCGACCGGTGATGTCACGCGTAGGGCCTGGATGTCGGTCCGCACGCGGTCTAGCTGCGCTTCAACGTTGCGCTTTCGCTCCGCCAGCTTTGCCAGCTGCTTCTCGTGCGATGTCAGCTTGCCTTTTTTGTTTTTGGTCATCAGCTCCAGCGCGGAGATGTCGGGACCTGCCTCCGCCGAGGAATCAAGGGCCGAGTTGGCTGAGGGTGATATGGACGCTTTGCCTGATGCCGCATCATCTGCTTCTGCCCCATCCGGCTCATCTGCCCCCTTGCCCTCGTCAACCTCCTTGTCCGTCTCTGGGACATTCTGGGCAGACGGTTGGCGGGAGTGGGTTGGCAGGTAGTCGAGCACCGTCTGCGGCGCATACCGCTCCAGACCGGCGTTGACCAGGTAGGCGAAGCTGGCAATCAGACCATGATGCTCGACCTCGTCGTATTGGAAATCGTCCTCACTGTCCTCCTCACTCGATGCTTCACCCTCGCCATCATACTGACTGCCCACCGATTTGTCCGTGGACTTCCTCCCTTCCCCATCCCGACATGCCCAGTTCAAAAACTTGATAGCATCCGTACAGATACTCTTGGGGGTACCCTTTTCCACCATCCACCGCGGGATATTACCCCCAGGATCACTCCTCGTAACCATCACCCACTCGACAGGATTCATACCTTCCCCTTCCACCGGAATCTCCCGAATAAACTCCACACTCTCATACATCCCCCGAATATACCCCTGCACGGGAGGCGCATCATCATGCACACACGGTCTCGACACCATCATCCACTCCCTCCCTTTCCCTCTACCCCCACCCCCAGTCCCTCCCTCCTGCGCCTGACTCCCATCTTCACCATCCCCATCCTCCCAAGTAACAATACAACTCACAAAATCCCTCGCAGCCGTCGGTTTCGGAAACTGCGCCGAAACATGATAAACCTGGACCCGTCCAATCACCCCCTCCCCCTCCCCATCCCCATTATCCCCCCTTCATCCCTAACATCAACCCCCTCAACCAATCTCTCAGCCCCAATCCCCCTAACCGCCTGATCCGGCATCTTCCCCCTCCTCACCCTCTCCTCATTCCTCCGTAACGTCTCCCCCATCTCACCCGACAATTTCTCCCTCCACCGATCAAACCCCAACCCCTCATGCACACTGCGTCTCCCAAACCAATGTCCCTTCCCATCAGCCCCAGGCAGCTTATAAATCGGTATTTGGAGGGGATTATCCCGAGCGTTGGTGATTTTTATAGGTTTGCTCCATTCCTTCCGTACTTCTTTGAGGATATCATTTACCCCGGGAGCTCCTCCGTTCGTAGTCGGCGTTGGTGTAGTATCTCCATTCGCAATCGGTATGTTGATTAATGGCTGGGTGGGAACTACCTTTGACGGCCGAATCAATCCCGCGGGTTGGTCTGCGTATCCGGTTTGGGATGCATCGCCGTCAGAGGATGATGACGAGGAGGGGGCGGAAGGTAGTGGGACTGAGTCAATGATTAGGTGGGCTTTTGTGCGGAGGTCGGAGAGGTAAGCGCGGAGAGCGGCGGGGTTGGTGGTGGGGATGTCGGACCAGGTGGTTGGGGAGAGGGATTGGAGGGCGGTTTGGAGGTCGTGGTCCGGCATTGCTTGGTTGGTTGGTTGGTTTGGTTTGGTTTGTTGGATTATCTTTGGGTCATGGGTGGGTTGTTGAGTTGAGTTCAAGTAGGTAGGTAGGAGGGGTGGGTGGTGGTGTGGTGTGGTTGTGATTAGGTAGCAGTAGTAATAGTGGTGGTAGTGGTGGTAGTGGTGGTGCTGGTGGGTGGAGAATGCTGGTCTGGGGACATGCGGAGCGATTATGTACTTGTACACAGCATGGAGTACTCCTTTGTCATGGTGCAGGCAACAGGAAAGGATGCGAGTTGATGGTACCTCGATGATCGCTCTGACGTCATCGGCTCGAGGGCCAGGCCGCCAGTGCCGACCCCCTGAAGCTTACTGTACACTACTATGCTGCATGCTGATCGATTATGTCAGACTGAATACATGCCAATGACAAATTGTAGTAATCCTAGATAAAGAACGACAACAAGTGGGCTCAGCCCTCCAGCATCCGATTCCCGTCCCTCCCCTGGAGCGTGACGGGCGTATCCAGGTATAACCCAGCCTGGATGATAGGAGATGAACCTACCAGACACCACTCGACGAGGCCAATAGCAGTTATCGTAGGCTTCAACAGTCACGGACTGTGTCAACCCGACCATGCCACAGGCGATTTGGTCAGATAACAAGCTACGGCCCCATCTCTGTGTGTGCCAAACCTGCAGCATACATCCAGATGCATACCACAGCGTCGCGGCCACCAGTCTGATACCAGTACCGACCAGGTGAACCATGCGCAGCATGTCGCGACAGAAACAAAACATTCCTCATCCAAATCATATCCCAAGCCGCGAGGCTGACCAGGTCTTCGTGACGTATATGCGGATTCAAAATCTCCCCAAACAAACAGCCGACCCGCCGCTCTTGATGCTATAGAACGAAACAAAACGCTAGCGCTGTCAAAGGCAAACGAAGGAAATCACTTGCTGTCGGTAGTGTAAAAATGCAAAGCAAAGACGAAAGGAGTATCATGGGTGTCGAAAATCATCAAGATAACGCCGTCATTGATGCCAATTAGTCTGATGTGTGTAGCCGTAGGGTGGTGGTGGTTGCTCGGGCCCGGAGTCGTATTCATTCTGTCGATATGCATCCTGGGATCTATTCCAAAGACACGCGAAGTCAGGGATACCGTTAACATCAAGTGTCTGGTTCCATGGACCTGTTACATTGTTGTCCCGTACGGCAGTGAAAAATCCTGGTACCGACTTTCCCATCCAAACCCCGCCAGTCCCGCCACCGTGCTGCATGGTTGCACCAGCATGCTCGGTAGCGGGAGCGCCGCGATGGCCGCCGCCGACGTCGCCGCCGCACTGTAGTATTGCGCCGCATTGTACGGTGACGTTGTGTATGGTTGAGCGAACGTTGGCGAAGTAAGCTGCGCTTCCCCCATGACGTTCATATTGGTCCACATACTAGGGTTCTCGACGGTGCTGGTTGTCGCAGGGCTGGATGGAAGAACCTTCCATGATTCCAACGGTAGTGGTTGCGGGACCGGCTCCTGCCACCAAGCGGTCGCCCCGGTCGAGCTGGGCAGGAGAGGCGTCGAACGAAGCACATCGACCACTCGTGGTGGTGGTGGCAACAGGGGCACGAACAGGCTGGTGATCGCCGCCTTTGCGTCGTCGCTGCGACCTCCGAGTAGCTCGCCGGCGCCATCCTCCTCGAGGCCTTCGAGCGCAAGCGCACTGGTGCGATAGACGAACTTGTTGACTGCCTGCACAAACTCCTCCTGCAGCTTCTTCAGCTGGCTGTCCTTGTCGGGCCAGTCCCAGGTGCTGGCGGCGGTGTCGATGGAATAGATATCCTTGTGGTAATCGACCAGAGCCTCGATGGTCTCTGGGGTCAACTTGAAAGCCACTTCGTTCTGCGACACCATGTCGACATGCACGACGTACGCTTCCATGTGGATCATCTGGTAGTTAAAGAGGGCCTCGACGAGCGGGTTGTCGTCCTTCCGGAGCTCCGCATCAGGGGCCTTGGGGAACATCATGGAGCACAGCGTCCAGATGGCGTTGGGGGACGACAGCGTCTCCGTCAAGCATCTGGTGTGCTGGGTAACATTATTGAGAGGTCGCTTGACTCGGTTTACTCGCTTCAAGGTGGCAGTCAACCACGGCTCGATGCGGGCATTCAGCACCACGTTCGGGGACGAGCGTGGTGCGAATGCGGCTGCCGACGAGGGCAGAAGGACGGTGGGCATAGTTAGACCGCGCGAGAACGGGCGAAGAGAGTGGTGGACTTGACGAGAAAGGAACGAAGAAAGGAAGGGCGTATCAACAAAGAGAGAGATAAGATAGGGTGAAAAAAGACCATAGAGGCGACATTCGCCCACAGCGAGTGATTTTTCCCGATACAGTCCGAGGCGTGACGGCAATACTTCCAGTCACGAGGACCGAGGTGTTGAAGGGTAGCAGCGGGATGACAGAGGAAGTGAAAGGCTGCCTAAGGGGGAGGGGGGGGGGGAGGGGAGGTGGTTGTATATATTAAAATCCCCACCGTCAAGAAATAGGAGGAGTGGAGGGGTGGATTGTATAGGTCAAAATTACTGTGTGGGCGAACGCGCAAAGGAAGGAGGGTTGAGAAAGGAATGGCAACGGCGAGACTAAAGACAGAAGACGAGTGGAGGAAGAGGGAGAAGAAAAGAAGAGAAAGGCAGCGGAGACGGAGGGGAAGGAGAGGGGACAAAGAACTAAGAAGAGTCGTCGACAAGCAGTCGAAGAGGGGCCAGAGCAGAGCAGAGCAGTTAACCAAACGTCGGGATGGATCAATCACCCTCTGCAGTTGCTGGATGATGCAGTATCCGTACTGTATGAGGGGATCAAACTCCCCAGCCTGTGGTATCGGGCGGATTTATACAACCGCCAAATGAGGTGAGAAAATGTCAGATATGAGAGACCTAATAGCTTTCAACCAAGTTGGTATGGGGATAGACAAAAAGGAAAAAAAAATTGGAAGACGACGAGAGACAAAGCCGATCAATATAACGTTATCACACCCTTTGCTGAAACTCTGAAAGCACATTATTAAATCGATCAGAATCCCAACTGGAAAAACCAGGAGCGTACACAATACCCATACCCATACCCATACCCATACACACACACTTTTTTACCCATCCAGCTTTTGCCCGGGAGTTGGAAGTCTCCAATGGCGCAGGCCGGCGACTTTTTTTTTTTTTTTTCTTAGTTCCCTCCTTCCCCTCTTTTTTTATTATTTCTATTTATTTCTTTTCTTTTTCTGTCCTTTTTATTCGCGCTCTCATGCAGACGCGGAATCCCGATCGTATGGTACGAGAGGTTTTGGCCACCGTCCGGATTGCCCGTCCGATCTCAGGTGCGCAGGCAGACAGTCACCGCGAGAAGAGAGGGCTGGATTAGCAGGCTGCAGGTGTCCAGAAGTGTCGTTGGCGGTGGAGACCCGCGACAGTGCTCGAGTGGGCGATCCAAAGATGTCATTCCATTAATACTCTTGCCCTCTGAGTCAAGAACGGGGCCAACTTAGACCAACCTACGATCGGAGCGGGCCTTGCTTGGGTTTGGGTGTAGTTAGTAAGGGTACGGTATGTATTAAATGAATGCTACTCCCAACCCAACCAACCCTCTGGTATCAACCGGCGCTTCTCAAGTCATCCAAGAGAGTTCGACCAAGGCGCTCATCGTTCCCTGAGGCTTGCGACATCATTTGCACGGTTTCGGATGGTTCCTCGACGGTCGAATCGCGTGGGAGAAACCACAGCAAGCTCTGATTTGAATTCCACCCAGCCCAGGTATTGACTTTGCATTTCCGATTTAATTCTGATTCTGTTGGATTTTGTGTCTGGGCATACCACGGTGGGATAAGAAACCGGGCGACAGGCCTCGTCCGTGTCACAGGCACGACCCAGACTGACGGACGGACGGACCGTCAAGTCTGTCTGACATGCCGTTCTCGCAGATGAGGTAGGTAGGTAGAATCCATCTGCAGTCTGTACAGATGGGCGTTACACCGGAGAGAAAGTGAAGGGGGGGGGGGGTGTGGATGGAGCATGAGCCGTCTGGGCAGCAGCTGGGAGGCGCTGCAGAATGCAGAGTGAATGCAATTCAGACCAGCGGGCAGGGCACGACGATGCAAAGAGGGCTGGCTAAGCCCCGATGGCTGATCCACTCCGGATGGATGGAGGGCTGGAAAGGCATGCATGCACGGATGCATCTCGCTCGGCTCCTGGAAAACGGTCCTGGTCGGCAGACAACGCCAGACTCGTCGGGTCGATGCATCGGTTCTGCACACCCCATCGTGTTCTATCTATCTTCTTTCTCCCATGGAATTAATAATGCTTTTGAGATTCATCCCTCCACGAGCAATAGCAATAATATTAATAAAACCTCTGCTGACTGACCCCCACCTCATCCTGGGAGTGAAGATCACCCGATTGTCCATGAGATTCTAATGCCCAATCGAGTAAGACAGCAGAAGCCGGCGCGCATTTCCGCCACCAGTGGAGCCCCCTTCAGCTGGCAACAACATCGGCCTGAGATTTCGCTGCTTATGGTAGGCTGGCTGCCCGGTTTAGTTCCATTCTTAAAATACCCAAACAGGGCATTTTCCTCTATCCCGCCTCGCATATTAACGGACAAATGTAGCCACAGAGAATAGTCAAAATTCGAGACTGTGTATGCATCCTCCAAACTACACATCCACTGAAAAAGAGTAAATTCACCGCGCCCTCTTGCCTGCGCGCAACTTGTTATACAGACCACCGAAGCATCAAACGCACATTCTGCGGTATGACTCACAGCAGCAGCAGCAGCAGCAGCTGAAGCTGTTGTGTATACTGTATAGTACTTTGCAATGCAGACAGCATCCTGTATACTACGGCGAGGGGTTGGCTTGATAATAATCTACCCGAAAGTCGAGGTCAGAGGGTCCACAAAGCGTTGGCCAGTACCCCGTCGCACCGACTCGGTTCCAAACATCAGGACCCAGACATTCGCCGGCCGCGCACTATCTATAAAGCACATATTGTCCATGTACCCCATAGAGCACGGGTGATCCCCAATACATTGCCCACGGTAAGCAAACAAAATGCAGAGTATTCAAATGTTAAACGCAACGTAAGCAATTGAATTATGGACGAGCAAGTCCAAGTCAGGGCAACGTGAAACAAACCCGGTCAGGTCGTTCCAATTCACAGCATTATTCGGATCCCCTAGTCCCACTTGGGAAGGGAGGAAAAAGACCTCAGACTCAGCTGATGAATCATGGAGGGGTTGAGAGCATCGTGGGGCGAGCTAAATGACCTTGGAAGTTGGTACAGTGTCGCTTCTGACCTCAGATTCGCTGGTGGCCACCGAGTCCGGCTCGTACGCCGCAGCTGAGATCCCTGCTACGATCTACCATTGGACTGGGCCTCGTCGGCGGTCATCTCCAGACTTTCTGGAATCGGAAGTCAGTCGGCCTGGTAAGAAATGATACTCCGTCATTACACGCAGCACCGCGTCGCGAAAAGGGGATTTCCCCCGTCGAACTCCCCTCCCCGATCTGCATGCATGCGCTTCTTGCGTTGCCCTGAACTACCCTAATGTGTAGATAGGACTCGTCGCTAGTCCGCAGCACGTCCACCCGCGGGCGAGCTGGTTGGCTGACGGGGTGCCCTGGCTGGTGCTCGTATCAACCAGGACCCAGGTAAATCTGGAGATATTACCTGGACCAGGCACAATCTCCGAACCCATGGTCGGTGGCAAGCCATCGTGCGAGCATGGTATTTAGGGGTAGCGGGTGCCCGGCGACCCCGGGACTGGCTGGGATGGAGGAAAAATCCAACGATGCGGTCATGTCATCCCCTAGCCGACCTTGCACGACCCCTCGGACGACATCAACCCAGCCAGGGCCGGGAGCATCAAGCATTGTGGCAGTGACTGGGGTCAATCGGTGAGGCAACAATGCTACTCCAGTCTCAGCACGCGCCCAAAGCGGATTCGGATCGATGCGGAGTATACTTACTAGACGTGGGAAGAGATTGGATGGGTGAAAGCAGAAGTGATGATACCAGAGCGCATCGCTGTGTTCGGCTGGGGTCGGATTGCGGCAACAGAATGGCAAGGTCGTCCGGCGCAAGGATGCGGCATAAGCAACCAGCGCGTCGTCAGCTTAGCACTAAGGACCATGCGACCCATCATATTGGATGCTGGATGCTGGAACGACCATTATGGCCCGCTCTATGACATATCGTGGACCCTAGCCTATACATGCTTAGCAAGGCTGGAGTCGGATAGAGGGCATGGGCCGCTTCACGGGGCAAAAGTAGACCGACGACAGAGAGGCAAAGATAGAAAAAGAAAAGGGACGAGATCAAGCTGGAGCAAGCAAGGATATGCAGGATGCAGACAGGACAGGACAGGCAACAGGAAAACCCCGTTGGCAGGTTGAGGACTGGAACTGACGGATTGACGGATTGACGAATTGACGGCGGTGTCGGCGATGGCCGACTGCTGCGCCTCACCGTCGCCGCTGTCACTTGAGCCACATCACTGTGGCGAAGTTTCTGCAGGCGCCCATGACATAATGGCGGAGAATTATTAGGGCAGCAGAAGAAATACTGTTCTACATACGGAGTACATACTATGTAGCAACTAGCAACCAGCAACCAGCAAAATCTCCGCCACTATCGGACATGGCATTTGCGATGATATCAGCGGGTGGATGTGTAAACTTCCACGGCGGTTGACCCCAGCGCCCGGATAGGTAACCTGCATTCATCCAGGACTATACGAAGTACGAAGATCGATAGCCCAGAAAGCCCCAAAGCCCCCGGAGCAAAAAAACTCTTATTCACATGACTACGGCTTAGCGCTGCACCCAGCACCGACCTGGATAACCTCCCACACACCACCACAGGCGTGGATGCAACCGATACCCTGATCATCCAAGATTCCATGCAAGATTCTGGATTCAACCCGACTCTCCCACGAGGGACACGGCAGAGTAGTAGCCTTGAAGAAGCGGTCCATCACACCCGGGTTGAAGCCGTTCCCAGGAGGTCTGGGATAACCCCATGGTACCGCTAGCGAGATGCAACCTGCAGCATTACCATGCATTACCTTACCTGGCCGCCTAAGCGCCGAGTCCTCCCCATCCTAACCAGAGTCAGACTTTAGCCCCTCCGACCAGGCCTGCAACTGGCCAATACGGGCTGCCTTGCTGAGGCTAATCCCTGTTCCGTGTTTCAGACGACTCCATCTCCGGGTCAGCCATGGCCGAGGGGGAGGGGGTTACTACTGTAGGGGTGCATCGGCCGGGGGGTATCTTGGGCTTTTAACCTCTTTTCCCCTCTGATCCCCTCTGATCCTGAACGTGAAGGGGGGGTCGACCCACTTGGGCGTGCTGACCGTGCAGCTCTGTTCGGTCACCTGCTCCTCTAGCCGGTTTGGGGAGTTCATGGACTGGCCTGGCCTGGTCGGACAATCTTCGCGATGAGATCATCCTGTCCGGATTTATCCTCCAGGAGACCTGGGCTCTCTGGCGAAGCACCGAGCTCAGTCGTCCCGAAAATAGGTCTGCGTACTTTGTGCGCGGATCTAGGGGTCATAGCTGGGCCGAATGGTCTGGACTCACGTACTTCCGCGCAGCTCACTTTATGCTGGTATCCCAAGTAGGAAGCATTCCTCGTGTAGAATGAGCGATTGGTAGTCTGGATAGTTTCAATGTGAGACAGCATTTGTTCACTGACGTAACTGTTTACCTCTTTTATTTACCCCCCTCAGCTGCGAAATAGATTCCCCTCGTCTCCACACCCTTCATCTGCTAGACCCATCACACCGGTTCATGTCACTCATCCAACAGTGGTCTGCTATCTCGGGCAAAATAGCTGATGTCAGCACTTAATTGCAACGGTCTGAACGTGGCATGTGGGCCAATCCATAGCAGACTATACTTGAGTAGTGGATGCATCGGCGAGAGTGATCTGAAGGATGCGTATCACACGAACGGAAGGTATCACAAATCCTCTTTTGATGTTCACCAACAGAAGACGCACGGATACCAGGACCAGCTTGCCGTTTGTCTCTGCAGTGGCAGGGAAAAGGTTGAAACCTGATGTACCACAGCGTATGCTTTGTGGCTTCCACTGACCGGCACAAATGTGGCATTGAGATTGCTCACAACCTTGTTGGGAACGCCTGTGATGTCAGATTCATCAAAAAGTATGTTGGGTTTGTACGACATTGCGCGATTAAATGCATGGGACATTTGCAGAATGCCTGCTGCGTCACTAATGAATGTTGAGGCTTCCACTGCTGTTATTATCATGCAGTGCTTCATTTCTCGACGCACGGCTAGAGACATGTGAGGGGACAGGACCAGGTTATCCAGAAAGAGTCTAGGATTTGGAGCCTACTGGCTTGGAACGTGTATCTTATTGAGAGCTAGATTGGTCAACTTTCACATGTACTGTGGAAAGGTTGGTCACCTGACCCTCTGTCCTTGTTGCTTCTTTTTGTACGATATCATCTGGGATGCATCGACACCTCACATGGTACTTTGGTTCTATGACGGCTTTCCAGTCAAATAGACACCCACCAACTATCAACCTACTGTGAAAACTAGGAAAGCTAGCATAGTAATTTGGATTGGTAAAAATGCATGTCGCCGAGGCAATATCCTTGTGATGATGAAGGCGCGTAGCAACAAGACCATATTATCGCGTTTCCGGTTCTGTCTGTGCATAACTTGCCCCTTTAGAACATAGCAGGCCACTGGTAAGTGTTGACTAGATTAGGGTTGAGAATGAAAACAGCAACTGCTGCTGCTATCACCGCAATTATGTAAAGGAAATAAAGTACGCTAATTGGTAGTTTGATAGATCTTTGATGTATGTTACTATGTAGTTTAACTTTGACACGTGTTGTAGACCCTTTTCTATGTCAGGTAATCTAGATACATATTCGTTGTTGTTACTGTTTCCTGAATTTTACAATTCAAATCCGAGCAACTTGGGTGTAGCCACCAAAACCCTTCATGTCAATGACCACTGGGTCCATACACGCCTATATGACCCTCACTTCTTGAGCCCATCATCTAAACCATATCTACGACCCAGTCGAAAAGAACGAAAAGTCCGATTTTGTGAATAGATATCTATCTAACTCGACTGATACGGTATCAGATCTTATGGGATCTTGACCCTGACTAACAAAAAGTCCGTATCATAACCGTAGAAATGTAGCTGCAGGTTATACGACCTCGATAGAAAATGTTTGGCTGTATAACAGTCATATCATCTTCCACAGAAATCAAGACGGCCCCTTAACTAACAGCATCCAAACCGTATCAACCAATATACTATAGAAAGGGAGCTATGACTCGAAGTACTATTTTCTATCTTTCTTAATTCCCCACCAAGCTCTAGACAAAGTTCGTGCAGACCCACTATCCTAATATCCCTCATAGTATCTCGAGGATCTATATAGCTTTCAGTACCATTTGAAACAAGCACCCCCGTTCCATTAGCTATACGGCAACAACGAGCATTAACCATTTCAATCCCCAGCAGTCAAGATAAGAATGGAACTTCATTTCCCCAAGCAACCTGGGACCCTGATGGGACCAACATACACCAAGTATGTTAGATGTTTCACTTATTTTCTTTCCGAAAATTACTGACAATATACCCTTTTTAGTAAGTTCAAGCTCAAGATTGGGTTTTTGCTTGGAGGGTTAGGATGCGGCTGTGCGTTTCGGGTTTGTAGATCGTGGGGGCTGGATGGGTCTTTTTCTTTCTTGTTTTTATTCTGCTGATGTTGGTGGTAATAATCTGAGCAGTTGAGGATTTGGTTAGGGACGTAGAAGGGTAGGTTTGATGGTTCGTTCGGGGGTGGCCGTTTGTAGGTTCATTAAGTGATATGGTGAGTTCCTGTAACTTTATCATAATGATTCTCTTGTCAATATTGGTATGAAGGCATTTTATAATTGCTATAAGAAACTTGGAGGTAGGAAAGTTGTACGATATAGTCCCCTAGCCTACCTATAGACTATAGAGACGTGACGTCTACTTGTAGTAGGAGCAAGTTTATCGAGAGATTAAATGGCTCATCGTGGGCAATGACATTTATGATAGCACAACAGCGTGTCTGGGAATATGCAGGGGTTTGAAGCCTCGAGCAATGATGGGTCTTAGGATTAGAAAGGCGAATGCCCTGATGGAGATAGTATATCCCGTGAGCGAATTTTCGACGAGGATAATGCTGAAATAGACGTGTGGTCCGAGTGAGAACAGGATTGGGTAGGGTGGACCAGTCTGAAGCACCAGATAGCTTCTCCTGATATCAAGTGTCGCTTGCGGGTAGTGTGTTTCGAGGGTAGATTAGTGTATCTACCCCTTCGAGCATGTCGTAGCTGGCAGGAGTCCTATCCATAGATAGATACAGACATGTCCACCATCAGGATCATGGCTGAAACACCTAAATATCTTAGTCCTCCCTTCCAAACGTGCATTAACCAGTTCCAGGCAATACACAGATAAAAAGCCTTGCCCACAGACCATTTCAAATCCCCAGGAACAGAATTCCGAAAGACAAGCAACTCATCTAAGATAAACCTAATCTACAGACCTCAGGAAAAGGCCTATTCTAGAACCAACCCTGAATCTCCCATCAACAGCACGGAACATGCCATATGGGATAATGGCCCCTGCTTCAAAGATAACAGCAGGATTAAGAAAGGAAAAAAAGAGGAAGAGAAAAAGAAACAAAGGTTAAGCAGCAGATCATTTACCCGACGAAACTCGTTATTTGGGCCACCCACCAACAGCCCGCCGTTAAAGCGGAAGCATATCCGGTCTGATTTTTGGTCCTCCCTCAACAACGAACATCACCCATTTGGGCCAACAATAAGGATAGAAATAATAATAGTAGCCATTTGACTTCTTGTACCTGACTGCTTCCGTGGGAAGAGAAAATGTCTATATTTATCACAGTGATAAAATTTCCACTGGCAAAGCAGAGAAATGTAGGTAGCACGTTGGACGCGGGGAGATCGTCCTTGCTTGCTGATCGAGAAAGTAGGGCCCGAGCCGTCAAGTGACTTGCCCCTTTCACCTTGCTCTGTAGGTAGTCTGTACTAGCGTAGAAGATGAGGAGTAAGGTCTGCTGTGCTGTGCTGTGCTGTGTAGTGTAGCAGACTGCAGTAGGGAGGTGATCTGCTCGAGATGTGATCCATCCCCACCCCGGGTGTCTCATGTTCACATCGCAGTATTCAGTCAGGTGGCGGATGGTGTCCCTGTGGATCGCAATCTTTGGATCCATGAGCAATGACAAGGTTGGGTTCTCGGATCATATTGTCGACATGTCAGGATGAGACAGTGCTCCGTATATGAAGGGGGGAAGCTATATTTTCAGATTGAGACAGGGAAGTACTCGGGGGTTTACTGAAGGTTACCGGCAACGCGACCATGTGGAGCGAGGACCACAACATGCAGAGAATAACCCGCAATCGTGATGCATTGAACTTTGGCTGATTGGGGATTCTCTCCCATGCAATGACGTTTAGGCGAATGACTCGCGACCGAGGCATGGGGTTTTGGGGTGGCCCCTTCTAACAAGTAACAACGGCCATCCTTATCCTTCCCCGGCCTAAACAAAATCCTTCTGTGGTCGAGGAACCATGGATCCAACCCCGCTTGATGGTCGCGTCGACCATGAAGCTAAATTAGATCGAGTCCGAAGGGAGACTAAATCGCCCAACCTGCCCGCTTGCCGACTGCAGTTTCTTGAGACATCGCTGCTTCACATGCTACCGAGCACTCTCGCCGAATCTCACAGCACGGCGACAACTCCTTGTGCTGTTCTGTGGGTGCCAAATGCAACCTCTCCACATCAAGATGTTTGGGGCCTATGGAGGTCATTGCAGTTGGGCTCCCCGGAGACTAGTAGCGGGTGGTAGCCATCACTGGAGACTCGCCTTCTACCCGAAAGCCCCCATCGGCGTTCCATCGTCCCCGCAAGATAAGGTCGAAGAACATTTGCTATAGATGGCTTAGTAGAAAATCACGCACAGCCTGTTCACTAAAGTGAACAATCATTGGCTAAGTCTGTCGGCAGTGGGCCATCCAGTCACGCTTTTTATCCAGGAACCAGGTCTACTTCCCACGGTACGTCCAATCACTATCTGGGTTCTAGCCCCGTAACCACAAGGGCAGCTATTGTCAGATGTTCTTTGACTCAAGGTAATAGGCGTGGTGTCGATCACCGAGGTACCAGAATGTTTGAGCGGAAAAATAAGCCCATATTCGGAGCCAAACCGTGATCCAAAGCGCAACTCGCAATTCCCTTTCCCATCCATCCATTTGCCCCCACAAGGCGAGGAACCCCTAACACAGCATGAGATGCACGGTTCACTCCGACAGGCGTAGATTGATCCAATGAAGCCGTCTTTTCTGTCAGTCCAGGGAAACGTCCCTCTGGGACGGCCCCGGGATAGCCAATTCAGGTAGTAATCGGACGCTCCACTGCGGACGATTTTGTCGCGTTCGACCAGGAACCAAAGAGGAATTTCCCCCGTCAGACCGTCAGAACTCAGTAGTGTGGCCAGGACGAAACGCCCCAGCACGTCCTAGTCATTTCACATGTGGGGATCAGGACAACCCTCGGTCATGCCTCGATATTTGGATCGATGTGGAGAGTCCGGGTAGTACCCGTGTATCTGCAGACATATAAGGAGCCCTGCAGTCTGCTTGGATCTGGACCCTGACCGTTCCGTCGTCAACTGCTGGCATTCCCTGGTGGAAAGCACACTTCCAGCATGCGTTTCTCGTCGGCACTTCTTTCCGCCCTCTTGCTTTCCGGCACCTCGCTGGCGACTCCAGCTCCGGTGTCCTCATCTGTGGGTATCTCAACGCAGGCGAGACCCGCGCCAGAGGAACATGTTGCAGCACAGACACCCCCAGCAGCGGAGGCAACGGCCGCCGCCGCAGCCGCAGCAGCAGCAGCAGGGGCATCCGGACAGACGGCCGGTACCAAGCAACAGCCGAACAAGGATGCCAGTGCCGGCCAGCAAAACGTGAACGCCGCCAATCGGCAACCATCGGCCCAGGGGGCTGATCAGCAAACCACCCCCAGCGTCGGCCAGCAAACGGCTGCGGCTGCAGAAGCACCAAGTCAAAACACCGCTACACAGTCGCATGGAGATCTCCTATCAGGATTGGTCGGCGGTCTTCTGGGTGGTGGCTCCAGCCAGGACGCTGGAGCAAGCAGCAGCGCTGCCGCAACCCCTTCACAACCGGGCTTCGATCGGGCAGCCACTTCTACGCAGGATGCAGGGTCTTCCGCCACGAGTTCTTCTGGAAACCTGCTGACGGACATTGGCGATGGCCTTGGCGGTCTCCTTGGTCTTGCATCCCCGACATTCTTGAAGAATGTTGAGTCTTTCTTCAACCACTTCGCATACCTCTTCGATGATAAGACCACCGACCAGACGAAGTCCCTGCTCGACACTGCTTACAACCTGCTCAACAACCAGTTGATCACCGAATTGACTGGTCTTCTGAACAATGCAAACAGTCTGTTGACCCCGACATTTGTGAACGAGACCCAGCAATTGATCGGCTCGGTTGGTCCACTTGTCACACCCCAGCTGTTCAAGAAGGTCTCTACATTGCTTGATAATGGTAACAACCTGTTGACTGCTGAGTTTGTCAAGGAGGTTAATGGCCTGATCGGCAATGCGAACAACTTGTTGACGGCTGAGTTCGTCAAAGAAACAAAGGAGCTTATCCAATCTGTCTCTCCTATATTGACACCAGACATGCTTGGAATGGTTGGCACGCTCTTGAACAATGCCAATAATCTCCTAACTACAGAATTTGTTAAGGAGACCAAGTCGCTCATCAGTGCAGTTGGCCCTATCTTGACACCAGAGCTGGTCAAGGAGGTCAACACGTTGCTGACCAATGCCAATGGCTTGTTGACCGCCAACTTCGTCAAGGAAACGACATCTTTGATCGCGACCGTCGGGCCCGCTCTGACACCTCAGCTGTTCAAGGAGGTCAACTCGGTTCTTAGCAACGCCAACGGCCTCTTGACGCCGAGCTTCGTCAATGAAACCCAATCACTGATCGGGGCCGTCGGACCTGCACTCACTCCCGAGCTATTCAAGGAGGTCACATCGGTCTTGGGTAATGCCAATAGCCTGTTGACCGCCAACTTCGTGAAGGAGACTCAGAGCTTGATCGGCGCAGTTGCCCCTGTTCTGACACCTGGCATTCTTGTGGAAGTTGCCGGCTTGTTGGGCAATGCCAACGCCCTCCTTACACCGGCATTCGTGAATGAAACTCAAGGCTTGATTGGCGCTGTGGCCCCGATTTTGACGCCCACTCTTCTTGGGGAAGTTGGCAGCCTCCTGAACAATGCCAACTCTTTGTTAACGACAGGATTCGTTGACGAGACCCACTCACTGGTTGGCAGTGCAAATGACCTACTGACGACCGATTTCGTCAAGGAGACCCGCGGGTTGATCGGTGATCTTTCGCCGGTCATCACGCCTCACCTGCTCTCAGAAGTCGCAGGTCTGCTGGACAACGCGAACTCCCTGTTGACACCGAAGTTTGTCAACGAGACGCAAGGACTGATTGATGACATCTCGCCGGTTCTCACGCCGGAGATGCTGGGTGAGGTTGGCGAACTTCTCGGAAATGCCAACAAGCTCTTGACCACCAAATTCGTTGAAGAAACCCAGAGCCTGATCGATAATGTGTCACCTGCCATTACTCCTGCTCTCCTCAGCAACGTGAAAGACCTTCTTGGAAATGCAGCGAATCTGCTGACGCCTAAATTCGTGAATGAAACAAGCAATCTCATCGACGAAGTCTCGCCAATCCTCAGTGAAATCGCACCGATTCTCAGTCCCGAAATGCTTGGAACAGTTGGTGGCCTTCTTGGAAACGCCAACGATTTGTTGACCTCGAAGTTTGTTAATGAAACACAAGTGCTTGTTGAGGATGCTTCTGAGGTAAGTGTTGTGATCCAATGCCACCATGTTAAGAATGAAACTGACTGTTCATAGTTGCTTCCCGCTATGGTCAAGGTCTTAGGATCACTGTAAAAGCGTTGAACCGCAAAATAATATGGACATACGATATGGACAAGGTGTCTACTTAATCTTATAAGTAATTATGTGCTTCGATGTTGGTGTATCCCATGTTTGCGATCTGTGCCGCCGATACAGTGCAGGTACAGATGACGTCTTAATTATAGCTGGTCCATAGTCCAAGATTTCAGAACGCGTGCCGAGTCGTTAAGCTGGCTTGGCCCATAATCACAGGAACAACTTATATGTGCTGTACATGATAAAGGTGTACTGAACGCCGAAAATCTTGTAGAGAGCAATAAGCTCAACCGGTCCATAGGCTTTGCGGGATGAATAGAACATCACCGTCCAGCAAAAGCGGATATATGCCTGTTATCCAGGGATCCGGGAGAGGTATCATGAGCGGGAATCCAAAAATGCATGGCTATCTGTGCCATTCAAGCGGATATGGGCTTTCGTAGAGCGGAGCCAGGCGGAAACAGGGTGCTCAAGCCCGTTGAGCGCCATGTGGTAATTTGATCATTCCTCAGTCGCACGGCACTTCGCATCATCGCAGTATTTTCCGGCGAGGAGAAAAATCGTGACCATTTGGCAAGCCGCTCTGGTTGAGAATCTTCGTATGGTATATTGTAAAGCTTCTGAGTCGAAACGGACCTTAAGATGCAATGGCCGAAGGCTTGTCTTGGAACTTCGACAAGACCTTCATTTCGGTATTACGTTCCTTGATCTTCTTATCCATGGCTTTCTGAACATCTTCGCGTTTTTTCTCGGCGTCTTGCAGCTTCTGTTTCAGTTCTCTTGCGACTTGCTCTTGGGCCTTCAACGCCGCCTCCGGGGATGGGAATTCCTGGCGTAGCTTTTCAATCTGAGCGCGTACTTCCTCCTCATCGATAGGAATGCAAGTAACTGGATGGTATTTGTGTGGTGGAAGAGGCTCCCCCGGTATACGGATCTCAGGGAGCAGTTCGTGGATTGCCGTGGTGCGGATCGGGGAGTCCAGCGGAACCGGCTTGGCTGTGGGAGAAGGCGTCGGTTCAGAAGGCGGGGAGAGAGGGAGTTGCTGATCCATGTTGATGTAGGCTTGCTGTAAGCGGGCGTTCTCCGGGCAGGTAAATGAAGATGTTTCTTGGACAGGTCGGTTTAAGCAAGTAGGTAGTGACTTCTCACAGTTTGTTGACCGAGGTGTTGGCTGTTGTTCATGGGATTTTGTCAGTCGCGATTACTGCCATCTCGGTGGTTCACCGCCATGGCTGGTCACCTGATTAGGAATAGTTCCCCGCGGCTCCGCATGTCAATGATTCTCTTTCACGTGCTCGGTGATAACTCGGGAGTGTTGAACAGCATGAGTCAGATAGCTTTCAATAACTGAATCTCACTCTGTCAGGAGCGGAGATTCCTGTCAGCATTCTTTGACTGCGGCGTGTACTGGAGGCTGATTTCCGGATGCATAGGCGGTCAGGTTCTGCCATCAGGGGTAGCTCGCCGCCTTCGCTCCGGATGTGGGGGGTCGGCGAGGGTCTCGACCGGCAGCGTCTCACAAGACAGCGTCAAGTTACCCGGACACTCGAATAGATGAAAATCGAGTGGCTCTGGACCGATCCCGTTGGCTTCGAGCTTGCTAACCATGCAGGCCTTTGGTATGTCTCCCACCATGCGTATTCTATCAAGCAAAGCGGATCGTCGAATTGAATGACATGTCTTCTGGCATTGGCGCTAATGCTGCATCCATTAGTCCCTAAGAACCGGAGAGTAAGTCGATCACGCTCAATTGATGGAGGTATTGAAGATGCCAATGGCAGATATAGCCTAGATTCGAGTTGGTCTTGAGAGTGAGATCCCATTTATCTCATCGCAAGTAACGCACCGACTGACTGCTATGTCATTCTAGATCATCGACCTCAACAATGTCCCACTCGTGAGCGGTACCGCATTCGTCAAATGGCGCTTGCCGTCATCCAGTGCGACTGAACACCACGGCCATACGGATAAGGCAGTCATCGTAGACCATAGGGCATACTGGAACTACGAAAAGGTCCTGCAGGTCAGGCTCACCATTGACCGAAACCAGACCCTCCACGAATGCGAGCTATACTTCGAGATTATCCAGGAATTTGCGTCTGGAGGGAACAATGACAAAAATCTGCTGGGAAGGATAAGACTCAACCTGTCCGAATATGTGGACAAGAGCGACGACGACGAGGGCATCGTACGGAGATACTTGATGCAAGATAGCAAAATAAACAGCACGCTCAAAGTCGGGATAGCTACACGTCAAGTCGAAGGGGATCGGAATTTTATTACGTATGTCTTATGCCATGGGAAAGGAAACTGCGACGTACTGACAGAACATGTTGCTGATTATATTCAGGCCTCCTCTCAAATCAGCCATGGTCTTTGGAGGAATCGCAGGGGTTGTATCCTCGGAACAAGGAGAACACGATGACCTGGGCCGGCTACCGACGATCAACACTCAGAGCCGCGAAGTTACAGACATGCAAGACATGTACCGCCGCACTCTGGCCGCCTCTTGGAATTCGCGGGCGGACGATTTACCGGCGGATAAGCTGATCGAAGAATTATTCTCCGGAGGCATCAGCTGGGCCGATGGCCTTGATGGCCGCGCCGAGAAAACCGTCGAACACCAGGCCGATCGACTGTCACCACACGGAAATGCAGGTGCCAGGCAAGCTTTATCAGACAACCGACTGTCCCCTCCCAGCTTTGAAAGACGGCCACGAAGCTCTTCGAGCAACCATTTTCGGAATGATGCTAAGGGGGCAGAATTTGTCCCGTCCAATGACCATGCAAGGAAAGGCGGAAGCATTGAGCAGCAACTGTACGACAACCCGAAAGGCAAGGCTTGGAAAAATCGTAGTTCGGAATTCGAACTGTCCGAGTTCGATGTGCGCGAGGACTTGCGGAGTTGGGAGGTGATGAACCAGGAGTAATTTAGCGTGGTGCTTGTGGCGTTAGACATTCCCCTGTATAATACCCCCTATGACTCTTTCTTATACATTTGCGCTCTGCTTGGTTGGTTGCTCCATGACTGGCTGCCGATATCTACTTTGTATCTAATTGCTCCGGCTGCGAGATGGATCCGCATCTAGACTAGACCGTTTTGGGACTAGCAGAGATCCCAGATTGCATCAATTCGAGCTTCGACTTTCCATCATCGGTCTTTCTACTAGACTCCGGGCTGGTGCGCTTTGTTTCTCGTTCCATATGCTGTCTCGATCCTCCAACAGCGCAGCAGGTCTACTGAGCTGCCGGCTGCTTCCAGAATGCAGAGCGAGCTTCCTCCCTTCCGCATTGCGCCGGCGTAATGGCGCTATCCGGTTCGAATCCACCGAAAGTGATGCCCAAGACACACCGCTGCCGTCGCCTCATCCCCCTCGTGCTCATCGACCCCCCCGTCAACGCCGTCCACACAAAAGGAGCCGAGGTAGGAAGGTACCAATCTCAGTGAGCACGCTCGGGAATCCTGGTGAGGTGGTGGTCGTGCAGGAACGACAACGCCGCCAATTGCGCAAAGCGAAAGAAGGACCGAAGGAGATCTTTGACAGGACTGCTCTTCCTTTATTTTTGAGGGAAATAGAGAACGACGATAATTATGTCGATAGCGAACTGTTGAAAACCCGTGTCGAAAGTTTACGTGACAATTTACAACCCCAACACAAGTTGACCGTTGCCGATTGGGAGGGCCTTCGAAATGAGCTCCAATCGTCCTTTACATATCGCCAATTATCGGACTACATATCAGAAACGAGAGAAGACAGTTCGAATCAGGATGGGACAAAAGTTGCGCAATGGACACCCGGGATTTCAGAGTTCCTAGAAACAGGCGATCTTTCTTCTCGAAGAGGTGTCGCTGATAGAGTCGCCCCATCGCAGGCTCTCATGGGAAAACACCTACTTGCTGAAAGGATCCTCCGTGACTGCTGGCATCTCGGAGTTCTTGATGAAGTCGGTCAACTAGATATGCATCTGCCTACGCCCGCATTATCTCTACTCCTCAACTCGCAGCACTTTTCTTTCGAGGAATTAGCCAGCTTACATGAGGCAAACATTGATGTCATGCATGCATTTGGGCTTGTGAGGATTACAGGACGGCAGCGTATCTGTGAATCAATCTCTGAGATTATACACGATACCACCACTAGGGTTCGACAGGAAGACATTGAATTGCCACCAGACGAAACGAGGACAAAAGTCAACAATCGCATCTTCACATCCGATTTCCTCTCATGGGTGACCAAAACATACAGAGTAGCCTTCGAACAAACAACACCGCATACGCCAAACCGAATCTTCTACCTGGTTGAGAACAAACAGGATGCGGACAACGCGCGCAGGGCCCTCAATCTTGCATATTACGGCGCAAATGCTCCTCCTGTCCCTTTTAGCACCTATGTACCCTCGACCGAGCCAGCTAGTGTCCACGATGTTGACCCCGAGAACAACACGACATGGCCCGATAGACAAAAAGCATGGTTCCGATGGGCCACACCGGCAACTCAGGCTCCCGAGATAAGCCCGTTGGACACACAGTTCTTCGATAATCACCAAACTCGCCTGTCGGACGAGCTTTTCAAGCTACTTCGACAAAAATCAGTCACTTATCATGCAAATCAAGAAACCGGCGCTGATGTCCACGAATCGGTAACAGCAGCAGTCGGCAAATGCCTTTTCTTGCGAAAGCCATTCTTCGAGGAGAGCTCGGTGAACGCCTCGCAACTCGGCAAAATGTCACTCCCAAGGACATTTACCACCGACATCCCTCGTGCGGCCCAATTCCTCCGCATGCTGGCCCCGCAGCCTGTAGACGAGCACCAACAAGCCCACCGCATCCGACTAGTCCCATCGGCCCTCAACGCCAACGTCTTCCCTCAGCTAGAGCTCGAAGTCACCGCAAAGACCAACCGCCGACCCGATGACCCGGACCCAGAACTCGCCATGCGCAGCGCAAAACTAATCCTTGCCGAGAGCAACGTGGACTACCTCCTCCCAGAAAACGGGCTCGATCTACGCTTCACCCGGAAACTAACCCGGGAGCTCCTCACCAGCTCCCAAGACAGCTTCTCCCTCAAAGCTCTGGAAGAATGTCTCCGAGGCCTCTTCACCCGCTCCATCACGAGCGACGGAGAACTCCCCCTTCCCGCATTCACACAAGTCACACTCCCCCGCGATATCCTGGGCCAGGATACAACCTCCACAGAATACATGTTCCTCCCCGTCAGCGATATCAGGGGTACACGCATCCATCGGTACGATTTCCGCGGCCAGCAGCTCAACTATGCTTTCTACGAGAGCGGTCCATTCAACCCTTACCAGACCTCTGACCTGTTCTTGAACATGGACACCGCAAAGGACGAGTCTGCATCGGCTGAGTCTGTCTCCGAGACGGACGTGTCCCGTGACGCACTGAAAGACAATTTCCACACTTTTTATAAGACCGCTTGTGCATTGGCTTTCGAGTTGGATAAGGCTCGACGTTTGGAGGCGAGCTGGGATAGTACCGGCGCTATTTAAGTATTGGGTTTGTGGTGGAGTCGATTTGTGAGCCATGTATTTATAGATTTATTTGATGATATATGTATACTATGAAAATATATTTGGAAGGCATGTCTCTACTGTGTATGGTTGTTGTCTGGTTGTGGTTGCATGTAAATGGGCGGCTCCCTGTTGAGGGTAGAATGAAAATACAATTTAAGGGTAGAACATCCATTTGTAGTTCACACGTACCATACGGGAGCAGAAAGCTTTTCACACTACTAGTAGTGTTTGGCTGTGGTACTAGACACTATGGGGCCTCTAATATTACCGGTTCGCGAAGCCCTCGAATGGCTGACATCATATCCCCACAAACTTGTAGAAATCGTCAATTCCCCTCCGAAGACCATCTTCCCACGCCGAAGGATCTTCATCGAGTTGTGCTGGCTGGATGTCTCTTTTGCGCTGACCAATCCACGGCTCTAAGGCACTGATCTTGTCTGCACCATCTCGAGGAGGTAAAATGCCCTGGATAGCAGCGCCAAAGAACCGCAATGCATCACTGTACCCCAAGTCCCAGCCATGAGTAAAGCTTTGGCGTTGATGGGGGCTCCAAGAGCTTGTAGTCTGTGACGAGGCCTTTTCTCGGAAGTGCGATTGTTCGGCTGTGGCTTGTTTGGTCTTTTCACGGACGTGTGCTTGGGGTATCGTCAAGCAGCTGGGCATTTGGACGGTACCGTTCAGAAAATCTGCCCTGAACTGAGGAATGGCGCTTTTGCAGCCTCCGAAGACTTGTTGTTTACTTTTTTCTTGACCGTCGTCGATATATATAAGCAAGGATTGATCAATCGCCCTGGCTATCTTTAGAACCTCGTCATAGCATTCACACATGTCTGAGGCACTTTCACACCCAGAGGATATCGAAAGTCCAACTACCCCAGACATTCCATGAAATGTTACCTCCTGTGCTAGGAAGGCGACACAGTCCCTAGCTACTGTCCGATTCTCTGCATTGGCACAGAGATTAATGCCACTGGAGCTAGTGTGGAAGTCAATGAGAATCCCGATACCGTGATACCGACATTTTTCGATTAGATGCTTCACGATATTCCAGCAACTGTGATACACCTGTGATGGCTCCCCTTCGAACGCTGTCCCTAGGCAGAACAGAGGCCCAAGGGAGTAAAAACTTAGTGGTAAGCGAAGAGTTCTGCATTTTGCTACATCTTTGAGCCAAATGAGATCGTCATCGGATAAAGCTGATAGCCAGTGGGTTTCCCACTTCCGCCTTGTTTCTTCGAGTCCGTTGGAGGCTATCGACCTAATTGTGCCGGAAGATCATTCAGTATCTGTAGGGAAATAATACCCACCAAAGGGAGAGTTGAGTTGATTCTAGTACCCACTTTTTGAGGAACTGTAACTCACTTGACCCGGCTGGATCTTCCCGTGGTATGCTATTGCTCAGCTGAGGGCCAAGAACAAAGACGGACCCCAAGTTCGCTCCATATTGACTTCGGAAACGGAGTATGTCCTGATCCCTGGGAGGAAGGGGGCAATATAGTTCTGACATGTCAAGACCGGGAAAGTGAAGGTCTCTTCGGTTAGAATCGGGGTTTGCTGCTGGTTAGTTTGGCTAGGATGTCTATAGAGACGAAGACTGAGGATGATTTGGGGTGTGATTCAAAAATAATGATAAATAAGTAACATATGAGGCGGTCAGATGAAAAGCATGGGATCGCCAGCTGCACGATAATGTCATTCGAGTCTGAATTGGCCGGCAGCACTTGACCTCACCAGATCAGATGAGTTTCCTAAAGCGGAGATTCCTTGCAAGTAACAGTGAAAACCCTCTCTTTATAGCGCTAAGTAACTGGTGCCACGTACGGCTACTAGAAGGAAAGAAAATATTAGAACTTTCTTTGTTGAAACATGGTAGAATTAATAACGGGTGCGTGCTGGGGAGAAAGCAAGTCAAACAAGGTTAACGACTTGACGTAGTTGCCGGTTCGAGTCCATCATTTTGGGCTAGCGAGGGGCTCCGCATTTGGCCGGGTGTCCGTGCAGCTGAAAATGTTGCCTGTCATCCTTCGTTCCCTAAAGCCTCGCCCCCCCTCTATTTATATGTGGTTGGCAGGTTAGTTTATATTATTGTCTCCGCATTCCCCTTCTAGTATTCCAGTTCCCCCAGTCTAAAGCTATAGCAGTTCCCGACCGTACTGCTGTTCTAAGGTCTCATCAATGCGCCCAGTCATGAAGCTGATGCGGATACAGTAACAGGCAAGGCATGGAGAGAACACGGGTCGCTAAGGTCAGTCTAGTAGATTGGTGCCTCAATCGCGGCTTGGAGCATGACTTTGGAACCCCGACTAATGGCTTTCTCTGGGGATCAGGTTGAAGATGTGACCTTGGCGCGCCGAGGCGAACAGGTGGTCGGCACACTCCACCTCACCCCTCATCATATTATTTTCTCCCACATCCCCCGTCAACCGACACAACCCAACCACAGGCTCCTGCTGCCCGGCCCAAGGAGCTCTGGATCACATACCCCATCATCTCTTTCTGTACTTGTCGTCCCACGCCTTCCGCAGCCCGCCAGCCGTCCTCAATTCGCATCCGTTGTCGTGATTTTACATTTGTCTGCTTCTACTTCACCACTGAGAACAAGGCGCGTGATGTCTATGAAACCATCAAGTGCTGGACTTGCAAGGTGGGACGGATCGATAAGCTCTACGCCTTCACATATCGGCCCCCTCCTCCAGAGCAGAAATTCAATGGCTGGGATCTGTATGATCCGAGAAAGGAGTGGATTAGACAAGGTGTCGACCGGGATGGCTCGGGCTGGCGTATATCTCAGCTGAACACAGACTATGGGGTAAATGTCTACAAATACAAATGTGTGAATTGTGGTATTGACTGCCCCCTTCCAGTTTTCTGCAACCTACCCTGCTCTTCTCCCCGTGCCCTCGGCCATCTCAGACAACACACTGAATCACGCTGGGAAGTATCGGTCTAGAGCGAGAGTACCGGTGTTGACGTATCTCCATCCCGTAAACAACTGCTCCATAACAAGAAGCTCGCAGCCCCTTGTGGGCGTGCGTCAGAACCGAAGCATCCAGGATGAAACTTTACTGGCAGCCATTTTCTCGACCTCTCGTTCAGAGAGACCGCTCGCCAGCTTTATCCCATCTGGGTTTGGCCTTGAATCATCACATACGTCACAAGAAAATGCTCCACGCAGTCACATGCTGGCTGATCTGACGGTCCCTGAGGACTTTGAAGACGAGATGCTGACATCGTTTCCTGGGGATCCGGAAGAACGGCCTCAAATATACGGCGCTCAGCAGCACAATTTGATTGTTGATGCCCGACCCACTGTTAACGCCTTTGCCATGCAGGCTGTTGGTCTTGGGTCGGAGAACATGGACAACTATAAATTTGCTACTAAGGCTTACCTTGGCATTGACAATATTCACGTGATGAGAGATTCTTTGAACAAGGTGATTGACGCATTGAAAGACTCCGATGTCATCCCACTAGGTCCAAGCAAAGATCAGCTTGCACGGAGTGGCTGGTTGAAACACATCTCTGGCATCCTGGATGGTGCTCGGTTGATCGCTCGGCAGGTTGGGCTTCAGCATTCGCACGTCTTGATCCACTGCTCAGATGGATGGGATCGAACAAGTCAGTTAAGCGCATTGAGTCAGATCTGTCTCGACCCTTACTATCGAACGATGGAAGGTTTCATGGTTTTGGTGGAAAAGGACTGGCTCTCCTTTGGGCACATGTTTCGGCACAGGTCGGGCCATCTGAACAGCGAAAAATGGTTTCAGATAGAGAACGAGCGCATCGGGGGAGATTCTAACCGTGGATTTGGTGAAGGAGGCGGTGCAGGCAGAGCCATCGAAAATGCATTCCTGAGCGCCAAAGGCTTCTTCAACCGAGAAAACACCAGTCGCGACTCCCTTGGCGAATCGGATGGAGAGATGCAGAACTATGACGCGGAGAACATGAAGAAAGCCAGCTCGATACCCAGGACAGCTGCCGCTGAAATGGAGGTGACCAAGGTGAAGGAGACTAGTCCCGTCTTTCACCAATTCCTCGATGCGACGTATCAATTGCTACACCAGTACCCAACGCGATTTGAGTTCAACGAACGTTTCCTGCGTCGACTATTGTACCATCTTTACTCGTGTCAGTACGGCACGTTCCTCTTCAATAGCGAGAAGGAGCGTGTGGACTGGAGCGCGAAGGAACGAACTCGAAGCGTATGGGACTACTTCCTGGCGCGGAGGGAGCAGTTCTCCAACCCACAGTACGACTCTCAGATCGACGACCACAAGCGTGGAAAAGAGCGGCTTATCTTTCCTCGAATCAATGAGGTGAGGTGGTGGAGTGAAGCCTTCGGTCGAACCGATGCGGAGATGAATGGTGTGCGGTCATCTGGTTCTCGGCCACCTGCTGGTCGCGATACCACTAGTGCCGAACCGTCGCCAGTCTTGACCGGCATTGAAACCGCTAATCATGCTCTCGGCGCTGGATCGTCTGGCAAAGACACCCTCAATGCGGCCTCAGCTGGAATGGCAGCAGTAACTGCGGGGATTTCAAGTCTCGCTTTTACTAGGAGTAAAGATGACAGCCCGGACGCTAAGAGCTTGAATCAGATGGAAGTTGAGATGCAATGATCCGCCTCGAGAAAACATTCTATGAAAGTGTGCATACAAATCGATGTATCTACGGTGGCCTGGTGGAGGATGGTCTGGATAGGCCCAGAGGGAACGTGAATATGCGTGTCATCTATGCGTGTCTGCCTGTTGTTCTTATGTTTGACGCTGCATTTCTCCCCGGGTGGGGGAGTAGAGTACAGTTTACCGTCAAACTACGATTGCATGAATACAAGAATGAGGTCCAGCACTAGCAGTCCGGATGCTGGATTGGGATATGATGGGTTTGCAAGTCCGCTCCAGTCTGTGGTCGCGTTTGGGTTAGCCGGCGCCTGTTGCAACGGATAGATATCGCGAGGAGGAACTTGTCCCATGGGGCACTAGATAGACGAGCTGGGAACCGTAAGAACGGGACGGGACCGTGCCTGAGGGCCTGAAAGGTCAGGCGGAGAGCGACCGAGCTGGCAAGCTAAGGGGTCTTGGCGGGCCCGAAGGGGGAAGGTGCCCGCGCAGCAGCAAGCGAGGTTGAGCCCTAGCCCAGAACCGCCAGCAGAAGCCCTAATGGCAAAAACCCCCCACTAACGCCGGACTTCTCAAAACTGACTTGACCGCCGCCGCCCATTTCGCCCTCGAACGACATCCCCTAACCGCCGTTTCCTCGCCAGTTCAAATCCCCCAGCAGAAACGCAACAATGGCCGCTGTCCAGGGAGCTATTTCGAAGCGCCGCAAGTTCGTCGCCGACGGTGTCTTCTATGCTGAGTTGAACGAGTTCTTCCAGCGCGAGCTGGCTGAGGAGGGATACTCCGGCGTCGAAGTCCGTGTCACTCCCACCGTGACCGACATCAGTACGTCGCCCGATTTATTTTGCGTTTCATCATCCTAGACCCAGTGTGTTGTGGAAGCCGAAGGCCGGAAATGGAAAATGAAGATCGTCGAAAAGGAAAATTTTATATACGAGGAGGAAGCAATTGCAGGGATGGGCTGGCGATCAACAACTGGAATGGATTGAATATAAAAAAGATGGAAAAACGTGCCAGTTGCTAACGGATGCTTTCTTTTTTGCAGTCATCCGTGCCACCCACACCCAGGAGGTTCTCGGTGAGCAGGGCCGCCGCATCCGCGAGCTCACCTCCCTCATCCAGAAGCGCTTCAAGTTCCCCGAGAACTCCGTTTCCCTCTATGCCGCCAAGGTCCAGAACCGCGGTCTGTCCGCCGTCGCTCAGTGCGAGTCCCTCCGTTACAAGCTCCTCAATGGTCTCGCCGTCCGCAGAGCCTGCTACGGTGTTCTCCGTTTCATCATGGAGAGCGGTGCCAAGGGTTGCGAGGTTGTCGTTTCCGGAAAGCTCCGTGCTGCCCGTGCCAAGTCCATGAAGTTCACTGTACGTTTTTATCGAAACCCAGCCTTTTCCAACACATCTCGAATGGTCGAATCGGTTCCGAATCTGTGGTGGATTTGAGAAGCATTCAATAACTACAAAATCTGCGATCAACGAAGCGACTGACGGACCGGTTCAACCACTCGGGGAAATCAACACGATCATGGAATAAGAATCTGAGGACTGACTTAATTCTCGAACAGGACGGTTTCATGATCCACTCCGGTCAGCCCGCCAAGGAGTTCATCGACAGCGCCACCCGCCACGTTCTCCTCCGCCAGGGTGTCCTCGGTATCAAGGTTAAGATCATGCGTGGTTCCGACCCCGAGGGCAAGGCCGGCCCCCAGAAGACTCTTCCCGATGCCGTCACCATCATCGAGCCCAAGGAGGAGCAGCCCATCCTCCAGCCCGTCAGCCAGGACTACGGTGCCAAGGCCCTCGCCGCTCAGCAGGCCGCCGAGCAGCAGCGTCTTGCCGAGCAGCAGGCCGCCGAGACCCAGGAGGGTGCCCCTGCCGAGGCTTTCACCCAGGAGTAAAATGGTTTCTTTTCTTAGGCCCTGCTCTTTTTTCTTCCATCCTCTGTCCGTCCTATCCTAACCTTATATCTCTTACCTGACGCAACAAATAAACAACTATGATCCTCTTCCAAAAAAGCTGTTTATTTTCTCTCCTCTTCTTTCCCTCAATCCCCCCTACTCTCTCTCCCTCTTATCTCCCCAATGCGGCGAATTGTTGAACGGCAAAGTTCAGCTTTCTCCTCGAAGGGTTTCCCATTCCTAGTGAAATATCTAGGTAGGAACAACATCCCATGAGATACCAAGTGATGTCCGATACCATGACATTGGGGGTTCTGAAGAATGCGTCAGGTATAGTCACGTCTTACGGATGTGGAATGAGAAATATGGGCAGGGTTCAAAGGAATTGGAACGATCGGCGTACGAAGAAAAAATCGTTTGGTCTAGCAAAAAAAAGGGATATGCATTCATGATCACTTAAAGAAGTTGTTGGGGTATCTACGTAACTGTTGCCTTCTGTAGTTTGGGCTGGAAGGGCCTATGGGCCGTAGTGAAGAGCAAGTCATCTTGAGATATGTTTTCAAGGGAACGGTCATGAGTCTCAAAATTCTTTTTTGCTTTTGATTGTATCCTCTTGCTAACTTGGGTAATAATCAATCATGGCATCGGCTATTTTCTATAAACATCTATCGTCTACGCATGTCCTTGCATTGATCTTCCGTCGTCGCTCAGAGGAAAGCTTCGATGTTGATCTCCAGGGTGCTGACGGGGTACTTCAACTCGTAGTTCTCCAGCACCGTCGGGTGCAAGATACCGAAGGCACCGATCACGTGGTCCTTGCCGGCTATGCGCACGTGAACGGAAGCGGCGTGGCCGGGGAAGTATGTGGGTTCTGAGGCATCCAGTTAGCAAGCTTAAAATGGCATTCTCAAGGTCTGGTCCCAGTGGCTTACCATCGAGCTCCTCGATCCAGTACTGAGAATCACTCATAGCCGAGTTCTCAAGGCCCTCCTCGCCGGTCATGAAGGCACTCTTGAGCATGGCCATGACGCGGTCCAGAAGACCGTGCACAACCTCGAATCCACTCGTCTTGCCGTACCAGGCAGCGGCAAAGTGTCTCTCGTTGCGGCTCTTGCGCTCCAGAGACATGTCCTTAAAAGCAACGTCGCTGACCTCGAAGATCTTCATGGGCACGGCATGGTGCTTGTTCTCGCGGATGGTCTTAAGCAGACCAGGCAGCAAGCTCGTGCGGACAACCTGGAATTCAGTGGTCTTGGGGTTGGCCAGCTTGACAGCAGTGTTTCCGTCATCCTTGCGGTTGAGCCAAGCGAAGTTCTCGTCGTGCGAGCACAAGATCAGTGGCAGCACCTCAGACCAGCCTGCCATTGCGGCCTCCGTGCGCACAATATCGGTGAGCTTGTTGATGGGGAGAGGCTGGGCAACAGTACCAGACTTGCTGGGGAAAGACCGGGGGAGCGAGTTGAAGCCGTAGGCAATGGCAACGTCCTCCATGATATCTGCTTGGTGGAGCACATCGGCTCTGGTTGGAGGAACAAAAACATCGATCAAGTCGGGGTTCGTAGTGGAGGGCTTCGCATCGTAAGCCATCTTCTTCAGAAGAGTGCTGATCTCTTCGGGAGAGAGCTCCAGTCCACAACACTGGTTGATGTAAGAGACCTCGGCCTGCGCCGTACGGGGAGCAATGTCCGGCACGATTCTGGTCTCGTTGTTGTGCTCAGAGATCACCTTGACAGGCTCAATCCTATTTGTCCAGTAAGTACGAGCTGAATCCCAGTGACCATAAGAAAGGGCGCCTACGTGAATGGCTCAGAGGTGTACTGGGAGAACATGGAAACCATGATACGGTTCACGATCTCGAGCTTAGTCTTATCAAGCGCAGTAATCTCGATGAAGATATTCTTAGTGTCCAGGGTGATCTTCGAGTGGTCACCGTTGATGATGGGGGGGAGAGAGCAGACGGTCCTCTTCGAGTCGTAGATCACCGGGTAGACTGGGGAGTCGCGGATGATGTGGAGGTACTTGCCCAAATGCTTGTCTTTCTGTTAAAAAGTAAGGACCCGGTTCGTTCGTCAGATCGCGCATATATAGTCATACCTCGTAGAAAGCCATCAACTCCTCGCCATTCATTTCCTTGGTCTGGTTGAGTGGGACAAACTTAATGTCCTTGGGAGGAAGTGCCTCATATGTGAAGGGTCCCTGGATGGTGTCCAAGTCGTGGGTACCGATCGAAACGAGGGTTCTTTGCCTGGCGAGGTTCTGGTGGAGCTTATCTTGCAGGGCGATGAAGGATTCGTAACGCGCTTGGTCGAACTTCACATTGCGGAGAATAGCACCGGAGACGAGAGGACGGATTTTCATGGTCTATTCCATAGTATTAGTCCCCGTTATGTCGAGCCAAACTCTTGGTCATGACTCACATCCTCCTTCACGATAATCGTCTGAATTTCTCCATTGGCGGGCTCGGCCAGCTTGTAGTTGGGGATAGGCTGGCGGCCAAGGAAGATGTTGAGCATGAGGGAGATACCCTCAAAGCACAACAGATCATAGCTGCAAATCACTCAATATATGAACTCTAAACCATCAAACACATCGCGGGTGCGTACCGGTTGGCGGGGATCTCAATCTTGAGCTGCGGGGGCTCCTGCTTTCCGTTCACGATGGGTCTGTCGGAGTTGGTGGTCTAAACCTCGTCAACACTGTGGCTCGCAGGGGGCCAGGTAGGTGGGGGGAAATTTTACATCTTCGTCGAGTTCAATTCCTGTTCAGAGCAGCTGTCAGCGCATTGCCCCGCCAAACCCGGTTCAGAATGTCCGACGTACCGAATTCGAAGCATAGCTCGTCAAACTCCTCGGTGGTATAGCTAAAGCGCGTGGTCAGTATAGATGACGGACTCCAGGGTGGTTTGATGCGCATACTCCCGGCCGAGCGCCTTGAAAAGCGCCTCCTTGTCGACGGAGATAGTAGGCATGGTGATAGCGGGGGGTGAGTCAAGACAGGGTAACAAGAAAAGCCAGCGAACGAGAATTCAACAGACTTCCGGGCACTAGGAATTGTCTGCGTAGGGTCCACCACGACCTGGACGGCAAGAGTTCAACGGTAGAAAGGACGAACAAGAGGAGCGCGGAATTCAGTCGGACTGTCTGCCACCGTTTGGGTAAGTCGCCGTAGTCGTAGTCATAAAGTCTTTTGTTCCCTGTTGGGGCTTGACCCTCTTTCCAGGCGGCGTCGGCCAAGCCACTGGGATGCACCGCCACAGGCCATCACCCCTCCTTCTCCTTGAGTCTGTCTTCCTTGAGTGCGGCCCTGACCTCACCGGACTCGGACTCCCGTACGGGACAGTACACCGCCTGCTTGCGCTCTCCTCACCAGCCACAGAATGCCTCCAAGTCGAAAGTAACCTCCAGCAGCCCATCCCGTCACCTTCGCAATCTCCCCCCCCCCTCAAGTGCCGCCCACAGATCAGCTTGATATCCCCTTTTGCAAGATCTTCTTTGAATCCCCCACACATTCCATACGGGGGTATCTTGATTTTCACGATTGTCTAAGGTTGGACCATAACTATCTAGTCCCGGTCCAATTGTTGAGGTATGATGCTCTCGCTGCTGTTGTTGCTCAAGTGTCCTGCGGCGGCCCAAACCCCACGAAACCTCGCTCCGGGGTTCTCACTGACCTCTATCTCTTCTTCTCCCACCACGCCCCTCCCGCTAACACGGACTATTCCGGTTTCGAATAGGTGCCCAGCATCCTCGTTCCTTCATACGATAGCCCCTCCATTCCGGATTGCCTGTTCTCCAGGAAATATTCGTCGTGTTCGCGTGCGAGCGGGTCGGATCGTAGCCTGAGCGAGGACTTGGACCGGTCATATCCTTGCTTAACTACTTATTCCCTAATTCTCAACCTCACTGTTACACATTATTATTCGCAATGGAGGGTCAGGGTGAAAACGACGAGCTCTACCCCATCGCCGTCCTTATTGATGAGTTGAAGGTATAGTCGCCCTCGTGACCATCCCATCCCTGACCCCTCGAGCATCGGTGGTCCTGATTCTTGAAACCCCTAGCATGACGATGTACTCCTGCGCCTCAATGCCATCCACCGTCTGTCGACTATCGCCTTGGCTTTAGGGCCCGAAAGGACCCGGGAGGAGCTGATCCCTTTCCTTGATGGTTAGTACCGGCAAAACAAGAGGGATGGTACTGGCCAAAGCATACCCCTAACACCTGCGCTATAGATTCTGTCGAGGATGAAGACGAGGTCTTGACCGCACTAAGTGAGGAGCTGGGAAACTTTATAGAATATGTCGGTGGTCCAGAGTACGGGCATGTACTCCTCTCTCCGCTCGAGAACCTGGCCGCTATCGAAGAGCCTCTGGTCAGAGAGAAGGTAGGAATCCGCAACCGATCTGTTCCGTCACTGGGCCATCGTGGTAACCATATCCTAGGCCGTGGAGTCTCTCAACAAGATCGGTGAACAACTGTCCGAGAAGCAGATCGAAGAGAATTTCATCCCGATGGTTCTACGCCTGTCAAAAGCCGACTGGTTCACCTCGAAGGTTTCCGCCACCGGCCTCTACTGTGTTCCGTACAGGAAAGCTTCCCAGTCATCACAGCAAACTCTTCGGCAATACTATGGAGGCCTCGTGCATGACGACACACCGATGGTGAGGAGACAGTCGGGGAATAACTTGGCGAAGTTTATCAAAGAATTGAATACCCAGATCGTCATTGACGAAATGATACCCTTGTTCCAACACCTCGCAACCGATGAGCAGGACAGCGTGCGCTTGCTTACGGTAGACGTTCTCATCTCGATCGCGGAGGAGATTCCCAAGGAGCAACAACCCAGCCACGGCGTTCTCTTGACCTCCTTGCGAAACCTGTTCGAGGATAAGAGCTGGAGAGTCCGGTATATGGTTGCTGACAGATATGAGAAGGTACTTTTGTCCTGGCAGTTTTACTTTCCTACACTGGATTGCTCTGACCTCATTGATAGATCGCAAAAGCCGTGCATGAAGAAGTTGTGACTCGTGACATGGTTCCCTCATTTGTCAAGCTTCTCAAGGATACCGAAGCCGAAGTCCGTACTGCCATTGCTGGCCAAATTCCAGGTATGACTTTTGTTCCCCCGAGGCGCTGTCGTCGGCTAAGTATGTCATAGGCTTCTGCAACCTGATTGACCGGGAGACGTTGCTTAATGAGATCATGACTAGCGTGGAGGATCTAGTTTCGGACCCCTCTCAGCATGTGCGCGCGGCTCTTGGTACTCAGATTAGCGGTCTTGCCCCGATCCTAGGAAAGGACGAGTCAGTATCACATATTCAAAGGCATCGTCTGGTTAGACTGCTTACATTTTCTGTCCAGGACCATTGCACACCTCCTTCCTATGTTTTTGCAAATGCTTAAAGATGAGTTCCCGGATGTTCGCCTGCATATCATCTCCAAGCTGGAATTGGTCAACAAAGGTAGGAATGAGATATGCATCCCTTAACGAGGAGTACATATGCTGATCGCTATAGTCATCGGTATCGATCTCCTCTCTCAGTCGCTTCTTCCCGCTATTGTCCAGCTGGCTGAAGACAAGCAATGGCGAGTTCGCCTCGCAATTATCGAATATATCCCCCTGTTGGCAAGTCAGTTGGGAGTCCAGTTCTTCGACGAGCAACTCAGCGATCTCTGCATGGGCTGGCTTGGTGATACCGTCTTCTCTATCCGAGAGGCTGCCACTCAAAACTTGAGGAAGCTGACAGAAGTATTCGGTGTCGACTGGGCTAAGGGTTCCATCATCCCCAAGGTGATGGCTATGGGCCAGCACCCCAATTACTTGTACAGGATGACAACATGCTTCGCCATCTCCGTATGTGGATCAGTTTTCCCGACAAAACGTTGTGCCCGCTAACTCAGCCTAGACTCTTGCTCCCGTCGTCTCGATGGATATCATTGAAAATTCGATCCTTCCAATCTTGGATAGACTTGTCTCCGACGAAATCCCCAATATCAGGTTCAATGTGGCCAAGTCCTATGCTGTATTGATCGATACCCTGCGACGCCTCCCCGCGGAGGGAACCATCACAGAACTGGAGAAGGCCGGCAAAACCGCCACGCCAACTCCGCGGGGACAGGATCTCATCCAGCAGAGAATTCTCCCCAGCTTGGAGAAGCTGCAAGAAGATGACGACGTCGACGTTCGGTACTTCGCAACGACTGCCGCAGGCGGCCACGAGGAAGTCATGCAGACTTCACCGTAGGCTACTTTCCCGACCCGGCGTAGGCCAGCACCTGCATGTCATTGCAAAGCACCTTGGGTGTGAGTGGAAATAATAACACGGCACTCGCACTAATTTGGGTGGAATTCCAGTTTTGTCAAACTTAGAAATGGTCAGAGCGTCTCACTGGTACGAAATGCTCATGGCGTTCTAAATGTAGAGTCTTTTGGTCCACGATCAACAATCCTGCAAAAATCAAATCATGTCTCCCCAGTATGTAATAGTAATTGCGTAGCGCCGATATTTCCACGCGAGTAACTAATGCAGTGATGACCTGATACCCCTTCGGCATCATGTGATTCCGACCCCAGGAGGCGCTATTTCCGTAAAGCCGTCGGCGTAAGCCAGGCATCCGTTTATTAATCCTCGGTCCACGTGTAGTTCCTGAGTCGGGAATAGTTACTCGATTTCTCAGGCTCCCTCTGAACATTGTCGGGGATACCGTCCGTTTTCTTGTCGGTTAATCTTTATTCGCAGCGGTAGGCGCAATGTCGTTCTCATGGCCGTGGCATTTCATCACCCTCTCCGACGCCGAGAAGCAGCAACGTCGCGAGCTTCTGGATCTACGTGGGTTCTACGCTCAATGCTCCGTGTTGGTTGCTCTTGTTCTAGTCCGGGTGTATAAAATGACTTTGGGGCTGCCCCTGCCACTGAAAAGCCGACTGAGAGGCGCTCACGGCGCAAGAACCTGGAAAGATCCTGGTTAGACTCGCCGCCATTTGCTGGTTGGATGGAGACCCGAAGACAGTACATCGTTTGTCTAATCTGGCTCGGCTGGCTTCTGGGCCTCTCGGTATGGAATTCCGGTGAAGGTGGGTCAATTGCTTTCATTGCCAGGGAAGTATCGGAGACGGTCGAGCTTGAAGTATGAACACAGACAGGGTGATTACATTTGTCTGAGCTCCGATTTGCCAGGACTCGCTTGTTGTCCATTCAAGCTCCCGCCAAGTCCCATACTTTATCTATTTTCCATCCCCCATCGTGGAGGCACCAGCTAAGCTGTCATCGTTTCGAGTAGATTACCTCCACTTCACCAAAGCTCTCGCACATGTCAGCCTTTCCCAACTCCCCTTGCAGGTGCTCATGTCACCGGCCTTGTACTTGAGCGCATCGCCAGGTTCGCCGTCCGTCATGTCGGTTCTAACCTCCGTTCCGCAACCCACCATCAATGCTTATCATCGTTTATTTGGTCGATTGGTCCTCTCGCCATTGCTCATCGCCCATGCCTTCTTGTACGACTCGTTCTTTCTCCAGTCGAGCCACCCGGACTTCGGCTCTCTCTTTGCGAAGCGCATTCGGGATACTGACGTCCAGTGGGGTATTGCTGCAGTCACCATGGCTGTTGCGGCCGCTTTGTTCGCTCGTCCCGCCAAGATGCCTCGCTGGGTACGTTGGTTGAAACCGTCTTCCGCAAAAACTAGACAGCAGATCTTCTATATTGGGCATGTGTCGATTGTGGGAGCGTTGGAACTTGCGGCATTCTCTCATGTTTCAGTGGCACGGGTCTATATCCTCGAGTCCTTAATGAGCTCTGTCATTAATTTTGGATGTTGCTGGTTGATGCAGTAGATGGGGTTCGGTACTGGTGCTGGTGCATTGATTGCGGATGATCTTTGGCAAGGGTAGATTGTGAAGCTCCTTAAAGAGTAGTTTGCAGCTCTCTAGCGTGGAGTTGGTTAAAATGATTTTTCTCTAGACAAGTCCGGCAATAGTATAGACTAGGAGGATAGTATGAATCTATACATCCGAATGAACTGTAGTGTGATATGAGTGATTCCATTTTCTCGAAACTCTTATGGTAGGCTAAAATTTGTGCTCAGTTTTACCCCATGGATCTGTTCATAAGAGTGATATATTCATGATAGTTGTAAGAAGATAATTGTGATAAATCACAACGTCACCACATCAAGCAGCTATTGCTCAGACTGACTTCATCATGAAGACAATCCTGGGTGACTCAGGTGAGGGAGAGTGACTGAACACTAACTGGAAGGAACAATACGCACTGAGTTGTTGTGCACCTTCCCATCTCATTAGAGGCCTCTCAAATGGATTACTCTTCATTGTAACACGCTGAGAAGAGAACAGAGTGCCTTGCCCCCTCCAAATCCTTTCAAGATCCACGTTCAGACAACTGTTTATATCTGGTGGATTTCGCCCATCTTTCCTAGTTTGCATCCATCGGCCTGTTGTATTTCCCTAGGCACAGTCATGTTCAAGTACGACATCCCCACTCTTCTGGCCCTCAGCCAAAACGCACGAATCGACCTCAGCAAATTCAGTGACCAGGCCCTCGGAAGTAAGTATCTTCCAATCTGGGCATAAAGTTTGTGCAAGCAACACATCTCTCATTAACACTGCTCTTTCTCTGATGAGTAGACAATCTGCTTCGACAGCGCAAAGCCAGTACAAGTGTTTTGTCCGAGCAGCCGGTCAACCGATCAAGGAACGCATCAAATCTCTCACGCCAGAGCGAACGGACACTTTCTATCCTCGAGCCTTCTTTGCTCCATCCCTGTCGACAGCCAAGTGATCCACCGCAAGGGATTCGAGCACATGCTGATGCTGGCTTTGCTCGGTTCCTGAAGGAGCATACATCCCCGAAGCACCAGCGCGTCACGGCAGGCGGTCGAATTGTCCCAATGGAGCCGCCTCAATCCCCCACTCCCAAGATGAAGCAGCCTATACACAGCTCGAATGCAAAGACCGGTGATGAGAAATTAGCCAAAACTTCATCGAGAAATGATAATAGAAGCAAGCTTGAGAATAGGCAGCTGCTGCCAACTGATACCAACGCAAGTGTTAATGATTCCACCGCGGCATCGCAGCCAGTTCGAAGCCCTGCTAACATACTTACCATGACACCTCAGGCTGCGGGGACAATTGACCAGCAATTCCCAGGCTGTGGACAAACACCAAACCTCTTGTCTGCGGCAGCCACCGCGGGTCTGTTTGCTCCACCTAGTTTCCCTTGGTCGCTGGATAACCAGCAAATGCCTCAGGTCGGCCTACAAGCTCCTGATATCAATCTATCAGCGGCCTCGGATTATGCTATGTATGGCTTGGGGGCAGATCCACTTGCATGGCTTCCAAATATGTACCAAGCTTTGAGTACTCAAGGTCCCATGACTTCTTCCATGCCAGCAATCCACCCATATCCAACTGTCACGTCATCCTCTGACTTCTCTGCTGGGAGTAACACCAGTAGCGGAGGGACGACCTCGGTCTTTAGTCAACTTCCACCTGGATACGACTCATTGTACCCCTCTCTTGGACTTCAGTGGCATCAATATGCGTGTGGACAAGTCCCAGTTCTTAGTCAACCAATGGTTCCCAGCACTCTTCAGACACCACCGTACCAAAAGTCTCTGGAAGATGCTGCTAAAGAGCATCAGTCTCTCACCAGTCAGCTTTCACGTCTTGACAGGTATATGGCCATGCACAGTTGGGATCTAGATCCAGATTCCAAGAAGCTTTTGGTTGAGCAGCGGATGAGTTTGGTGAGAGAGTTAGACGCAGTCAGAATATACAGGGAACATCTAGAATGGGCCTCTGGAAGGTTGAGTACAGGCATTTCAGTGAAGCAGAATGCGACAAACGCCCCTCCGGTGTATGTCACCAGCAGCCTTGCGGGCAGTCAGACTCTGCTGGGCCCCGGTATATGTGCACCTGCCTCGAGTTGTGCAGTTCCAGCGTTTCCCATGCTGCCAATAGCAAACGCGCTTCCGCAACCGCTCTCCCTCAATGAGCCAGTTAACTCGGTCTTTCCGTTCCACCTCGCGCCGGACAATCATCCATACAGTAACGATACTTGCCCAACAGACGTGCGTACGAGCCGTAACTCATTCAGGGAGGTCGACTTCTCGCACGCCACACACGTTGAACCTATGAGATCAGACAAGCAGGTCCAGACATATGGCGAGGCTAAATCAAGAGCCACCGGCGAGACTGGATGGAAAACACCTACTAAGATAGCACCTTCGGATGTTCGGAAGGTGTATCATCATATTGAGGAAGCCACTCGTCGAGGCGAATCCCTGGACGGACTGCTCAAGGAGCTCTCTGCTGCTACCTCCAAGCTAGTCAGGCAAAGAATAGATGAGCTTCAGGAGTCGCGCGGGTCACTGTCAACTATGCCCGACAAACAGAGCCACAAGGTTGCAGGTAATGAGACCTATCCAGTGAGGGGATTATCGGATGGATATGAGGCGTATGCACCACTAGGGCGGCACTCAAAAAAGGGCTGGAAGTCTGGGAACGAGTCACGAATGCCTGGAGCACACGGCAAAATGGGCCCGTTCGTGAGCGAGGAGGGTGAAGAAGATGACGACGGTGTATCCACTTCGTCTTGCTTGTCAACGACGGACTCATGGGCCACTATCCATGAGGGAGAGTGAGTGTCCTTTTGTCACACCGCTTGGCAATGTCACTGGACCCCCCTAACTCTTGCTAGCAGTCGCCGTCTAGACAGAAAGATACTGGAGGGCAAGGGGAAGAGGGTGTATCGAGATATACTGACCGAAAGGTAGTAACCGCCTTAACGGTATCGACAAGCAAGCTGATTATGTTCTGCAGCAGGCCCCGCGGCCCATTCGAACATTCTGTCGTATCTGCTGAAGCCCTTCGATCGACAGCCCAACGTACTGGAGGCCAAAGCTACAGCATCATAGGCGAACAAACGACATACAAGCCACGCAGCCCTGCAACATTGGCTAATCCGACTGAGTCGGCGAGCCAGACGAGCATGGAGGACATGAGACAGCCCTACCCCCAGCTTCTCACGCAGTACTTTAACAAGGATCGGGGTCTAGCCTTCCAGAAAACGGCAGCCCTGGCTGTCTCGCAGAATGTTAATGCACATGGGTTCCTGCCCCCTTTCGAAGGCGTGGGAAATGCACCTAATAAGAACAGAACCACGCCTATGGATATCTCTCAAGGTGGAAGATGCCTGCCGAGTGGAAAGCTTCCAAGTTCGAAGCAGCATAATGGATTACGGCCAAAAGAGAAGAAAGCCCTGTTCTTCGCAAAGCCAGTTTAACAGACATGGCGGAGTCTGGTGGAGTAAGGCTCCCGTGGCGTTCACCTTTGCGTTCCTTTCTGAAACAGATGATCAGGAGAACCATCCACAAGTAAATCAGCGGTGTGTTCATGGGGAGGAGGTTGCAACCGGCGTTGGAAGAAAGCAGTTGGAGATATGACTGTATGGCATCATTGTATTACATGTATTAAGGGATCCTCTTGTCCTGGACGGTTGGACCCCATCTGATTGGAGTGTATCTTAGCTTGAGGGAATGTTTAGCCTCTTCAATGTGTGGTGTTAGGTGTTATTGTCGAGGCTCTAGGTGGAAGGTCAGTTATCATGCTGTCCAGACCAAGGAGATATGGAGATGAATCCGGCCTGGGTCAGTCTAACTGGCCTGCTGTTTGTGGTAGTGCCCAGGCGTATTTGCTTAATTACTAGCTAGGTACGAATATGACTTCGTTACTGAAGAATCGGCTGCGGGCAGGAAGAGCAGATCGTTACTGCGTAGTGAAGGAGGGAGGGCCCTCCTTGCGTGGATGATGGATTCCCCCACATCCAACCTCGGTCGTCTTACTGGTCCGCCTCAGCCACACCCCGCAAAAGATGTGAGGTCGCATCTCGTATTCTTGATTTGACCCGGGCGAGCAGGCGAGACCTACCTACTATTCCTGTAAGTGTACGGAGGACGGAGGACGGAGGACTCCCTCAGACCCTCAACAGGCCTGTTTGGGGGTTTAGAAATCCGAACCTAATCAGTCAGCGATGGCTGTGTTTCTGAGGCGAGCCCACTGTTGGCGGCGCAGCGCACGGTGAAGGAGGTGGCCAATCGGGGCGGAATGGAGTGCCTGACGACCCTATCAAAGGAACAGACAGGCCCATGGGATGGCGAGCATCCAAGCCATCCATGGGTTGATCGAACACGTCCAGAAGGGCAGCGGCATCCAGTGTGGCAAGGCACCAGCCAATCTGAACCACTCTTTTGGAGGGGGTCGATCGGATCTAAGATACCCTACAGCCTACAGAGTAGTAAGTAGTAGAGGACGCTGGAAGGGTATCGCTGATTATTACATACATAAATCCATTACCAGGGGGGAGAGGGGATATCTACCTAGCCAGTCTGGGCTGAAGAGATACCACTTCTCGATACGACATTGATAAGTGACTGACAAGCCTGGTGGAAATGGCGACAGGTTTATCGGGCTTTATCGGTACCCCTTTGGCCTCCGGACGAGCGTTTTAGCGCCAGGTTAGTGGTTTAGTGACGGTGAGACTTTGTCCGCCCGGATGGACTAGTGACAGTACTAAACCCGGTATGGATGCGTATGATGTATCGCCCGGGACGGCCTGACTAAGCCAAGGCACTTGCATTCCAACTTTCTCTCCACGTCTCCACTTCGTCTCCGGCCCTTTCGCTTTCTCTCTTCTTTTGTCTCTCTTCCCTTCAGTCTTGTCTCGATCTCTTCTTCTCGGTCAGGGGATCAATTCTTCACCCTCTGCGCTCTTCATTCTTTGTTCCTTCCGGATCTTTTGCGAACGGTGTGCCTCCCGCTGTGGTCTAGCCGAGGTGCCCATTTACGCCCCCCCATCGTTCCCGGGCTGCAAGTGCCTCTAAATCCAAGTTTCTGGTGCGACTAGCACCACCGCCTACCTTTTCCCCCGCGGCTTCTGGCCCGTTGCTGGGGCCCCTTCCTCCCCGTCGCAATCTCTCGTTGTCTATCTACTTTCCCCGTCCGATACCACCACACCCCGACCTGACCACCTAGGGCACGTTCCTGGGTTAAATCCAGGCATCCACCGGCATGACACAGCTTTTCGCCTCCAGTCCGTCCTCCGTGACGAACGAGAAACGCGGGAACTTCCCCAGTCTCTCGCTGGCCTCCAAGAAACACCCCAACGAGTCGGGCCATCTCCCCACGAGAATCAAGAATTTCTTCCGCATCAACAGCTCGAGCAGTAATTCCTCCCATGCCAGCCATAACAGCAATGAACACCGGGACCGTGACGGTAATTCGTCTCCGCCCGCCAAGTCTGATTCCAAATCCGGCTTTCGACAGTCCCGTTTCCTTCCCACCATCGGCCGCAATCGCTCCACCACCGTTGCCAGCGAAGGCAACCCGCTAGACGAAGGCGTGTCCCCGACCGCAACGGCCAACCCATATTTCGTCCACCAGGGCCAACCTTCACTGCAGCATCGCAACGATGGATCCGTGCCTTCATCCCCTCCCGATACCCCCGAGTTACAGGTCGATGGCGTCTCTGCGGCGGAGCAAGCGACCACGGCCAACAAGGAAGAGCTGGCACGGAAGCTTCGTCGTGTTGCTTCTGCCCCGAATGCGCAGGGTCTCTTTGCCCGCGGTCAGTCCGACGAACGTCCTCAGACGGCCGAATTGGGAAAGGAACCTCTGATGCAGGCTGGACCTGATGACCCGCAAGTCACTACGGTGGAGTTGACAGCTGAGAAAGAAGTGAACCTTGCCGTGCCAAAACTCGGCCCTCACAGCAAGATTCACCTACCCAGTCACATTCGGGATGCAGTCGCCTTCCGCAGGACATATAGCTCCAACTCGATCAAGGTGCGCAATGTGGAGGTCGGACCGGGCAGCTTTGACAAGATCAAGTTGATCGGCAAGGGCGATGTAGGCAAGGTGTACCTTGTCCGGGAGAAGAAGTCTAGCCGGCTCTATGCCATGAAGGGTGAGTTGCTTGTGCAGTATTATGTCCGAACGCTTTCTAACTTGTCTAGTCCTGAGCAAGAAGGAGATGATTAAGCGGAATAAGATCAAGCGAGCGCTGGCGGAGCAGGAGATTCTCGCCACTAGCAACCATCCATTCATTGTTACACTCTACCACTCATTCCAGTCTGAAGATTATCTCTACCTGTGCATGGAATACTGCAGTGGTGGTGAATTTTTCAGAGGTGCGTTCAACGTCTGGATAGGTTCCAGCTGTCGCTGACTTCTTCTAGCTCTTCAAACCCGACCCGGGAAGTGCATTTCCGAGGATGCTGCCCGATTCTATGCTGCGGAAGTTACTGCCGCTCTGGAGTACCTTCATCTCATGGGTTTCATCTACCGTGATTTGAAACCAGAAAGTAAGTGCAGTCACCGCTAGGTGGTGTGACCAGTGCTGATTGTCTTACTCCAGATATCCTTCTCCACCAGTCAGGCCACATCATGTTGTCTGATTTCGATCTCTCGAAACAATCCGGACCCGGCGGTGCCCCGACAATGATCCCGGCACGGAGTGGCAACTCCACAACGTCTCTCCCGACGATCGATACCAAGTCGTGCATTGCTGATTTCCGGACTAACTCATTCGTCGGTACGGAGGAGTACATTGCACCCGAGGTTATCAAGGGCTGCGGACACACCAGCGCAGTCGACTGGTGGACGCTTGGCATCTTGATTTACGAGATGCTGTACGGCACAACGCCGTTTAAAGGCAAGAACAGGAATGCTACGTTTGGAAATATCCTGCGGGATGAGGTGCCGTTCCCCGAGCATGCTGCGGCCCAACAGATCTCAAAGTAAGATACCCTCCATGCGCTCCAAGAATAACCACTAACGATGGCAGTCTGTGCAAATCATTGATTCGCAAATTACTGATCAAGGACGAAACCAAGCGTCTTGGAGCTCGAGCGGGCGCATCTGACGTCAAGACCCATCCCTTCTTCCGGCAGACCCAATGGGCGCTTATTCGGCATATGAAACCGCCGATGATCCCCCACCAGAGCCGTGGCACGGATACCCTTAACTTCCGCAATGTCAAGGAGAGCGCGAGTGTCGACATCGGTGGGCCCAGCACAAGCAAGATGAAGGGGGTGCCAATGGATTCGGGGCTTGCAACGCCCAATGGCGAGGTCGCAGATCCATTTGAAGAGTTCAACAGCGTCACCCTCCATCATGACGGGGACATGTGAGATGGTCCTATGTGAAGCCATCTGCCGGCAGAAACGCCCAAGCATACGTCGTATTGCTAGCGGCATTATTTTACGACCTTGATGCATGAAAGATCTCTACCATGGAGTAATCTCCTTACAGCTAACACTCGGAGTATCGGATGCTTTGATTGGGAGTTTGTGTTTATTTTTCCTTATACACGGGATGGTTATCGATATATGTTGATATCCACTGCGGTCCCATTGATGCATGGGCTAATTTCGGTTATGTTTTCCTATTGTTTATGCGGCAGCGATGTAACAGTTTGGCTGCTTTTATCAGTCATTGCAGCAGACGGCGTTAGCGATTTCGGTTGTACCTTAGCAAACAGATCTGAGCAAAACACGGCGTGTGAGGGTCATAGGGATGACCTACTGACACGGGATGGTTTTGGTCTGATTCGTGTTCTTGTGTTTTTGTTTTCTTCTGTTCTTTATTGTATTTGTGGCGAGACTTATTGCTTGGTGTCCTTCCGGACAGGTGCCTATGGACATGATTATGCTATATGATTGCATTCGAGATTATAGATGAGTAGTGCAGTGCTTTTCCGTAGTCTATACAGAGTACTACCCAGAGTACTCAATGCCTAGTCGGGCCCATGACGGAAACCATCCGCGACCCAAACAAACCAAACCCACCCACCACCAAACAGATCCTCCTCCCACTACCTACAACCACCAACCACCACCACAAACACCACACTCACTCCAACCAGAAAGCCAAACAAACAGACAGACACCTACATAAAATGTCCTCCCCACCCACAACCACCATCAAATCCGAAACCGACCCCCACTCCCCATCCTCCGAAACCACCCCAACCGCAACCCCCAACCCGCTCCTCCGCGCCACCAACCCCCTCGTCACCTCCCTCGAACAAGAAGTCCTAGATGAATATGCCCGGTTACTAGGAAACGTCAACAAGGCACGTCTACATCCTTCCTCCCTCCCCCACCACCCAATTCATTACGTCTAAATATGAATGAATGTGCTTGAACTAACTGTATATGGTTATGGATCCCAGCTGTCTGACAAACTCGCCGACCTGGCGGGCTCACCTACATCCATGACTCTCGATGGCCTGAGACATCTTGAACGCAAGACCGCGACGGTGTGTACGTTGCTCAAGGCGAGCGTGTATAGTATTGTTCTGCAGCAGCAGATTTTTAATGAGGAGGAACAACAACAGCAGCAGCAGGAGGAGGAAGGACAGCGGGAGGGGGGTGGGGAGTATGGGGGGTATGGTGGGTATGGAGGGTATGAAGGGGAGAGTTATGCGCAGTATTAATTTGTATTCGTTTGTTTAGTTGTTTTGGGTTGGAGTTGGAGTTGGAGTTGGGAGGGAGGTATGGATAGATGTGTTATGATATGATATACCCTTTTTTTTCCCTATTCCTTTATGGTTTTTATGGTGATTTGATTGTGGTTGTGATATTGGCTTGAGATGTAGTTAGGATGAGAGGAACCAGGAGGAGTAAACCGGATAGTAGAATACAGGACTGAGAGAATACAGGGACAGAAAAGAAAAAGAGACATTATATACACCGCCATGACGCAAAAACATGTCTGGTATGGAGTGTGTGTACACCCATGCAGGAATATCAGGTGGTGTCAATCAAGGCAAGCTGTTTGAAAACTTCACTTTCGGTTGACCACATGCAGTGGTACGGGGAGCTTCCTTCCGGAGTAATACACGCCGCGCACATCAACAATCTTCTTGCCCCGGGCACGGGCAATCTCCTCAGGATCCCGCTGGCTCATGAGCGCATCATAGGCAGCTTTGACGGTGTTCATGGGGTTTCTGGAACGGTTGACCCGGGCAGCCAGATCCTGGATACCGGCTGCACGGCACAACTCGAAAATCAGGTGCTGGCAGCGGAGACCGAATCCTGAAAGGAGAAAAAACAAACAGAACATTAGTACTATGTCAGACTACCCTCCCGGGTTAATCACATACCTGGCGGACGGTGCATCAATTGCAGTTCGACGGCTCCGGCCTTGCCCTGGACATCGCCGAAAATGGTGCGGTTCTCGTAGCGGGGGACGGGGCGCATGTTCTTGATGGCGCGAGCGCGAGCCTGTTGACAGGCATCGGCGATTTCATCGGACTTGCCGATACCAATTCCGAGCAGGCCCGCCTGGTTGCCGGCGGTGGACAGGACGGACATGCTAGGGATCTTACCCAGACGCGTCTGGTTGCTAACCCGGCGCACCACGAGGTCCTTGACGTACAGAGATCTGATGTAATGGCGATCAAGACCCGTGACCTGGAACAGTCTTTTCTCCTGCTCTGTTGGTTCATTGGGATTCACATAGGTGAGCTCGCCTTCCTGGTCTCTGTACCGGGGTCTTTCTTCCACTTCGTTGCCCATCTTTTCCAAGGTTTCCCCCTCGTTCAAGTAGTTGGGCGCCAGTGCGCTGTGTCCGTTGAGCTCGTTCTCCTCTTTACCGCGGGTCACCCGGTTGGTTTCCAAGAACCGCACGAAATCGGCCGGCTCGAGATCCTCGGGGGCCTCGGTGAAATATTGAACAAAATCATCCATAAAGTCCTCGTCGGATTTGAAAGGCGCGTTGTAGTCGGAGTTGGTTTGGGGAGCGCGAACATGCCTGTCCACACCGGGTTCAATGGCCGACAAATCATCGAGGTACTTGAGTCTCATCGGATCCCGACGAAGACGGAACTGATCGAACAGGTCCTTGGAGTCAATGGCTGCCTCACCGGCCTCAATGGCAGCAATCTGTTCGGGGGTGTATTCTTCCTTGAGAGCAGCTTTCTCCTCCTCGGTGTATGGCTTGAAGTCCTCGAGCTTGAGGTCGCGGTAGACCTCTTCCAGCGTCTTTCCCTCAGGAGCATTGACCTTGGGGACATTGGCCTCGGGGACCTTAGGTATCCGGTCGGAGAGCTGTATCGACGAGAGGTGGAACTGGCGACTAGACACTCGAGGGCCGGCGGGGGCCGCACGCGAGAAGGTGCAGAAGAGGCACCGGGCAGGGCGGGCGAGACTCATGATGGGCGGATGAGAAGCTCTCTGGCCAGCAGAGGCCACTGGAGAGCTAGGGATCCGGGAAAGAGGGTGTGGAGGAGGAGGAGGAGTGGTGGGAGAGAGAGAGAGAGTCGGGATGGGGAAGACGGAAGGGCAGACAGACGAACAGACGAACAGATGAACTGAACGGACTTTCAATGTTCGTCGGAAGTAAAATCTCAGCGGGCCGCGCCAGCCAATCCCAGCCCGCCTTTTCCTGCTCACTCACTTTTTTCCCTTTCGTCTTCGCCTTCTTTTCCCTCCAACTTTCTTCAATCCCTCCATTTTCCGCTCTCATTGACTGAGAGTCTATACATGTTCGCCTTCCGGTCCCTGCGGTCTTTTATATCCCCCATCCACCACCGACTACCCTCCAGTTTCCCTCGACCAGTCCAGCGTCTGGCCCACTTCCATCTCTCTGGATCCCCGCGCAATGCGCAATTAGCCTCCAGTCCCATCACCATGCAGAACTCCCCCCAGAAGCCCGACACCGGGGCAAGGCGGCGCAAGAGGGTCAAGGCCCCCCGCGACAACAAGAGCAGTGGCTTTGACGAGGTCCTCCAGGCCGACATCGACCAGCTGCTCCGCAGACACAAGCCCGAAACCGAGCTCGAAACCGACGACGCTACCACGCCCCCGCCGCCTACCCTACCAGAAACTTTCACTGAGATTGAAGTCCAGGTCGCTGAGATCTCATCGACCGGCGATGGCCTCGCCCTGTCGGAGACCCAAGATCACGTCTACGTCGTTCCTTTCACGGTCCCCGGTGACAAGGTTCTGGTCAAGGTCGTTCGACACTTCCCCTCCCTGTCCTACAGCATGACGGACTTCATCAAGGTCGTCGAACCTGGCCCCAAGCGCAACGACGCCGGCATTGGCTGCCAGTACTTTGGTCGATGCTCCGGTTGCCAGCTGCAGATGATGTCCTACGAGGACCAACTCGCCCACAAGAAGCGCATCGTCGAAAAGGCGTACGCCAACTTCTCCGGGCTGATCCCGGAGCTGATTCCCGCCATCGACGAGACATTCGCATCCCCACTGCAGTACGGCTACCGCACGAAGCTGACGCCGCATTTCGCTGCCCCCGGCGGAAACAAGAGACGCGGCAAAGGGCCCCGCGAGCCGCACAAGGAGGTGCCCCCGATCGGATTCACGTTCAAGAACCGGCGCATGGACTTGGATATCGAAGACTGCCCGCTGGGTACCGACATTGTCCGGCAGGGCATGAAGAGCGAGCGGAAGCGCGTGGCCGAGACCATCGGCAAGTACACCAAGGGCGCAACGCTCCTCATGCGCGAATCTACCACCCGCGTGCCGAAAGACAGCGAGAATCCTCCCGCACCTATCAATAAACCGGGTCAGGATTCGGGGGATGTGATCCGCACCGAAAAAGACACCTACATTGAAGAGAAGCGATGCGTGACCGATTCTAACGCGACCAGCGTGGAATATGTCGACGACTACGTGTTCACCAACAAAGCTGGTGCTTTCTTCCAGAACAACAACTCCATCCTCTCCGGGTTCACCGAATTCATCCGCCAACACGCCATCCCTCCGAACAACGACCAAGACGCCACACCCATCAAATACCTTTTGGATGCCTACTCCGGCTCCGGCCTCTTCACGATCACCCTCTCTCCGCTTTTCAAGTCCAGCCTGGGCGTCGACGTCGCTGGCGACTCCATTGTCTCGGCACGGGAGAATGCTCGCGCAAACGCGCTCCCGAACACCGGCTTTGCGGCAGCAGACGCAGCCGTTTTGTTCAAGGACGTGCCCTACCCGCCAGATCAGACTCTGCTGGTGATCGACCCGCCGCGCAAGGGCTGCAGTGACGACTTCCTCCGGCAGCTCCTGGCATTTGGACCGCGGCGGGTGGTCTATGTCAGCTGCAACGTGCACACGCAGGCGCGGGACGTGGCGGTCATGGTGCAGGGTGATGCGGAGAAGAAGATCCGGTACGAGATTGAGAGCATCCGGGGATTTGATTTCTTCCCGCAGACGGGACATGTTGAAGGTGTAGCCATCTTGAACAAGGTGAACATACCGGAGGCTGCATGACTGTCTTAGTGTAAGGCGTTGGGGGATTCAGATCTTCAAATATATATATACCAATACCAATTGAAGCATTCATACCATTCTCATCCCATTTTCACAACATCCCACCTTCCATGCAGCATTCAACATATATACCAGTCTATATACCATATCCACCCGACAAGTATAACCTACGGACCAATTCTACCACTCATGCTTCACAAATCCGTCTCCGGGTCCGCAATCTTCAGAACTGCCTTACCTAGATTCTCCCCACGCAGCATAGCAACAAACCCCTCGGGGCCGTTCTCAATCCCAGTAGTAACATGCTCTTTAGCAATGATGCTACCATCCCGAAGCCACTGCGATTCTCAGCACCACACCACACAATATATAGATAACCACTTACCGCCAAAACCTTTTCATCCCTCTCCTTATCATACTTGGGTCCAAAATTGGCATCACCCACAATAAACCCCTGCATATGGATACGCTTCGTAACCACCAGGTTCAAATTCCTGATACCGTACCGATCCTCAGGCTTGAGGTTATACTGCGAGATCATCCCGCAAACCACTACACCATCAACCAAAATTAGCACATCTACCAAACCCCCAATATCAACAAATAGAAGCAAAGAAAAAAAATAGTACTCACCAATCCTCCCCCCCGTATTCATCCTCTCCATCACCCCCTCCAACATCTCCCCACCCACATTCTCAAAATAAACATCCACCCCATCCGGCGCCAACCTCATCAACGCCTCTCTCGTCCCCTCAACCCTATAATCAAAACACGCATCGAACCCCAACTCCTCAACCACATACTTCACCTTCTTCTCCCCCCCACAAGACCCAATAACCCTCATCCCTTCTTTCTTGGCTATTTGCCCCACAATAGCTCCTACCGCCCCCGCAGCAGAGGAAATATATATCGTTTCCCCTCTCTTCGGTTTTCCAATCTCATATAGTCCGGAGTAGGCCGTTAGGCCCGTCATGCCCAACACGCCGAGATAATGCGATAACCCCACATCTTGACCCGGGGTATATGGAATGACCTTGGTATTTTCCCACTCCAATTCACTCCCCAGAATACTATATTCTTGGACCGGAACCCGGCAGTATATTATCTGGCCGCGGGAATAAACAGGATGGTTTGAGCGAAGGACTTGGATCAGGCCGTAGGCGGTGATTGCTTCGTTGAGAGGGTAGGCGGGGCTGTAGGAGGGGATGTGGGCGTCGCGCATGCGGCCGCGCATGTAGGGATCGAGACTGATGGAGAGGGTTTTGGCGAGGAGGGTGTTGGGTGCTAGCGGGGTGGAGAGGGAGATGGGTCGGGAGAGGGTGGTTAGGTCGGTGCCTGGGATGGGGAGGCCGGTGGGGATGTTGGTCAGGAGGAGGGAGAGGTTGGGGTGCGGGGGTTCTTCTTGGGAAGACATTTTGATGATGGGGGGTTGGTTTGGTTTGGTTTGGCTTGGTCAATTGGGTTGAGTAAGTGAGTGAGTGTGTGTGTAGGGAGGATGAGGTGAGATTGAAGGTTGATGGAGGAGTGATACTAGATATATAGTAGTTGTTACTTTGTTAGTAGTTGGAGCTAGTGGGGAAGCGGGGTTCAACCTGTCTTTGTGCCTAGTAGTGCTTAGTTATAGATAGTGCTTATAAATGCAATAGTGGCACCATCTCATGCCTCTGCCCATACATCGACCATACATCGAGCATACATCATATATACAAGCACGGTGTATTGGAAATTCTCACTATTTACTATCCCCGATACAGCACCAACCAAATAACTATAGAAACACCTTACGAACTGCCAGGCCCACCAAGAAGCGCAAACCGCCGCACAATACTAGGACCAATCTCGTCGTACTCGGCCTTGGTGTGGCAGTAGCTGCGGAACTCGGGCGTCTGGCCCAGCAAGCTACCTCCGAACCACGGCCCATGGCGCTGTCTCTTGTGCGTCACAACCGCCACATCCAGACCACCACTCTTGGCTCCTCCGCTGCGCGCCTCCGATGCCCGAATACGCGCATCCACCAGGTGTCGGATGTCCCGCTGCAGACGCCGACCAAAGTCCTTGTACAGCGTGGATCCACCGGACAACACAATGTTCTTGTACAGACCTCTCCGGACATCAATCGGCGACGACTGGATCACTCCATCAACCACGTTGGGCAAGGGAGTCAAAAAGTCCGACGAGTAGATTTCCGGGTTGAAGAAGATCTCCGGCGCCAGGAACCGCTCGTAGCCCACATCGATGCTCACGGTCCGGCCGTTGGGCGAGGTCACGGTGTGCTTGAGCAGGCGGTCCGGCTCGCGGTCGTAGCGGGCGAATTCCTTCACAATGTCCGGGCACACGTAGCAGTATTCCTCCTTGACCTTCTCGGCCGTCTTCAGGCTGCTGTCCGGCTCACCGCGATCACGCAGCAAGCTTTGGACGAAATACGTGATGTCGCGACCCGCAATCGGTATACTCTTGATCGATGATCCAATGACGTAACCTTCGGCGACGGGGATAACGTGCGTCACACCGTCACCAGAGTCGATGACCGTGCCGGTGAGGGATCGGTCCGTCACTTTCGAGGAGGTCCATGAGGCAGCAAGGGCCAGCACGGCCTGAACGGCAATGTAGAGACCGGCGCAGTTGAACGACTCGAACATGATCTCGGCGGTGTTCTCACGGTTCTCCGGGGGGTTCAAAGGCTACCCACAACATAATCAGTCCACATCCAGGTCGCAATTGATAACACGGGCGATCGCTTACCGGTTCAGTAAGGAGGAAGTAGTGGTCCTCCGGCTCGACGCGCAGGTACTTGAAGATGGAATTCGACCAGAACCGCTCCATGTGATCCCAGTTTTCGATCTGACCATGGCGGATCGGGTAGTTGATCGCATATCCGGGACCGTTGGCCGCTGCCAGAGCTTCATCGCCAATGAAGAAGTCCAAGTCCTCGGTGCCACGCTTCGCGGACAGGTGGGAACCTGCCCCACCACCGCCAGCCAGGAAGGACGGTTTGTTCGCAACAGGGGGTCTTCCAGGGCCCGAGGCTCCTGCAGCTCCGGCACCAGCCTTGGTCGCAATGGCCGTGGGGAAGACAAACGAGGGCGAGTCGTTACCGGCGAAACCTGCGACTTGTCAGCCTGGAGCTTCACGGGAGCTCCACTGGGATGCGGTCAAGGGCCTACCGAGCTTGGAATATCCAGTTCCGCTGCATGGCGAAATCCCCAATTAGTGAAAGCTACAGTGAGGGGAGATTCGGTAGGGAATGACATACTTGTCCATGACAACGGCCGGGGTTTGGGAGGCCATGACGGATGATGTGGAGCACACGCACACTCCCCCTGATTATTTGGTCGGACAAAGAAGGGAACGGAATGGGGGCGGGGGGGATTGAAGATTGCTCAAATGGTGTGGAGTTAAAGAGCTATCATCCAGGAACTCCACCACGAAGTACTGGGGAGGGAAGCAGGAAAGGGAGATTGGGGGGGGGGGGATGAGGAGGGGAGAGACGGAGATGGAGGCGGGCAGAAGATGGCCGCCTGCCTGATGGCCTGGAATTACGGGTAGACGTCACGTTCGGTATGGTACGGTCCCCGGTGGGCTTCAACCTCCTCCCCAAACGGGATTTACAAACAAATGCCTTTAATGCTTCCCACTCAGCAGCCCTTCATAGATAGGCGGTGGGCATTGCACCACTTTGCATGAGAACTCATTCCGGTAGGTACTAAGGCTCGAGCAGGAAACTGCTTCCAATGGAATGCCCAAGGAAGGAGCTTGATTCGTGTATCCATCCAATCATTTAGGCTTCACTGTCTGTCTCTCTCTTCTATACTTCTGGGCCACATAATATCCTTAGACAGACCCCCCTCCTCCATATCTCCCCCCCCTCCATCCCGCCCCTCGAAATTTGCCTATTATTCCTCTCCTAGGTAATATTCTTAGCTCGAAGCTATTCTTAGCTGTGCACACTCTCTCACCATTGCTGGTCCTCTCACATCATCCAACCAGTGCAAACACACGGTTTGATCTGGAGAGCACCAATTATTTTGTCTGCTTGAAGACCCGCGTCCCTGTGGGCTTCCAGGTTCTCTTTTGCCAAGGGTCTCTCACTCTTTACATCTCTCCATCCCCTCGGCAACTCCTTCGTTCCCATCTCTCTACCAGAGATCAGCTTGCAATGCCAGCTTCTCAGGGTCAGTGAACGAACCATAGGGTTATTCTACCTAGATCCTTCGCCTTGACGCACCCACGCTCCTCAGGTTTATTTCGTTTCCTTCTTCCTCGTCGCTTAAGAAGCTCGCGTTCCTCCAGCGCAGGATCGCAGCAACCGACGCCTGCTATGAGTCGTCTCGGAGGGGGTGGAGATATCTCCGCCATTTTCGTTCATGCCGGTGCTGGCTTTCATGCACCACACAATGAAAAAGCTCATCTAGAGACCTGTGATAAGTAAGTCCTGCTAGTTCGCGTCTTTACTTGTCAGACGTGTTTCGTCTCAACTAACGAGAGCAGTGCGGCAAGAGTGGCCATGGCAGTTCTAAAGAACGGCGGCTCGGCCGTCGATGCCGTCGAGGCTGCCATCATGGTGCTAGAAGACTCCGATATTACCAATGCGGGCTACAATAGCAACCTGAATATTGAGGGTAAGGTCGAGTGTGATGCTACCATGGTGGACCATCTAGGGCGGAGTGGTGCGGTAGGGGCCACGGCTCGTAAGTAATCACTTTCATTCCATTCGCCTTCACTTCAACTACTTGGCTGATCCCCTGGTAGAAGTCAAAAACCCCATCTCTCTTGCAAGGGTCATCCTTGACGCCTCATCGAGGCCCTTGTCACTGTCACGGGTGCCTCCGAACTTCTTGGTGGGACAGGGTGCAACGGAATACGCCTACGAACATGGGCTGGTGGTGCTACCCCCGGACGCCTTGATCTCCCCAGGTGCGCGAGATCGTTGGAAACACTGGCGACGGGAGCTGGAAGCTGCAACTCTCAGGGAGAGAAAGCAACACGGAGACCATGATCCTCATAGAGCCTTCATTCGCCGATCAGTGTCTGTCAACCCAGCCCAGATGCTGGAGCCGCTGTCGAGACCAGCCTCGGTGACTGGGATAAGCTCTCCAGTTGTAATAAAAGGGACGACTGCGGATCCACGGCTCACCCGTCAACCCCACGGTATAACGCCCCCAGCAGGCCCGGACTGCTCACCATCCGACTCCCCCAGGGTCAAGGACGCCAAGTTTGTTGATGGTATACAGCATGCTGCATCCGCGACCTGGCCCTCCGGGGATGGAAACCTGTCTTTGACTGACGGTAACTCTCCGTCGCCGTCTGCTGTCGAACCACTCCGTTCCTCTGACGCTACAGAAATCGACCGCGTCAATGACACCGTGGGCGCCATTGCCATAGACAGCTATGGCAATATCGCCGCGGGCTCCTCTTCCGGGGGTATTGGGATGAAACACCGTGGCAGGATCGGACCAGCTGCGCTTGTCGGCATTGGGACTTTTGTCATCCCGGTGGACCCTGGAGATCCAGAGGCAACCAGTGTTGCGACGGTTACTTCAGGGACTGGCGAGCACATCGCGACAACCATGGCCGCCAGCACCTGCGCGTCGCGCGTTTACTATAGCCACCGACGATGCAAAGATGGCAGTCTCGAAGAGGTCACGGAGGAAGAAGCCATCAGGGCTGTGATCGCCGATGACTTCATGGGTACATCTCCTGGGCCGTCGTGAATGCTAAGCTAATCTGAATCCAGCTCATCCAGGCGTCAGAGGCAGCATTTCCCACGGTGCTATCGGCATCGTTTCGGTCAAGAAGTCCGTCGATGGGATATTCCTCTACTTCGCACACAACACCGATTCTTTCGTAAGACGTCCAAGGTTTCTTGTTGTCATCGCTAACTCTTCGTGCCTAGGCCCTTGCATCGATGAGCAGTGCCGACAAGAAGCCGGTCTGTGTCATGTCGCGTAGCAGTGGGGGCGGCAGCATCGCCCAGGGTGGCCGCGCTTGTCGACCCAAGAGGTAGGCCGCAGATAAGGCTCATGAACAACAACCTAGCTGACAGCGGTCAGGCCCAGGGTTCCCAATTCAGTGTGATCTGCCCCAAGAAGTATGCAGCCTATCCTATGATCTTCTATTCTATGTACATGAGGCGACGCTCGCAAGACCGGCCCTGGCTAACCTTCTGTCTCCTCAGGAATACCTCATGCCTATTGAGTCAAGCTACTAGACTGTTCCCGTTCGATTACTTTCACCGCGAATGATCCGAGTGAAGTGTGGCCACAGCCCCGGTTGGTTGATAGTTGTCAGAATACATCGGGTTGAAGCATGACCGCACGGGCCGAATATGGTTGCAGAGACGGAGCCGTTTCCTAAGTCAAACAAACCTTAGATTACCAAATGCACGAGTAATCGTGGAAAGCCCGTGCATGGATTGCAGTTCAGGTCGATTCCGTGCACTCTCCGTAGGCAACCCAGTCCTAACCCCATAAATCGCCCTGGGCAGGACTTCTCTCAACGAACCCACAATCACGGCCCCGGCGTTGGGGTAGGCGTCGGGGTCCCTGTCGCAGACGGCCCAGTCGCCTTGACTTTCTTCTTCTTCCTTTTCCTCGCCACGACCGCCGGTTTAGCCCCATAATCGCCCATATCCAACCTCGACCCACAAGTCAAGCAAACCCCATCCCCCAACGGTTCGCAAAATATACTCAAACAAATTGAGCACACAAACCCCACATCCACCACTCGCCGATGACAAAAGCACGCAGCCCGGAAATCCACATCCACCCTCGTCGGCAACACCAAATGGCGTCTGGACCTCTGATCCGGCAAAAACCCCATCATCAAGTATTGCAGCAAGCCCCTCGGTTCCTCCAAGGCCATATAAATCCCCTTGGTTGCGTCTGACGCCTGCTGAAGGAACACCGCATCACCAGATAACTTGCACACATCGATGGGGATATGCAGTCTCTGGCACGCGAAAATGGCATTCATGATAGGGATATATTGATGTGCAGACCCCGTGGAGCTTGACACAGAAAGAATTAGAATCCGTGACTGCAGTGTAGATTCGGGCGTGGCTCTAGTTGTATTACTCGACGAGGGATTGGACGATTCATTAGGATTGGAAATATCTCCACCATGGGCTTCATTCCAAGCTATAGTTCGACGATTGATATGACTTAGAGCCAGAGTTAAAGCGCCGGCCATCATCGTAGATGTTGTGGTTGATAGGGAAGCGGAAGAGGTATTTGTCATTAGGGCATGCAGGTTAGCGGTGACTTGTTCTTCGACGATACGGAAGGGTCGGTATTTGTTGATGCTGGTTGATGAGGTTGGGGGAGGGGAGGAGGCTTGAGGGTGGTGCATGGCGATGTCGCCGTCGGTGTCTCTGGTAGTAGTAGTGGTGCGTTCGACGGGGTAGAGCCATGTTGCTTTGTGGGTGTGGGAGGCTACCACGGCGACTTCATTGGCGTAGTTGCATGCGAGGTGGGCGTTGAGGAAGACGAGGATGTTGGCGATGGCGGTGGAGAGGGGGAGGGTGGGGTTGAGGAGTGCCCAGGCGTGTGGATTTGTGTCGACGATGACGGTGAGGAGGGAGGGGGGTCGGTCTGTGTGGTATGTAACTGTTAGATTTGTTGGAGGGGGAGGTGGGATGATGGGATGGGGGTGGAGGTGGAGGTGGAGGTGGGAGGTACCGTTAGCGCTGGTTTCGTAGTGCTCTGTTGCGTCGATAGTGTTCATTTTGGGTGTTTCGAGAGGATTTGTGAGGCAGAGCAAGAGAATTGAAAGGAAGAATTGAGAGACAAAACGATCTATAGGGTGGTCGTTTCAAGGAGTATACATTGTTGCTAGGATCTGGGCTCGTAGTATGCGGTGCGGCGGTTAGAGCTTGATTTCCGCACTGCTGATGGCTTGATGACGAGCTCAACTTCAGGGAAGCTCCACGGGAGTGTATTGCAGGTAGTGGAGGGTGATGGATCTGTGCTCAATATCTGGTGGAGGGAAGGGACTGATTCGAGAAGTTTTGCGCGGAGAAGTTTGCGGGCTTGCGATCAGATCGGAGACGGAGATGGAGGACCATCTCCGAGCGAGACCCGGTCACGGGCACGTGATCTATACTACTCCATCTACCTAGTGGTGGACACTATGCGTATATTCTGCAAATACAGGAGCTCTACACTGTGTAAACATATGTACAAGGCAGATACCAACAAAATCCTATTCAAGTAGTATCAGAGCAGGTCTTTGCAAAATCTACCAAGCAGGTCTAAAAATCACTGAGGGTTAGATGTAATGATGGCCTCGGGCTTCACATGAAGATGATCGTCTTTTTGCTCGGCTTGGTTTAGAACCGGAATGTTGATCGACTCTTTAAGAGCACCGGATGTCGCTCTCGCCAGAGGGCTGGGCTGCGGCGAAACGCCCGGCGTATCCCCCTTGCTCTGGTAATCGGTGAGACCCTTCCGGATGGCGAGAACCTTGTCCACGATGACAGCATCAATTCCCTCTGCCACTTGGAGCTGCACAGACTGTTAGTAAAGAAAGCATACGAACGGTGACTGCTCTTACATTAACGCTTTCGGGATCATTGTTAATGGCGCCATACGACACGCAAACCAGACCAGATTCCTTCACTACTCGCACCAAGCGTGGGCAGAGCACCAAAGCTTCGGCCTGCGAGACAACACCCAGCAGGTTCCACCGAGATGCAAAACGAATCGCTTCCTGCAAGCTGCTAGCTCGGATATCACCAACAGGTGAAGCACCAGAGTCCGTCAAGAAGAGGACCGGGATGGACGGCTGCTTGAACGAGATCAACAAGCAAATATCCGGGTTAAAGCTGGAAAAGATCATGTTGCGACCCTTGCCCATGTCATAGACCTGGGTCAAGATCGTGTCCACGAACGAGTTCAGCTCCACCGCATATGTGTCCATCTCCTCCTCCTCGCTCTCGTGGAGCATAGGATATTCTGCGATCCGGGTCAGATCGACATGTAACTGTTCTTCACGGGGGGATAATACTCACTCAATTCAATATTAAATCCTACCGACTCGGGCAGTTCTCGGAACAATGCCTCCAAAGTGGCAAATGGGGCCTGGATGTGGTTGCCGCGGCTGTTGCCCTTGAAGCCCTTCTTCTTGAAATCCCGGGTATGCTTGATCTTCTCGTTAAGCTCCCAGGGATCATACTCGGACCCACCAACGGACATAGACCGCTGACGGAAAGCCGTGTTGGTGTTTTCTCCAAAACCGTCCGGTGTGCGTGACGGGGATCCCTGTCGACGCGAGGGACCTTTATCACCCAGCTGGAGGAACTGCTCCAGGGTAAGGGTGTGGACGGGGGCATCAATGCCTGTCTCGCTAACGAGGAAGTCGTGGTAAATGACAGGAACATGATCCTTAGTGAGCTGGACATCGAACTCCACATAGGAAGCGCCCAAATTCGCGGCAGCGATGAACGACTGGATGGTATTCTCGCCCAGCTGCAGTGAATTGCGGCTGGCCATGTTCTTGCCCAAACCGCGATGTCCGATCACCATCGTCGAGCTCATACTCTTCCAGTAGGTCTGATTCCCCGTGATGGTCATGTTGGGATGCTTGAAGGGCGTGATGATGAGAAAGTTGAATGTCACCGAGCCAATGACCTCTAGGGTGTTGGCGGCCACGATGGGAACCGTGGAATCGCCCTTCAGATTGATGCGGTGCGATCCCACCGTCGGCTTAATGCTAGAAAGCAAGGCGACGCCACGTCCGACGACCTTGTCTTTGGACCCAGAGTATGTCGGGATGAGATCAAAGAGGAGCCTCACTTTAGTGGCATCGGCCGCATGGAAGACGATCGGTTCGGTGGAGATGTTATCCTGAACAGGAAGGTCGATCACCTCTGGCTCTCCATGAGCCCCGCTGGCAGAAACAACCAGAGACAGGGCAGTGTCGAGTTGAGTGGAATGCGCGTTCTCCATGGGAATACGGTCGAGATTCACAGCTTCCATATGCGTCCGCATATCCATAGTTCCCAGGCTGACCAGAATCATGGACTCATCAGTGAGATACCGGTGGCCAAAGGTCTTAATGGGTTCCGCATTCCGAAGAGAACTTGTTCCAGGATTGCCATTGGATCTCCGCTCGGCAAGTGAGGATGGTGGAGGAGAGGGAGGCTCGGAAGACAAAGCAGGAACCGGTATCACAGGCTCCGCTTCGGCAATCTCAGGCTGGGGAGTGACCTTGGCAAGACACCGGGCGATGTCGAGATGGCCCCTCAGAGATGCATGCTCCTTGGCCGTCCATCCGGAAGAGTCGTACCTCTCCAGATTAGCACCGGCCTCGATGAGGAGCTCCGCCACGCTCAACGATCCATCGACACAGGCAATAAACAAAGGCGTCCAAGAATAAGTGTTCTCGGCAAGTTCGGTATCCGCCTTTTGCTCGTCGTTACCGCCGAGCAGGATTTTGGCACACTGATCATGGCCGAAGCGAGCTGCGACATGCAACGCGGTTTCACCCTGTTCATCCTGGTAGTTGATATCCACGCCGGCCTCAACCAAAAGCCGGACAATATCAACAAAGTTGGCTTTGGTGGCCAAGGCCAGCACCGCGCTGGATCGCGAGACTTGTTTGCGAATCTTCGCCTTGTCCTTGTTGGCACCGTGCCAGTTCTCCGACTCAAGAAGGGCTTGGGTCGTTAGTGGATGGCCTCCTACAACACTCAAGTGCAACGGAGCCCAGCCATCATTGTCCTGCCAGTGCGGGCTATCAATGCCCTCGGTGACGTCGAAAAGATCCCAGGCCTGTAGATATTCGATAATAACTTCGCAGACGACTTTGAATCCATACTGGGCGGCGTAGTGCAGCGGGGTGCGCCCCGCGATGTCCTTCGCGATGAGTGCACCTCGTTGATGGGGCTGGAGCTGGTCCAGAAGATGCTGCAGGAGCGACACAGAAGGATCGGACCTGTCCAAATGACTGGGGAGATCTGCCTCCATCACGACCGAACGAGGAGGTTGAAGGGTTGGCAGGGCCGCAGGAGTGATATAGTTCGATGTCTCCAGAGGGAAGTCCAGGATCAGGGAGGCAGATTGTTCCGAGTCCGTAGTGGACTGGGCCCGGCCAATCGAGATCACCAGTCGATGGACACAATTGCGCTTGTTAATGTCATCGTCTTCATCCAGGGTGTCCATGCGACCCAGGAGAACCGAAATGCAGGCCTTGGAGCGGTAGAAGATGGCCCGCTGAAGCAGGCTGTTGAGAACCTTGGGGTACACATCTTCTTCACCTGACTCATCTGCCGCCGCTTTCAGGGTTTCAAGCAGTTCTAACAGTACATGAGTGTCATCCTTACGCAGAGCCTCGTCGACGGTCAGAAGCATGCTCGCAGGTAGGTTCAAGTTCGGGCGCGCGGGGCCCTTCTTCAACGACAGAGAAGATCGCGTGGAGCTAGCATCGTCGTTTATTTTTTGCTCACCCAAGATAGACAAACGGTCGTTGATTTTCTTCAACGCGTCGGTCACCCGGGTGTTCGAAGCGAACGGTGCTGGCTCCACCTTGGTCTCCAAGTACTTCTGCTGTGCCTCGGCGCCAACTTTCTTGTCGAGCTTCTTCGTGATTTTGATAAAGCCTCGACGGTTAACCTCGCCGTACCACTGCAATTTACGCAGTTGACCGCGCAGTTCCAACAAGGCGGCCAGGAGATCCTCGACGTCCTCGGAGTCTAGACGCTGGCCACCATCCAAGGACTGTCCATATCGGTCCTCCAGCAACTTCAGACGACGAGAGAAATCGGCATATTTCTTGTTGTAAAAGTAATCGACATCCTCGAGATTTCGATCGAGGGAGTAGAAGAAACCTAGAGGGTAGCGTTAGAATGGCCGCACTGTGATGCAGACGACATGTTTATCACAGAAACAACTTACCTGCAAGGTCGGCATTCTGTCCAGCCTTCACATTCTCCGCTGCGGCCTTAATGAGTTTCTTCAGGGCCTTGTAGCGGATATAGGAAGAGCTCCACTCGGGAACCATGTTGCGAGGCAGATTGCGTCCGAACTTCATCTTGACGATTTGTTCGCTGTTCTTTCCAATGGGTTGTGAGAGAAAGAATCAATCGGGGAAGGCTCTTATGGAGAGTACAAATATGATATACAGACACCCCAGCTCTTATGATCCCGGAAATTGACTGAAGTCAAACGGTAGGGATGTCACGGAGATCAGATATTATCGGAGGGGTAGATCCGAGCAAGACAAAAGGAAAATGACAAGTAGAGCTTTGAGGAGAACAGCGCCATGTGTCAGTTTAATGCGAAGACATGGGGAAAGCAGAAAGGTCGAGATTCTGGGAGGTGAAAACCTGAGGAACTTGGCGACAACAGCGACGAGCTGTAAGGAGGGAGTGAATCAGACAGACGGAGAATTGCGTGCGAATGGTAGGAGGGTTGAAAGAAAGCGCAATGGCCAGCCAGAACAATGGCTCATATACTTAGTTGCAAATGTATGGAGTAGGAATGTTCCGTCCCGATAAAGGAGACCGAGACCAACTTCTGGAACCTATCGGCACGTGCACGGGTCAGCGGTGGATGCTGATTTTTTGGGGGGGGGCTTCGAGTAACAGTAGGTAACCAGAAGGACGGATTGCATTTGCAGCATGCACCCCGGGGGCAGGGCTGCCAAATACTAGTCCAGGGGGGCTAGTGACTGGCTAGGAGGCCCCATCGTGACTAACAGAGGCTCCTCCACCGCGACGTAAGAGAGGTGCAAACTAACCTCGACCCAGTAAGGGGACGCCGAGAGGGTCGCGAAGTCGAGCACAGGCTCCGGGCGGAGAGACCATTGAAGGCCCGGCGCTGGATCTCCTGCCCGGCGGACGCCCTCTGATTTGCTCGCGCCACTCGGCGAATGGCCGGTTCGAACCACCGCGCGACGATGGATCCCAAATTCTATTGTAATTTGCAAGGCACGGGTCACAGGGGGTCAAATGGATTGCTGGAGAGATCAAATGGCGGTGGATAAATTATTGATACTCGATGTAAGCCCAGATGAAGGGTTGCCACAGGAATTTGATGATCGTATTCCTACTCCGTAGGTACTGTCCGTTGGTGATAGTGAATGGCAGTACTAGTAGCCTCTAAGGAAACCCAAGTATTATCAGCAAGACGAGTCTGGACCATAGCAGGCACCCTATATATAGCCGGGGGACCCGCCAACCAGTGCTAGGGCCTGAAGGATTCTTCCATCGCGATAATACCATGGCGTATTAATTGCCAGTGGAGGAGGGTTGGGCTCATGATCACCCTCATCCTCCAACACCGTTTCATCTGATCGAGGAATGGGATAGGGGGGATGGAACCTCGGGCTGGGCAAAAAGAAAGTAAGAAACCAGCAACCATTCAGCCATCAGAAATGGCGATGGTGGGGGGGATACTTGGCTGCATGGAAGGCGATGGGGAAGGTGGACGGAATGGACGGCCTGCACGTCACATGCCCTGCCCTGTCCGGGTCGGTGAGAGCGACGAGGATTCTGCTCGCGTTCCTGGTTGACTACGGCCATCTTCCGACAGAAGGGAAGGATAGAGTGATATTAATATCCCCGTTATTATTGTGAATTGTTTTAATTTACACTAGATACCTACTCCCATCCAACGGGGGTTGGCAGTCTCCTGGGAAAGTCTCAGATTGCTCAGGTTTCGCCCAGGTAGTACACAGTAGTAGTACTATCGACCTATCATCTCCTCCATCTGTTGATACCTGATACATAGTATATTGCTCGGTGATCAGTCACCGGTCACCACTCAGGCCATTTCCCAACGATCGACCGTCCGAAAGCTTATCAGCTGTCAATTTCTTACCACCCCTCCATGAAGGGAACCCCCTGCTAGCATTGGGTCGACACTATCTACCGGTTAGATAGACAGGGGGGTTGGCGTGATCCGTTCTTCCACCGGTACTTGTATGTGGAGTCGCGGACAGGATCGGAGATGAGGACTGGGTAGTAGTGTAGTCCTGTCCAAACACTCAGAAAGTGAGGGATCCCGAGGGCTTGCTGTGCAACTTGAAAGAATCGTAGCTGAATCCAATTTACATCACGGGATATCGCCTGCCCCGCTCCAAGTGACGTCGATGGCCGGCGGCCTGCTATCGAGGCTTACCCATCCGGAGGAATCCGGACGGCTCTCGCGCTCCGAGGAAACTTCAACCGCGTATTTCATCGTGCATATCATTCAGCTAGTCACTTGAATAATTCAATCGCACCCAGGCAAAAACCACCCTGGTCTATGGCGCACTCAGAAGGGAAGCCGACCCGATATTCCCTGTATCGTTGAGAATCTTGTTGAGAATCACCCGGACGCCGTTCCCACGCTCATAAACCAGCCAGAGTCGTAAGTAATTCAGCAGAAACCACGCAGGAAGGCTAAAATAGAACACGGTAAGAAAGGACGCCGGCAAGACAACTACCAACGCCGAAAAGAGATCTTCGTAGGTAACTAAACATCACAGAACACCACATCACGGAGCCCCCAGCCCATGGATCGTAAATCGGAAACGCTACATCAATCAAGCCCAGATCACCGAAAAAGAAATCATCGAACAAAAAAAATTTCGCTGACACGTATGCCAGCCTAGGATGCCGCCAGGGTCTTGGCCGACTATCCAACCAATGGCTTCAACGCTTCCACTCCAACTTGAAGCACCGCCGTGTTCTTCGTCTTCTTCAGCACATTAGTCAGTATGTCAACACCCCCACTGGCCTTGACAGCCTCTTTGGCCCGCCGGCCAATGTCCCCAGTTGCAAGGCAGGTCATATTCCGCACACAGGCCACACCGCGATGCACCAAACCCTCATCCTCTTCTTCGCACATGGCCAGCAGCAACTGGACCCCGCGAGGTCGTTCAAGGATCCCTGCGATGGCTGCTTCAAACTCGGTCAGCATCGCAAGAGCTCCGCCGGCGGCACTTCGGGTGGCCATATCATCTGTATCGGTGAGAGCCAGTAGCACGTGTAGGCGCTGAGCCGCTCGCTTGGAGCCATCGGCAAATTTGACGATTCCGGACTCGCAGGTCATCAAGTTACAAACCAGCTCGCAGGCGGCCCGCTGGACCAAGGGGCTATTGGAGAGAAGGAGATCCTCGACCACGGACCAGGACTGACGAACAATGGCCTCAGGCGCAGCCTCATCCGGGTGGGAGGCCAGGTTCGTCAGAGCAAGGAGGCTCTCAAAGACAGGCAACAGATCCCGCGGCTGTTCTGCCGTCAGAGTACTGGTCTCGGGGGTTGCCAGAAGCACGGTCAAAGGCCTGATTGCGGAAGTGATCTGGGGGAACCCAGAGGACGGAAACACGTGTACTGGGTTGACAGAAATCAGGATTCGCGCAAGTGCATGCGACGCATTCTGTACGGCCTCGTTTGAAGACCCCTGCTTTGCGGTTGCCATACCGAGTAAGAACTTGATAGCACCTTGCTGCGCCAAAGTTCCCCGGGATTTCCGGTCCCGGGACAGAGCAAGGACAATTTTGCCCATGAGTCCCTGCACCGAGGGCAAATTCGTCTTGCCACAATCAACCAAAAGGGGCATGATGCCTGCTTTAATGAGCGCGTTGCAACGAGCGATGACATGTTGCTCGTCATCAAGAGGGTCAGGGCCAGCCCGGGCCCCATTAGGGGAGGCGTCGGCATAAGATTTTAGTTGGGACATTTTCTTCTGTTCTTCCGTCAAACTGGGAAGAAACTGAGTCAGATTTACGACGATCATGAGGCCGCCATAAAGCACTGACGAATCAGCGCAGTTTTCCCGCAGAATCTTCAGTAGATCTTGAAGGAATGCCGGGTCCCTGGCGAGTTGCTCCTTGACGGCGGGCTTGACGGACGCGTAGGCCAAACCCTCGATCACGTTCGACAAATTCTCAGTCTTACGCTTCGACATTAAATCCTTGAAGCGATCGACCAGCTCGGTGACCCGGGTGCTTTCCTCATCACTTTTGCCATTAGCTTCCGAGGGCCCGGCTTGTGCAGCAGTGCGGACCTTAGCCAATATGACGGCCGCCAGCTCGGAGCTCTCGTCACTGCCATTTGTAAGGAGATGGGAAAGCCAAGTTGAGAGGTGCTTCGAGATGGCCTCCCGGCACGCTTTGTTCATGCAGGCGGCGTTCAACAGTTCCAGAAAATGGGGTTCCACCTTTCGGCTCTTTGCATCTCTGGAGGCCAGGGGAGCCAGAGCGGCCATGAAGCTCTCCGATAGGAAGAGACTAGCCGCAACTTCCGGGATCACGGGGAAGACGGCAGCTGTGGCCGAAAACGCCTCGATCAAGTCGTCGCTGCGAGCTTTGGTGATTTTAGCAGAAACAAGCCTAGAGAATCTATCTTCACCGACTTGCTTCGAGACTTCCAGATATTTGACTGTTGCCAGGGTCGCCTGACTCCTCCACTCAAGAGGGAGTCGACTATCCAAGGACGACATAATGACCTCCAGTCCTTCATCATCAATCAATTCCTGCAACTTCTCTGCATCGACAGCGAGTAAACGCGCGATGCCTTTGAGGGAGCGACCGTCCATATCATGGCCCGATTCCATGAGCTTGGCGATGAAGAGCAGAAAGAGCTCGCGCTCACAATGTAGACGGGCATCCTCGGATGGCCATACGGCAGGATCCAAGACCACGGTGTCAAGGCATACGGCAGCCGCGTCGCCTCTTTCATAGATCTCATCAAAGAACGCGGTCACCGAAACCTGCAACTGCCCCGAGAAGTAGAGCCGTACACTGGTATTCTGACGAACCAGCCCTGAGATAATGTCATCCTGCAGCGACGACAAGGCATGTGGCCTTTGCGCTAGCAACAGCTTGACACATTCCAATGCAACCTCCTCGGGAGGCTTGAGTCCGTCCGTTCGGAGATAAAGGGCCACTTCCTTTCCGGCAGACTCATCCTTCCCACCGGTATAGCGTCGGCAGAGATCTAGGAGATGGTGGCCATTTTCCTCCTCTTGCTGGATTTTAACGAAAGCTTCCTTGACCGCAGGATGCTCTGGGGCTAGGGTAAGAGCTTCTCGAAGGTTTCGTGAGGCGGCCTGCAATTGCACCACGGAGAGTTGTTAGTCACATGGAATGTATGTTATCGGCGAACAAAGCAGAAGCCACGCGCCGATAGCAACCCCGCGGGGTCGGTAGCAAATGAAAAGTCGAGACCTACCTCACGATGACCAGCATCTATCAACTCAACAGCCTCCCGTGTCAGATGTACAGCGCGATCCTCGCTCGTAGAGTGAACCATTTCAGGCCTGAGACGAGAGCCGATAGGTGTAGGGCGGGACACAAAGGGTGATGTGATACCGGTTCTGGAGGAAATTAAGAAATCGGCGGGGAGCAAGGACTGATAAGGGAAACAGTCCGAGAGCAAGACGGGAGTATTCCGAGGATAGGTCGAAGGTGGTGGCCGGGAGAGTGGAGATTGAAGTAGTCGTAGTCAGAAAGAGGTTGAGGGAGCTGCGTCAACCCACGACCTCCGGAGCGATGGTCGAGCGACAAGACACACAGGCAATCATGGAGAAAAAGGACGAGTAGAAGGGTCGCGTTGCGGTCGCAAAGCCAGGGTGATGCTGACAGGATGCAGGAGGGGAGTATGAATAGAAAAAGGTGTGGAGGGAGAGGTAATGGTGGGAGTGGTGATTTTCTTTTCCCTTTTTCTTTCTTTCTTTTTTTTTTCGCCTCTGGGCGTGGATGGAGGGAAGTTAACCTCTGGATTGTATGGGGACGGAGGGGAGGATTGGCGGGATGTGGGTTGGAGCCAGTTGGAGCCTTCCTTGGAGGAACGTAGGTACTAGGTACGGTAAGGTAACCGGTAACCTACCGGTGTGACAGGTCCTTGGAGCTCCGAATGCCCAGCAAACCGGGGGAGTACAATTCAAAACGGTTTATTACGGGTACGAAAAGGCGCCCTATTTCCACTCCCACGGCGGAGGAGGATGGAGGGTAAGCAGCCGGCATGCATATTCCCACTTCCCACTTCCCAAGGCCCCCTTCCGCCCGACGGTCGGAGGCACCCCCCCCCTGGTTCGGCCGCCCTTCGGCGTGCGCTTAACTCCGGGTTCTTATATTATGGAGACTCAAAGAGGGGGTTATCATTTCCTCTGAATCATCGATAGTAGGTAAGAGCATCAGCACCAATCTCATCCTGATCCCCTCGTAGTATTATCATCCACAGGGAAGTCGGGGAAAGGCAGCCAGAACTATAATCCCCTCCCCGTGACATGAAGCCGACGGAGCATCCGGTTGCCCAAGACGGAGTGGGTTCCCCGGGTGGCTGGAAGCCTGGAAGCCTGCGACTTAGAGGGGGGAGGAGGACGGACGGCGTATCGTCTCCGGTCTCAGATAAGATGGCTAAGAATAACAATTCACGCTTGGAGTCGGCACCCTAGCCGATAGATACTAGATAGAACAGACTAGCCTACCGATTGCTGGTCCAGCTCCCTCCTCCCCATGTATCTACTCCGTATACATGCCTATCTGCATAATACCATTCAAGATTGATCCCCCCCCCTTTCCCCCTACGCTTGGATCCCAATGACGCCTTCTCCGGCTTGGATGGGAAGTTAATAATGGCTAACCATGGCGGATGATAAGAGCACGCAGTTTCATCTAATCGGAACTTTTCTCTTCTGATGCCGATAACACCAACCACAGGGGCCCGTTGCATCACGTTGCCGCCGCCCCGTCCTCATAGATACACACCCACCCCTTTCCAAGGCGCAGGTCAGTCTGTAATCTGTATTGACTGGAGGGAAGCAAACTGATCCGCATCCCAACCTCCAAGAGTTCTTGGTCCGATAGTCTTGTCGCACTAGTGGTCGTCTGGTCGCTTGGCTACATCTTTGATCTACGCCTTTTTCCTCCTTCGAGCCGCCCTGTGCCAGTGTAACCGACCTTGTATGGTCCAGCCAGCCCTGCGTAGCTACATCAGACTCCGTACATCTACATCCAATCTGCTGGGGGTGGCATATCTCCTCCGTGCTGAGCCCCCTCCCGATTAATGCTGGATCTACTCCGTACATACGGCGTATGCAGGATTGCTGATGCAGGATCAGATGCGAAGGCCCTTCTTCTCAACCATTTCCAAATGGGACGAAGCCACGTCCCTGGAGGAGACGCACTGATACACCCCCCGTCGGCTCGACGCCCGTGGCCAATGAGCAGCGGCCTCGGCGGTGAGGCCGAGGGCTTGGTCCATGCAATATTCAGCATTCCCATCGACACAGCCCGGCTATACAAACATGTTGGGAAGGACAGGCCTGCTCCGGACCGGACAAAATGCCCATCACGTCAGAGGACAAAAGTCCTCCCAGTCCGCCCACCAAGCGTGGACACTCGACGCGCCTAGCCTGAAGACCACATGCAATTCGCGGACCGGAGAACAAGGCCCCCGGCGATCAATCCTGCGATCGGAACAATTCAGAGGTACGCTTAACTACACACGTAGAAATGATCATCACTGAAGGATCAGTCTCGTTACATCTTAGTCAGGACAGGCGGAGGATCCCTTTCGTCAGCTTCCTTCCTCGGGCGCATCACATGAGGCAGCCCTCCTTAATGCTTGAGTGCAACTCGCTGATGCCAACCCGGACACGTCGCCCGCCACGTGATCGCTGCTGTTGTTGCTGCTGCTGCATGCCTGGAGACACGGCCTTGCCTCCGCTCATCACCACCTCTTCCTCGCTGCCTTCAACGGCAAACACCTCCACCATCCACTCATACCAAACCTTGCGGTCGTCAGTCTGTCGATACATGGTCACCACCACCTCGCCATTGTCCGGTACATTGAGAGGGGTCTAACATTGCATCTCATTAGCATCCTGTGCTCCCACAGTGGCTGGGGCAATACAAACCTTCAATGGGAAGTAAATCGGAAACCAACTGATCATGTCTGCGCTCTTGGTGTCCATCGTGACTGGATTGGTGGACAGTTCAATGTCGCGGTATAGCACTGTCTCAAAGTATCCAGCCAGCCCGTGGCACACTCCTCGGTTATAAACGGGGAAAGATAGGCGAGTCCGGCGTACATTATGTGCGTTGGAAATCGTCGATGTGGATGGCAATTGCGGTGGGATGTGCCGGTTAGGATGTTCGAAGGACCATGTTGTCTGTACAAACGGAATGGGCGTCTCCCCCGAACCTGGAAGGGTGGAGATTGAGTCCCAGGCACTATACCTGGCGCTTCCATGAGTAGAACTCATAAGTGCAGCAGCGGAGGGCTGGTTCGTCGAGAGGAAGTCAATGGCGTGTAACATGACTACATACGGCGTCTCGGGAGCTGCCGGGTTGGAGACAGCTTGGTTCATGACATCGGCATGGAGTTTCGGGGCCGCAATGGGTGTGAGGTGAGCCGTATAGGAAGCCGGGATAGATATCCCGTGAACAGGGTTAAGCAGGTGTGTGACACCGTCAAGGCATTCCGGGGAGAGTTCGTTGTCGCCGAATGAGCCCAGGAGCTCAGACACCAAAATGTCGATCGTAGTGGGAACGAGCTCAGTAACGGGGGGCGCGGCCGCCGATTGGGGCGCTTGCGCAGAACCCTGCTCTTCGTTGGTATTGTAAAGCAATGAGTCTCCAATCCCAAGGGTTTGTCCTACCGGTCCTGTCTGTACTCCCGAGTCATCCTTCCTCTCAACCTGAGGGCCTTTCCAGCTTCGCATGTCCGACTGGACAAGTTTAACCTGGCCACCCCATTTCTGCTCGTTGTGACGCTGGAGAAGGACAAAAGCATTGGTGTTTTTCTCTACAGCCCAAAGGTCGATCTTGACACCAGTATCAATGCTGGCCTGAAGGGCCCGCGATACGAGAGGTCCGCGACCAGCACCCACCACAACCACAACCACCCGGCCATCAGGGTTCGAAGTAGGCTTCCCTTCACTTGCCCAATCACTAAGCGCCTTGGCGATCGCTCTCTCGTACCATTTGTATTTGATGGGATCCTTCTCGAAGACCTCGTAGGTAATACTTTCCAGGTTGACCGTCAACGGCTGCAAAGGTGCTTGTAGATAGTCCTGGTATCCGACACCAAACCTTTCCATGGCACTCCGAGAGGGCTGACGTTGTTGAAGGTTTCTTAGGTATGACAGATGGGGGGTCGGGTCATAATGCTTCTTGTTGGATACGGCGGCTTGCGTGAGGCTAGGATAATCGGAGCCCGACAAAGCGGGCAACTTAGTTCCCGGGGTCTCTTCCGCGTCTACTCCTGGGAGTGTGCCAACATCACAGAGAAGAATCCATGGGGGTGTCCGAAGGCGCATGAACCGACCAATGAGCGCCTGGTGTGTTTTAGACAGCACAGGGTAGCCCTTTTGGTTCTTGATGAAGGCCTGAGCATCAATGGTAAGTAAATGAACTGGCTCGGAATACCACCGAGACTGAACGGACATAGGAGGCAGGTGTCTGGACATTGAGAGTGCTGGAAAAGTCATCTTAGCAACAAGTATGGGCGCAGCACATTAATGGGCCGGAATATCTACTTACCTACGACAAGCCTCGAGTGGTATCTACAAGTCCTCCGAATGATGTCCCAAGCATCCCAGGTCCCAAATGGATCCGCTTTCGATGATTGTCCTGCGAGAGGGTCTCCAAGGAATTCTGGGCGAGCGAGGCGAGACAGGTCGGCTATTCCATCTACTTCAGAATCCGGGTTGTCAACCATGGTCGTCCAGATATGAAATTGTATGTAAGGGGCGAGGTTGATGGCATCCTGGATCGCTCTTGCATAGTACATCACGCCTTCGGAATGGATATCTCCGTGGTGCAGTTTCGGGCCCGGAATCAAGAGGTACCCCAAGCCACAAAAAGCTGCATAGGCCACTTCCCGCATGAGAACTTGGCGAGAGATGTCTGCAATCAGAGGGTCTGGGGAGCATAAGTCAATCCAACTGCTGGTAACTCCAACTAGCTGCGACATCGTCTCATCCGGAGTCAGATGGCTATCGGCGGGAGTCAGAGGAGGGATCTCGATAGGTCTTATGTTATCGGTTGTCATCAGAGTGCCATTAGCAGCAGGTGTCAGAGGCGCATTTGGCTTGGAGCCTAGGAGGGCGAGAATCCGAGAATGAAACGTCTCCGTAGTGATTGGCGCCGTAAGCATATCATACTGAAGGTCTGAAGTTAGCACCTGATGAGAGCCAGCATTTCAGCACAAAGAGACGCCTACATTGCTTTCATGTGCTGCCTGTACAATTGTAGCAGTGATGGGGTTCTTGCGGGCGCTCTCATGCTGCCCGATGCAAAAACTAGGGGGCATGTCTTCCGGGTTGCTGAACGATTCCATGGTCGGGAATCGCAGATATTGAGGAACGATGTTAGAATAATGGGGCTCTTTGATGAGGGGATAGGAAAAGTATCATGAGCAATCCGCAGAGCTATAGACAATTGCCTGGTTCAGAAGATAGTCGACCGACTATATCTATAAAGGAGAAGGGATGTCGGTGTTGACAGCGGTCTCTATTTATGTGGAAGATAATTAGTCCCGCATAGCAAATAGCAAATCAATTGGGGTTCCCGGCAATTTTCATCTCCAAGCCATGCTCAGTAGTGGTTAATATAGCAACGGGGGAAGACTGGGAGAGCAAAGGAGCAGGCCGCCGGCGCAGGGATGCTAACAGAGAAATCGGAACCCCCCTTCAGTGGAACGTCGCGCGACAATGGCCTCCTGGATAGCCCCGCGTACCTGAGCAAACATGCATCCCGTCGCGACTTGCCGGCGGTGGTGTTTTCTGTGGGGTTTGTGGCGGCAGAATCCCCGGCGGTGAGGCGGGGAAAACTGCAGCTGTGGCGAAGGGCGGCCGACCTGCCTATCCGGGCCGCCTTTTTTTTCTGAACGGCGTTTGGCGACAACCTAACTCTCGTTCTGTTGGTCTGCAGCAAACCTCTCCCCCCGTCTTTTTTTCGTCTACTGCTAGACGTCATGGTTGATCGACGCTCAGATTCTGATAACGGTTCGCGTGCTAAGCGTCAAAAGATGGACAAGCCTGAAACCGATCCCAAGGACAACCCGTACCTGGCTCACATGTATGAGTCCTCCACCAACTCGAACTCATGGACCGATGGCGCCGCGGACCTTCACCCTGCCTTTGGCAAGATAAAGAGGCACCAGACGACCGCTGCGATTGCCAAGAAGGTGGAGGATGGTGATGTAAACCCGTTTAACGGCCAGCCGTTCTCCAGCAAATACGTTTCCATCTTGCAGACTCGTCGCGATCTTCCGGTTCATGCTCAGAGGTGAGTTTTTCAGCCTTCCTGGGCCCTTATCGAAGTCGATCTTATTATGGCAATCGGTTTCTAACTATACCTTTTCATAGAGATGAATTCTTGGAGCTCTACCAAAAGTCGCAGATTCTGGTCTTCGTCGGTGAGACAGGTTCCGGAAAGACCACTCAGATTCCTCAGTTCGTCCTGTTCGATGACTTGCCGCAAACGCAGCGCAAGATGGTTGCTTGTACCCAGCCTCGTCGTGTCGCCGCCATGTCTGTTGCTCAACGTGTCGCCGCCGAGCTGGATGTCAAGCTAGGAGAGGAAGTGGGTTACAGCATCCGATTCGAAGATATGACCAGCTCCAAGACCGTACTCAAGTACATGACGGATGGTATGCTTCTAAGAGAGGCCATGCATGACCACAACCTTAACCGCTATAGTACTATTATTCTTGACGAGGCTCACGAGAGAACGATGGCTACTGATGTTCTCATGGGTCTTCTCAAGGAAGTTGTGGTGCGTCGCCCGGACTTGAAGATCATTATCATGTCTGCGACTCTGGATGCACAAAAGTTCCAGCGCTACTTCAACGATGCTCCCCTTCTTGCAGTCCCCGGTCGTACCCATCCAGTCGAGATCTTCTATACTCCTGAGCCAGAACAGGATTATGTGGAAGCCGCTATTCGCACAGTCCTGCAGATCCATGCCACGGAAGACGAGGGTGATATCCTTCTGTTCTTGACCGGTGAAGAAGAGATTGAAGATGCCGCACGGAAGATTTCGCTAGAGGCTGATGAAATGGTAAGGGAGGCTGATGCTGGACCTATCAAGGTCTACCCTCTTTATGGTAGTCTGCCCCCGCATATGCAGCAGCGCATTTTCGAACCTGCACCACCCCCTCGCCGTCAGGGGGGCCGTCCCGGCCGGAAGGTCATTGTGTCCACCAACATCGCCGAAACTTCGCTTACCATCGACGGTATCGTCTACGTCGTCGACCCTGGATTCTCGAAACAGAAGATCTACAACCCCCGTATCCGTGTCGAGTCCCTCCTGGTGTCTCCCATTTCCAAGGCCTCCGCACAGCAGAGAGCTGGTCGTGCCGGTCGTACACGCCCCGGAAAGTGCTTCCGTCTTTACACCGAGGGAGCCTTTAAAAAAGAACTCATCGATCAGACTTACCCGGAAATCCTCCGCTCGAATCTTTCTTCTACGGTGCTGGAGTTGAAGAAGCTGGGTGTCGACGATCTCGTCCACTTCGATTTGATGGACCCCCCTGCCCCGGAGACCCTTATGCGAGCCTTGGAAGAACTCAACTACCTGGCCTGCTTGGATGACGATGGCAACCTGACCCAGCTGGGACGCCTTGCGTCGGAGTTCCCTCTTGATCCTGCGCTTGCCGTGATGCTTATCAGCTCTCCTGAGTTCTACTGCTCCAACGAAATTCTCTCCATCACAGCATTACTTTCCGTTCCGCAGGTGTTTGTCAGACCAGCTTCTCAACGGAAGCGTGCGGATGAGATGAAGGATCTGTTTGCCCACCCCGATGGCGACCACCTTACTCTCCTTAACGTATACCACGCCTTCAAGAGCCCCGAAGCGCAGGAGAACCTGAAGCAATGGTGCCACGACCACTTCCTCTCTCTGCGGTCGCTGCAGTCGGCGGACAACGTGCGCATGCAGCTCCTGCGCATCATGGAGCGTGAAGAACTCGAAATGATTTCCACCCCCTTCGATGACAAGAAGTACTACGAGAACATCCGCCGTGCGCTGTGCGCAGGGTTCTTCATGCAGGTCGCGAAGAAGGAAACCCAGGGTAAGACCATGTATTTGACCATCAAGGACAACCAGAACGTCCTGTTGCATCCCTCGACTGTCCTGGGTCACGAAGCAGAATGGGTTCTCTACAACGAATTTGTTCTCACCACCAAGAACTACATTCGGACGATCACAGCCGTCAAGCCCGAATGGCTCATTGTAAGTCCCATCCCAAATCTCCAAATGCTACCCGTTGACTAACACCGTTCCAATAGGACATCGCCCCCACCTACTACGACATCTCCGGCTTCCCCAAGGGTGAAATCCGATCCTCGCTTCTTCGCGCCGCCGAGAGACTCTCGCGCAGGGAGAAGATGCGCTCCGACTCTAGCAAGAGACGATAGACTAGTTAATCTCGTTGTCACGAAATCTATAGACCATGTTTTCTTCATGCCATGATAATTTCGAAGTTCAATAAAAGGGAATATCCGGTTCTCTTCATTGCCATCTTCATTTTTCCTTTCATCCCAAGTTCCAGGTTGATCTTTCTTACCATCTCTCGCCTCCAATATCATCATTTGCAGGGGTTCATGGGTGCTTTCACGGTATTTAGTTCCTTTTGATCTGCGGGATACCTCGGGCTTACATCTAGGCACAGTTATTATACTTTTCTCATGCATTAATACCTGCAGACTTGATACAAGGATATGTGTAGGTTGTAGTCACAGAATTATTTTCGAAGCGCACAACGCTGAGAAACACTAGGTCAGATCCTGGGTAAGGGAAGTTTGCAGCGAAAAGGCAGCGGGAAGGCTTCTTATTAGACTATAAGATTCTTAAATTTGACAACCTGATTGGCTTTTCTGTTTCATTCGTAACGTGACTTACTTTATATCGCTATTACTCACCACTTCCCCCCCCCCAAAAAGGGGAGGAGAAAAGAGCTCGAAACGTTTATTCACACTGTAGGTCTGAATCAAGTACCATATTCTAGATGCTTGACAGAGTCTTTTGAGAAGTTCAACAGAGTTCTTTGGGGTGCTTGGTTGAGCCCTTTGAGATGCTCGACAAAGCCATTTAGCAATGCTTGACTTCTTTAACTATGCAGGATGCCTTCAACTACATGCTTTAGAAATGCGTTACGTGGTCGTTACTAAGGCGATTCGGAACGCCTTGGAGCTGCGAACTTCCCGCAGGACCTAATACTATACTATACAATTTGTCCAGGTATCAACTATATCGAAATCTAAAAAAGGGTGTCTGAACCAGCCAACCAGTTACCTGGACAGAAGCAAGACCGGCGGCCAGTTAGTGAGAGGAACATCAACAAGACACTCACCGTACACAGGAAGTATAGGTGTAAGTGTAGAAATCCCCGCTCAACCAAATGAACACAGAGGTAGGGGAAGAGAGAGAGAGAGAGAGAGAGAGAGAGGCGCATGGTGACGGACGCGGTGGGTTGAAGCGTAGAGCTACCTAGGAGAGAGGTGTCTTAGGTGACTGGGCCCTACGACTTCATGTATCGGATTCTGAATTGGTTTAAAGGAGCCCCAAGTTCGGGGGTGGGAGGCATGCGTTCATGCTTTTGGCGGAGGAGGTCGTGATGGCTGGGTTGGGAGGGAGGAGGTGGTGGGATAGTTTCCTTTTTTTGCGTTTGGTGAAGGTCGAAGACCATCTGTTTTAGCTGGGAGATCTCGGCCTTGAGCGATGTGATCTCTTGCTCTTGGGCAGCTGCAGCAGACTCGTTCTCCTGCTTGGTTCTTTCGACTTGCTTGCTGATCTCTAGGAGTAGTTTCTGGCGGTCGCCGTCCTCAAAGGCCGGCTGGGATGCATTGAGTGCGTTGGATGAGGCCGGGGATCCGGCGAGCATGGAGGTTAGGACCTGCTGGGAATAGAGCTCGATCATGTCTTGCCATTTCTTAGAGGGGGATTTGCCCTCATAAACATTCAGGTGTTCATTCATGACATTCACAAAGGCATAAGATTTCTCCCATGCTCGCTTATCTTGCATTTCCTTCGGTGCGGCCTCCGCTGCGGATCTCCATCGTCTGTGATGAGGATCGTGGGGAATTCGGATGTCCAATTGCTTGCTGGCGGCCGCCCAGTCAAAACCGCTGTTCATTGCGGTTGTGATGATGGCTTCGGACATGTCGTACTTTTCGCACGCGTCGCACATATGTACCATGAGCACAATGAGTCGCTCAAGTCGGAACAGCCGATGCTCTGTTGACGAAACCATGAACGCCAATGTCCGCTTGAGTGTCTGCACTCCCTTTTCCCAGTCGGTGCGGATGGCGCAGAACCTGAGGTAGGAGTTGAGGATAGCGAAATCGTCCATATGTCCAGCCGACCTAGCAGCTAGGAGATATGCATCGGCCCGATCAGGCTGATCGAAGCGCAAACAAGACACAATCAAGGTCGCATAGATCACTGGGTTCGCCGAATCAACCGGGGGGACGATGATTTCGACCCCATTGATCACTTGGCGCTGATAAAGACCCAACCCGTTCAAATCGACCGGATAGCCGTGCCCGTTCAACATTTCTAGGAAGATGTCAAATCCCATGAGGTTCTTGGATTTACGAAGGAACGTAAGGATCGTGAGGATGAGGGAGGCGCTGAGCGGGAACTTGTAAGGAAGAATGGTCTTTAAGATCAAGTCACAGAGATCGTTCTGGCGAGTTTTGGTGAATGCTAGGATCATCTTCTTCAAAACTTCTGGTCGGTCTGGGTCCGTACACTGCATCAGATTGTTGGCCAGTCGGAGAAGAAGTTCCTGGAGAGGCATATGGTCTCGCATATAGAGATCGACATCACGCTGGATGTCACGGTCCAGTCGATTCCGCTCATCTGTCATGTGTCGGATCGAGTGCACGCGAAGGTCTTTGGCCAAGTCATCGATATTGGATGTTTTCGAGCTTTTGACATGTCGCATTCTGCGTCGAAGGTTATTCAGCTCCGCTAGCAGCTCCGACACTTTCAACTGGGGTACTGAGAAATCGGCACCGTAATTCATCTGGACTCCCATATAACTGTGTGCAATTGCCGGCCGAAGCAGAAGTCGAATAGCAAGCTGCTTGAGAGCAAGCTTCCGGATGACTTTCTGACGGACCACGTCGCCGGTGAGCCATGTGGGTGAATGATCACTATCAAGCGAAAGACCATAGTCCTCGTTAGCATCTTCCGCCAGCGGGTCATCGCTCTCCGCGACCAGATCACGAATGATCTGGCTGTCTCTCTCATTCGCAAACGCGGTTGTCGAGTGAAACGAAGCAAACGGCACGTTCCTCCTAGGCCATTGATATCTCACATGTGCCGGTCGAGTTGCTGTGCCGAAGTGTCTGGTCTGTAAAGCCCCATGGAGGAATCCCTGCTTCCGGCGCGACAGAAGGGCCTCCACCAAGCGTTGCTCCTCATCCACCAGCTCATTGACCTCTTCCTTCACTGCGGCAATCTTTTCTTCCCATTCGATACGGCGTTGACCCTTGGCCTGAGCGTCTGCCAAGGCGGCGGCGGCGAAGATGCTTGTGTATAGTGCAGTTACCGAATTTCCGAGCCGGAGACGTCTCTTGCTTGCTGCTGATGTGGTTCTCGAAGCTACGCCATTGGAGACGGTGCTCAAGCAAGAGACGCAACGGCAAGTAGATTGCGCCGGAGCGGCGCGGGACCAAAGACCTTGCATTCTCAAGTCATTTCTGCATCAATTTGACTCCAATGGTGAGCTGCCGAGCGGGAACGCGGCCAATCGACTGAGCACAAGGACCTGACGGCCAATGGCGGCGAGTAGAGGGTCGGGGCAGAGGAAGGGCCGGGCTGAGGGGAGGAGGTGGTGCGAGGTCGAGAATCTTGGGAATTGGATGATGATCGGCTAAACGAAAGTCGAACCCGCCTGGGTGCAAACCGTGCAAACGGACCGCTGGGCCGGCGGGCGACGACAACCACCGCCGACCAGGGAATAAGCAATATATTCCTCTTCTTTGTCCGGCGATCTGTCACATTCGCGAGCTCCATTTTTGCAATTATAGACTCGTCGGATCGTCTCTCAGCGCTCGTGGTGCTATAAATATCCTACCGTCGCAACCCAATTGCCTGACAATGCTCGTCGTCCTCGCTACTGCTCTATTGGCCCTGAGCGGCAGCTTCGTGAGCGCTCACGGATCTCACGCCGACCAGCCGCCCTCGTCGGATTGGGCCACCCGGCATATGCAAGGTAAGGATGATGGATAACGTCGGGGACTGAGAACCGTGTGACTAACCGCCTGTCCCGGTAGAGGAGCACCACATTGATGCCTTCGACGCTGCTTCCTTCTTTTCCCTTCACGACTATGATGAGTCCGGGGTTTGGACCCCCCAAGAAGTGCGCAAAACGTACGGGATGGACCACGAGACGAATGCAGGAGTCAGTGAAGAGAGAAAAAGTCAAGCTTTGAGGGAAGTGTTCGCTTTGTTCGACCCAACGAACACCGGCTTCATCAATCGCGACAACTGGATGCGCATCATTTCCGAGGGAACACGGCTGCCCGATCTCGGGTTTGGTCCTGGCCACCACGGCGACATCGAGTATGAGTACGAGATCCACCATTTCGAGAAGTACCACGGCGAAGATGCCAAGGAGGAGGACCTCACCCATCCCGAGGACATTGAGCACTTCCGGCAACACGACGAGGAAGACCTCGCGATGGAGCGACTCGAGCAGCTCGAGAGCATGCAGATCGTGGAGGCGAATATACCGCAGAAGTTCCTCAAGCACTAGATGAGTGTACATTAGATCTCTTTGTTGCTGCTGTACATATGTTTGATGATACGAGTCCAAGCGTCGGTTACACCACTTGGGAGATACCCTTTCCTGGCTCTTAGGGAAGCCAACCAAGCGTGATATAGTGCAGGAGCGTCACACCTCATCCAGCGACGGCACCATGACATCAAAGACGCAATGCATCACCCCCGGAGCGTAAGTCTTGACCTGTTCCACATGTCGACAATCCGCCACCGTCGCCTCTATTTCCAAGACCCGTGCCCTCAACTTCCCAACCTCGGCCGTGATCTCATCTTTCATCTCCTCAATGCGCTGCACGTCAACATTCTCGTGCACATGCAGCCAACCCCCCTTCTGCGCATCCACCATCCGACACGCATTCTCCCACGCCGGCGCCGACGACGGCAACAGCCCCAGATTAACATGTTTAACGGGGCACCACTCGCCCCTGGCCTCCATGGCCTCTCTCGCCTGCCCCAAAACGTCCGCCGCAAACCGATTGTCCCCATGAAAAACCACCACCCTATCCTCTCCCCTCAGTCCATCCACCATCTCCTCCACCCCCAAGCCATCCTCCAACGACCCATCCCCACCGACCCGAATAACCCTACACCCCCATCCATTGGCCTCACACCCCCTCCTCAACCCCTCCACCGACCACCCATTAATCTCCCACCCCCAAACCCTCCTCACTCCACGCTTCAAGTATGAAAACACGAAATACCCAATCCCCGCATACATATCCACCACACTCATCCCCGCAGTATCATCCAAGCCCTCAAACCCACTCCCGGCACCCAGGATCCTCGCCTTCTCCGTAACATTCCCCCTCGAAAACATCGTATACAGCGGCGCCCAGATCTGCACAATCCCATGATTCTGCATCGTGCGCACCCAAAACGCCCGTCCCAGATCCTCCTCCGTGGGCTGCTGCTCCCCCATACCATTATCCGAAACCATAGGCCCAAAATCCCCATAAAGCGGTACCAACCCTGCCGGACTGCGCATCCGGTTCTCCTGACCTTGCGCGCCTGTTAACGCAATCGGGGCGTTAATCGCGACATGCGTGACGCCGCTTCGGCTGAACGCTTGCACGATGCATGCGAAGAGGGTTTCCCGTTGCGCGGGGGTGAGGTCCGTGTATAGGGCGCTCCAGGAGGGAGGGGAGCTCAGCGCATTCACTGGCAATAGCAGAAGGGGTTCGTAGACGGTGAAGCGCTTCGGGAGGGAGGAGAGGAGAGTTTCGAGGTTGTATTTTGTGAGGGTGGCTTGAGGGAGGTGGTGCGTCAGGTATTCCTGGATACCTTTTTGGAGGGGGTTGAGGAGTTTGGGGGCGCGATTGGTGTTCTTGGTGCCATTGTTGCCTTTGCCTCTGGGGGTTCGGTGAGGGCGGGAGGCTGTAGTGGTGGTGGTAGATTGGGGGATGTTGTCGGACATGGTTGTGGTTGGGGGGTGGGTTTATATACTGGTTAAAATGCGCGCGGATAATCGTCACCTGCGGATCTTGGGCGGGCCCCCACTCGCTCCGATACGGTGCCGCAGCTTTTGTGAGGGGTAGCTCTATAGATGCTCGCTACTATTCACTGTTGTGTACCAGGCGGGCATTGGCTGTTCTGGTCAATCCCAAATTTATCAAGTAAATTCAATGAGTAATACTGGAGCATTTTCTATTTAATTGGATCGTTACGGCTTCTCATGAAGGTAGTCGAGGTCTCTAGGCTACTATGTATACAGAGAACGGCTTCCTGGTCAACTTGTCACGACTCATTTTTTAGAGGGGCAGCGGACCTTATAGAAAGCCTTGCTCTACTAGTTAGAGCATTGACAAGAATAATCAACCAGTGTTCTACACTTCTTGACAGGGAAAGGGGGCAGACATTAGTACCTTAGATTTTTCGTCAAGATAAGGAGCGCAAACTACAGTGCCAATTCTAAAATTTTTCCTTGTCATGTCAGTTGCTTTGTACAGATTAATAGTATGAATGAATTATTCCTTTTAAATTTTGTATCTCTAGAGCGTTGATTTCAGTCTGGGCATTTCCAAGTGCTATCTGTTCTGATTCTTACATGTAGTTCTATTTTGATTTGAGGATGCATGCACACTGCAAACTTCATTTAAAGTAAGGGTATAGTATAAAGTAGATACCATATAAAAGTATAGTAGGGAAAGGCTCGGTTGCATAGCTTAGTGTTCCTAAAAATCAATACCCTTCAGAGATTAGCAATCATGTTTTCATCTCGTCCCAGCAAAGGTCCTAGAGTTATCTCAACTGCAAGGCTTCCACATCGGGATAGAAAATCCCATATTAACAGGACGTGATGCTGTACTATCTGTCAATTTCCCATCATATTGCTGCTGACTCCTTGTCTTGTCTAGCGAACTGCGCTATGGGCGGTTAAGGATTTTCTGGCCCCCATTCAGTATGGAAGGTTAGTGGATCTGAACGACCGTTTGTATTACAAGGCTGATCCATCATGCCTGACCGGTTATTACAAGCGGCATCTACTAAGCATTTCTCTGATTACTTTGTCTCATCAAAGGCAGAGAGCGTCACCTGATTTCTCTCAACATGTCGTCTTTTCCTGTAAGATACTGCTTCGTCTTCACAACCTCCACATAAGCCACCATATCGCAACACCTCATCCATTCTCTAGCCTTTCGCACATCTCAACAACTTTCACCACCAGCGCCCTCATCAAAGCCATGGCCTCCACCAAGCCCACCACCGTCCTCGTACAAGGCTCCTTCCAAACCCCACTAGTCTACGCAAAGCTGTCCACTGGCCTCCGCGACGCCGGATATCCAGTCGTCCATCCACCACTTCCAAGCTGTTCAGACGTGGAAGCCAACGACTTCCCCTCTCGCACCCTCAGCGACGATGCACTCGCTGTCACCAAGACCATCGAGCAATTAGTCGAAGAAGAGAAGTCAGTGGTTGTCGTCATGCACTCCTACGGCGGTATTGTAGGCAGTGAGGCTATCCCCGAGAGCTTGACTCGTACAGTCCGTCAAGCCCAAGGGAAAAAGGGAGGAGTGGCCCACTTTTTCTATTATACTGCCTTTATCCTTAGAAAGGGCCAATCGGTTCTCGGGACCTTTGGAGAGTCTCCCAATAATGATGTGCAGGTATGATTCCTGAGGTACCCATTTGTGCTCACATGCTAACCGATGATGCAGCCTGACGGACGATTCAGCATTAAGAATGGCGCAAAGACGCTCTACAATGATCTAACTGCAGAGGAGGCTGCGTTGTGGGAGTCTCGGTTGATACCCCAGTCTTACCTGGTGCAAACGACGTGTGTTACTCGTGCCGCTTACGAGTATATCCCATCGACTTATCTGGTGTGTGAGAACGATCAGGCCGCTCCACCACAGTATCAGGAGATGTTTGCCGCGTTGGCTAAGGCTGAGGTTGATCGGTGCAGCGCTGGACATTCACCTATGCTTAGCCAGCCGGCTATGTTGGTGGAGAAGATTGCCGCCGTGGCTGACCGGGCCAGTGAACTTTGATGTAGATTTTGCAGGCGCACCCCGCTTAGGGAAAGCCTCATCGGAATAACCTGTCCTTGCGATACAGGGAAGGATCCGCGGCAGGTTCCTACAGCCAGTAGGAAGATGACGGTGAATATCGGGTGCTGTCTATCTACTCGGCAAGATGCGAGGCCGTAGAACAAGCATAAATAGTCCTTTGATCACCGGGATCGGTGCAGTTAGATCAGCAGACCTATATACCGGTTAGTCATCGGAACGCGTGATGCTATTTTCACCTACAGGTGTCGGTGGTCTGCTCTTGGCTTATTGGGCTTGGTTATAGTGCCCCGTATCTTTCTAAAAGCCATATCTTGAGATTTGAGCGAACAATCAGCCGAGTTCTGTATAAAGAGGCTTGAGTGAGAACTAGAATCCAGAGCTCTGGATCTATTGCAATGCTATAAGGTCACGCAGTGATACATATGTGGAAATGCGTCAGGAATAGGATAGTGTCTGCGGAAAAATCCAGGACTGATTCCAATAATGCACCAAACACATCCCTCTTGACTGGATCCGCAGTTCGGGCTTCAAACTCTTCGGGACAAACTCGGAAATATGTATCCAATGTTGTCCCATCATCACCGACTATCCGGATTACTGAACCGTGCAATTTAAACAAGATTCCTGATGCAGTGAATGTTTTGGCTTGCCTTATGATATCAGATTTGTCAGCTTCATTCACAGTCACAGCATGTTAGCTCAGGGGAAGAGCGCCGGGCTCATAACCCGGAGGTCCCTGGATCGAAACCAGGACATGCTATTTCTCTTTTTGCTTTTTGGTTATCCATTAGCTTGGATCACGTCCTTTGCAGGAAACAGTACCTCCGGGAGAACGGGGTCTCGTCCCATACTTGGATTCTTCTGATGCAAGAATAGGGTTCTCTGGATGAGTTCAACAGAAAGCTTAATTTTGGTAACATCTGCGGTAATAATGGGATACAAGTATGAGGCTTAGCATATGTAGATTAAGAATGGGGATGATACAAGGTCTGCTTGTTGATCAAACGGAATTGGTGCATCATTTGACAGATGATTCACGAGTATCGACAAAAACTCATAGAGCTAGGCTCCTGGGTGGCATAAGAAGTCTAACCACACTTGATGGTTATGAGTAAGAGAACCATACATAGTGTGTTGCCCTGTACTGTTTCCACACCCCAGGAGGAGGACAAAACAAAAATGAAAAAAGAGAAATAGCATGTCCTGGTTTCGATCCAGGGACCTCCGGGTTATGAGCCCGGCGCTCTTCCCCTGAGCTAACATGCTGGTGATAAAGTTAAGATATAGAAGTAGTGCTATACAAAACATTGCTTAAGGGGAGAATCACAAGCCGTGTATCAGGTAGTTTGTTGAACTGGGTCTGTCGATAGGAAACGATTACGCAGATGACCCATCAATATCTAGATAAAGTGGGTCTACGTTGGATATGTCGGATATGACTAGGGGAATCTAGGTATAAGTGTGTCGTGGGTATTGACTGACCTAGCTGTTGTATCAATACTCCGTGCCCTGGGGATATGCTACGCGATCCTGCGCGGGTTGGTCACTTGAGACAGGATAGAAATAAGGACAATTATCTATATAGGCTAATAGTGGAACCCCTACTCTCAGTCTGGCGCAATGAGTTCGGTATGAAATGGTGGATAGCATCAAAGTCATCCCCCACCCACCAAATCATCCAGCACTGCCTGCAAGGCAGTAGAAATTGGAACACGTACCCCATTCAATCGCTCCCGATATCTATCCATCAAAAAGACATAGACCAGACCCGATGTAGCGAACCGTTTTGTAACCGGAGCACAAGCATGTCCATTCAAATACTCAATGCATCGGGCGTATACCCAACGCAATTCGCTCTTCGACTGCTCCCGGTCCCCTGCCACCGTCTCTGTCTTCTCACCCTTCAAGACGCTCAGCGCCTCCTTCGCCATATCCATCGACAAACAGCATCCGATACCCATCATCTCCACCGCCGTGTCCACCACCCCCTGGGACTGGATTTCGACTCCAGCAAGAACAGCCACAGCCGTACCGGCCACATTGGCCGTGACGACTCGGAACTGTGTCATAAGAGTTGCCTTGCCCACTAACATAGCACGAAGTTCGGGGTCGCGTTTCTCCAAATACTGCACGATGTATTGCCGCCACAGACACATTTCAAGGAATTTGATATCGTCCGGATGGACGTTCTCAGAGCGAAGACCCGCTAGCACGTTGGCGAGTGTGTGTCCGAGGAACCGGAATGTGCCATTGACTAGATGAAGTGGAGGGATCATAAGGTCGTCTGTGATGGTCGCCAACGCTACGTAGAGTACTTTCCAGCGGTGTTTATCGTTGTCCAGGCTGCCCACCCAGCAGGCCCACCATTGGATAACGTCTCGTAGGACGTAGCGGCAAACCGAGTCAAGGGATGTGTCGTGCTTTTCCGTGAAGAAAGAGTAGTCATCGGGGTGGGTGTTGGGGGCTGTGTGGATGTAGTCGTCGATGTGTTGGCGTACCGCTTTGATATCGTGGCATGAACAGGGCGGTAGACTGGTGTCTCCCAGTGTAGAGAATATGGGCATCAGTTGTCTGCTGATTTCGACGCCGTATTCATGGTTCTGATTATTGGTGGGTGCGGACGTGAGGTCGCAGATGTGGAGGTTGGAGCGAAATGGTGCCGATTCAGGGATGATGCCGTCTTTGAAGTAGTTCTTGCATCACATGGATTCCATGTCGGGAAAGTGTGATATAGGACAGGTGGATGTAATTGTGGAGTGGGGAAGTGAAATAGAGGATGTTGCTATGTCAATGTGACGTGCAGAAGATGCGGGGATAGCAGAACAAAGCTCTATGCGGTGGAATTTGAATCCCCGCAGAAATGGTTTTCTTTTCCTTGCTGCCGGGAGGTATAGAATGTGATGGATGGGAGAATATTATTCAGACCGCCACACCGGATTGAGGATTGAAATACATAGAATACAATCATGCGCAGCCCCCATACACAGAGACATGACAGAGATTGGCGGAACAGCATCCGCCGTCGAACTGCCAGAGGCTCAAGGAGCTTGGTTATACGGGAAAGGAAGCAAGGGAAACACGAACAGTCAATTCATACACGTAAAGGTGTCATGCACCGTAAGACTTAAGGATGTGGACTTGGAATACTTGCATCAACAGCACCTCGAGCGAGTCGAACTAGGGGATAAGAGGATGAAGAGTGGCCGTATTAGAAGATATGTAAACGCTCAAGTACAGAACAAATGCAAATGGCGCTGTAACGATTGACTTGATAGCAAGAGACGTCCATAACGAGTGGTATCATGGTGAGATTAATAATCCATCACAGAGTAGCCCAACCGGTCATTGGAGTCGAGCACACTATTGCCAGTCAATACAAATGCGATATGGCGCAGGCGGAGCAAACTCACGAGTATTGTTTGGTCAACGTCCCCTCGCCGCCCTTGGAGAGATCAATGCTGAAAACATAGAAGTTGCCGTCACTCGTCACCACCATGACCTGTGGAGTATTAGTACTCATGGCGACGACACTCCGCAACGGCCCGTTGTTCCCATTGGCCCCAGGCCCTTGATTCGATTTGGGCAGCTTGATCCAGGCAAAATCTCGAGCCGGCTCCCACATTTCACTGACCCCCTTTGGAAGATAACCCCCGACCTTGGCGGCAAATGTGCTACCGACATTTTGCGAGGTCCGTCGAATCATTCCCATCAATGTTCCGTTGTGCTTCCTCGAAGCAAGCTCAGATGAGGCAATGTCGCCACCCGTGTCGTCCGTATCGGGTGTTTGTCCAAATGAGCTTTGGCTAAACCTCCGGTCAGCGCCTGTGGGTGACGAGGAAGACGGCGTAGCATCTGGCGAGTTGGATTGGTGGCTCAGTTTGAATAAATGAATGGTCTCCGTGGAAGAGGATACACAAAGAAGGGTCGAGGTGGTGTTGAAGGACATGCTATAGATTCTGGAAGGTATCGATCCCCGCCGGAATTGATATAATTTGTGCCCATCGGGAACAGAAAACACTCGTATGATTGTTCCTTTGTCAGACGCCGTAGCTATAAGGGTGCCGTCGTTATTGAGCGTGATACACGCCAGCGGAGACCGATGCGCTTCAATGACGTTGATGGCTTCCAGCTTCAATGTATCGAATATCAAGACCTCGCCACTTGTAGGCGAAACGTGCGTGGTCCCCGGAGGAGCATGAGCCGGGGGAGTGAAGGACGAAGGCGGCGCCTTTTGCGGTAGAGGGTATGCCAGATAGCAATTGTCCGAGGAAGGAGATAGGGCACAGATCGCTGCTCCAAATTAGAGGGGAAAGCCCAACCACAGCTGCAGGTAACCATCAGCTTACCGTTGGGATTCGGCGAAGTCTCAATGGTATACAGGAGCTTCATGGTCTGGATATCATAGAGATAGATCTGATCCTCTAGCACGATCACAAGCCGTTTCCGGTTCAGCTTCACCGCTAGCACGGTGGTAGGAAAGGTCAACTCGCATATCGTGGATTGGCGCTATATGTCCCAAGGGGAGAAAAAAACGTTAACCACATGCGCCTCGCGAAGAACGCAGCCGACAACACAGGATCTCGATTATGGGCTAATTGAACAGGCATAATCTAACATCACGCGCGCAAGGATGTCCTACGAACCTTGGTATTAGTGATTTGAAGGCGACGCGGTGATAATATCAGCGCAACCAGGGACGTCGAGAATAGCATTTCAATTATGGCAATATTCCCTTCCTTGGTCTCATAGCTTTTTGCGAAAGGGTCTGTGGTGAAGATCCGGAACCCCTTGGAAGTCGCTGACAGGTGTCAAGAAACATTCTATGAGAGCAACAGACGGAAGTGATATGCAGAAGACCCTTACCCACAGCCAGATAGCTATAGTCCTGGTTGAATGTCACGAAGTTCATGGCCATCTTTCCTCCGCCGATCGCCAGGACCGACCACGCTTTACTTTCCCGTTGTTTTCCTCTAAACAGTATACGGTGTTGCAAGATGTGACCAATAGATCCAATAAGAAGACGGAGATGATATTTCGTCGATCAAGTCGCCCGAGGGAAGACACGCTCTAGTGTTGGTAGGTAGATGGAGGGGTCGACCCGATCCCATGCCAGGGCCGGTTCCGTCACAGTCGAAGGCCCTTGCTTTGTATCTCCCGCTGGCACAACGGATCCTCGTGTGATTATGAATGGCGTTGTCCCTAGGTATACTCCCCACACCTCTGCGATCGCGAGTTGAAGAAGACCGGATCGGTTGGTTGGGTTGGGTTGGGTTAGGTTGGGTTGGGTTGGGTTGGTTGGCTGGCTGGTCTGGTTGGGTTGGTTGCGGAGGGACCGGGGGGATTCCATTGCCTGAGAACCAGCGTTCCTCCTTTGGCGCGGTCTGGCTGCGTCAGGCGCGCGGCAAGCGAAGCACTACTCGGACGCTTGGGCCACATCTTGATCGACATTCTTCTCTTCCGTCTTTTCGGCTTTCCAATTTTCTCTGGCTGCCCCTCCCCCACATCACTCACTACACAAGTCAACATGTCGGCGAACAAGAAAGCCAATCCCACCCTGGGCGCCGCTAAAAAGCCTGCCATGGCTGGCATTAGCTCCAAGGCTGAGAAGGAGGCGGATTTGGTCATGGGGGTAAGTCGCGATTGCTACGGCCCAGTCCCACTATGCGCCAGGCGCAGACACAGACCACCCAGCGCCTACCTACTTCTCTTCGGTTCTACATCTAACAGTTCTAGACCAATAACAGTAGTATTGTGTCCAAGCGCAGCGTCGAGATGCTCTACTACCCCAAGCCCCACTTCTTCCGTTACTTCGTCAAAAAGCCCCAGCGACGGTCGCCATTGATCAACCGCGGATACTGGCTTCGTATGCATGCGATGGCGGAAACAGTGCGCCAATTCATGCGAGAGTCGTCGGGGAAACCCAAGTTTGTCCTGAACCTGGGATGTGGATTGTGAGTCGTAGTAAACCGGATGCAACCGCCTGGTTGCGTGGACCGTATGCTAAGCTGGCTTGTCGTAGTGATCCTCTACCGTTCATCCTCCTCAGCGAAGACCCATCCCTGTGTAGAGATACGCGATTCGTCGATATTGATTACGAGAAACTCATGATCAATAAGAAAACGGCCATCAGAAGAACCGATGAGATTACACAAACCCTCAAGGATGTAGAGTTCTTGTCAGATGAGAGTGCTGTGCAAATCCGCAGCACGCACTATCTCGGCATTGGGTGCGATCTAAAGAACCTAAAGAAGCTGGACGATGTGCTGAGGAACGAGGTCCTCCCGGCTGAGTGCTCAGTCCTTTTCCTAGCCGAGGTTTCCCTGACGTACATGGATGTCAAGTCTGCCAATGCAGTCCTCGACTGGGCCTCGAAGTTGAATAACGGTAGGGTTCTGCCTTTGGGCGTCCACATATTACAGCAAACCCACTAACGCGGACTCCAAAGATGCCAAATTTTGCATTCTGGAGCAGTTCTTCCCTGACGGGCCTGACCATCCTTTCGCCTCGACCATGATGAAACACTTCAAAAAACTCGGCGCACCGCTGTATTCGATCCACGAATATCCCTCACTGAGCGAGCAAGAACAGCGGTTCAAGAACGCCGGATGGCGGCAAGCCCATGCCAGAAGTCTTTGGGACCTATGGTCAGATGACGGGTATGTGAGCAGTTCACTGCGCTCCTCCTTGAATGCGGTGGAGCCGTTTGATGAATGGGAAGAATTCGCGCTCTTTGCGTCACACTACTTCCTCCTTATCGCCTCTACATCACAGGGAGAATTGCATCACAGCGCAGACAAGACAGCACAACCCGGGCAAGTAGCAGATGTGTCAAGTCAGTTTGCGCTTCTTGCAAGGTCTCCTGCGGGAGGTGGTCAGCGGAGGTTCGGAGCCCTCGTTCCTGATGGCGAACACTCATTTGGCTACCATGCCGGGCTGGGGCGGCAGACGCGACTTGCAACGACGAATTTGTACTCGAATGCAAACGATATCACTGGTCCTACTTTGCCCTTTCCCTCCCGCGAGGTCCCGGCCCGGATGTGTCACACGGTTACTCATCTAGCCAGTGGCGATTGCTTGCTCGTTGGCGGCCGAGCTTCACCCGCAGCAGGACTCCAAGACTGCTGGCTAAGACAAGGAACACAGTGGCGCCCGACACAAAACCTTCCAGTTCCACGGTTTAGACATAGTGCGACAAGAGTGACCTTGGATTCGAACCATGTCTTGTTATATGGAGGGAAGACCAGTGATGGCACGGTGCTCGATGTCTGGTTGCTATGGAGCGGCAATGGAGATGGGTGGAAACCAGTTGAGACCTTCGGAAATACCCCTAGAGCCAGATTTGGAGCTTGCCTGGCAAGCATTGACAATGCATCGGGCTTCCTCTTTGGAGGAATCAGCGCAGACGGCATTGTCATTGAAGATTTCTGGACGTGGAAATTGCACCGGCGCAGCGATGGATCATACCATCTGGAGTTGCACGACGGAACCGAGATATTACGGGCTTCGCCTCTTTTTGAATACATCAGCCGCTTTGGCGCTACTGCCACTTGCTCTTCGTCGGGGCTAGTAATTGTTGGTGGTATCATTCCTCGACAGATTGTGCCGTATGACAAGGAAATCATGCTCCTCGATCCAACAGCGCTGGCCAATTGCCTTGCTGGCGAACCTTCACAGCCTCGTAATGTGCTTTCTGCAGTGGGGTTAGGACTGAATTTCGGTGGCCCAAGGCCTTTGCTAGTCGGCCACGCTTCTTATGCCGTTGATCCGAACCAGGTTCTGGTGCTGGGCGGTGGTGCGGTTTGTTTCTCCTTTGGAACCTTTTGGACAGAGGGCACTTGGCTGCTGAAACGCGTCGATGCGGAGACTTCTGAGAACGAGTGGAATTTGGTGCCTGAAAGTGCGCAGACGTCAAAGGTTGAGGAGCTGTCGGTTGACCCGTCCAGCATGGACAACCAGGCCCCTAACGAGATCGCACCGATTCCTCGTGTGAAGGTTCAAACCGCTGCACAATTCCAGCAAATTCTGGCTGATGGGAAGCCAGTGATCATTGAAGGATCCGACCTTGGCCCTTGCACTGAGCGTTGGACAAAAGAGTATCTCGGGGATGCCGTTGGCAGAGACCGCAAGGTAGAAGCCATTGACCCTGCTTGCGCTGAAGAAACCGGCTAAGAGCCCCTTAATAGGTTGTCGTGCATGAGGCTCACTCGGAGAATATGAGTTTCCAAGCCAAGAATTTCTCCTATACAACAAAGGAGTTCGGCTCTTTCCTGGACGAGGTGCACACAGGCGGCCGCCAATATCTCCGAAGCATCTCTGCCGAAGAGCCAACCAAACTACCTGCCAATCTAGCCGTGGATTTTCCCAACCTCAAAGATGATTTTTGCCTACCGGAGCCCCTTTCTATGGTTGTTGAGAATGCGCACAGTTCTCCACTCAGGATCTCGGGCCCAGTCACCTTGTGGCTGCACTACGATGTAAGTGTGCATGTTGGACGCATGAATGGCGAGTTGATGCACTGACCAATTGCAGGTGATGGCGAATGTTCTATGTCAAATTCGTGGAGAGAAGAGACTCATTCTGTTCCCCCCCAGCGATGTGGAGTATCTTCAGGTTCCTGCCGGGGCGTCGAGTTCTACTATCAACATATTCCAGAACCATACGGATGGTTCGATTGCTGCCGTCCCACACACATCGCCACAAGAAGCGGTTCTGTGTCGTGGCGACATCTTGTTCATCCCCCCGCTGTGGTTACACACAGCATCCCCGACTGGCCAGGTCAGTGTCGCCGTAAATGTTTTCTTTCGCAATCTATCGAAAGGATATGCAGCTGGTCGGGATGTCTACGGAAACCGTGATCTGCAGGCCTATGAAAAGGCGAGAAACGATCTTCAAAAGATCGCCAAGTCTTTCGATGGGCTTCCACCTGACATGGCCCGTTTCTACTTGTTGAGGCTCGCAAAGGAGTTAAGAGACAAAGCCGAAGCATAGATGAACCAGGTGTCCAGCCTTGGCCCGAGAATGCTGTATTAGCCGGCTGTTGTCAATCACCAGTTGGCAATCGATCATGCCGCGAGATGCCTGAAGCTAGGTGGCGCGACTCGGCTGACTATTCAAGCCTGGGTTCGTGTTTAGAACTGCATTGTTTCTCTGGCCCCTCAATGACTGCCTCATCATGCAGAGAGAATGCACGTGTAAAGATCGGGCCGCTTTCCAAACCCAGCAGTGTGAGAGGCACGTGGTGGGAGAGTGGTGGGAGAGTAGCAGTGCCGAGTGAACAGGTGGCGGAGAGGCGAGGCAGAGGGAAGTGTGAGTGATGAGGAGGGGTTGTTCTGCGGAGAGAGACCCGGGTTAAGCTTGGCTTCTAGTGAAAAGCCGAAGTGGAGACATGGACACGCCCGTGCACTTGTTTGACACTTGGTCCAGGTCGGTTACAGCCAACGCAACACAGTCGGGAGAACTAAATGCGAGTGACCGATGCCCGATCTGCAGAAAGTGCTACCGTTGAAACCATATCAATCTAGAACTAGAATGAAATGGTAATGTGGTGGTGCGTGCTTACCGACCCATAGGGTTCAGGCGACACCATGGGAAGACTCTAACTTATCCATCCAATCTTTGATGGGCCTCGGATACTCAATGCCACGGCCCAAGTAGCCATGACTTTCCAGTATGCACCTTAAAGATGTCGCGTGCCTAATCGTAAGCATCTCGACAGTCATAGACAGGTAATCGAGGGCGCTCCGTAGGACAAGGGTCAGCGGGACACATGTACAGCACACAAGCTACATGCAGGTCCCGGAAGACTGAGGATAAGGTGGTAGTTTGAAGAAAGAGCTCGGCTCGGCGAGGAGCAAAAGGAATGGACGGGGCAAAGGGGCAGAAAGGAAAACAAAGATAAGAGTCCCAAAAAAAGGCAAAAAAAAGAGGAGCACACGATAATGGTCACGCATATACCCAGGGGTACACCTGTACTAAAGCGCAAGAATATCATGAGCGGGTAATCTAGATGTCATGTCGTTCAAACGAATTTGAGCCCGGACTGTGGTTGGGTGATGATTGAAGATGGGGGGTGAGAAGACGCATGACTTGATGGGAACCACGGATCCCTGTCATCACCCGTTGTCAAAGAGATAATGGCGAGGGAGGGTACGGGAACTTCGCTGATGCCAATCATGAGGTCGGATCGCAGGGACTGAGTTTGGTAGGCCTCCCACTGATCGCAAACCACGGCCTCTTATTCGGTAGTAGAGCGATGCTGCACCTTTCCTTGTGTCTCCCTGTCGCCGGTCCCAAGCCGGGAGGCCGCCTCCCTCAAGGCCCTATTGGGCGTTACACCAGAGGTGCTGGCGTCAAGACTCTCGGGGGGGGGTTTACTGTGTAGAGGGGGTGTGGGGGTCGATTTTGAGACGACCCGGAAGTATTGAAGCAGCCCAGCCTATTGTGTAGCAGTGCGCGGCATCTGGGCTGGAAACAGTGGGATGGTCTGGGCGGGAGGATCATTGGCCGCAAACGGGGAGGTCATAGTATAATCCGGATGTGGGGACATCTGCCCGAAATCAAGGATGGTCGATGGGTGACGATGAGGTCGGGCCAAGGTACCTCCCGACCTATCTACCCAGCGGGGCCGGTCTGCATAATTAATTATGTGATGGCTGCAGGAAATGAAGCAAGCACGAATAGATGAAACAAGAGGGAATGAGGTGGCAGCAATATGGATGGATAGATTGGAAGATCAGTGCACTGCAGAAAGAGTGAGGAATGGAAAGGTAGAGGTAGTGGGAAGGAAACCTGGGAAACCGGAACGAGGCAAGAAAGACAGACGGATGGATGGTTGAACGATCATCGAATCCTGACCGGAAGCCCCGTCCCAGCAAAGCCGCGGCGCTACGGCGGACTAACTGGCCACTAGAGACGGAGGCCCACAGCTCAAGACTGTTACCCCTCCCCACCCCCGTACTTACTGCTTTCCAGGTCTCTCCAGCTCAATCAGTCGAGTCAGAAGGTATCGGTATTATTGGGTATTCTTGTACAACTCCTCTTCCTCCCTCTTCCACTTCCTCCTCCTCTTCCTCTCTCTCTCTCTCTCTCCTCGTCTTCTTCCTCTCGCCTTCATTCTCAAGTGAACCCCCCTTCCCTCTCTCTCTCTCTTCCATAAATCATCCGTGCTGGGCTATTACTTAGTTTCACTTTTATCCCCTACCCTTATCTTTCGCTGACTTCATCCTCTTCACTTTCTATCTCCCCTCCCACCCCACATCCTGCTCGTTTCTGGATCGCCTTTGGGTGCTCGTGTTTCTGGTTCCTTTTATCATAGTGGGGTTGGGCGCATCTTAGCTTGCTATCTACTGTGGGTAACCTCATCTTCTTCTCGATTCCCAATTAATTGACTTCCACCTAACAATCTAAGCTGTTATCTATCATCTGTTTCCCTTTTATGACTTGCGAGCCCATCTCCTAATCTATTCATGTCCCTTGGTTCCAGAACATACTTTCGCTTGGATTAGATCATCTAAACTTTAGCGTTTGGAAGAATGTATGTCATCGGGTCCCCACCCACCGTCCCCTCACTATCTACGCGGAAACACAATGCGCTTGTTGAGCCTCCACTCAAAGATATATACTTACTGACACTATTCTTATTGCAGAAACCGGTTGCTCTTTGGTAATTGTGGACGCGGGCGCATCGAGCAGAGTCGTGCAGAGGATGTGCTATTGATTGGCCTCGTTTCCGCCGTCACGACACTGGATAGAGTCCGTCTCCGGAGATACACGTTACACGCGATACACAGCGTATAGAGGCGTCCTTGAACATGGCGACAGTGGTAGTGCAGCAGCATACGCTACGGCACTCAACTCCTCCCCCGACGGGGCTAACCCCCGCATTGAGTCTGAATAGGACTTCATCCCCCATCCCCAACAAACATATACCTGTTTGCCCTACGGGGCCATCCCCGGTTTCTTCTCGGACACCACCCTCAGCAACCAAAGATAACAACAAAGATCAGTCCACATTTTCTCTGTTGTACCCGCCCGATGGATTTCTACGCCTTACTCAGTCACCTGCCCTGTACTCTATTGATCTGAAAACCCTCGCCGCTTCGTTGGAGTACTTGGCTTCGCAGCCCCTGCCTGATCCGTCCCTAGTATTTCCGTGGCTGCACGGCCTTCACCCAGAAAACCATCTGCAGGTGGGATTCTTCACAAACAGAAGGCGCTCTCTTCGAAGGACTCCGAAATGTTGGCGTGGTATCACCATTGTCAAGGTCGGTGGCGATTTATCCACCGCAAGGATTAAGGGTGCAGTATCTCCTGACGAGATCCTAGTCCCTTCCAGTGTGGAATTTCTTCCAGTAGACCCCCGGGAAGGCTTCTCAGTACGCAACTTTCAGATACAAACCGCAAAGTTAGCACCACTATCTGACATTGTCATTTATGGCGAGGATGGTGTACCTAAACAACAGATTCTGGAAATCGCAGGACGAGTCGCAACGGCGCAGCATAACTGGAGGGTGAAACATGATCCGGACCACAGCTTTCCTGCGTATAACACCTTTGTCCTTGCTTGTGAGTAACCTGGATTTCTACACCGGGCGGTCGAGCTAACCCATTGATAGGTCCATTTTCTGAGATCGAACGAAGGGCGCCGCAGCTGGTGGCTATTAGCTCCAAGGGTCAGCTTACGGGCCAAGTTGTGGATTTTTGTGAGCTATTAGCCGAGTTCCCTCGTAAAAGTCTCCCGCTCTAATATGATACTAGTTCAATGGGAACGGCTGGAGATGTGCGAGATGTCGAAAGCCTCCGAGATATCAACAAATGTTTGGCTAGGTCCTACACCCGACTACCTATTGCGACCTGGATCTTGTGGGCCTGCGCCTACGGAGAATTTTGACCTACTGATTGAAGCTAGCGAGCTTGCGAGTATCCCGGGTCCTCGGTTTCTGGCAAAGCTCAATAAGCAGCTTGATGAAGGTCCGCAGAAATTGGAGTTCCCTTCATCCGGCTCTATTCTTCTGCCAGCTGGAGAGCACCGAGAGGTCGATGATCTAGTCAACACGGTCCGCTGGATCTACTATTTGGCAAATCCTGATGAACCAGACCATAAAGCCGATGCTGATGGCGACATTCAAATGATCCCTCTGACCAAGACAGCGCGCAAGATCCTCATCCATTGCCCGGACGGTTATACTGAGAGCTCATTGCTGGCAATCGCGTACTTGATGTTTGCGGAGGGAATTTCAGCTCCTAATGCTTGGCTCAAACTGCATTGTGAAAAGAAGCGGAACTTTTTCGCATACCCCTCCGACATTTCCTTTATGAGCAGCGTACAAGGAAGACTAATGCAGGAGAGTCCAGCAACACCATCACATAAACTCAAGAGTCTTCCCGATCCATCATGGTTTAGATACTGCGACGGCTCCCTTCCAAGTCGGATCCTGCCATATATGTATCTGGGTAATCTATCACACGCCAACAACCCAGAGATGCTGTGCGCGCTAGGAATCAAGCGCATTCTTAGCATAGGCGAGACCGTCTCGTGGAGCAGCTCCGATGCTGCCAAGATAGATCCTAAAAATCTCCTGCACATTACTCAGGTTCAGGATAATGGGATCGACCCATTGACACAGGAATTCGACCGCTGCCTGGAGTTTATCCGTAAGTTGACCTGTTATCTACAGCTGCATTCAGAAGGCTGACCAGGATGGATTATTTAGGGCAAGGGAAGTCCGACGGCATGGCCACTTTAGTGCATTGTCGAGTGGGTGTCTCCCGCTCAGCGACAATCTGCATCGCCGAAGTTATGGCGTCGTTGGGCCTGTCATTTCCTAGGGCATAGTGAGTTCAATCGCTCGATAATGTATATGGTCGTTGCTAATGTTCTGTAATAGCTGCTTTGTTCGGGCAAGGAGGCTAAATGTAATCATCCAGCCCCATCTACGATTCGTGTATGTCCCCATATTACCCTATCTTGTTTGCGCGACCAGTATCAACTGACAATGCATCCCAGTTATGAGCTACTTAAATGGGAGGAGCTACAACTACGGAAGCGAAACAAACCTGCAAGGCGAGAACTAGAATGGGCTACTGTGGCTCGCGAGATCGCACTGATGAACAAACCCTATTCTAGACAGTGAGAGTGACCTACACCATGGTTCATGCGGCCTGCAGGAGCACAGTCCCTGACTTCTGCGCTGCATGTCAACACCCCACTTTATGCCAACTACAATGAATGCGGAGACTGTTGGGATCTTCTATAATGGACCAAAAGAAAAACAGAGATGATGATGACCGACATGGATGATATGAGGGCACGAACAACACATGAATAAGCTACTGTCTTTTTCTTTTCTCTTGATCTTGGGCGTTTGAGGGATTAATCTAGGGAAGGGGTGATGTGATTCATGCATCCAAATATATGTTAGTGATGTGTATGTGTGTGTGCGTGTGTGTGGCTCTTTTGGTCGGTGTTGTGGCGGCTTGACTTGGGAATAGGCTCCACTATCCTTAACTGACGGATTTACTGCTTTGATGTTGGGGTTGGTCCTGGCATACTTCCTGGGTTCAAACTTTGGTCCTTTCTCGCTGTAATTTTCTAATTGCGATCTCTGAATCCATTGCGCAACTTTCCGGATTGATTGATACTAGTATAGACCAGCTTCTATCGCCGACTGTCGTGTCCATTCCCTTCCTCGATTAATGTTGTGCTTATAAAGCCCAGACTCTGAATTCGATCTCGAAAGCTACAGTCATGTGCTCACACCCTTAAGGTACTACTACAGTTTTATGATACATCATGACAATTTCGACCAACTAGATGAGGGCATACAGTCTCTACGTATAACCCAACACCCCCGCTCATCCCTATCAAGCCTTAAAACGTCATACATCCATTTAATGCCTCAATAAATGCACACAACTCAACAACGCTCAAAAACCCTATACAACCCCTTCAAATCCGCAACCTCCACCACTCCCTGGAGAAGCCGCGTCGTCGCGACTAGTCGGGCCCGAAGAGCCGGGAAAACTACGTGTTCCAACATCCGCGCCATGTGTGACCGTCTCTGCGTAATGAATTCGTCCTCGTCCTTTGCGTCGGCTCTATCCCCGTTCTCGGGAGTTGTAAGCGAAGGTGGAGGAGGGGGCAGCTGTTCCGGGGTATAAAAAGCTGCTAACTCTCGCAGGAATGTTCGGAAACAATCCTCCTCGCTCACCCAGTCGACGTAGGGTCCGAGTCGGAGTAGGAAGCGGGGCAGTTTGCCCAGGCTGGGGATGTAGCCTTTCAAGAGGAGTGGGATGGATAGGAGGTCACCTTCTGGGGAGATTTCCAAAGAGAAGTACTCATTTAACATCTCTCGGCGATCAATGAGCGTTTGGGCGACTAGGTCGGGGGCGTTAGTGAAGATTTCGTTTGCTTCGTCTTGTTCTTTTTCCTGTTGTGCTTGGGATCTGGTGTCCTGGTGTTTGTCACGTTCGGTGTCGACTGCGATGCGGAGGAGGTCGATGAGTTTGGGGGCTGGGGAGAGCTTGATTATCCCGAAATTTCCGAAGTCTGTCAGGCCGATTTGGTAGAAAAATTCGGTACAGAACATGCCGTAGTCGATAAGGTAGAGTTTTACGCCTGATTGAATAGCGGCGATGCGTCGGCGCTCGTCGACGAGACCGATGTAAGTGTGCGAGGCGATCGTTTCGGTTAGGGTGTTGTGCATTGCGTTGCGGACTGAGGTGCGAAGGTTCTTGATGGAGGTGAAGGCGATGCGGTGTGGTTCGCGTTCGGTGGTCTCGTACTGGAGGCCTTCGTCGAGGGCACTGGTGTCTGCTTGGGGGGTTGCTGGGGTGTGGGATGTGGCTGGGGTGAGCATAGAGGTGATTTTGCGGACTTTGGAATCGGTGCGGACGAGGTTGTGTTCGTATGGCTTTTTGGTCGTGAGTGGTGTTTTGGGGACTGTACTAGCACCTTCATTGTCGCGGGGCAAGGGCTCTATTGTCGTTACACCTGGGAGGAGACTTTGGGTTAAGAAGGTCCGGCTCGAGTCCACTTGTGCAAGTTTGGATCTAATCTCGTTGCAGATGCATTCAATGATTTCGTCTTCGTTCAGGAAGTTCACTTCGCGCTTTGTGGGGTGTACGTTTACGTCGACACGTTGTGGCTCGATTTCTAGGTCGATGTAGACAAATGGGTGGCCTCCTTTCGGGAGGAAACTGGCATACGTCTGTTCGACTGCTCGTTTGATGGCAGTGGATTCGACGGAGCGGTGGTTGATGAAAAGGAGTATGGTAGTTCGTTTGACGTGGTAGTTCGCGTTTGTGGCCAGTCCGGATGAGCGGAACCCTAATTTCTCATCTTCAGCTTTGAATTCAACGAGTTCGTTCGCAACTGCGCTGCCATGGATTTGGCGGATCCGGTCGATCGTGTTCGCAACAGCAGGAGTAGAGACACTGACGCCTGAATCGCCATGTTTGCGACACGAGAACGCCACTCCAGAGCAATGGACGGAGTATCGACCGACTACATCCAGGATTTTGGCGTATTCTTCACTTGCCGACCGGAAGGCGCGGCGTCTTGTCGGAACGTTGTAGAACAGATCTTCTACCTGGCAGAATGCTATGAGAAGACATGCATGGAAGCGATATGTAGCCTCTCACTTACTGTTATCTGTGTGCCTCCACGTCCGGCAGCAGCTTTAGGCGCAGCGCTCTGTCCGGGTTTAGGAGGGACAAGCTTCCCATCGCTATACTGTGCTCTCCATGCACAGCTGGAACCTGCAGTCTTCGTGGTCACGGTGAGATGGGCGATATGGCTTATACTCGCCAAGGCCTCACCGCGGAAGCCGTATGTACCTATGGATGAAAGGTCTTCAAACTGCTTTAGCTTGGACGTTGTGAATCTCTCACACAAGATAGGAAGGTCATCCCTCTGTCTCTGTAGATTAGTGGTTCCGTCGTCGGGTATTTGAGCTTCGCTGACTTACATCTATGCCATGGCCGTTGTCCGTAATCTGGAGAAGTTTCAGTCCCCCGTCTTTCACCAAGATTTCAATGGATGTTGATCCAGCATCAACGGCGTTCTCAATCAGCTCCTTCAATGCGTGCATAGGAGCCACAATGATCTCTCCCGCTGCAATCTTGTTCACAACATCTGGGTCGAGAGCCTGATTATTGTTGTTAGTGCGGATGTGAAAATATATGACTAGAAACCAACCCTGATCCTCTTAGGCCTCTGTGGCTCCTCGGTATCCTCGGCAGATCTTTTGGTGCCTCGAGTTTCCGAAGAGTCCAGCTCCATTTGAGGATCCATGATGACAGAACAATCAGCAACACCCTCTGCCCCTGCTACTTTGGTCAAGTGTAGCGAGGCTTTCCTAGGCCACAAAGTTGGGATGACGCGGTTCTCTGGCTACCGAAAGCAGGAAACAACAACGCAGATCAGGGACTTCTTCAGCCCAGGGAATATCAGCTATGGCTTGACTTTAGTCCGTAGTAAAATGCCCAACTTGGCTGGCTTCTAGAAGCAATGAATGAAGGCAGGAGGCGGTGGAGAAGAAAGGATGGCAGAAGGACGGAGATAAGCTGCGGAGGCCAATTAAGAACGCGACCATCCCGCAACCGTCGCGGAACCTCCGCGTGGCCCCCTCAGGATTCCATCCCATCCATTCCTTATCCTCCCACCCCTATTTTCTCCATGCTAAATCTAACCGTTCGAGCTCCAGCGGAGCGTCTTATCTTATGTTCGAATAATGCTACCTTCCAGAAAGTCATTTCTGGCGGATGAGGAGCTTGGGAAGAAGGATGACGACCATCGGTTGCGGCCAGGCCGCTCTCAACAATGGCGTTCAAAGCAGTGGAAGCCGCCTCGGCCACGACGGTTATTGATAGGCCTTGTGGCTTTGTATTTGTTATACCTATTCTTCAAGAATATGCCAACCGACCTTCGCCCGGCTCCGGAACGGTTTAACCCAGCATTTGCTCAGGCGCGACAAGCCGCATTGCAATTACAACAGCAGCAGCTTCAATCACCATCGCTCACCGATACCCAGCAGGGCCCCCCCGATCGAGACGAGAGCGATGCAGGGTCTAAGAATGAATATTATTATGACGGGAAGATTAACTTCTACTCTCTAGCCAAGTCGCTGCATCGGTTCCAAGGTCAATCCTCGCGCTACAAAAAGCCTACAAACCATGTCGTAATCTTCGCTGCGGCAAGCTTGAGAAGCGTATCGGATCTTCTTCCTCTCGCTTGCCAAATGGCTAACCGGAGGGTCAATGAGGTACATTTTGCGTTAACGGGACGGGACGATGTGTCAATCGAAGGGATTCAACGAGTAAATGGTCTAGATGACGCGAGCTGCCCGGTCAACTGGCATGGTACGTTTCAAAGATGTCGATTCATTCTGGACCAAGATACTCATCGCGGGTTACTGCAGATGCTCGGCCAGACTATGCACAGTGGTCAACGGATTCTCGTATGGAGAGAGCGGTGGTGGCGGGTCTCGCCTACGTTCGCGCCTACCTTCTTCCTCGAGTGATCCTAACACAAAGTGAATCCTGGGAGGACCCTTTTCTCTGGCGGGGTATTCGAAGTGGGGTACAGGAAACTGGTATTGCTCATGTTGCTCTCCCTAGCGCTACAAGGGATCTCATGTGGATGTCCACGTTGGACAGTAGCGCCCTCCAAGGTAAATTCATCCCCTGAGCGATCCGGCGGGGGGACATGCCTTTTTGGCAGAGTGTCGCAGATACCCGACCAACGCCTAGCTTTTACTAATGATCTTCCCGCAGCCTGGAACGACGTTCAAGTCGAATTCCTCATCCATGCTCCTTCTGAGTCCTCCGGATCTCTGATCAGATTGATCCGGACATTGCAAAACGCAGACTATCTTGGAGGGACACCTAGTCTGACTATCGAACTGCCCCCTCGTGTAGATTCAGAGCTTCTTCGCTTTCTACGGTCAATGACTTGGCCATCTCATGCTTCTGGGAAAGTCACTCTCCGCCGACAAATCCAACCACATGATATGGATTCTACCGAAGCCTCTTTGAAGACAGTCGAGGCATTCTTTCCTAAGGACCCGACCCTGTCTCATGTGCTTGTTCTTTCCCCGCAGACTGAGCTAGCACCCTCCTTCTATCATTACCTACTATATACCATGCTGAGATACAAACACTCGACTCGCGCAAACCAGCTGTCTACCAAGCTTGTCGGAATTTCGCTCGAGCTTCCATCCTCTCGTTTGACTAACAACGAAGCATTGACACCACCAGAGCTTGATAATAATCAAATGTCCAGCTTGGGTGATGGCGAGTCATTGCCTCTATTTCTCTGGCAGGCTCCCAACAGCAACGCAGCGTTATATTTTGGCGATAAATGGGTCGAGTTTCATGAGTTCCTATCAAACCGTTTCGCTATCCAGGAGGGTGCAGACCAGACTCCACCCCAGGAAAAGATCATTTCGAAGAAATATCCAGCCGTGATGGAATATTTACTGGAGTTCATCAGAGGCAAAGGATACTACATGATTTACCCATCATTTCCTGCCAAGGGAACTTTCACCCTTGCTACAGTGCACAGCGAATTATATCATGTCCCCGAAGAGTTCGCCGAGGAAAGCTCGTCAACCTCTCCTGAACCGTCGCCAGAAGTGATAGACGATCCGTCCAAGCCTCTGACGCCAGATTCTATTGAAGGTCTGGGGGTTGTTGAGAAGCCATTGAGTCGCGCCTCAACATTGATGCCCCTTCTTGAACGATTCTCCTTGAATCTACCTAGGATTGATTATATGCCACTTTTGTCCTATGGCGGTGAAAAGCTCTCAAGCTCTACTTATACCCGTGGCCTTGATGATTATAGAAGCTGGTTCCGCGCTCGATATGGAGGATGCTCTGATGGGAGCTCCGGCAGCCAAACGACTTCGGGGAGCTTGTTTTGTTTTGACGGATGATTTTGACCGCAAGTGGAGATTGTGGGCCTGGGTATCAGAGTGTGTTCTATACCCTATGTAGTCATTATTTAGTGTTCCAACAATTTATGAAAATGTACCATCATTGTTCTTATCATTGATGATATTGGAGCCTGAGGCATCAAGTCTGACTGACCTCTTGGCGGGCATGCTCTTATATAAGCAGTGGGAGCTCCACCAGAGCGCAACGCCCGAGCGGCGACGAAGAGCGAGCTCTCTCTGCTTCCCATCAACAAGCTTATAAACCAATCCTTACTTCATCGCCTAGAGTGTGGAATCTTCTTGCGTCAAAGCTGTCCACTCTTGCTACAATCTCCTGCATTATCTAAATATCCCGTCTACCGGCGTGTCCGAACACCCCCCGACTACTCGTCATATAACCGTCAGAGATGGCGCAAGACGGCGAGCGGTCAGCGCCCGCCGACAAGGGCAAGGGCAAGGTTGACGATATCAAGGAGCTGTCCGGTGGAAAGAAGACGGCGGCCGATGAGAAGCCACAGGCTGATGGGAAGAAGAAGGATGATGACTCGACAGAGGGTAGGTTGACATGTTGAACCTCTGGGCGGAGACAACCCGGCGCCGCGTCTCACATCAGGTGCCCTGTACCCCAACACAGTTGCTAACATACTGGATCATACAGAAGAACTCAATGAAGAAGATCAGCAGCTGAAGAATGAACTCGAAATGCTCGTGGAGAGGTTAAAGGTACAGGGAAAGAAGCTGTTCCGTTGGGGCCCCGAGCGATGACGTTAACTCTCAACCTGCTATCTAGGAGCCCGATACCTCGCTGTACACCCCTGCCTTGGATGCGATTAAGAACTTCATAAAGACCTCGACTTCTTCCATGACCGCTGTGCCGAAGCCCTTGAAATTCCTAAGACCGCATTACGATGATCTCACGGAGCTTTATGACAAGTGGCCGGCCGGCCCGGTTAAGGTTCGTTGCGTATCATACCGACATGAGACCTCGCTAACCACATGATGTGGCATTTATAGGACTCGCTGGCCGATATGCTCTCAGTTCTTGGCATGACCTATGGAGACGAGGAGAAGCTTGAGACCCTGAAGTATCGCCTTCTCACCAAGTCCGAAGACCTCGGCTCCTGGGGCCACGAATATATCAGACACCTGGCGCTGGAAATCGGTCAAGAATACCAAAACAGACTGAATGCCGAGAAGGATGTACAGGATTTGATTGATCTGTCGCTGTCTTTGGTTCCGTACTTCTTGAGTCACAATGCCGAAGCGGATGCCGTCGACCTTCTGAGTGAACTTGAGATTATCGAGGAGATCCCGCGTTTCCTGGACGAAAACACATACTCCAGGGTCTGCTTGTACATGGTCAGCATGGTTAATCTCCTCACATACCCCGAAGATCAGCAATTCCTTCGGACTGCTCATGAAGTCTATGTCCGCTACAAGGAACTCACCAAGGCGGTGGTTCTTGCAATCCGCTTGAATGACACTGATCTCATCAAGAGTGATCTCAATGCCACTACAGACAAGTCCCTCAAAAAGCAGATGGCGTTTCTCGTTTCCAGGCAGCAGATATGGCTTGACCTTCCCGATGAAGAGGAAGATCAGTCCTTCATGGACTGCTTGAACAACACCTCCATCCCGAAGCACTTCAAGTCTCTCGGCAAGGAGCTCAACATCCTCGACCCCCAGATGCCCGAAGACATTTACAAGACACATCTGGAAAGCAGCCGCGGTGCTGGCCTCACAAATGTCGACTCCGCAAGGCACAATCTCGCCAGTGCCTTTGTCAACGCCTTTGCCAACGCTGGGTATGGCAATGATAAGATGATGCTTGTGGATGGAGATAAGGGCCCCTGGGTCTGGAAAACCAAGGACGACGGTATGTTGTCGACGACGGCTTCGATGGGTATGCTTCTGCACAGGGATGTCGAGCCTGGTCTGGACAAAATCGACAAGTACACCTATGCGTCGGAGGATCAGATCAAGGCAGGTGCTTTGCTTTCCATCGGTATTCTCAACTCTGGTGTGCGGATAGACTCTGATCCTGCGCTGGCCCTCCTGAGTGACCCCGACAATCTGGAGGCCAAGAGTGTGCCGATGAGGGTCGCCTCCATCATGGGTCTCGGTCTGGCTTATGCCGGATCTAACAAGGAGGAACTGCTCGAGGTTCTTCTTCCCATTGTTGAAGATGTTTCTTTGGACATGCAGCTGTCTGCGATGGCAGCCGTTGCCCTGGGTCTGGTCTTCGTCGGCTCTTCCAACCACCAGGTGAGCGAGGCGATCGCCACCACGTTGATGGACGAGGAGAGACAGAAGCACCTCAAGGACAAGTGGACTCGCTTCATGGCCCTTGGTCTAGCTCTTCTGTACTTCGGCCGCCAGGAAGAGGTTGATGTCATCCTCGATATCCTTAAGGCGGTCGATCACCCTATGGCCAAGCCGACTTCAGTCCTCGCCTCGGTTTGCGCTTGGGCGGGTACTGGCACTGTCCTGAAGCTCCAGGAACTTCTCCACATCTGCAATGATATCATTGAGGAGACTGACGAGAAGAAGGGCGATGAGCTGGTCCAATCATATGCCGTGCTTGGTCTGTCGCTCATTGCTATGGGTGAGGAGGTCGGACAGGATATGATTTTGCGCCAGTTCGGCCACCTGATGCACTATGGTGCCAGCAACATCCGCAAGGCTGTTCCCCTTGCCATGGGTCTGATCACCCCCAGTAACCCTCAGATGAAGGTCTACGACACACTGTCCCGATACAGTCACGATACCGACAACGATGTTGCTATCAACGCCATTTTTGCTATGGGTCTTTGCGGCGCTGGTACCAAGAATGCCCGTCTGGCTCAACTGCTTCGGCAGCTGGCTAGCTACTACCACCGCGACCAGAACACTCTTTTCATGGTTCGCATTGCCCAAGGTCTTCTGCACATGGGCAAGGGTACGATGACCCTGAACCCGTTCCACACAGACCGCCAGGTCCTCTCGCGCGTATCGGCCGCGGGTCTTCTCACCGTGCTCGTGTCTATGATTGACGCCAAGCAATTTATCCTCGCCGAACACCACTACCTCCTCTACTTCCTCATCACCGCCATGTACCCCCGCTTCCTCGTCACGCTCGACGAAGACTTGCAGCCTCTCACAGTCAACGTCCGGGTTGGCCAGGCTGTGGACGTTGTCGGACAGGCAGGACGCCCCAAGACCATCACCGGTTGGCAAACACAGAGCACGCCGGTGCTGTTGGCTTATGGTGAGCGTGCTGAGCTCGAAGATGAGCAATACATTCCCCTCAGCAGCACCCTGGAGGGCTTGGTCATCTTGCGAAAGGTAAAGATTCTTATGTACTCTTAAGATGACGGATCATGACGCTAACACTACTGATAGAACCCCAACTGGGAAAGTTCTGCCTAAGTAAGACGACCTGTCGACATGAAATTTTGCAGAGGGTTGAGCGCAGGGCGGATTATCATTCAGATACCTTGGGTCTTAATGTATTGAGCAGGGTTTGGAAAATAGCATACACCGTTTGTCATTACGTTCTATCTATCACTAGACTGGTGGATGTGGCACGGGGAATCAATGCTAGATGATTCATAGGTTATATACGTCCGAAGAGACTTGAAACAGATTCATTCAACTATCTCAGTTGTGAGCGCTGGGCCAGAGCGACCATAACTTGACCATTATAAGATGGTGATCGCGCCAGTCGATACGGACTACAGTAACATATGCCCGCCTCTAGTAACCTACCAGGATGGGTTGAAGGATATGAATCCGCATTGACTAAAGATTCCTGTATAGCTATCGTATTCGCATGTGTACATAGAATGTACTTCTTTGGCTTACCTCAAGGCCAAAGCCTGAATGCTGCAGACCAGCAAGGTTGTCCCAAAGCGGAAACTAGGGCATAGGGCAGCGGCGTCCTGACTTTTCGGCGGGCCTGACGGACGGCCTTCGTCCAGCGCATCCTCACGCCAACGGCCTGATCGTTTCTGTAGCTGTTCTTTTGAGATTATTCCGGCGCCGAATACCAAGCGACATGAAGCTCGATCCGAAAGCGATCCGCTACCTCACAGCTGAGGACTTCCGCGTGCTCTCCGCGGTATGCCCCTCCCCCGCCTTTCTTGCCCGTTCGGTCGCAGCGTGTTGTCTGACAGCTAACAGAACCATGTTGCAGGTTGAGACCGGAAGTAGAAACCATGAAGTTGTTCCCACGCCTTTGATCGCACAGATTGCCGGACTTCGCGGTGGCAGCGGAGTGCACCGAGCTATCTCGAACCTGGCCAAGACCAACCTGATCGCCAAGGTCAAGAATGCGAAATGTACGTTGTCGCCTCCGGTCCTAGATACTAAGAACGCAATGCATACTGACGCAGCTATCGTCTAGATGACGGTTATCGCCTCACCTATGGAGGTCTCGATTATCTCGCCCTCAACGCCCACCAGAAGCAGAAATGCATCTACTCCGTCGGCAACCAGATCGGTGTCGGCAAGGAATCCGATATCATCGTGGTCGCCAACCACCAAGGAACGCAGCGCATCTTGAAGATCCACCGTCTGGGTCGTATTTCCTTCCGAACTGTCAAGACCAACCGCGACTACCTCCGTCACCGTAGCACCGGCTCCTGGATGTACATGTCGCGCCTGGCCGCGATGAAGGAATATGCCTTCATGAAGGCGCTACGAGAGAACGACTTCTCGGTCCCCGAACCCATTGCGCAGAACCGACACACCATCGTCATGAGCCTGATCGATGCATTCCCTCTACGACAGATCTCCAAGGTCGCCAATCCCGCGTTACTGTACTCCGAGCTGATGGATATGATTATGCGGTTGGCGCGGTTTGGTTTGATTCATGGTGATTTCAACGAGTTCAACATCCTCATCAAGGAGATCGAGGACCCAGAGGCCAAGGGAAAGGGACGTGAGGATGATGAGAACGATGAAAATATCCGGCTGGAGCCCGTCATGATCGATTTCCCGCAGATGGTGTCGATCGACCACCCCAATGCGGAGATGTACTTCGACCGCGATGTCAACTGTATCAAGCGTTATTTCCAACGCAAGTTCCACTTCGTCAGCGACGTGCCTGGTCCGTTCTTCGCTGCTGCGAAGAAGCAGCTCATCCAGAACCCTGGAAAGCGGTTAGATGTGGAGGTTGAGGCGTCCGGCTTCTCGAGGAAGATGGCGCGCGAGCTGGAGAACTACATGCGGGATGTTGGTGCCAATGGCGATAACGAAGAGGGCGAGGGAAGTGATGAGGAAGACGAGAAGGAGGAAGGAGAAGAAGAGGAAGAAGATGCAGAGAATGAGAGTGGTGCGGAGGAACAAGTTCCTCAGATGTCCGAGGATATGGCTCGGCGACTGGGGAACCTGCAAGTGTAGGATGGGGAGTAGGCACACTCCAATTAAATGATAACGACCATGATGAATATAGAAATTTTCTTTTCATTTCACATATCTTCCCAAGACAATCAAACCAAAAAAAATTTCATAAACCCTAGAAACAGGTCCGTACCTTATGATCGAAACCCACTACGGCGGACGACGCGGCCAACCGCGCAATTAGTGTTTGCTTCAGACGAAAGTTCCGCCGGACCAATCCATCCATATTATTGCCCTTCCTCGGAATCAATCACCACCAACACTCCTCCCCCCCCCCCCCCTCCCCCTTCACCCGGACACAATCAAATCCAAAATGGTCCGAAAATTCTCCAAGTTCCCCAAAAAGCCCGCCGACTGGGTCGGTCCCGGCTCGTCTCTCTCCCTGCGGAAGCAGGTATACCTGTAAGTCCCATCCCCAAAGCCAATTAATCCCAATCCCAATCCCAATCCCAATTCCATACTACCCCCCTCTTCCTCACACATACATCCACAAAGCTAATAAAATGTAAACGACAGTCCCGAATTCACAATCGCCCTAATCCGCACTCCGTTCCTCCCTCCCCGCTTCGCCTCCTTCTACGTGCCATTAAATTTCAACAAGCTGGATATGCGCGACTACCTGCAGCGATTGTACGGAGTGGGGGTTCTGAGTGTGCGATCTTTCGTCGAACAGCAGAAGGTTACTCGTCTCAAGCCGCACGGTCGTTACGGATATGGGAAATTGAGACGTCCCATGTCGAAGAAGAAGATGACGGTGGAAATGAAGGACCCGTTTGTTTGGCCTGAGCTGCCGGAGAATATGGAGGCGTATGTATACCCCTTTCTTATTGGTGATGGGTGAATTTTGGGGGGGTGGGTGAAAGGTTTGAGGGTGTGGGCTAATAATAATCCCTTGTTTTTGCAGATGGGAGAAGGATCAGTTCTTCAAGGCGGCCAAGTATCAGCAGCAGATTCAGGATACGCAGAAGCCAGATGCGGGAATGAAGCCGGATGAGACGGCCAGGGATGCGTTCAAGGAGGATGCGCAGAAGTTGTTGAGTGGGGAGAAGCCCTGGAGGCCGACTTGGAGGGCTTTGGGGTTGGGGCATTATGAGAGGCCGTTGGTGAAGGGGCCATGAGCGGGGTGTGGATTGATGTGTTACTTGATTTGTCTGTCGGGTTTGGGTTTGGATGTTCCTTTTTGTTGGTTTAGATGGTTTGGACTGAGTACCTGTCTTATGTGTATTATACTACCTACCTACCTATTTTCCTTATCGTGTCAATACGATTCTGTCATTCTGAGGATGGGCTTCTTTGATTTGGTTGAGATGGGATGGAAATGGTATTTATCCAAGTTTATCATATGTTGGGAATGGGTCACAAAATATCAACCGCTGGGTAAGGAAGGGGGTCGCTGCGCTCAACAAGAAAATACGGGAAAAGGAACTCAAGTATCTACACAGGCATTCTGTCGTGGCGGAGTTATGATGGCGAGGGATCGGGTTGGATTACAGCCGGCTCTCGATAAAGTTGGTGTGTTGAGTAGGCCAGTGCGCGTCGGGCCACACCTGTCGGATGGCCTCCCAGATATGTCTGTATACGTTAGCCACATGCTCACCACCAGTCTATTGGCTACTTACGTGACATAGACAATTTCAAGCCCTTCGCCGACCTCCTGGGGTACGTCCTTGACGTCCTTACGGTTGTGCTGGGGCAGCAGGACGGTCTTGACGCCGGCACGCAGCGCCCCGATGAGCTTCTCCTTGATACCGCCAACGGGCATCACCTTGCCTCGGAGCGACACTTCACCAGTCATGGCAACGCTGGGCGGGACCGCCTTGCCGGTGAACAGCGAAATCAGGCCGATCGTGTGCGCCAGACCGGCCGAGGGGCCGTCTTTCGGGATGGCTCCGGATGGGCAGTGGACGTGCAGGCTGCGGTTCTTCATGATATCCTCGTTAGGATCCGCGGTCAGTCCAAGCTCAAACGCATGGGCCTTGACCCAGGTTAGAGCCACCTCCACGCTCTCCTTGAGTACATCACCCAGCTTGCCAGTGAGCTGGACCCGGCCGTTGCCCGGCATGTCTGCAACCTCAATAAACAGGATACTACCTTGGCCACCAGTGGAATACGCAACGAGCCCAGTAACAACACCCGGTCGACCATGCTTTTCTGCAATCTCTTCATCAAAGCGCTCAATGCCAAGAATCTCTTCCAGGTCATCCATGGTCACCACAGGGTTGTATGCATCAAGCCGGTCTGCATCTCCCGCATCCGCATACTGAACAGCCTTGAACCGACAGATCGAGCCAAGCTCACGCTCCAGGTTACGAACACCAGACTCTCTGGTATAGGAAGTAATAACCTTGTCAATAATGTTGTCAGACAGATCCACCTGGCCATCCGAAAGCCCGTTGGACCTGACTTGCTTGGGGATAAGGTGTCTCTTAGCAATGTGTCGTTTCTCAACAGTGGTGTAGCCAGACAGTGAGATGGTCTCCATGCGGTCAAGAAGTGGTGCGGGGATGGTGTCCAAAGAGTTGGCCGTGGCAATGAAAAGGACCTTGCTCAGGTCGATGGGGATGTTGATGTAGTGGTCCGAGAACGTATGGTTCTGCTCGGGATCCAAGACCTCCAGCATGGCTGCCGATGGGTCTCCTTGGAAATTTGCGCCCCCGACCTTGTCGATCTCGTCAAGCAAGAACACGGGATTTGCGACGCCAACTTTCTTCAATCCGCTGACGATCAGCCCCGGCATCGCGGCAACATAGGTTCTCCGATGACCTCGGATTTCTGCCTCGTCTCTCACGCCACCCAGGGAGATTCTATGGAACTTGCGACCAAGCGATGCAGCGACGGATCGTGCCAAGCTGGTCTTGCCAACACCAGGTGGTCCGACAAGCAGGAGGATCGGGGACTTGTCGCCCATGCGTCTGGACTTCAATAGATGCAGCCTCGTTTCAACAGCGACCCGGTCCGACTCGGACAAAGCAGGAACTTCCTTCTCAAGATCGCCTCCATCGGAAGCCTCGAGCTCCTTCGACAATGACTCAATTTGGCGCTCAACATCTCTGTTGGTAGATTGCTTGAGCCGCAGCACGGCCAAGTACTCGAGAAGCCGTTTCTTGATCTTCTCCAAGCCATAATGATCATCATCTAGTTGCTTCCTGGCTCTCTTCAAGGTCTCCGGTCCAAGCTGATCCTCAGTAACCTTAGTCCATGGGATGTCCGCAATGTTTTCGAGGTAGGTTCGGCAGACACCGTACTCCGCATTTGCTGGGTTCATCTTCCGAAGACGGCGGAGTTCCTTATCGGCAACTTTCCGTGCCTCAGGGCTAAGCTGTGCCTCCTGCAATCTCTCCTGGAGCTCATCGACTTCGTTTGAGTCCTTGTCATCACCGTCATTGTTTCGACTAGCTGAAACTCCCGGTGGCGTTAGACCGCTCAGACCAGCCATGGCCCTTCTGGCCAGAAGCTCACGGTCCCGGGGATCAATCTGGCTGATGTCAAATCCAGAACTGGGGAAGCTGTTGGTAGTAATCGTAGTGACCTTCACGTTACTCTTGATGTTCTGTAGTTGCCTGGTCAGGATTTCAACAACTCGCTCTAGTCTAATCTTAACGTCTAGCGACGCCAGGATTCGAAGCTTCTCTTCAAAACCGGCTTCAGCGACGTCCGCCATGAAATCAGCCAGTCTGCCTGCGTGGGAGACGTCGGACTTGGCTATGAATAGCTCGAATTTCCGAGCAATGATGGGCGACAAACGGGTTCCTGGAGAAGGCAGCAGTGAAGACAGTCGCAGCAGGGTCAGGAGCTCGCGAGAAAGTAGTCGCAATTGTTGAAACAAGTCGAAGGTTTCCGTATCACTGGAGACTGTTTCTAAAAACGACCAGGTCAGGAAAATGTCTAGAGCAGAAGGTAAAAGGACGGAGCAGAATGCGGGGAACCGACCTTTTTCATCAAGAACAACAGCTTCAGCTTCGAAGAAAGGTCTCTCCTTCAAGACACGCCTGACAGTGAACCGCTGGACTCCCTGAACCACAAGAGCCGGCTCAGAATAGGCACGACGCTGGATGCCGATCACTCTGCCGACAGTGCCATGCCGGAACAGATCTTCCTTCCTTGCCTGCCCAGCATCAATCATCTCATATTCCTCCCTCCTTTCTTCATCTAGGCTTCCATCCTCAATAAGTCGCTGGCCGTCTTTACTCAGGAACGGCGAACTGAGGGGAATGCATCCAAAGGTGATCGGTGTCCCATCGCGCTTTGCCACGGCCGATCGATCAACGATGGTCGAAAGAAGATTGGCGAGATCCGGGCGATTGGAGATGGGAATCCGTAGCGTGACCCCAGGGAGTAGGACCGATCCTTTGGGCAGCGGGACCAAGGCGAGCTTTGTTGTTCTGCCGCTGTTGGAACCCATCTCGGTATGCCAGAGTACAAGGGCACACTCAGTGGCGAAAAGGGAATGAAGGTGATGTGAGGTGTAGAAGTAGTGATGCTGTCGTCGGGGGACGGTGGTAGGTCAGGTAGACAGCGCGCAGGGCTGTTGTCGAGGCGGTCGGGTTATAAGGCAACTAATGGTACTAGTAGAGCAGAGGTTCCACTGTTCCAGAACCCCGTGGATTGATGAAGGCGTGACTCTGGGGAGGAGATCCAACCGATAAGCGCCCTTCCTCCGATGCCGAGGTTCGCACGGGGCAACGTCAGTCCCCGATGCGGAAACCGGAGGCCAACACGTCCTCCAGCCAGCATTGGCGATGGCGAATGGGATTCTCTAGCATGGGGTTTAGTCTACGTCTCTCTCGATAGTGCCCCTGGGGGAAAAGCAAATACCCCGTATAGGTAAGCAGTGCGAGGTTGTACAAGACAGCGGAAGAGCGGTATCTCCTCGGTAATATTACCTGGTCCCAATTTCCGCGGGGGCTGGGCCGAGTCGTATGACAAACCTTGATAGTACAGAGTAAAATACCCAGCGTCAAAGGCCCGACCCGTGGAACATCTTCTTCACAGCTACAAGTCGCAGTCAGGTTTCTGCATTGCTCGGCACTTTTTACTTACTACCTTTTGCTCTTATCCAAGCAAAAGTACTTCCGTATCATCCCTCCGCAAACACAAACCCCGGTCTCTCTTTCCGTGCATACGCAAGATCGTCGCAATGGCTTCTGCCCCGCCTCACGACCCCTCACTTCGCAAAACATTTACCATTGGCACGCGCAAGTCCAAACTTGCTCTACTCCAAACAGACTTGGTCCAGGCAGCCCTCAAACAAACATGGCCGGATCATGAATTCAAGATCCACTCTCGGGAGACTGCAGGCGACCAGAACACAACGATCGCGCTCCGTGACTTCACGACCAAGAACTTGTGGACCCAGGAATTGGAGGATCTTCTTATCGCCGGCCATGTGGACTTCATTGTTCACTCTCTCAAGGGTGAGTACAGCCCCCCTTTCCAACCATTGGCGAAACACTGACGGGCTCCTCTTATCATAGATGTGCCGACTCTCCTCCCCGACTCCTGCACGCTGGGCCCTATGATGGATCGCGAAGATACAAGGGATGTGCTGGTGATGAAAAAGGGACTACCAAACAAGAGTCTGGCCGAGCTGCCAGCAGGATCCATTGTCGGCACATCCTCCATCCGTCGTACCGCTCAACTCGCTCGCCGCTATCCCCACCTTAAAGTCATGGATGTCCGTGGAAACATTGGCACTCGCTTGTCGAAGTTGGATGCAGAGGATAGCCCGTACACTTGCCTCATCCTTGCCGCCGCCGGTCTGCTTAGACTGGATTTGGGAGATCGGATCACCAGCTATTTGGATTCAAAGAACGGAGGAATGCTCTATGCCGTTGGCCAGGGCGCTCTCGGCATCGAGATCCGCAAGGATGACCAAGTCGTACATGACATGCTGAAAAACATCGGTAACAAGCAGACCACCTTTGCCTGTTTGGCGGAGCGTAGCCTTCTGCGTACTCTTGAAGGTGGCTGCAGTGCGCCATTGGGTGTTGAGTCGGAGTGGATCCAGGACGCTGAGGGTTCATCGAAGTTGAGAATGCGTTCCATCGTTGTCAGCGTGGATGGCAAGGAAAGCGCGGAGGTTGAAGTTGACGGGGCTGTTGATACGCCTGAAGCCGCTGAGAAGTTTGGTGTTACGGTGGCTAAGGCATTGGTGGAGAAGGGCGCAGACAAGATCCTTGACGAGATCCAGCGGAATAAACAGGCTGCTTAGAGAAACGTCTGATCAAAATACACGCTGTAAGAATCATGTTGTGGTGGAGATGCTGGTCTTCTCCCTCACGAGAAGATATGTATGATGGACATGGTTAGATGGATACCCCACACGAAATAGGAAACCACCCTTACATTCTACTATAGAAGAGATCGATTCACTATTTGTCAGAATGTTGTAGTATCCATGTGCCATATTCATGTATGTGTCCCCCCCCGGTATACGAGACATCTTAAATGGGTATTCTATGTTTGGTGATAGTAATTGGAACTGGCAGGGAGATATATGAACTGGCAGATAAGTGGTATCTATATTAGCGATGTGTCGGTTCCATTGACACTTCAGCCCCTATTCAACGTATTTCCAGAGCCTCTTGGGTTCGCCTCTTTAAACTCGTCCCATTCTCGGGCTTTCATTGTTTCTTCGTCAGCTCTGTCCAGATCGTCCTCATCAACTTCCTCCTTCATGCCTGACTTTTCTCCTCCACCCTCGATAATGTTACCTCTTCTCTTCTCCTCTTCAAGATATTCATCGATCGTCATGGTAGGTAGATTATGTCCGGATCGGAAAACCCCTTGCTGAAGCTGCGTCCTGCGGTCGAGCAACGTGAAAGGCTGCATCGGCCTTCCCTCCTTGCTTAGGATGGGACCAAACTTTCCGCCTCTAAGGAGCTGCGCAAGCGGGGGATCCAGCCGCTCGGAGTAATTTGAGTCGCTTGTTTCATTCCGGCGACGTGAGTCATCCTGCAGGGACTGAGAAGGGTTTGGAGCCGCATTTCGAAAGTTCGATAGCATGGTCATTTCTTGTGACAGGAGGTCCACAGACTGGAATGACTGGTGAATGTAGAGGTCGATCTCTGCGAGGTAGAGTTTCCGTACATCCTCGTCATCGGTTTGGAGCCGGCTTTGATTTTTCGAGAAATACTAAAGTGGTGTAAGTAAGTCACCCGGATGTATCAAGTTGGGTCCATCCCACCTCGAGTTTCTGCTTCAACTCCTTCTCCTCCTTGAATCTATTTATCTTCACCTCTCGTCGGGTCGCAGCATCATTGGTCGTGGTCAGGGAAAAGGTGGAAGGATTGGCTGCATAACGTTCGTAAAGCTTCTTGTCCTTTTCGTTAAGGACATCGTAATCGTCCAGTCTGGCGAGGAAGCGTTCATATTGCCCAAGCGCACGTCGGAGGAGAGCTTCGCGGTCCGAGCTGTAGGATCTCTGGAGAAGGTCTGCGAGATGATGCTCCACCGTAAGATACCTGGTAAGAAGAAAAGAATATTAGTCTAATCTAGCTCGATAGATTTGAAGTGTGGAGGGGCATACTGTATGTCTGTCGTAGAGATGTCTTCTAAAGGTTCATTCGAGCTGAACAGGGACAGCAAGCCCACTAGCCGCTGGCATTCCTCAAGCTTGGCTATTGTTGCGTTGACATCACTGCGGTAGGCGTCCGTGTTGCTGTCCGGGCGGACCTCCAATGCCGTTTTCTCGGCTTTCGCGTCCGCAAAGAGGGATCGTAGATTCTGCGGCTGCTCCATTACGAAGATTCACGGAAATGCGATGAGATTGTGGTTAGATTATAAAAGCTCCGCTGGAGAATGACGGCCGATCGACCGGGCGGCAGAAATAATCCCTGGGCCCGCCCCGCGGCACTATCTATCTAGACCGTGCCCCGCGATTGTCTGGAGCTTGGTGAAGATGCGGAGAACAAGAGTTTGGGTATAGATTGTATACAATTATGGTTACTCAATCCAGTAATCTAGGCTCATCTTGGTATTGGGTATATCTTGGTACATATGGAGGAAGCTTCTGCCGACTTATATACATTATAACGAAGCAGGACTTCCAAATTAAGTTTTGTAATCCACTACTCGATTATTATTTATATATTTCTTCTACCCAGATTCCATACAGTTCTTCAAACGATTGTCCTAACTTGTAATCTACTGACGCAAAGAAACGAGAATATAAGTGGACTGCAATGAAACATAATAGCCGACCTTATACTCGAAGTGTTGTTACATCTCGAACTTGTAGCTCTATATGAGGTAGCTTCCTATTTAGGGATCTCCCGTAGATGATTATTGGCATAAAAAGACGGACCAAGATGGACTCCTTCGATATTCTGGGATATCCGACTTTTCTAGCCAAATAATTCGGCAATCAGTTACAACATAAGGAATTAAGTGTCTAGCTTCCCGGCAGCTGTCACACAAATTAGCCATGAATTAGCTGGCCAAGCCTCGAGTTGTCTCAAACTATATGTCGGCGTTTGCCTCTCTGTTTGCGACACTGCAGTACACCCACATCGCTGGTGACTGCTTCTTGCCTACTATTCACTCTCTCTTGCCCCCAGTTCCTTTCACTCTCATAGTTAATTTCGAATTCTCGTTCCCCTCATTTACCATCTTCGCTATCTGAAGTTGTTCCTACTCCGCTGTTGATCGATATTCGACTTCCCAGCCGCTGCTCTTTAACATCAAAATGGCATCGACTGATACTATCAGAAGAGTCAATATCCAGAGACCTGTTCAGGCTCCAGCTGCAAAATCCTTCATTGAACATGCTGGAGCTTCGACCCAGGATACTCCCGATAAAGATGATAGCTCATCGGACGAATCCAATGATGACGAGCAGGAAAGCTCTAACCAGACTGGCGTTACCCAACAGCGGAGAATACAAAATGCAAAGTTTGAAGCTCTGTCAGTATCTATAGCTACCTGATACCTGATCTACAGTGCTAACTTGCATTAAGTCTTGCCCAGCGTGCTGATACAGCCCCTGCCAATGTTACCAGAGCTGTACCTTGCGACCTGCCTGATGCCCAGCTTTCTACTGCCCATCTAGTAGCGAAACAAGACCTCGGTAGTGGTACATTGGACCCGAGAGAATACCAGGTGGAACTTTTTGAGAGAGCCAAACTACAAAACACAATTGCTGTGCTTGATACCGGTATCTTCATCTTCAGAGGTCGGGTATTTAATGAGGCAAGAACTGATGTGTCTGTAGGATCTGGAAAGACTCTGATAGCGGTGCTCCTCCTCAAGCATACTATTCAGAAGGAATTGAACGACCGTGCTGAGGAAAAGCCACATCGGATATCGTTTTTCCTGGTGAGTTTTCTAGGACCCCAGTTTAGCGGGAATATGCTAACACCTGACTAGGTGGACAGCGTCACTCTCGCATATCAACAGGCCGCGGTCCTGCGCAATAACCTGGATCAGAATGTCGCACATTTCTTTGGAGCCATGGGGACTGATTTGTGGAACAAGCAAGTGTGGGATGAGCACTTCCAAAAGAACATGGTAATCGTTTGTACGGCGGAGATCCTGAACCAATGCTTGCTCAATTCGTACATCAAGATGAGCCAGATAAATCTCATGATTTTCGATGAAGCGCACCATACAAAGAAAGACCACCCCTATGCACGGTTTGTATTACCGCCCTAAGATGGTACGAGAGGCTAATCTTTCTCCAGAATCATTCGAGATTCCTATCTTGAAGTAACCCCTTCAAACCGCCCAAGAATATTCGGCATGACAGCATCACCGATCGACACCAAAGGCGACATAATAGAGGCAGCTACGTATGTCGCCAAAACCCAGTGCCTATGAGTTTTACTAACGTGCTCTAGGAGACTTGAGACGTTGCTCGATAGCACGATAGCTACAACGTCAAACCTGACGCTTCTACGGCAGGTGGTCAGACGCCCCGTAGAGAAAATATGGCCGTTTAACAAGCTAGATCAACCACGTGCGACTAAGCTGTATAAGATCCTTGAAGATCGTTTTGGAGATATGGCCTGTCTGGAGGCGATTTTCAGATTCGCCTGGCAAGCCAGTGCTGAGTTGGGCCCGTGGTGTTCAGATCGAGCATGGGCGCGTGCCTTGGCAGATGATGTGTTGCCAAAGCTAGAGGGAAATGTCAACAAGGCCATGAATTCCGAGGCCGTGACAAAAGTACCCGAAGGGGCGTATAAGGAGGTCCTGCGGATTAAAGAGGCCAGTGAGATCGTGAAAAATCACACATTCAACAGCCCTGATGCTCCAGGCCAACTGAGCTCTAAAGTGCAACTACTCCGCGAGGAGCTAGGGCGGTACTTTGGACGTCAAACAGAGACCAAGTGCATTGTTTTTACACAGAAGCGGTACACGGCCTTAATACTATCTGAACTCTTCGAGACGCTAAATATCCCTTTTCTTCGGCCTGGAGTGCTTATTGGCGTTCGTTCTGGTGATCTATCGGGGATGAACATAACGTTTCGTCAACAATTCCTTGCTTTGGTTAAATTCAGGAATGGCGAAATCAATTGCCTGGTAAGTCCCCACAAAGCATTGGATGTAACTTCTACTTACAAAGCTAAGTTCGCTACTTCTGTGGCTGAAGAGGGCCTTGATATTCCAGACTGTAATTTGGTTATCAGGTACGTTGCTATTATTGTTGATCAATGCATGCTCGAGCTTACCAAAAGAGATTTGATCTATATAACACCCTGATCCAGTATGTCCAAAGCCGTGGGCGTGCGAGACACTTCAACTCGACGGTGAGGATAGGTTCTTGCAGTGAAAAGGAATTTATTGATTTTGAGCCTGCAGTATGCGAGTATGGTTGAGAAGAACAACCCGGAGCATGATGAGAGGCTACTCGAAGTTCGAGATGCTGAAGTAAGTTATCTCGGAACTCAGATTTACACCCAGTCTAACGAAACAGAGAATGATGCAAAACTTTTGTCGGACCCTTCCCGAAGATAGGTTGCTGCACGGAAACGACCACGACTTAGAGGTAGTATTGCAGAGAGAGGAAGGCAATAGATCTCTCACAGTTAAAACCACAGGTGCCAAGTTGACCTATCACTCAGCAACCGCCATACTTGCTCGCTATGCTAGCTCTTTGGTACGTATAGATCCATGAACGATTGCATGATACCCACTAATAGGCTGCCGTCTCCAGCAATACGAGAAGGAATCTTCAGCGCAGGTCATCTACGTGGTGCTTCCTTCCAACAGTGCATATGTCTGCGAGGTTATCCTGCCCGAAAAATCGCCCATTCGAGGTGTTACCGGGGGTCCGGCAATGAGAAAGTCCATCGCAAAACGGTCTGCAGCATTCGATACTTGTCTCTTGCTTCGAAAGAACAAACTACTAGATGATCATTTCAACTCGGTCTATCATCGCCGTCTACCAGCTATGCGAAATGCCAAACTTGCAATAACCTCTAAGCGCACAAGTCAGTATGACATGATCTCAAAGCCGTCGATATGGAGCCAGAACCGAGGCTTGCCTCCGAAAGAGCTATACGCAACCGTTATTAAGTTCCTGCCCTCAAAACCGTTACTGCACGACCCAAGAAGCTTGCTATTGCTCACACGAGAGAGACTGCCAGAATTTCCGAAGTTCCCTATCTTCCTTGATGAAGATATAGAGACGACAGTCCACACGATACCTTTGACGGAAAAGCTTATACTATCGGCTGAGGAGGTAGACTGGTTGACAACTTTCACTCTCCGGGTATTCCGCGATGTATTTCACAAGACCTATGACAAAGAACCCGAGAAGATGGCATACTGGTTGGCACCGGCAAAGGCGCAAAGCTCATACAATCCCACAAGGGATCCAAGACAGACAATGGAATGGAAAAGCCTCTTATTCGTGAGCGCTAACGACGGTATAGCCTTCTCCAAAGATGCAGCCCCAGAGAGCATGGTTGACCGCTTCGTGTTTGATGCCTGGGATGGGAGATGCCGGTATTTCACCGTGGCTGTCGAGGAGACGCTACGTCCCTCAAGCCCGCCACCCCCTTTCGTGCCCCGGCGCAGACACATGAGTGATATCATGAATTATTGCCTCAGTCTCTCGAAAAACTCTAGGGCTAAGTTTTTGGCGGGCTGTAGCTGGGATCAACCTGTCTTGCGAGCGGAACTAGTGCGCCTGCGCAGAAATCTTCTTGACAAGATGACAGACACTGAACGAGATGTTGAAACGAAATGCTTTATATGTGTGGAGCCCTTGAAAGTATCTGCTGTAAGTTCAGTTACCCGCATGTTCTAGCCTGATTACTGAGCAATAGTGAAGATCCCTGCATCCACTGCTTTTTCTTGCCTTGCCTTCCCGGCTATTATCTCCCGGCTAGATGCATACCTTATCTGTCTTCAAGGGTGCGAGGCATTGGATCTAGTCGTCTACCCAGAGCTTGCCCTGGAAGCATTCACGAAAGACTCTGATAATACAGAAGACCACCGTGCTCAACAGATTCATATCCAGCGAGGAATGGGGAAAAACTACGAGCGTCTGGAGTTTCTAGGCGACTGCTTTCTGAAGATGGCTACCTCAATTTCTCTCTTCACACAAAATCCTGATGACGATGAGTTTGACTACCACGTAAACCGGATGTGCCTCATCTGCAACAAGAACCTTTTCAACACAGCCGTTAAGAAAGAGCTTTACAGATACATTCGCAGTCGAGGGTTTTCGAGGTATGAACTCCCTACAGCTCCTTAAACAGACAACTAATAGGTAATTCGCAAGACATACGTGGTATCCGGATGGCTTAAGCCTATTGCAAGGCAAAGACCATAGCAAAAAGGTGTCTACAGAAGCCAAACATGCTCTTGCGGAGAAAACAATCGCGGATGTTTGCGAAGCTTTGATAGGGGCATCTCTGCTTTCTGGTGGTCCTGACCATCGGTTCGACATGGCCGTCAAAGCAGTGACAGCTTTGGTAGGAAGCTCAAACCACAATGCCTCGTGCTGGAGGGATTACATATCTCTTTATTCGATACCAAAGTACCAGAGCCAGGCGCCGGATGGATCTGAGCTTGACCTTTGTAAAAAGGTCGAAGAGAAGTTAAGCTACCACTTCAACTATCCGAGGCTCCTGGGATCGGCTTTCACCCATCCTTCATATCCGTCCGCATGGGCCCAAGTGCCCTGCTATCAGCGCCTGGAATTTCTCGGAGATTCACTGCTCGACATGGTTTGTGTAGAGGATTTGTTCTATAGATTTCCGGATCGAGACCCCCAATGGCTCACAGAACACAAAGTAAGTCTCCAAGCAGATCCGGCTGCTATCGAGCGCTCATTAACTGTGATGATGCAGATGGCCATGGTATCCAACAAGTTCCTTGGTGCTTTATCAGTGAAACTAGGGCTCCACACGCACCTGAAGTACTTCAGTGGCCCGTTGCAATCCCAGATCACTCACTACGCCGAGGAGATCCAAACTGCGGAGGGTGAGAGCGAGGGCGCGGTGGATTATTGGACTGTAACCAAAGACCCCCCTAAGGTAGCAAAGCCCCCTGCATTGTAGAAAAGAGCTAATATGGGTGACCAGTGCTTACCCGACATGGTTGAAGCATATCTCGGAGCGATCTTTGTCGACTCAAACTTCAACTTCGAGGTGGTTGAGAAATTCTTCAAGGGCCATATCAGACCATTTTTCAAGGACATGGCGATTTATGACACGTTCGCGAACAAGCATCCAACGGTAAGGCTCATCCTGTGTTTTGAGATCTGGAGTAGGTTACTCAACTGAATTAGACTTTCCTGCATAACCGCTTGACGAATGATTACGGCTGCATGAACTATTGTCTGAAAGCTGGTGAGATGCCTGCCATCGATGGAGCCCCAGCCGGAGTCCTAGCCGCCGTGATTGTGCATGATGCTGTCATTGCCGAAGGCACGGCATCATCTGGCCGCTATGCCAAAGTCAAGGCAAGTGAAAACGCTTTGGCCGTGCTGGAAGACATTACACCAGCGGAATTCCGGAAGCAATACCACTGTGACTGTCGAGAGTCGGACGGCTCCGCCAGCCTTGATATGGGAACCGCAATCTGAAGCTACCAAGGCCGGAGCTGGCATATGCGGTGAAGCAGCCCGTGCCATCGACCGACTATTGATGAATGCAATGCAGGGTGCACGTGGACCTGGAAGTACTTTAACCTATCTAGCATGTAGAGAGCAGCCCAAACAATCGGATGGTTCTCTGGAGAGCTGCACTTTTCCTGTGGTGTAATGAGTTAGTTAGTAGATTGGTATTCAAATTGGTTTCTGGCTCGGAGATAAGGCTGAGAGGGCAGGAAGCTGGCTTCGATCATCCAAGCCCCATGCTGGGGGGATCCATGGGCAGCGACCCGCCAGGCGCTGGGCCGGCCGCACTAGCCCCCTTGCGGATTAGCGGGAGTTCCCCTGAAGTGTACCGGCTGGCCATCTGCAGCCTGCAACTGAAAACACGCCCGCCGCGTCCCAACTGACGACCACCTACTTATCTGACGGCACTGGCCGAAGTCGACTACTGGAGTTTATTATGAACCCCTAACTGCCTTCATTTCTTCTACCCCACACCTTTTCTCCCCCGTCTTCTTCGTTCCTTCTCCCATCCGTTGGAGGCCCGTTTAATTCTCCCCCATCCGCCGCCGACACCGCGCCCGTTTCCCGTCAACATACTAGCAAGCATTCTTCCCGCAACTCCCCCCCCTGTGATAACCTTCGGTCGGCCTCTATGAGTTTCGCGGGTCGTCTATCATAGAGTTACAGTTATGGAGGTTGCCAACGCAGAGGTCTCAAACGGCGTCCCTGCGCCAGCGCAGACACCTTTGGTCGATTCACATGCAGTGATAGACTATCTGAGCGAAGTGCTGCGGGCGACTTTGGGAGCTTTGAGAAGTGAACTCGAAAGCACTGGCAGTTTACTTTCTGCAGCAAAGTACAACGAGACCGTGCAGCGGTGTACGCGATTCGCCTCAGAGTCGCAAGTCGCTCTTTATATTCAGAAGGATGTTGTGGCCTCCGAAGAAGTAAATGGAACTGAGCCAACTGAAGGTACGTTGTGCACATCTGCTCCTAACTGCAGCATACTGAACAAGACTTGCTCCTAGAACTATCCTCTCAATATGTCTACAACCTCTCCGCCGAGATTTCGTCCTCTTCTACTACCGTTGCGACGGTTGCTTTCATCAAACGCCCGGCCGCCATCGACCCGTCGCTCGCTATAGCGGACCAAATAAATGTCATGAACTTTCCTGGCCCGGCATCTCTCAGCAATGCTCAATCTCAACAGGGCACTTCCCTGTCGCCGTACGAGATCTTGCATTTGCTGGTACACCACGGACTGAATCCCTACTTCGAAGCCAACACTCGTAGCCAGGAAGCGGCGAGTGGCTCAAAGCCTAGGACGGACACAGAGGCAAAGACAGGTGTATCTAGTACGAAGAAGAAATTCGCGGAACTAGAACTTGGTCTTCGGCACTTGCTGCAGAATGTTGAAATCCCGGCCTTGAACCTGCCACTTCACGAAGTGGTCCAGGCTGCCCTAGTCGATGCGGAAAAGCGAGGAATCAAACCTTCCGTGGAACTGATTGACCCCGCCATCCTGGAGAATAGTACGTTTGTCAACAGCATTCAGAATACCGTGAATGCCTGGATTCGGTCCATTCAAACCATTACCAAGATGTCCCGCGACGCCGATAGTGATTCGGCAGCCCAAGAAATCAACTTCTGGTTGTCGATGGAAACCGCCCTGGAGGGGATTGAGAATCAATTGCGGGGTGACGGAGTTCAACTGACAATGGACATTCTTCGCCACGCAAAGCGTTATCAGGCTACTCTGAGTTTCGTAGCTGACACAGGTTTGCGCGAGGCCACCGACCTAGTCCAGAAGTACAATCAGCTCATGCGAGATTTCCCCCTGGATGAACTTCTCTCGGCGACTACCCTACAGAAGGTGCAAGAATCTCTCAACCTGATTTTCAACCATCTCAATAAGAAGTTGAAAATCTGTCCCTACCCCATCAAGCGTGCTCTTGCTCTTGTGGAAGCTATCTCTGGGGATCTCGACAAACAGATTCACTCTTTGCTCCATGGCCGGACAATATTACACCTTGATTACCGCGAGTTTCGCTCTCTCATGAAGACTGCTGGCGCAATCTGGCGGACCTGGGACGAAAATCTCAAGGAATTCACCAACGTTGCTCGAGAGTCTACGCGACGTCGAAACGAGAAGTTTATACCCATCAAGATCGCCGCGCGGCATGAAAAGACCCAGGAACGATTGAAATACATCAACACATTCCGCGTCAACCATGAGCAGCTTCAGAGAACGATCGTGAACGTCCTTGGCCCAAAGAGTACGTCTGCGGGGGATACGGCTGCTGGAGCTGGTTCTGATGGGGCTGTCATTGTTGAGGAGATTGGAGATGTAGATGCCGTTGAGGAAGTCGCGCAAGCTTACGCTGCCCTGCGGAATGTGGATGTGCTTGACGTCTCGCCGGACGGAACTCAGCAGTGGATCAAGGAGGAGATCGCCTACAATGAACGTACTTCCCGCGTTGAGAATTCCATCATTGCCCGCCTTCGAGACCGTCTCGCTACAGCGAAAAATGCCAACGAGATGTTCCGTGTCTTCTCTAAGTTCAACGCTCTTCTCGTCCGCCCCAAGATCCGAGGTGCAATCGGCGAGTACCAAACCCAGCTCATTGAAAACGTCAAGCAAGATATTTCTTCGCTACATGAGCGGTTCAAGCAACAATATGGACACTCCGAAGCACATGCAATGGCGCAATTGCGAGATCTGCCCCCTGTATCAGGCGCTATCGTTTGGGCACGCCAGATCGAGCATCAGCTGGATGGGTACATGGGCAAGGTGGCGAACGTCCTGGGAGAGGACTGGGCTCTGCACTCCGAAGGCCAGAAGCTCCTGGCTGAAAGCAACCTGTTCCGCAAGAAGCTGGACACTCGGCCGGTCTTTGAGTCATGGTTACACGACGTTCAGAGACGGCACATTACAATTTCTGGTCGACTTTTCAACATTGTTCGCAATCGAGCCGCGGGAAACACACTTGAACTGATCGTCAACTTCGATGCGCAAATTATTGCCCTCTTCAAGGAAGTTCGAAACCTTATATGGCTTAACTTCCAGGTCCCACATGCGGTGAGCAACATCTCGAAAGAAGCCAAGCGCGTGTACCCGTACGCCATTAGTTTGATGGAGAGTGTCCGAACTCTGCTCCAAACTAATCGCTCTATTGCGGCTATGACTGAGGTTGCGATTCTATTGAACGGATATGTCAACGATGCTCAAAGTATGATCATCAAGGGTGTTCCCCTCCGGTGGGAATCGTTTGTCCACTCGTATGAGCTTCATGTCAAGCAGTCAGCCTTGGCGAACGGAGCCATTGATGCGGCTATTCCAACCAGAGGTGAGAGCAAGCATGTTCAGTTTGTTCGCGAATTTGCTGGATCAGCCTCGGTACTCCAATCCAAAACGGCTGTTTTGGCTTCGATCAACGAGAGTATCCAGAAGGCAACCCATGAACTCAAGACTTGCCCTTATGAGGCGGCCGCATTTAGACAGCGCCTAGATGCTATCCAGGTTGCCGTAGATAAGTTGAACCTGGAGAACTACGTCAACCTGGGCTATTGGGTTGCCAACCTGAACCAGAAGATCGAATCGATCTTGCGCGAACGGCTCCATCGTGCTATTCGCGAGTGGATTAGCTCCTTCCAGGAAGCAAGTTACAGCCCGCAAAGCCTTCAGACATCGAGCGGAGTGCAAACAGGTGAAGCAGAGACGCTTTCGTACGACATCGAGTTCCCGGAGCTCATCCACGAGATCTCCATGCGTAACCAATTCCTCCACCTCGACCCGCCCCTACAGTATGCTCGCGCGAGCTGGTTCTCGCACTTTGATAATTGGCTTGGTGTTATCTGCAATCTTGAGAAGATTAAGTCGTCTCGTTATCAGATTTCGATTGATGTCCAGAAGGTCCAGCTCTCTGAAGCATGCTTTGCAACTCTCCCGCAGCATTGCACGAACGAGCTGAGCCAAGTTTACAACGCAGTCGAATCAAGATTGAATGAAGTGTCTGCGTATGTCGACAAATGGCTGCAGTTCCAGTCCCTGTGGGATTTGCAATCCGAACAAGTTTATGACATCTTGGGCGACGACTTGTCTCAGTGGCTCCAGTTACTCCAGGAGATTCGCAAGAGCCGTGCTACCTTCGACACATCGGAGGTCAGCAAGTCTTTCGGTAATATCAGAATCGACTACGAGCAGGTTCAGACCCGAGTCAATGCCAAGTATGATCAGTGGCAACATGAAATTCTACTAAGGTTTGGCTCTAAGCTCGGAGGTCGAATGAGAGAGGTCCATTCCGAGATCGCCGCTGCCCGACGTGACTTGGAAGGACAAACCCTGGAGGCTGCCTCTACGGCGCACGCTGTTTCGTTTATCACGATTGTTCAGCAATGCAAGCGCAAGGCGAAGGTTTGGGAACCGGAAGTCGACCTTTTCCGGCAAGGTCAGGCAACGCTTGCTCGCCAACGCTATCAATTCCCCAGCGACTGGCTTCACGTAGAGAACGTCGATGGCGAATGGGCCGCCCTGAACGAATTGCTCGCACGGAAGAGTAAGATCGTCCAGGATCAAACAGAAGGATTGCGTGCAAAGATTTCGGCGGAAGACAAAGTTATTAGCGACAAGATCACAGAAGTGATCAGCCAGTGGAACGAGGAAAAGCCTGTGTCTGGTACCATTCCGCCCGAAGAAGCATCTCGCACTTTGAGCTTGTTTCAGTCTCGCCTTGAATCTCTCCAGTCCGAGTACGAGATGGTATCAAAGGCGAAAGAGGCCCTTGACCTCCCAGCGGGCGTTGAATCTTCATTGCCGGCAATTCTGGAAGAGGTCCAGGATTTCATGTCTGTTTGGGCGGCTCTGTCGACAATCTGGAAGAGCCTTAACGACCTCAAGGACATGCTCTGGACGAGTGTGCAGCCGAGAAAGTTGCGCCAATCCATTGATGGTTTGATCAAGATGACCAAGGAAATGCCTAGCCGCATGCGCCAATATGCAGCTTTCGAACATATTCAGAACGTGCTGCGACAGCTTTTAAAGGTCAACCCCTTGCTTTCTGATATGAAGTCCGAGGCCGTCCGCGAGAGGCACTGGCAAAAGATTTACAAGGCACTGAAGCCAGGCAAGCGATTCTCTCTCGTGTCGCTCACACTCGGGGACGTGTGGGATCTCCAGCTTGCCGCAAGTGAGACGATCAT